CATGATTGGACGCCTCCCGTCCCAGCGCTGTATGACAACGGTTTTTTGCGTCAACGCTAAGGTCTTGGGCGGCGGATCGCTCCTCTTCCTGGGTCCCAGGTCGCCGATTCGGGCTTTAGCCACATCCTGGGGGAGGGTGGTGCCCGAGCCGCTGGGCACCAGCCCGTTTGCGGCCCACACAGCAAATGTGCCTGCCCCCCCCGACTAGCGGCAGCATGCGGGAACGTTCGTCTGGTCTTCCAGCTCGCTGCACCGGCCTGATGACACGCCGGACCGGGCGAGTGAGTGCCGTTTGTGGCTGGAGACTGGAAGCAGGACAGGACAGGACATTCGGGGTAGAAGAATTCCGGCGCCGTCATGATGCCGATACTGGCCAACAAGACTGAACGTCCTGAGCCTTTTTCTTTCCAGCCCCATATCTCAGCTCAGGCCCCAGGTCCGGCCCCCTTCACCATCACCGTGTCCGTCCGTCCGTCGTCCTAGCCAGGTCAGAGCTACCTTAGTGAAGTCAAAGCGCCCCGCAGTTGTAGCCCGCCGGCCTATTCCGCCAGTCTACGGATCCGTATTGTCCCAGCTCTGCACCGACAGAGCAACATGGAGGCCCGAGACGTGTGGACCGGCCATTTGCTGCAGGATTGGCGTGCTTTGCCGTTGTAATCAATGGACGGTGTGGTGGTGACCTGTGGATTGCGAAGATTCTGCTGGTGAGAGGGTGTACTGGACGGGACGATCATGCAGCTGCCATGCATGCCCAAGGCCAGGACTAGACGGAGGTATCCGTTCGCGTTTGTGCCCAGCAAAAATCCGGACGGAGAGCTCCTCCGTATCCGTAACATGCACGTGGTGTTCCCTATTTCGTTTTCTTCACCACCAGTGTGGCAACGTATTCTTTCCAGACAGGGAAGCGTGGTTATTAGTGTAAGTAGGACTGTGGCGAGCGCCGAGAAGGGCTTCGGCTGCGACCACAATGTCTTCTTCAATTTCGAAAGCCCTGCGGTGCAGCCCGCCTCCAGACCAGACCAGCCGCCGTCAGCCTCATCAGGGCACGTTTTGCGCCCGAGACGTCCACCACCATCAACTCAGCTGGACCGTGGGCTCGTCATGATTCCTCAGCGAGCGCACGCGCAGCGAATACACTGGGCTGCACCCGACGTCGCAGTGACCGAGAGGTGTTTCGTGTGAAGCAATAATCTGAACGTGTATCCATATTCCACGCTGCGCTGCCGGCAAGCAGGGATATCCTGGGATTTGCGCCTGGGGGGGCTCTTAGTCCTGGCCCTTCGCTTCTTTTCTGCGCGAGAGGCCCGGGTGATCGTCCAAGATGCGCCGATGCGATAGCCGTCTTGTCTTTTCTTGGCCGTGAGAGGGATCGCGGTGATTGCGTGCGTGCTATCATCAGTCGGTTTATTGGCAACTAGCCCAAGTCAAAGCGAGATTGCGAAGAACACAGAGCAGACAGAGCCCGATAAGTGCTTTTGGGACTCTTGGACGCCGGTGTCCAGTATCGGGCAGGATTGGCAGCACCAGTTAGCCGCGTTCAAAGCCAAAAGTTCAATTTGGGCAAGAATCGACGACGAGCGCGGCAGTCGCGATCAAAACACTCGCGATGCGGCAGTTACCACCAGCGACGCCAGCCGCCAGCCAGCCCCTTATCCGTAAGGTACGGATACTCCGTGACCGCACTAACGCGGCGTTTTGGAAGGCGCGCCCGGAGCCCTGCCTGGACTTTGCTTACGATAAGGGTTTTATTTCCGACATTCCGTACGCGCCTTCTTCATCTTCCACGGTCTGGAGTTGGTGCCAGGATAAGGCATCGTTGTCGGGGCCTGTCGAGGGCTAGAACAGACTTTGAAAGCCACCACGCCCATTTTCGGAGAGGAAAAAAAATTCAGAGGTCATTTTGTCGGTGCTGCAATGAATTGAATATGATGCAGTTGCGTTTGTACTCCGTACCAGCCGGCGCGGGGATATTGCTTGAGCAAACGTCACACAACCGCTCTGATTCGTTTCTTTTTCCCCTTCCCCCTCCTAATGTTGTCGACCGTGATCCACAGGACTGGCCGACTTGAATCCCAGTAACCAAGTAAATTGGTTGGTAGTTTGCTCCCGTCGTGTCACAAAAGAATATGTTGGTTACGCAGGAGAAACTCTCAAGTGGATGGAATACGTCCATAAGCTAATCCTTTTCAGCCTCTGCATGCCATTCAGTCATTGAAATAACGGGGAGAAAACGTCGATCTCCGGCCCGTGCCACCCTCGTGCTCGAAACCCCGCGAGATTTTCCTGCTGCGCCGGGCGCGCCGCGGGAATGTAAAAGAAATGGCGCCCATCTCTCACTCACCTCCCCCGACCTCGAGGGACCTGGGCCAAGGCGGGAAGCCATGACTGAGATAATGTGCCCGTTGGTTTCTGATTACTGAATGTAACCCCGTCCAAGGCCAACACGCGAGTCTGAGGGGCTCGAGGCAACATCGCAACGCAACGCAACAACGCAACGGACCTGCAACGCAACGCAACCCAGCCCATTGATGTTTGTCCTCTGGTCCTGGTGGATACAACCTGTGTTTCAGGGCACGGGAGCTGGGTAAGCTATCACATTGAGGGGTCAGGTTGTATCCCAGGTATGTAAAAGTGGGATGGCCCAGGCTTGAGCTGGTCCGCGGTGTTCCCCATGCAGATAGCCAAGGGACTACCGTTAATTGAATACTCCGTACGGAATAATATCCTATCCATCCCAAAGAAAAAAAGAAGAAAAAAATAGCCTACCCTTCCTGTTTTGTACGAAGCTAAGCGCTGTCGCACCCCTGGACATGCATTTAGCCGGTCGGGAACCCAAGTGGATGGGTCGTTTAAAAGCCACCCGCAAAGTGATCAGCACAGACCGGCCAGCTGGATTCTTTGGATTGAAGCTTAAACCCCAGATCTCGCGAGAGCGCGCTCTTGACTGGACCATTCCCGCCGCCCTTAGCGAATACAACCCTTTTTTGCACCACCCACCTACGCAGTACACCGCTAGCACTACCCAGCACCACGACACCTCCCTGCTCCCCTTTTTTTTCCCCTGGGCAATCAATGCATGCACCAAGAGTGCCAATCCTGTACCAAGAGGGAAACAACTTCGTCGAAAGTATCACGCTTTCTTTCCCGGAAAAGCAATTCCTGTGGGTATCACAGACAGAAACCCATTCTTTCGCGGTCCATAAGCAGCAGAGGCGGCTGAGGAAATTGGAGAAGTGGGGGATGAGGTGACCGTCCCCAACCATGATTAGGAATAGAGAATGAACCGAGTTTCGACCAAGAAAGATGTCTCTTGTTCGTTGTTGACTATTGTTGTTATTGTTACCCGGATCGGGAGAGCGGCCTGGCAGTGTTTCTGGTAGGTAGAGAAACATGCATGGACCATATCTCCCCAAAAAGGGGCCTAGAAGAGATGAGACGGTGAGCGTCCTCTGAAGAAGAGACGAGGACGTTCCATCACCGTTATTTTCTGTATCATAATAAAAAAGGCTAGTATACGGATACGGAGCAAGATCTCAAGGCCCGCTAGAGGAGACCGACACCGTGGGTCACCGCATCATCCCGAGCGCGTGGTCGGAGGGTCCGGGGCAGTGCCGTTGCCGCCTCCACTCGACAGGTTTTTTCTCCTCACCTAAAACTAAACCTGCGAACTGGAAATATCCGTAGCTAAGAAAAAAAAAAGCGAAGGTGTTTGGTACCTTTTCCAGGGTTGGCACGTAAGTTCGAAATTTCCATATCTAGAACAGGTCCGTATTGCTAATTGTTTTCCACTTCTCGGGTACCTGACTGCGTTAAGCAGCCTTGGTATCATTGATATTGATGCCCCCCCCCGTCCAGCCGCAACATCACATCGCGGTCTCCGAGTCTTGGGGCCTGGACTCCCTCCTCATCTCAATATCACGCGCATTTTCCCTCGGCTCTTCCACTTGCCGGGAACGCCATCCCAGATTCTCAGGCTGGGGTTGGCTACACCAGCGGGATTTTGGGGACAGCTGTGTGCTTCGAGGGTCGTTTGGCGCTTTTGCAGGGGTTCAAGGAATGGGGTGGGAGGTGGAGGGGGGTTCGCCAGCGAGACGGGTCCGATGCAGCCGCCAACTTCCGAGATGGTATCACGATTCTCACGGTGTGGTGGTAGTTAGGTGTGCCGACCCTGCGGGAATACCGTAATCACGATGTGCCGGAGTTTCCCGTAATGCGTATGGAATTTGGCCAGTTCCGGTTCGTCTCCATCTCTCTGCCAGCTGGCCATGCCCGTAACCACCAGCTAACGCCACCCCGGGCAATATCATCTTTGTTAAGAGCCGGGAACGCTTAATAGTTCCTAGGTGGAAACTCCCCTAGCAAGATCCGGGGAGCATATTTTGGAGTATCAAAAGCCCCAAGCGAGAGAGTTTGAGAGATCAAAACTCTACTCAGCAGTGATCGTGATCCTTGGCCGCCACAATTCTTATCTCATTGCCGGCGCAGCAGATGCAAAATGGGGCTCCGGACATCGGACGACCTGAAAGCATCGCGGACAATCTGGAAGCGTCAAGGACGAGAGAGTTAAAACTCGAAGTGAACCTAAGGTAAACAAACCCACTGCGCCTGGTGCAGATTCAATCACCACCTATCCACTGCGCGGGTATACTTAATTTTCTCCAGTGGGGTTTTGAGGGCAGTCATGACCTCTGTCAGGTGCTTCCGTGGGGGTTCCGTCTAGTTGAGCAGGTTGTCATGACACTGTCAACCCACCGTCAACCCACCGCTGCTCCACGCATGGTCTTGAGTTTGGCGCTGGTGAGGCCAATGGATGGAAAGCCTTTGTCAGGTTACTGAACAGGCATTCAGATTATGGGATAATCCCTTCCCCCTTCACGTGATCCGGATCGGCCAACAACGACCAGACGAACCTGGTCCAAGCCCCGGGGGAGGCACTGAGCAGTTGTGGATGGCAGCTGGAGTTTACTTTCTGCGAGAAAATAACAGGATAATCCGTTGCACTGGGCGCACGCCGCTACCCCCCCCGCTGTACAGCCAGGGATGTTGAGGCGACAAGCTAAGTTCAGGGATCAGGGCTGTTACCCAAAACGATGGAATTGGTGATTTTATGCCAATTAATTACTATCTTATTTTTCTTGCTGGTGGGCGTGCGTGCCTTCCTCTGCCCGTGCCTTTTCTTGACCAGGCCAGGCTAGGTATCCCCCCTGCCCCTTCTCAATTCCCACACACACCCCGGACTAAAAGAGCTAACAGGGATCATCCAAAGCACATGGGAGGACATGGATCTTCAAAATTGCGCTGGGGAGGGGTCCAGGGTGTTAGGTTGTTCGTGAGGACCCTGTTTCTCCGCTCCGAAAAGCAAAAGTAACTTCCGTGGGCGACAGCCCAGAGAGAGCAGCAACCTCTCGCAGCCACACCCCGCTCCCACCACCCCCTAACAACCATACACTCGCATTGCTGTAAGGTACTGTACCCCATCGATTCACCAGCCGGGGGTACGTGATTGTGGTATTCGTAGGACTCAATTAACCCTCGAATCTGCCCTTTTCTTCAGTCTGGTCAAAGTTATCACCAATTACCCCACTGAGGAACCTAACAATAGGTGGCCTGGAAAGCAAGGGATATACCTTAGATTATGGGGCACGGGGTGTTGCAAACCGCCAACGTCGGAGCGAAAATACTTGACAACCACCAGTGTATCAACAACACGTCTCAGCACGGCAAACAGCAAACGTCGCCACCGTCGCCTCGACCGACGCTCCAAACCCGTTCGCTTCTCTCCCCCCGCCCGCTGGCCCGCTGGGCAGCGTGCCTCCGTCAGATGTTGCAAGCAACGCAAAGCAGCTTCAGCTACCGTACGCCGCCGCTGGGGCGGCCCGCGTTGGCCTGTGTGTCAAACGCCCCGTCGGCTGGACATCGGACGGATGATGGGGATGCCAACACCATGAAGACTCCTCCCACCGCGCACATGTGTCATTCCAGGTCCGCGGTGGTCTGATCCTTGCAAGACCGCCGGATGAGGCTCGAGAGCTTTCTGAAGCATCCACAAAGCTTCGAGTGGAGTTTGATCTAAGAGTGAACGGCGAGCTCCAGTAGCGCCAAACCAGAAGCTGTCTGAAGCTCTACCGATGCTCCTCTGTTGAGAAAGCTTGCGCGCCTTGTCTGCAGAAACCTGGGGAAACCCAATACAATAGTTCTACAGAGCCCTCAAAATGCATTAACCAAAATTACGATTCAAGAAGAAACGCTAAATGAGGACACCTAAAGCAGTGGATATGGGACGAGACGAGTACAGAGTCTCGTTCGAAGGCAGATCTTTATACACTTCCAAGTTTCAACTCTGGCGACCTTGATGGGCTAGCAAAAAGCATGCAGTGCGGATACCTTGGGACATGAAATGTTCCCGTACGGCAAACGGTGGCGGTCTCACCGTTTTTGGGTGGCAGCCGCCGAGTAACCTTGCAAGCTTCTTCCCCACTGTGGCTCCTTTCACACAACCCCCCGGCTTGTCCGTATACCTTACTTACTAGTATTTATGATCAGCCTCCTCCCTCCCTCATGCTCCTCCTACTCCCTTCCAGCTCAGCCTCATGGTTTTACTTCTCCATTATACCCAGATTACCGGTATATAAGGGAATATCTCCCCCTGTGAGCATGCTCCCTCGACCCGCCGCATATGCCGTCTTGTACTCCAAGTTCTCCCCCTTCTGAGCCCACCTCAACGAGAAGCAAGGCAGGGTGGTGAATTGATCCCACAACCCACCCCCGTTCCGTTCCCCGCATCCCGCCGTCGACGACAAGACAAACAGGGCAGAGTGGTTGAATTAATCCCAACCACCTACCAAGGACGACAAGCTGGCGGTAACAACACTGTACCACGGCATTGAGACGCACCCGGCCGCCGCCAAAGCCCGCCACGAGAGTTGGCTTACACACAACGAACTGCTGCCCGAGGAGTGGCACTCAAGAATGACAACAAACCACCACAGGAGAGGACCCTGGTCTGAGTCGGAGGATGCCTATCTGATGTCGTTGGTGAACAGCCAGGGAGCTCTCAACTGGGTCCGCATCGCAAGCACGCTCGGCTCCAGGACCCCCAAACAGTGCCGCGAACGCTTCCACCAGAACCTTAAGCCGACGCTAAACCACGACCCCATTACGCCCGAGGAGGGCGTGATAATAGAGCGCCTCGTCCGAGAGCTAGGGAAGCGCTGGGCCGAGATCGCGAGGCGCCTCAACGGCCGCAGCGACAACGCCGTCAAGAACTGGTGGAACGGGAGCCAGAACCGCCGGAAGCGGTCCGAAAAGCGCAAGGCCTTGGCCATGCCCTTCGACGACAGACAGGAAATACAACCGCGCTTCCCGCACCATCATCCCAACATATCCACCCCCAGGACCCTGCCAATGCCGTCGTTGTCGAGGCCCATGCCCGCCCCGCTGCTATCCGCGAGCCTTCACAACGAACGGTACGGCGCCACCGTGGAGACGCCGCTCTCGTCGCCCCTGTCCAACTCGCCTGGCTCGGAGCTAGCGCCGTCCCTGATGTCGGACTCTGGGTCTTACTACTCAACCTCGCCAGCCAGCCGCGTCGAGCTGCCGCCCCTGAAGATGCCGTCCGACGGCATGCCGCACTACTCGCCGCGGTCCTCCGTCTCGCCGTCCGACACCAAGCTGCCCCCGTTCAGCCAGCTAGTCCACTACGAGCCGCCGCCGCCGTACTCAGCCTCGCCAGTCGCCTCCTCGCCAGCCTATCCCACGTCGCCCGAGATGATGGCCAAGGCGGAATCCGGCCAGCGCTACTTCGGCAGCAGCAGCAGCAGCAGCAGGGGCGACTACTTCTCGGCCGCCGCCAACTCGCACTACCCTACGGCCCCGAACTCGCCTGTCATGCCGTCTCCCCTGCACCAGCTGCAGTCGCCCATAGGCAGGAGCGGTGGCCAGCAGCCCCAGAGGGACCGCCCGAGGGACGAGCGAGTGACACGTGTCAACGTGTCCGATCTGGTTCACCACTGAGTGAGTGAGAGAGAGAGAGAGAGAGACAGCGCGAGGCCCCTTTTTTACAAAAGAGTTGCCAATCGCGGAACCATTAAACGACGAGCCCAGCAACCGGCGACCGGCAACCCGCCAAGCTACCGTTGTTCCGTGTCGGCAGCGGGCCGCACAGCGCCCGGCCCCGCCCCGCTCCGGTCAACTCAGCTCAGCTGGAACCGGCAGCGTGGGTATGAAGGGGAGCCACATATTCGCCGCTTCGCCAGCCAGACGCAGGAAACTGACTGGCTGGCGCAGTGGCGGGATATGTGGCTCCCCACACTTGCGTTACGTTACGTTACGTTACGTCAGGGGCCCCCCTACGAGACAACAGAGTGCTGTCTGGTCGTGTCAGCTAGCACACAGACTCTCTTGGAAGATAGAGAGAGAGAGAGATGACTATTGTCAAGACCCACCCTCCTTTTGACCGCAAGCCCTTCGCCTAAATTTACCTAGCGAGAGAGAGCGCGCTCTCGCAGGGTTATTATTATTAATTCCCCTTTTTTTCTTTTTGGTATGGCTTTGGGTGGCTTAGTTTTGATTATACCCCTTTACTTTTTATCTTTTTTTTGGAGTTATGGCTTGGATTGTTTTTGTTTTCTCGACACTCCTTCCCACTCTCTCTTCATCTGCATAGCGATTGCGAGGTTTTAAATCTTTCAGGTACATATTTTGTTATATATTTTCCGCCGTATACGGTTGGGTTGGGATGATTTGAGGATATGATGTTTGATGATATTTGGCAGGCGAGGCAGTCGTGGCAGTCATGGGAAGGGATTTCCCTTTTTCCCCATATTTTCTTCTCTCTCTCTCTCTCTGTACAAGCACTTCTTTCTTTTTTTTCCCTCTCATGACTGTCGGCGCTGGGCACATCTCTGCTACAATTACATGACGGAACGGCCTCCTAGTAAAATTACTTGGGCGGGGATTGTTAATACTTGTGAGTAGTTAGAAAGATACCAAACCTAGCGGATATAATTATGGTGGAAAAAGTGAATAATACAGCGGCAATATTTCTATCTACTCAGTTCTCTTTACTCTTGTGACTACATGCCTATGGACTCGACATGAAAAGGATGACCGGGTGGCAAATTCGGCCTCTGGAGTGACCGGAAGAGGGGGACCTCGCTGGCAGTTTAGTTGGGGCAAAAACAATAACCAAACACCACACACTCGTCCCTCACTCACTAATGGCTGGCTGTTGAACATGCCCCCAGCGGCAGCCGAACGGCCCTAGCCGCCACGTCATCGGGGGATCGTCGCAAGGGGGGAGGAGCAGGGGAGATGTGATGGGAGGAGAGCGAGCGAGAGCGAGAGCGAGAGGGGAAACACGGATGGGAAAAGACAGACCGAGGCGTCGCCAGGCGAGCAGGCCAGCCCAGGCGAGCGGCGCCTGCCTTGAGCACATCATCAGCCACCTGGAGAAAAAAGGGCCTGCCTGCCTGCTGCACCTCACTGCGCTGCACACTGCACACTGAACACTGCAAACTGCACCCTCTGCACGGGTCTGGAGCTTTGCGTGATTGCAGGAGTCGGTAGGTGGTGGTGCTGTTGCTGTTGCTGCTGTGCTGTGCCCCACCCCACCACGGGGACGGGGCCACGAGGAGGCCTTTCTACCTCGCCTTCCAGATACCTACAGCAAATCTCCTTTTTGTTTTTCTCTCTCTCTTTCTCGGTCTCTGCCTAGCAAACGCAACCACGAAGCGCACCCACGCGGCACGCCAACGGGCACGGCAAGGGTGGGCAGGGACGGGACGGGATGCTGTGTTCGTATGTGCTGTGCTGCGCTGTGCTGCGCTGTGCTGTGCTGTGCTGTGCTGTGCTGTGCTGTGCTGTGCTGTGCTGTGCTGTGCTGTGCTGTGCTGTGCTGTGCTGTGCTGTGTTGTGCTGTGCTGTGCTCTCGTGTTGTTGTTGACTTTGCCCCCCTGGCCACCTAGTCACCTTTCCTCCCGATGCCCAGGACAAGGAGATCTTCATGAGAGGCCCCGGGGCCCAATCTGGGCCATTAGTACCAATCCGGCGCGGTCGATGAAGCTCGCAACCCCCCGAGACTGCGAATCGATAGGCAGAAGGGCCGAGTGCCAGATGAGGACAATCTTGGGCCCTCTTGGCTGGGCGAGCAAGACTGGCATGACATGTGGATGAAACTAAGGTGCCCAAGTGGGTGCGTGCTAGCTAGCTGTTGGATTTTTAGTCCGTCCCCGCTAGTCAGGCGAGATCTCATTCCGCAACGGCCGACTCCAACGGCAGAGAAAAACGGCGGGAGTTGCCAGCATGGAAAGGTACGTACAGTATCCATTTAATCAAGGCTCCATTGCAAATGGCAAATGTGTGCGCACTGGAGTGGTGCGCCGATTGCCTTATCTAAAACATTAGGTATTTAGTTTTTGAGAGAACATTGATTCTTATACACGAGCGAACCCACCCACCCGCGCCTCACCGAGAAACTTTAACTAACCGCCTTCTCACCTTACCTTACCTGCCAACATTACTCGTATTTAAATGTGTTACTTTCTTCATGCATTCTCAGTAATCGCATTCGACAAAGTAACTGCGGAATATACGGAATGCAGGTGGAATAAGTGCGCAGTAGTAATGATCAACCGTATCCATGCTAATAACGACGCACATATCAGCTGCGCATGGGTGGGCTCTTGGGACAACCGTTGGGGCGCAGATCCGTCCTACATATACGGGATGGATTATACGTTACGTCGTGCCGAATGAACGATTCCTTTCCCCAGCTTTGCTGGAGAGTTGGGAGGGGAGGGGAGGGGAGAATGCAGGAGTCTGGCACGGCTTTCTGCAACAGGATAAGAACATGCTCGTGAGTCGCGGGAAAAGGGGGGCCGCGCAACTGCCTGCAGGTAGGCACTCTCCGCTTTGAAGCCACGAAGGGAAAGCGACCCGGGGGGCCACGTTCTTTCCCAATCTCGAGTTCCACTCCCCATCGTCCATCCCAAACTAGCGCTAGGATGAACAATAAAGCCCTTCTCCTCCTTCCCCGCCAAGCACACCAAGAAAAGGTCCGAGAAGAGGGCGAGTCGAGTCGAGTCGAGTCGAGTCGAGTCGAGTCGAGTCGAGTCGAGTCGAGTCGAGGTGCCAGATAAAAAGAGGCAAGAGCGGAGGGGCCCCGCTTCTCCATCTAGAACGTGCTTCAGCCTGTCCGTTCATGGAAGGTACTGTACACAGTTACACGGTTACACACACAAAAACGGCCTGCTGCACTCGGCAGCAAGGTGAGAGATTCACCGGACTAGTCCTGATCTAACGGTCAACGGGTGTGGAGCACGGCCCCAAAGCCCTTTTCGAATCGGGCAATCTGGTGGAGCAGGGGATGGATGGGATGAGAGAAAAGAGCTTGCAGCAAATCATCTCCCCCATCGGCCTTTCCTTCGCGATTCCGGATCCGACCACGGATAGCTCCCGATCGAGGCCTACCTGAAAGAAGAAATAATTCACCTAAAAAAAAAAAGGAAGGAGAAATGCTGACATCTTGAAGAATTGTTCTTGCTTACCCCGACAGTAATTACGGAGTTGTCGATAATTATATCACATTTGCGGGGACTTGCAACAAACGAACAGTGTGACAGACCATGAATGATCTTCAAGCTTGATATTAAGCACACAGGCAAACAAAATAAGGATGACCACGGCTAGAGCCCTTCCGTCTGCAACATCCATCGCCACCATCACTGTCACCGTCACCCAGCCATTGAGAGGGATATCTCCGCAACTGATGCACATATATCCCTACCGTGTGACGTTGGACGCGGAAGGGGCCATCACGGCAAGAGCCTTCCTCAGTCCTCCTCACAGGCTCATCGCAAGGAAGGTGGTGGCCGGGACAGGGGGCAGGGGGAGGATACCGTAAGTCGCATCTTGCATTTTCTCGTCGTTTCTTGTCTCATTCCGTAGGATCCGCTCTTTTCTGTGTTACTTGGACAGGCGCCAGAGCCGAACCGACGGATCAGCCATCGACTTCTCGGGACCCCGTCCGTGATTGATCGACGCTATGCCGCTTCGTTTCCCTCTCTCGGGCCCTTTGTCAAACCGTTTCGTCCGACCTAGACTCCATGCAATGCAACTCTGCCCCAGACTGTGACTTGGGCGCGCGCAACCGACCGCCGCCGACCGCTTTCTCACCAACTTTGGAGATTCCGGCTTGCTTGCCTGCCTGCCCGCCTGCTGGCTGGCTGCACGGACAATCAATCTAACGGACGGGTGCCCTGCGAGGAGCTAGAGTGTGAAGATCACTTCCCCGGTCCTCTTTCGTCAACGCTCCTTTGGCACGTGTGGCAGTTCGTGCGAGCGTGCGGCGCCGCATGCCCGCAAATGAACAAACACCGGGGCCGCAACACGGCACCGAACAGGCCATCCCCTCCCTCTAAACTCGTGTCCCTTTTACACTATTTGTGGCACAAGTTAACACTGATTGCGGCGCGCGCGGCCAGGCACAAGGGAATACGCAGTAAGAAGAGTTGATGATCCGAATCGCAACGAGCTTATCACACTAGCGTCAGGTAGTTAAACGAGGAGGTGTGCACCACTATTTAATAAAATCCCCGCTAGCAACCGCTTGCCCCCATATCACGCCGCTTGCCCTGTGATGGCGGCTGACGAACAGGGTCGACATGGGTCTCCGGGGACGACAGCAAGCCACTCGGGACCTGAGGTCGGCGACCTCAACCTGCCCGTAAGCACTTTACCTATCATATCGTCCGTGCGTCGCAGTGTAGATCCCGCGGGCAGGGTACGTACCTTTTCTGCTTTTTCTCTTGGTGTTTGTTTCTCCTTCTGTTGCTTCTGTTGAAGTTCCCCGTTCCCTCTTTCCCCAATTTATCTCGTCTAATTCTCCTTGGCGATGAGCGACGACAGGGGACATGGTCCCTCTCTTCTCGCAACCAAGATCGCGCTGAACACGGCAGTTTTCTCCTGTGCAAGCCCAACGCACACCGCATCATCGCCATTACATTCATCATCACCATCCTCTCCTATCCGAGGGGTCGGCGCAAGCAAGGCTCGATGGGGAAAAGGTGAACAGAATATATGCATCCTTCACCGAAAAAGGGCGAAAGACTACGGCTCCTCACCAACTCACCGCTTTCCCCCGTTCGGACAGCGCATTGCCAAATTTGCATCATCCTCCTCAGACAATGGGGATTGTAACTTCGTGACATTTTCTGTGGGCGGGACGGACAGAGCCCCGTGCCAATCGGGATCCCACAACCCCTCCGTTTTCCCTCCATCCGCGGCATAGCGAATGAGCGTGAGCTAGAAACCCGATTCAAGGGTTGTGGTGATCGTTTGAAACGGTAGAGTGGGGCTAAGATCCCCTCTGTCGATCAGTTTCCCGGGCATATAACGTCTTGGCGGTATAACGTTGTGATCAAGTCAGCAACTTGAAGAGAGACAGGGAGAACTCCCGGAGGCCAGGAACATGACGTCTATGGTCTGAACCCAACCAACCACTTCCTTCAATCTCGGTGCTTTAATAAAGCTCGGTGATGCTTCTAAGACAATGGACTATGAGACATGGGCCTAGGATTCACGATAACTGCCTTCTATCCAACAACCAACTCATGACTCCCATGGACCGGGGTTTTAAGTACCTGCCAACAGAGAAGCAGAAGACGAAAAAGGAAGTTTCCCAAGCGGCAAGCAATTCCGCGGTTGTGCCACCCTAACTCCAGCCGTGACCGTGACAGCGACTCTTGTCGGTGGGGGGGAGAAGAGAATAAGCCCGCAGACAAGGGAAGCTTGTCAGCCTTCAAGACAGAGAGGGACACCAAGGAATGAGACAGCCGATCGTGCTCCCCGATCTGGCCGCAAATATCCCCGGAGTTTTTTCTGTGCTCCCGTAACAGGAAACTAGAAAGTGAAACCGGTGCAACGGAGATACGCAAAAGAAAGATCGGCATTCACCGTGCTGCCAAGAACGAGTTCGGCCGTTGATGAGTCTCTTCACCCCCGGGCACCCACGGCCCCGCCGGAAAAGAAAAACGACTTTTCTCCTTTGGGACAGGATATTTGGAATAAGACCGGAGATCTCCACGGGACGGGGGGTGGGAGGGAACAGGGGTGCTGGCCAGGCTGGCCTGGCCCCTTGACAAGCTGGGGCAAAAGCTGGCTAGCTCGGCCGGCTCGAGGCCTTGCCGTGTGCAAGGCCGCACGCACCACCACCATCTCACCAGTACCAGGGCCCAGGCGGGGCCCCTGGTCTTGACCGTTGAAGGCCGATCAAAAAGGATGGAGGGAAGGAATCGACAGACATAGGCACGGAGGGTTTAATATGTAAGTTCCATTTCTGCGCCGCCGCTGCTGCCCGCCCGCCCGCAGCTGCCTGCCTCCTCCCGCCGTCGGCATATTCGGCCGTTTTATTTGCCATGTATCCGTATGCACAGTTCTCTGTAACTCTGTATTTTCGATCCTTGATAAGCAAGAGCCTTCAACAACCAAGAACGAAAACGTTGAGACAGGGAGGGCTGGGCAAATGAAGAAACGGGTTAGGTACAATACCTGTCTACCTACAGATACTAGACCGTTACTCATCCCAGGCTAAGATTCCACCAACCTACGGAGTACCTAGTCGCCCTTAGCTCCGAGCGGGCCGGCGGAGAGAGAGATTTTGATAAGTGATCATCCGCCTGAATTAGTACATACCTACCTAGTGGCCTTGCAAACTTGCGACTTCCCTGTAAAATGTGAAAAGAAATGTAAATATGAATGAATCCATGAATTGAGAGGCGCGAATATTCGTAATTAATGAGATTAATTACCTTACCTAACTAGCGCCCCGGTATTCGTACCAGCAAATAAAGGGGGGGAAACGGAGAGAGACAAAGTGAAGCACAGTCTCAAAGAAGTGTATTGCAAACATTTTGTAACATCTTCTCCCGTTTCTATAGACCTTGTTGACTCTTTTTTTTTTCGTTCAAGACAAAGTGCTTGTGTGTGTGTCTTGTGGTTTGTGGTTTGACCGTTGAAAGGCGAGTGACGCCGGTGACAAGGGGTTACCTTATTAGGGGGGGGGGCGTTTTCTTCAACGACCCTCACCATCCCCGCTCGAATTATCTAAATCCCATGTCTCGCGGTTATGCCACGTTGGAGAGGGGACCAGGTGTAAAAAAAAATGGAAAGAGAAGATAGAGAATAAAAAAAAAGAATAAAAAGGCAGAAACCCACCCGTCTTGCAGGAAAAGAAATTTTGTTGCGTTGCATCTTGCAGCACGATTGAGTTTTTTTGGGGAATGTGGTGGTGGGTGGCCGCGCTCCAAGGAGGTGTGTACCTGCAAGTCTCGCCGGCCAGAGGGAACATGTCGGTACTTCTGGTGGGCAAAGAAAGTGTACCTTGCAAGCGGTTAACAAAAAAAAGAGACCGCTTACCTAGCAGTACTTCTACACAGGAAGAAAGTCGTTGGGCTACAAGGTATCTCAAAGTGCCATCATACCACCACCACATCTCCTAACGATGCCAGCTTAACAGACCATAAAGCAACAGTCCAGGACGCCTGTTAGACTTTTATCATCCGCACGGGCCACTGATCTTTTGCGGTCTCTTTTATTTTGTCAACCGCTTGCCTGGCAAGAAATTCGGAGATGCGCTAGGAGCATGGCATGGGCTTAGGCCAGTGTTAGTTAATCAGTAGGAACTTTAGGGTTGATATGTGGAGCGCCCCCTTTTTCTTTCGCTCATAAGGGTTGGTTCAGTAGGAAAGTCAATACAGATAAGAGATAAGGGATAAAGGGGAGGCGGCTTAGTCAGAAGGGCGGCCGCGTTGGGATGACTTCATGTTGCTCGACAACCAGGGCGGCGAGACTTGTGTGGAAGAGAACGGTCGTGGTAGGTTGATGATGGGCTTTTTGTTTAAAAGGAAATTGACGAGATAAACCAAGATAGGGGCACCTACCTGCTCAGACCAATTCACGAATTAGTCCGGCAAGGTGACAGAATCCAAGTGAATGTATTCTATTTGTCGAGTGCCAAGTTCTCGAGGTGGAAGGGGGAGTGCAATAGGTACCCCGGGCTTGGCCACACTGACGGGGTCGGGCTATGTAATAATAAATCTAGATTATTTCAAAGAGAGAACGGCTTCGAGGCACAGCCGGCTGTGCCCGGAGGAGGGGGTGATCATTGATGGGAGGATGGCTGCTCTCCTTGGGCGAGGTCTGCATGAGCTGAGCCTCAGAAATGATACCTATTCTTTGAAGAAAGATTGATCCGTAGGCTGATAATCAATGAGCCGCCTCGCAAAAGATGAATTCGCCTTCGAGGGCCTTGTCCTTCTTCTTCGCAACAAGTACATCATGCACCTGCTTCAGAGTCAAAAACCCCGTATTTACCAGAATTCTCGTGTATTCCCCCCCATTGGTGTTTGAATTTGGAGGGGTGGGTTCTATATTAGCAAGTTGCCAACCCTTGTTCAATAATATATGCGACAACACGTCCTCGTTATCCAGGAGTTTCTTCTCGATCACCTTCTTGAGGTATTCGGGCGCCTGAAGCATTGTCGAAAAAGGCTTCCCGTCTGATTGCAGTAGCTCAAAGATCAAGACCAATTCTGGGTTGTGGTTTACACACCATACAAGGCGAGACACCCAAGTTTCTTCGTCCAACGTCTCTCCGTTTTTTTCAATGCGAGCGTTGGCGGTGGGGACCTTGAGGCGATGGGCAGACTTCAGCTTGAACTTGCCGTCCTTGTTGCCTGTGCTTGTGAAATATTCTGTGAAACCTGCCTCTACGGGGTGAAGCGGGACGCTGAGCCTAAGGACCTCGTACAATGACTGTACAGGACCCAACTGTTCAGTAATTATCACAAGGTAGATTGGGTAGGGCAGGGCCGGGCCAGGAGAAAAGGAAAAGGCATGGCAACATACAGTCCAATAAATGCACTCACTAAGAATGACTGATTCGCTCTTGCCCCTGCCCAGTTTATCAACCCATTTGAAGGTTATGTTGTACATGCCTCCTGCCTTGTCCAAGGCTTTGAGCTGATTATCATTTGGACGCATGATGGGGAAGTTTTGTTAGTAGGTATGTTATGAAAAGAGAACCTGATTGCTGAGGGATAAAGCGGCAAGCATATGAGCTGACGAGCAGTTGGTAGGACGGCTGTCCAGTCGCGCTTATTTATGACCAGCAGAGTAGGACAATGTGTAAGACCATATTTCCGATCCCTCGAACGGAGTGGTCTCATTGACTTAGGTACCTAGGCACCTAGGTAATCAAGGCACGTATCACTCGAAACAGGCCGGAGGATCGATTTGGCCATGCCCGAGGCACATACGCCGACACACGGCCCTATTCGGCAATGCAATCGAGCTCCCATTAGCTCCGCGGCGCGGCGCCGCGCCGCGCCGCAGCTGCAAACGGTGCCGCCTTGCCCTAGCCAGGGCCGAATACCGGGCCAACATGGCAACGCGTCCCGGAGTCCGAGAGACCGGGGTGGCTCGACCATGGATGCGGAATTTGCGGCAAAAAGGAAAACCCGCCAGTTGGTCGTCACGCCGCACACCTCCCTGACTCTGAAGAGTCCCAACACGACGGCTCGCTTTGCCTGTTGGCCTTCCATCGCGTTAAACATCCGAGTGGGAGCCATCCGGACCGGCGGCGACGGCACGGGGCCATGGGTCGGGGTGAGCGTGGGGGTTTGTTGGTCTATCTGAGGGGGTATATGCTTTGTCCCTTGATGCTGGGAGGTAGAGCCACTTGGTAAGCTCTTGCTTTCGTCCTGGATTGCTCCGGCGTGGCTCCTCGCCATCTCGACGGCTAAGGTATCCAGGCCTTTCAAAGGGACGGTTGGTTGTGTATTAGCGTGACAAGGACGGTAGATTGGGCCTTGTTCTACTGGCTGGGCGGAGCATTTACTCTTCCTGCTTCTGCTTGCTATTGGTGTCATGTACTGCTACTTGCTCTTTCTCGTTCGTTACTTTCGTCAATAACAATGCACATCCACAACAAACGCAGTCTTCGAGGTGCCAATCTATGCTTGAGCTTTTCTACCTTTTTTAATCCTCCGTTCTTTGGTCCTCCGAATCTTGGCATGAGAAGGACGTGCCAACAAGGAACTCTATTCCATGTTTCCATAACAGGGGTCTTGGGTTTAACAGAGCAAGCCAAAAAGCCAGGAGCGCAGTTAGCCATGGCTCTGCCTGCAAAGTTTCTCAACCGGCTACCGTTGCTTCAGGCACCGGCGACTGACCTTAGCCCTAATAGCTTTTGACTATCCAAAAGTTTGGATGACAGTGGCGAATGTATGTACATTGGTTGCAATGTCAAAGCTTGTCTGCAAGCCAATGCTGGCCCCGACCCGTTGCCAGCGGTTACCACTACAACCAGCAAACCATGGCCCGCCCCCCCCCCGTAGAAGAGAAGAATGGAGGATAAGAGTAGTGTCAGACAGCACGCCGGCGGTAAAGGGCGGTGGCTGAGACCGTTTGGCAATATTTTTAGTCTTGCTTCAAACCTCGAATTGGGGTATTGACTTTTGTTTCTTGCCGCAATTGAGCGGAGGCGAGATAGCAACTCCAATCCGAACAACAGTCGTCGACGAATCAAGCCCACTGCCTCGTTCTCCCACATTCGCCAAACAACCAGAGACCCAGCCAACCAGCTAGCTAGCCACGGCCGATGGTCTACACCACACATTTAAGGAGAGGACCCAAAAACCGAATGATACAACAACTATACGTCCAGCCGTCTAGACCCCTTTGAAGCTAAGAAGGAATTTACCTGACTTGGTCTGGCAGTCTTCTATTATAGGCGAGAGAAGCGAGTGCAAGTCCTTGGAGCAAAGGCAGGCTGAACGAGGCGACGTCAAAAGCATGCGACGTCACAACAGACGTGCCTCAACCCAGAATCTGATGCATAAGCCTCGCCCACGCGAACACAGCGAACACTTTTATTTAACCTTAGTTTGACCTCGCGTGGGGAGCCAAGCCATCCGGAACCCCATCAACAAACAAACCTCTTTTCCCACGCCGCACCCCACACACACATACAACAGCACGCGAGACGAATAAACAAACAAACGGCAGGCCGAATTGGAATTTCCAAAATTCCAAACTCAAAACCCCCAAAAATCCAATTCCACCGACGCACCGGCTAGATGCAAGACATGGTAGCTGCAACTCGGATATCTACAACTAAAGTAGCTTAGCTACCAGCCACAACATAGATGAGAAAGAAAGGGGTGTCCATATCCAAAAACCGCCACGCCCAACGGCCAGACAAACGGCGAGGCCATTCAGACAGATATGGAGATGGAGATTACGCGGCCGAGATACGTCACCGTCTATCTATGAAGTGAAAAAAAAAGCCCCCCCTTCTCCTTTGACTTTCTCTTTTTCTTCTTCTCTGTTCTCTCTTTTTCTTTCTTTATTTTTTTCTTTTTTAATTTTCCCCGTGGAAATATGTTCTCTGTTACCACTGAAGAGCGAAGAGCAACCATTGTGTGCGCACGAGAAATCACGTTAGATATAAACTTTCATGCTGTTTTTCTACACAAGTTTTTCTTTTCTCGTTTTTCTCTCTCTTTTCCATTCACGTCATAGATTTCCCAACGGCCACCACTCTGCGGCTCATCGCAATGGACAGGTCGGAAGGTTACACAAACTAGAATTAGTTATTCATGACGTTCAGCTATTGTCCCTCCCGAACCGTGAATGGCCCTGTCCTCGCCAAACAAGTTGGAATAGTTGTAACGCTTCTCCAGCGCACGCCTTTTACCGGGGCAACGTTAGTGATGGCACTGAGCATGGTGGATTCGGAAAAGGGCCGACTGGCGCGCTATAAGACAGTTGTAAAGAAACGGCCAAAATCGACAAAGCACCAGAGCCTCATTCTGTTCTTTTTAGTTGTGTGTATTGCAATGGGTATAAGTGACATCTATTCTGTGGTTTAACACCAGAAGTTTGGTCCTCAGGAGAGCCTAACAACAAGCAAACCAACCATCCCATTGCATTCACACGGCTGAAAACGCTCGACAACAGGAGCTAAAGGTCCAGCGTCATGTGGACGTAGAGGCCGCGCCATAAAACCCTTTTCTCTCAGCCTAGTCTCTCGGCACTTATGGTGTGAGAGAAAGCACTCCCGAGAAACTCCGCTCCACTACCTAAGCCTTGCGTCCTGGAAAGTTCTGGGCCCTGATAAGTTCACACACCCTACCAGGCTGGAACCAAGGGGACGAGACGCCAACAGATTCCCGGCGATTAGCCTCGAAAAATGCATCATTTCTCTCCCGGCGGGCCTGACCGAGCTGGCTTGAGCTTATTCGCTCGATCATGGGGCCGGTTAGCCAAAGCCCGAGCAGCCGCAATTCTGGCCGCATCAGTTGCTGTCTCTGATGCTCCTTGAATTCCTGACACGTTCCAGCTAGGAGACACGCTGATTGGCGTTGATCGACCCGTGGCTAGCGTCAAAGATTGTGTCGACACACTTCTCGGCCCTAGAAAAGGTTTTGCAACCACCTGATCAACATCGGTTTGGGTTGTTGCACCCAAAGCTAACTCAGTACCGCCACCCGTACCACCAAAAAGTACCAAAAACTTCGGCTCATACTCTCTCGTGTCCAAAATGACTCTGGGACTCGACAGCACAGGCGTATATGTACCGGGAACGGTACCATTTGCCTTGGTCCGGTCTTTGGTTCTGTTGGCCAGCTGGGTAGAGTTTCTTCTAGCAGGCCCTGGAGACTCCGTTGGAGCGGTGGCCGCGTGATCAGAAGAGGTTGAGCCTTTGTTCTTCTCAACCTCAACGGCTCCGGTCGGGCTAAGCGAGTCTCCGGAGGCTTTGGGCATGGGACCATTCCCAACCCAAACCACAGAATCCGCCGAGGTCGATGGCGTGAGATGATTGAAGCCGAAATCGAGACTAGAGACAGTTGTTGGTGCCGGGCTCGAGGGTGACTTCGGCCATACAGAAGCCCTTGGATAGAGACGGCCGACAAGGTCCTCAGATCCGCCGGGGCGTAACTCAAACGCCTGTGAGGCCAAGAAATGTCGGTCCGCGGTTGTACTCGCCAGAGTTGGGTGCCAATCGGCTTCTGGGCCGTTTGCAACTGACTGTAGCGACAACGTCTCATCAACGCCCTTTTCAAACGAATAGCCACGGCTCCGCTGCGGTCGAGAGATTGGACCCCGATTAGTTCCACTCCCAATGGCGCCACAATAGTTCATGCTTTGGGTGCCCTCAGTGGCGTGATCATCATCACTCAACACAAGAGCCTCGTCTCTGTACTTTGCTTGTCGATTAAGGCTCATGCCTCCATATTTGCCGCCATCCCCCTGGCCTGAACTCGGCTGCGGCATATGATCAGGAAGCGAGTCATTGTCTGAAGCTACCTGGGGAGCATTATCGCTGTCCCGATAGTGTGTTGGAATAAAAGACTCCGAACTCGTCCTCGAGCTTCCGGAGGAGATTGGCTCAACACTTCCTGGAGAAGTTTCCCGATCATTTGCATCCAGATGAGACTGCATGAGCTGGTTTTGGACTAGATTTGCAGTACCGGCATAATGGTGTGTCTGCGAACCTCTCTGGCCAGGTGACATTTGATCGAGTGTCTGTCTCAGATTTTGCCTACGTTTGGCTTTTGACCTCTGATGCTGAGGCGCTCTGGAGTTTCCGACAGGATCCGCACCAGTCATCAGTTTCTGATGTCGCTGCTGATCTTTCTCTCGCGCCTTGACAAAACAACTCATGAATATATCGTTGTCTTCGTTCAAGATTCGCGGGATGTCTCCTGTAGACGGGCTGTAAGCATCTCAGCCAATGAACCATAATCCGGGAGTTCATGATAGGTACCTATCCTTGTGTAGCAGGTGACTGCCTCCAAAGGACCCGCCGGTCTAGGCTTTTCCATATTTTCGTCGTCCGAGTCTTTGACGCGCACATCAGCGTTGCTCGTCTTGAGGGTATAAAGGGCCAGTTTACCGTGCTCCTGCGAAATGCTCATTCTCTTCAGCCGGGCCTGAAAACGCTTCGATTCTGACCGGTCCACCACACTCTCCTGTCGCGCCAAAGCGACGGATAAGACGCCATCTTTGCTCTCCTTGGCCAGCGTCAGTTCGAGGCGTTTTATTTCTGCCTTGTACTCTCCCTCGCGGCGCATCCAATCTTCGCTTATGCTGCGGAACTGCTCCAACTCCTTCTTGCGCAGGTCCTTGAGCTCGTCAAGATCGCTCTGCGCATTACGGAGCTGTCGTGTGGTCTGAGCAAAGCCCTCCAGCAAAGCAAGGACATACGAATTGTACCTTTCAAAATGATGTTAGGATCATAGAGAACGGAGCTTAGAGTTGCCATGGCATCATCGTCACAGGGGGCAATCGTGGCGGATTTTCTAAGATTTAGGAGGAGACTCGTCATTGCAAACTCCGATTTCCTCTCCTGCTGATTAGACATGACATGGAGGCTACAGCTGTCTTGAAAGCCAAGTGTATATACATAACAAATATAGGAAAGCGCGCCTCGACTTACATGATCGGGATTGGCGCTAACGAATCTCTCTTGCTCATCATGGCAGCCTGGAGGGTTTCCACCATCTGCATGATGTTGGGGTTGTGCCAAGTGTCTTCGTGGTGTGCGTCTTCCCCGTGGTCGCCGAGAGCATTTCTAACTCCCCGGTCACCACCACTGCCGCCAGTATTACCAGCAGCGACCAGAGGCGGCGAGGGAGTCGTCGTCATGCGAAGGAGGTTGTGATGGGACGAGCTACTGCCGCCTCCTCCGCCGATGCTGAGATTCAACAGGCTAGAGACGCGGTGGATCGAGGGACGAGCCAGGCGTCGCCGGGTAGGAGACAGCAGGTGCGGCTGCTGCTTCTCCTGGTCGGCGGCATCGCGATCGTCAATCGCGGTCGTGGAGATGGCCGAGCCGGCGCTGGCACTGGAGGGAGCAGTGGTAGGCGCGGATCCGCGGGAGCGCTGGAAGCCGCGAAACCAGCTAGTCTCTGCTGCCATGGTGGCGGCGATGCCAGCCTTTTCTTTTTTCTCAAAACGATAGTAGAAAAGAAGATGACTGGCTAGCGATCATGTGTTGGAGGAGGGGAGGTGATGAGATTGGTGACACTCGGGGAAATGGGGTTTGGTGTTGCGACAGGCATATGACAGTGAAGAGGCAGAGAAAGGCAGGTGTTCGCAGGGCAGACCGAGGACGTAGCAAACAAACAGCAAACGAAAGAGGAATTAAATGAAAGCGCTCCCAAAAGAACAGGCATCGGGGTTTCATCAATCAAGAACGCAGCAAGCTGGTTTGTAATAAAATGGGTGACCGAGCGGCATCGAAAACCTCAAGTATTCGTCGGGTAATGATTAGGTAGGGAGGAAAAAGGGGGGGGGGGAGATGGGATGGCAGCGGAGGCGCCCTGTGACGGTTTCCCTCGAGGTATTTATGACCACCTCCTCTGCTGTCTTTGTGTAAAGGAGGCAATGGAATAAGTACAAACCGTATGGGTGTCATGGGGAGGAAGGTGCAACGCACTGCGGCATCACAGGAACCTTAAAAAAGAGACCCGTGGACGCCCCTTTTCAAACCCACCTCCCCGCCAAATTTCCCACCAAGGCCTCCTCTTCCACCAAATTCGGCCACTATAAACACGTGTCCAGGCCGTAAACCTGAGGGACAGCACGCCGCTACCTGCCAAAAGGAATGTCGTCGAGGGAAACAAGAAACAAACAACCCGTAGTAGAGAAGAGATGAATGCATTTTGGTATCTAATCTAGCTATTGATTTTAAGCCACTTCCGCGCGGGAAGCAATGAAGCAGCGCGTCGGAACGGCTCAATCAAACCCCACAACTTCTATCCCGGCTAGTTCCTCTCTCACTACTAAACACGATGTGCGTGGTTAGGAAACTGGGCCGTTTCCCGAGAAGGATGGACTACCGGTGCGGTGCGAGGACGTGGCGAGAGAATGCTTTGGTGAGAGCGAGCTGGGCTAGCTCCTCTGACTTTACAGAGTTAGAACATCAACATGACATTGCTCTAAGATCGCGCGCAAAGGGAAAGACTTCACCCATACCTGAGTAGCCCACCCGGGTTACTTTTCCTCCTATTTACTGGCTAGCCACCTTTTACCCCAAACATGTCTCCCCTCGTTTCCCGTCTTGGGGGGGGGGGGCTCGTTTCGTCTGTTCCGACGATGGTAGCGATGAATGTGTCGCGTTCGAAGGCTCCGACCAAAAACCTCCAGTTAGCAAACCGGTGTGTTCTCCTGAAGTGTCGCCGAGCGTTCGTCCAATAGGTGAAGTCCGGTTTCCGGCAATTAGTAAAACGAATCTTCTGCCTTCTGTCTCCTTCGACCCCTACCCTCCAGTTTCTCTGCGAACAACTCCTTTCCTGCATTGCCAGCTGCGGGGCCGAATTTGTCAGGAAATAGCTCCTTGACCGTGGTGCCGGTGCCCTTGATGGCAAAACCTTGGTCGTTTCCGCGTTTGTTCGCTAAGCCGCGGATGTTGAATCCGCCAATGCCGCCGCCGCTGCTGCTGGCGGGAAGACCTGCTGCCGCTGGTGGTCGGGGGGTGATTCGATCTGCTAGTTTCGCTAGGTTGGTGTTAATACATGGTTTGACATACAGTTGTTCGACGCGGCGAATAAATAGAATTAAAGCACGGGGGGAAGAGAGTAGCGCCGAGAGGCTGCCGCGGCTTCTGCATTTGACTGCGAGACCGGAACATTGCTGACGCTGGTCGAGCTGCTGTCGGAAATAGGAAGGGCGAACATACCGCTTGCCAGAACCGTACTGTCATCCACCTGATCCATCTGCGCTTTACCGATGCTCGAAGCCGACGCGAGCTTTGTGGGGAAAAGCTCCTTCACGGCGTTCGCCTTTGTAGGGAAGAGCTCCTTGACGCTGTTGTCGCGGGTACTGGTGTCCCTGGTCTGGCGCTCTCTGATTGCCCGGCCCTTCTCGCGGCTGCGCAATTCGGCACTCGTGCGGGCTTCGTCGTCGAGGTCCATCCGAGCGTCGCCGTCACGATCTCGTACAGGGGATGCTGAGCGGTCGCGGTCGCGGCCCGAGCCAAAGCCGCCGTTTGCAGAGATGCGCCGATCTGGAAAGAGCTCCTTTTCTCGGTTGCGGCGCGCGGCCGATCTCAGGCGGTCAGACTCTGAAGACACTGTAGATACTGAGCGACGATGCCGAGATGTTGGCCGTCCTCTAACGCTTGCACGCTTGGCCAGGGCCACGGGATCGTCATCGTAGAGGCTGACGTCGAATGTCTCGACCTCGTCGTCCTCGTAGCGGGAATCTCTTCGCCTTCCTCCACCGCGTCTGTCGTTCCTTCCTCTGCCGTTGTAGCGGTCGTCTCGGTCGCGATACTTGCCGCGGCGGCGTCGCTCCTCTGGATCGTACTCTGGGTGGAGTAGGTAGAAGCGGCTGCGCTGTGCGGCACCCACCACCTTTTTGTCGCTGACCACGGCGAAACGGACTAGCAGGACCGAGTCGGGCTTGGCTGCAAAGTCTTTGGCGCGAATCGACTCGAGGGGCGGAAGTTGAGTTGGGTCGGCAATTGGCACAGCGGCAAGTGCGACGAGCGCCTCCTGGGCGGCAGCCTCGGACCTGAAAATGAGGTTTGCGGAGCTGTCGTCAATCCACTCGATGCGGTCAAACTGGCCGCCGTCGTTGTGCTGAGAAACATAGGCCTTCACCTCGTCAGGATTGAATGTGTCGAGTCCGGCTACATGCACCTTGTAGGGAACAACGGCTTTTTCCTGCTCCTCTAGGTCGTGGTCGTTGATGGGCTCGTCCACCTCGCCGGGTTCCTACATGAAGGTGCCAGTCGAGTTAGCAGGCTAAATCGCGGGAACGAGGCAGAAGAATAGCGATCATCCGAACGAACCTGTTCTTCCCCGGTGATTATGTCATGGGTATATGCCTCGGGCACAATTGGCGCGTCCTGATAGGAATCGATGTCCATCTCCATCTCGATGTCGAGATCCATGGCTGAAGGCTGGGGGTGACGTTCTTGCCGACTGGCGATGAGGAAGCAAAGCGTGTAATGGGCGAGGCGGCGCGTACGAGTACTAGTCAAGGCTCAAAACGCCGGCCGACTAGAGGGGTAAGCCCTCTTGTTACGGACTTTGTTCAAGGTACTTAACGCACCACCATAATTACTAGCTAAATTAAGTACTCCTGCTTTTATAAATAAACCACATGCCTTCAACTACATAGTACGACACACAACGTGCCAACAACCCAGAAAGTCGTTCGAGCAACCAACAAGTGAAGCCAACCCTATGCAAGTGCGTGCACTGCATCATCCATCCTCCACGCTGAGAGCAAACGGACAAAAGTAATTCCCAGAGAGCAAATTAATTGGCTGCCCTTGGCTGCCCTCTCCTCCTTTCGGCGAGTCCCAAGATCCTCCCAGACGTCCAAGCGTCACAGGTCTGGCTCGTGTCACCTCGGGGAAAAGAAAAGAACTACCTGACATATCCATGTCTCACCACCTAATTGGCTGTTGGCGGGCTTCTTTTGCCATTCCATCCGGCCTGCGGTCTCAGTGAAACGGGTTTATTGCTTTCTTCTGCCGCACACTAAAACTCTGGTCCAGAGCCCCCTCTCGCATCCTTTCTCCTCCTGGCCTTGCTTCTCCTTTCCATCTTTTGAGCATCCTTCTTTTGCTCCTTTAGAGGTCCATCATCTTTTGGCGCTTTTCGACTCCATTATCGATTTTCGTAGCCGGATCCGAATGTCCTCTTGCCTTGCTTTCGCACCTCTTCACACCCCAAGCCCCTCCAAGGCGGTCAGTCGAACGGGCACGCGAGCAGCTAGGCGTATGGTAGCAACGAGGGGGGAAATATTTCTATATTGACCGTCTCTCGCAGGAGCGTCCGATAGACCACGATCTTCAAGAAAAATCTTTGCTTCTAGTCTCCAAAACCCGCAATGGGGCCGCAGCATGACACGGCATGATGCAGGATGCCGATTTTATCCTCCTTATTGAGGCTAGCTTCCTCTGCCTCCGACTCCTAGGACTTCCAACTAAGCTCTAGCTCGTGCGTCCCACCCACTCGTTCCTTCATCCAGCCCAGCCAACCAGCCAACCGTCGCCAAAGAAAATGCAGTAGTGTCGACACTGGGCAAAAATAACAAAAAGAGAAGAAATAAAAAGGCTGAAGTAAAAATGGGTAATTCACAGAGATATCCAATAGGATACTGCAACGAGGTTCCCGGATATCGCGCTAATATCGATGTTACGTCCCGTCTTCGTCCAACGCCCGCTACCTTCCAGGTCTATAACAATATCCGCCGCTATGTTCACAGTTTATCATTGGTTCGTTCATATTATCCTCAAATCCGGGCTGTTCGTGGAGGGTGTGTGTGTGTGTGTGTGTGTATGTCTTCGTCAACGTCATCATAATAGTAGGTAGGTGATTTGTCCACGCTGGCTCACGCAGTCTCCACTCGTCTCCTTATTTCCACGAGGGGATTAGGAGCGACGGCCACGGGAGGGCGCGTCCGCTTCACACGAGATTCCTCGTTATCCCCAGTGGGGGGGGAGCTGGCTGCTCCGAAACTGCTGGACCGGGACATCTCTGTCAGTGGCCGTTTTAGTGACTGCTGCAGCGGCGGTAAGATGGTCGTGATGTCTCCGGCGGCAGGACGATCAATATCATCGATCGCCATGTTGTTAGTAAATGGATCAGTATCCAGCAGCGAGTCGTAGGCCCAGGCATCCTCGAGGCCTTCGACAAAGACGGGCGAGTGCCTCAGCGTGTGCCAAGAGATGGTATGCTCTCGCATCGCAATGTACAGAGAGTCGATAACACCGCCGCCGTCGCACACGGCACAGTGGTCGACCAAGAACTTGTGATCATACGGCGCCTCCACCATGTGGGGTTCGAGCTGGCGCAGCATGGGGAGACCCTGGAGCGTCTCGGCGTCGCAGAGCTTGGCCTGTAGAGGCATCCACTTGCGGCCCTTCAGAAAGCTGCCGAAGTCCCTCTCCACGGCCGTGGTGAACGAGACCGCGTCGTAGCCATGGACCGGAACCATCCTGTGAAGGCCCCGAGAGAGACACCGCTGGTAGGCGTTGGTGTTCCTCTCGAAGGGCATTGCCACAGAGGCATGGGGAAGAAGGGAGATGTGGACGGTCCAAGCGCCCGTGGACCGGGCAGACGCGGGGAGCGGTTTCGGCACCTGCTGGAACGGAATGTCGCCGCGCCTGGAGCCGCCGCCGTGCCATCGCCCGCAAGTGCGTGTCTCGGGCGATTGTTGGGGGCGAAGATCGTTGTCGGAAGGGGCGCCCCCTACCCCTAAAGGGCCTAAAGGGCCCAAAGGGAGGTTTGGGCGAACAGTCGTGTCAGATGTTGACCTCCTCCGCAGGCGCCGCTGGTTAGGCCTCGACAGGGCTATCTCTTGGTCCTCGAGAAAAGTTTCGGTTAGGTTTTCGATCCGCTCCTCGAGACTGATGTCGGCATCCCGGAGCTCGAGCTGCCCAGCGTGCAGCATATCAAGGCGCTCGTCGTGTGCCCCGAGCTTGTCGTAAATTTGACGAAGTTGCTCATCCTGCTCATAGTTCTTGCGCTCCCCTTGCTCAATCGAGCGCCAACTGATGCTGACATTCCGGTAGGTTCCCTTGATTTGGTCCCCGAATTCCTCCCTGCTCTTTTCCAAGTGGTCTTCCACCTCGTTCAGCCGCGTGACGACGCTGTCGAGCACATCCTCGTGTCCTTTAGAAATGTGTTCCTCTAGCTGCTGTATCCGTTTCCGCAGGAGCTCCAGTTCATGTTTCTGTTCATTGGATGGCTCTACCTCCTTGGTGTGGTAGCACGCCAGGTGACCACAATCGCACGTGGCGCTCGGGATGCCTCTGTTGAGGGAGAAGCCAACACAGGCACACCGCTGGCCCTTGATTTCGGGCAACAGCAAAATGTACCGGCAATGCCCCTTGGGCATCCTAGACTCGTCCACCTGGCCGTTCACCGCCACCTGAAGCGGCGACGGAGACGACTGTGCCGACTTGTCCGACATGATAGATGACTCGTGGGAAGGCGGCAACCGGACAAGGACGTCTGCAGCCCACGACACACGCGCACACGCGCGCACACAGAAGAGTTGATCGACGGGGGTTCAAGGTTTGGTGGAGAGCGAGATCAACGACCAACGACAGCCGTGTTTTACTGTAGCTCAGGCATGGCAGTGACGAGATATACTGGAGTGCCGGAGGGAGAGATGTCCATGTGGAAGCGGCTTGGCAAGAGAGGTTGATGGACGGACTCGGAAGTCAAGAGACCATCAACGAAGGAGATGCCGAAGGTGGGAGCGCCGGGGCCTTTTGTGTGGATGTGGACGTCAACCAAGAGGGAGGGAGGGGTGGGTTGGGTTGCCCTGGTGGGACCGGGAAGGGGGTGGGCGGCTCTGTCCAGGGAGGGACTAACTACCCGCGCAGGCCGTATTTAAGGTACATCAAAGGGATCGCTGGGAAATGCAGGCGGTATCGAGTTGATGAGGCGCTTGTGGGCCGGCTTCTAGACGCCAGCATTTGCGAGGACCAAAGCAAGGCAGCAGCAGGAGCAGGAAGAGAGGATTATCAGGGACCAGAGATAAAAGGCAGGTTTCCGGCAAGGTTGCCCTGGGGGCTTTCTCGGTGAAATTCTGGCGCAGCCCCAAATGCGGCGGTGGATCTGATACCGGATACGGTGCCGCCTGATAGACAGGCAAGGTTTCGAAGCGTGCAGAATCAGTATCGCAACGTCATTTGATACGCCGAGCGAGGGTTGCGAGGTTGCAACTTGGCGGGCGAGCAGCACCGTTTGCTTCCCGTCGTGGCGCAGATAAGTAGGGCAAGGAAGGTAAGGTAGTTAAAGGTATCCCGACCCTAGGTTCTGACGTCTGACCGACCGACTGGGGGGAGTCGGCCTGTTCGTTGGTCCAGTGCGAGGGTCCCGATAGCGGGCGAGCCAGTCAGTGCCGCATGGCACGGCGGGAATGTAGCGTCGTCTCTTCCGAAAGGAAGATAGGTGGAAGGTAAGGTAGGTACGGATAGTGGAGGAGAGAGACGAGATACGGACTATCCGTAGATAGGCAAGATACAGGGTGCGAATCGGGCCCAGCCAAGGGGTCGCGGCGCAGGGCAGCAAAGAGCCGCTGACGGAGTAGCCAATGTACAGTACATGCAGTCAGGACGCGCAGAGGAAGATGGACAGTCTGCGATGTTTGCGTCTGTCGCGTGTTTGGGGTTGGGTATGTATGCGATCGAGGAGGACGGAGAATGGGACGAGAGCGCAACGGCCTGAACGAACTGAGATGGACGCAGCAACAGAGATAGCGACCGACCGACCGACCGACTGACCGATGCTGGGCGGGCAGTGGAGGATTGAGCGAGATAAATTGCACCATGGCTGGCCTGCTACAGGCAATCCGCCGGCACACTCCCGCGGCGGGCAGTCATGTACATAATTGCAGTCTAAACTGGGCTAGGCGGGATGGGGGCGTAGGGTAGGCGAGGTCGAGAGTACAGCTCCTGGGATGCTGATAGGCGCGTCATGCCGTTGCTGCCATTAGCAAGGTACCAGCGACGCCACCTGTCCGATCGCATCGTCCAATGTTTCTGCCTATGCTGAAAACCGACTTTATCGGCAATTGCGATGTAGTGTGAACTGGAACTGGAACTGGAAGCTTCAGATGACGCTTCCCCCTGTCTGCCGCCTACATAGTAGGTGGTCGTGGCTTGGACTATTGCCCTAGGCTTGGCTGGAGCGATCGACCATGTTTCTTCTTCGAGCACGCACCTCAGTCCCGGGCCGGACAAGCGTTCGCCAGACTCGCCCCGCAGGCACGAACACATGAACACACGAACACACGCAAGAACGCACGTCAAGAAGGCTTTCAGGCCACCAAGGAAACCATTAACAGCCAGTCATGACGGCTGCGCGCCGTCGCGCCACCCGCCAATGTAGACACAGGTGTCCAGCGAGTTACAAATACCTTGCAACTTACCTGGGAACTCTTGATCCGCGGTAGGTAGTGCTTGCTGCGGTGTGGTGTGCCGAATATCGCTGCTATGTAATACATTATGGAGCAGGTGCGCGCATTGAGAGAGAGCTCTTGCAAGCGCGGGGGACGTGGAGATGTTGCGGGAAGATGGGCAGGAGTGGGTACCTACCCGGGTAGGTTTAGTCTGATGAACCTCAAGGCACAACGCGGGTGTTGGCAGCGGCGGCGGCGACGACAGTGGAGACGTGGAAAGATTGGAAGGGGACGGACGGCTGTTCGCTTTTCCTTTTAGGTGGCCCAGAGCCAGAGCCAGAGCCAGAGCCAGAGCCAGAGCCAGAGCCAGAGCCAAAGCCAGAGCCAGAGCCAGAGCCAGAGCAAGAGCAAGAGAAGCATGAGCCAGAGCCACCTCCACGGGCTGCTCCTTCCCCCAAAGCCCCTCCACTCCCGCATAGAAATATGGCCCTTGGCCCCTTCCACTCTTCCAGGTTGCTCCACACGCCCCAAATCGGGCCAACTGGGTCTTCTGCCCGTTTGACTTGCCAAACAAGGCCTCGCAGCCCTTTCCGCCTGGTCCGTGCTGGCCAGGGGGGTTTGCCAGTGTTGGCGAACGGGAGGCCGTGAATCTGCGACGTTATCAGCAAAAGTGACACGGGGCGACGGTCGGACGGGCCTTTTCGACAGGGTGCCAAGGGTGGGACGCAGCCCCGGCCACACGAACCGCCACATGGGCAACTTGTCCCCCACACGGATGGTTTTAATATGGACAGCGTGCTGTGGGGGTCCAAGATAAGCGTTTGTGCAGCCTGAGGCGCCGAGACCAGCAGGGAGTGGAGCCCAGGCGGCAGGCGGCCGAGCCGTGAATCTGAAATCTGAATCCATCGTCAACCACCGGCCTGGGCTCTAGAAAGCAGAAACCCACACGCGATTGCTTGGCGGCCCGCAATTGCGCTGCTGCGCGGCCATGCACTCTGCAAACGCAAACTGCATCCTCCCCGCCAGCGCACTCCGCTCTCCCAGCCGGGCACCAGCAAACCTGCCTGCCGATGGAATGGAAGGTGGCCGCTATGCAAATTTATCACTACCAAATGCTAGTGCGAATACCTACCTCACCTACCTCAATATTAATAGGCAGCGCAAACCGCGGCAGCAATCACCGCCTTACCTAGCTACGGCAGCTACGGCAGTCAACGCCGGGTGATTCGAGGCTAGTCCCAGGTTCCGTGAGGCTCCATGTCAGGGAACGCTCCCCATTCGGCCGCCGATTGCAAGATAGCCAAAGTACCGCCCGTCCATGCGGATAGCCTACGAATGTTCAGGAAGACAGGATGGAACAAACGCACAAACCACCTATCCACTCTCTCTACCTTACCGCCGTTTAAGTTCATGGAAGTCCACACAACAGGTCACAGAGAGTGCGCGGTGCGCAGCGCAATGCAGTATGACAGCCAAGGTACGTAGGGCAGTTCAGTTCAATGAACAATCAGCATGAAGCAGATTTTTAGGCCAAGCCCGAGCGCCAGCCCGCCCGCTTTGCTGCCTGCCTGCCTGCCCGCCTCGACTTACCTTATCTTGCAGCGACTCCGTTCCACGTTCCACATTCACGTTCCACGTCCCAGCCAGTCTAGTCTGTCTATCCGCCCGGCCTGTCCCTTATGGGGCGCCGGTCCGGATCACGGAAACCGTGTCCTTCTCGAACCCTTGCCCCCCTGGACAATCTTGGCTGCCGTCTGGCCGCCCCCCCTTACGCAGACAGGAGTGAAGCGTACGGAAGGATGGATGTACATACGTAACACCGTTTTCGCTGCTTGTGTGTCTCGCTGTCTGTGAAATCTCAGCCAGCCTCTGATTGTTCGCATCTGATTTGCAACAATGTGGCACCCGGCAGCACCCAGCTCCCCCCACCGGCTTCCCATGTCGTTTTGATATGCCGGCAGGTGTGCGGCGCAGCATTCCGACATGCTCGGGGAGTTGTGAGACCAAGTGTGCAAGGAGTGAGAGGTGCGTACATAGCTCCCTATCGATCGCCGAGCGCCCCCTCGGCTTGAGATCGACGGGGCGTTTCGATCTGTTGGACAGCTCGGGACATTTTGTTCATGACCCCCTCCCTCCTCGACGACAACTCGGGCTTCTGGTGTCGGACACTTATCTATCAAGGCTTGCACAGCCATGCAGGTGCAACAGGTGCGAGTAGTATCAGCCCCTCTGGACGCCCAGAGAGCGCCGCTCACCGCTCCCTTGCTGCAATGGATGCTGCTGCCCGGATGACGGGTCGGCCCCATATGATAAGCAGACATGGCCCAACGAACGAGACCCAACGACGGCGGGACGGACCATGGCGGCACGGACGGGTCTCACAGCAGCGCGCGCATCGCGCTCTCTCCCTGGCGGGTACCCAGACTTGGCATGGGCGATGCAGCGAGAGATGCTCAGTAGAACGTCGTCAGTCGTCCAGCGGCCTGGTAACCAAGATACGGATTGTTCCGTGACACGCCATCAAGACAAAAAAAGTCAGCCATTTCGGGTACCTGCTGCCTCGTCGTGATACCCCCACATGGGTGGATAGGGTAGCTGCAAGGCGATCCTGACAGAGTTTTACCACCTGGCGGAACGTCCGAGCTTATATCGCGATAGTGCCGCGAGATGGTGTCACTGAGGAGAGCTGACCTGAAATGGCCCAACTCGGTGTCGATTATTACCCAACTCATTGCAGGCGGAGTCCCGCTTGTCGGTTGGCTCGGCCCAAGTGCTCCTCACGGTTGGGCCAGCTTGGAGGCAAGACGATAAAAATACGCAGTCTCGGATTCCAGCCTTGTCCTTGCTCCTCGTAGGCCGTTGCTGGCGGATTACGTGCTGATGCGCCCATCGTGGTCAACAAGCTTCCAGATCATTGCCAAGAGTCATCGCCGATTGCATCTTTATCTGGTTGCCGTTAGAAGAGTCTCTGGTTCGGAGTTGCTGCTGCTGCGACACGGCACAGAAAGCCTTGCTTGTAATCCCGGATGATACCCACATCATGCTATGGCCCGGCCTCAAGCGAACATGTCCTGCTGCTATAGATTAAAAATGGCCTTCCTCTGGGCCTTCTGTACAACACAATACATGGCGGGCGATGCGGACGTGGGTTTCACTCGGCGGCGAGCCGCAGTTCCAGACCCATGGCGGACCGCTCTGCTCTAGTCGAGAGAGACGCTCAAAAGGGATGGGCTGGCTGCCGTCGTGCCGCCGCCGCCAGGCCGCTCCTCACCTCTCTCGGCCTGTTGTCAAGGCAAGCCCCGGACTCAGCAGGACTGCGATAGCTGCAAACGGAACACTGCATTTGGCCTGCGATAGAGTGGTGCAACGCGACCGACCTCTCAGAGCGGGACCCAGGTAGTCGGCATATTGGCATTGGAGCCCTGCCCTTCTGTCATTCTCTGAAACCAAACCGACATCCATGTTCCATACGACACACGGTGTCAACATGTATGTAGCTCGACTGCGAGGATAAACAGCCCAGACTGCAAGAAGCGGCCATCGAACAGCTCTTTTGATAACGTACGGACGGATATACCCGGCAGCACCTAGGGGAGCATCGCGAGTCGTTACCTCTAGAATTCAGCCTCGGCGGATACATCCCACGACTAACACGCCAAGCAACGCCATTAGGTAACCTAATTGGTAGGGCAGGCATGGTGGTGTGGTGTAGTTGGTCTGAAAGGGGGTTAGGGTAAAGGTAAAAAGGGGAGAGGGTTGAGCGAGGTTCACTGTTCAGGTCCGTCACCATCGCCACCCAGCCCAAGGCAGCTCGGCCGAAGTGAGCTAGCGAGCGACCGGCCCTTCTCCGATCCCCCATTCCCCACCAAGCCGTCCGCCGTTGAGTGTCTTGTAAAAGAGAAAAAAGAGCCTACTAAAAATATGACAGATCATTAAAAAAGAACGGGAAAAGGTGGGGCCCCTCCCCATACGGGAAACTCGCGGAGAGGCTTCCGGCCGATTTGCAAATCCCTGCCTTTCCTTTCTAGCGCGCGCCGCCCCGCGGCGAGAGAAAAAGAGAAACGCCATCGCCATCGCGGAAAATACTTATCTGAACCCGCGTACGGAGTACTGCGCCGTCGTATGTTGACGACAGGCCGAAAGAGGGAGGAGCAAGATAGAGATGTTGTCGCACGACAGCTGAGGTACTTTCCCTGTCCCCGTCGTGCAGTACATACAAACAATGCGTGCCACAAGATTGGGAGAGAGGTTTACGCGGGATCGGGACTGCAACAAGACGTCAAAATTAAGAATGGGGAGGACAAGGAGAAAGAAAAAAAGAGGCTGCTGCATGGCGCCCCGCGGGAGAACAGGGGACGACAAATCATGACGACTGTGTTTTATTTATTTCGGAGACGCCTCTCTCGCTTGGCCCAAATCTAAGCAGAAGATGGGGGCGGGCGCGAGGGCGTGGGAATAGGAAATATATATGAAAAAAAAAAAAAAACAACGAGAAGGGAGAGAATCACATTCACTCACTCACCTTGTATACTACACCTCCTCATCACATCACGACCACGGCGGAGCCCTTCAGAGGAAGTAGGGTGCGCGTATAATCAGCGACGATTTCTCCCATTTGGTTTAGATACTATCGCCGGGCGGACAGGCATACACGCCCCTCCCCCTCTCCCCCCCCTCTCCCCACCCACACACAACCCACGCGCGCGCGCCCACACACACACAGACGCCACGCTTCCACGATCGCCGAGTCCGGATGCATGCCGTTCTATCCCCGGCGGGAAGAAGGTCCCCCCTCCCCCCTCCCCCCTCCCCCCTCTCCCTCTTCCCAAGGGCCAAGGGTTTCAACATCTTTGTTCCTTGTAACCCTTTCTCTCCCTAAGGAATATTGGATGCTGGATATTCAATATTGGTGGATATTGTATGATGAGAGATTTAAAACACACGCACGCACACACACGCACACACCTGCCTGACAAAGTACGTACGTACGTGGTATACGGGCTCGGTGGCTGGCTGATCCCCATCTCTCTGCTCTGGATGTGGTGGTGGCGGTGGGATAGCACATTGTTACGTTAAACTGTGGTGTCTTCTTTCTTTTGTGTATGTGTGTGTGTTATCTGTGATGGGTATATTATTGCATTGTTCACGAGCCGGGTCTAATGAATGAATGGATGGATGGATGATGGAGGGGGGGCTTCGCGTTGACGACTCCTCGGAGCATTGATTTGTATTGGCGGGGTGGGAGATTGATCCATGGGATGGATGGATGGTGCTTTCTGTTTCCCCATGGGCGGTTCGAAGCGGTTCAGTGCAACTGTGTGCTCAATAACCCGAGTCTATGACCGTGACTGAGGCAGCAAATTGCAGTGGCGAGGTAGGTTTGTAGAAGCAAGTAAACATATCTAGAGCTACACGGCATTTGTGTGTGCGAACGGACAATTTTTAGATCTGATATGGCGGCGACAAGCAGACGGGGCGTTTCGGAGTAATAGGTCGAGCAGCCAATCTCAGGAGACATGTGTGTCTGCAGGACACGGTGATCGCATGTGCATCACCCAGCTGAAGGGGTCTGGATGTTTGGTAAACACATCCTTCCGTACCCTAGTAGGCATTGTCCTTGTGCATACCGTTTCTGGCATGTCCTTCCCCGAGGTAGCTTAGCTAGCTGTATCCAGTACGGCGCCTCGGGGTGGTGTAGGCCGAGTTGTTTGTAAAGAAAAGTGTCCGATGCGAGTTGAGGGGACTGCCATGATTGTTGTCGGCCATCATAAGTTGGACTCTGCACCGTTCACACCACCCCATCCATCGTTAGGTAGTTATCTCACCTTTCAAGCACCACTCTCTGGAATGGCTGCCGTCCAGTCGTACGCCCGGGGTGGCTTGGCTGGCCGGCCGGCGGTCCAGCTCAGTCCGGGTTGCAGAGAAGAGGGGAGAGAGACACATGGATACAACAAAACACACCCTCCGGGTTTTTCCTTTCCGGATCCAATTGTCCGGGCCTTCCCTTTTTCTTTCTAACTCTTGTCTCGTCTTGTCTCGTCGTCTCTCCGACCACGCCCGTCACACCGCTTCCCTGCCGAGACAACCGGTCAGATTAGGTAGGTAGGTAGGCAGACAAAACAATAGATAGAGAGAAAGAGGTTGATAACCCACCAGAGTCAGACCGATACATCAGTTCAAGACAAAAGATAAGGCAGAGCGGGTTGTGGCATGACAACCTGGGAGAGGACTGCGTACAGACAGACAGCGTAATCTCAAAGGTAGCATGCACACCGCAACCACGCACCCCCCCTCAGCGTCAGCAGTTTATCTCATCAGCACTGTGGTCAAACCAGGGGTCACTGGTCGTTTGTCATCGGTATGTCTATTACGTAGGCGGTTGCGATCAGAGTATGCCAGTTTGCGGTTATACTGGTAGAGCTTCCAACACAGGTAGATAGCCAGACCCACCCCCTTATTAAGAGAAAGTACAAGAATGCAAGGCCTTTGGAAATTACCAAGCGGATTTGGCTATTAAATGAGGCTCAATGAACTGTCACCTCTAATCTCCCCTTTTTCGACAGTCTGTTAGCTTCATTTCAACATGTTTATTTTGCAAGTGAAATATGTTGTTTGTCCAGACGAGAAGTTAAAACTACGAGTCTTGCTTGCGCTCCCTGTGGCAAAGATAGCACACCCTACAACCGGCGTCTATATCCCTTGTGTTCTTATTCTTGTCCACTTCCTTTGACGGGTCATCCCTCGCCCGTCCGAAAAAGTCTCTTGAACATCGTGCCTTAGGCCAAGGCATTGGCTAACCGGGCATTTCTCTCCGTGCTGCTCGAGATAATGGGCAACGGCGAGCAATAGGAACAGGAAACAGGTGATGTCCGGCTTTAATGACGTGACTCACGGGGCGGTGAGGAGGTTGCTTTGGAGATACCACTCATCTGATGCTTCACTCCCAGTTCCACTTCTGGCAAAAGACTTCGTGGTTCAACAGGCAGCCGGCTTTCGGAGTGAGCGTGATAACGAGGCATCATGTAGTTGGGTTAAGGATCCGTCTCTTATCTAATTCCCGCTCCGTGGTGATGCAATGGGAGGTGGAGGAATAGGGACTTCAACATGGCCTTTTGGTTCGCTTCGTTTTCCCGTACCTCCCTCCGTTTCCTCACCACTTCTCCAGCCAAGTATCGGAACATCCAAGGGAGACAATGATACCAAGGCCGCGGAGGGTTTAAGTACCCCAGCAGAGAAAACATCCTCTAATTGTTTGTGACGAGGGCGGGGACCACCCAAAATGTCCCCCCGGCCCCCTAAACCCTAAACCCTCAGGATAGCAGGTGGTCTGTTCCAAAGTCAACGAGTTTGTATTGACCTTATGTAACATGGCTGCTCCCGCCATTAGCCGCCCAGAGAGCAGAAGATGGGTGGACCCCGTATGTGTCTGTCGCATCACATGTATGGCAGATGCCATGGGAGGTCAATCACAAGCTGACACCCCAATGACCAGAGAACGGACAGGTATGGGTTGGAATACGTCGGGCATCGACGTGTAGTAGCATCGCCGCATCGGCATAACGACACAAGGAAGAACGCCGAGGCTATGGGTGTGAGAGACAGTTAATAAAATCGACAAGGGTCTGAGAACAGGCTGTGGCCGCCGCCGCCGCCGCCGCCAAAAAAACCGGCGAGCTTGGTGCGTGCATATTTACCAACCTACCTTAACCTCGCTGCGAGGGTAGACAATCACTAACACACGGGTGGAGATCGCAGCTTTATCTCGCTCTCTCTTCCTCTGTGACAACAGTCTTGGAGATTCTTGTCAATGGCCAACCGTGTGTCGAGGATACGTGACCCCGAGGGTTTACGGCGCGAGACGAAGCCGCCGGGCGAGATCAAACGGTGGCACCGGGGGAGAGAGCCTTGGCCAGAGAGTCAGAGACCAAAGCCAAGGCCGAGCCGCCACGGCCCGTCGTCTAGAAGAAGAAAAGTCCCAAGAGTGAGTGAGTGGCGAGCGCGGGGGAACGATCGCCATCCGTAGTCCCCTTTCCCCAGCACAGCAGGGAAGGGGTTTCAGCCGGGTGCCGTTGCCACACGAAGATTGAGAACGAGAACCAGGGTTTGTCTCGCGATTAGGCCCACTGGTACATTATGGCGATCTTGGTTCGCGACGGGAGACTCCCGTTGCTTGGCATATCATGTCCGTGTGTTTTGGGTGGTCTGCCACTATCTGATGGATATGACAAGAATCGTGATGGCTGATGGGACGGCGCTTGTTTTCCTTCTTTTGGCTTCTCCCGCCCCCCTTTTTTTTGGGGGGGGGGGGGCCGACAGCCTACTGGGCGGCCGAGAAGGCCCCCCCGTCAACCCGGCTTGGGGTTTTGTGAATGCCTCTGCATTCCGCCTCAGTATAGAAGTATCGGGGATTTTCCGTCTCAGGCATTTCCATTTTAACGCTGGGACTTTCTAGGCCTGTGGGTCAACCGACTGTGCATAACCTAAGGATACCAAGGCTGGCTGGCTGGCCGAACAGAAAGCGGGTATAGACGGAAGTTGCTGCCAGAGTCGCCCAGCCAGGGCAGATAATGAAAGGGAGATTTGGCGAGGAAACTCGGGCTGCGAAAGGGAAGGGAAGATACGCGACGTTGAATCCCAACGTCGCAAGCCGATAACCTACGAATCCTTCGGCACGAACTAAATAATAACAATAGATCACAAGGCCGGACGGTTCCGCAACAAGATGTCCTGGACCAGTACGCTAACCGTGTACTATTCTATCTCCTAACGCTAACACGGATATCTGCTCGTCAAAAAGGCAAAGAGTGACTCCAAGTGGCCTCTCCGGTAGTTCCACCACATCTGCACCGTCGATCTCTAGCAGTTAAAGAGCGACTCTACGCAGCCCCTCCCTCAGATTTACCAAGTCCATGTTCTCGAATGGCATTTGGAGAGCTTCAAAAATGCGCCGAATAGTAAAGACTAAAAAAATGTCAGCTTATATCCCATAGATAATGTTAGAATATATCGCATACCATCCATCTCATATAGAGATCTCAAGTCTCTTGGGAACTCTGCGATTTCGGTCACAGTATTGACGTCGAGTAGTGGTGATAGGTTCGCGTGGACGTCTATGATGATAGCCGCCCTGTTTCGGTGTTTGCGCAGCTCGTTCTCGCGCCTTGAGATATCAGCATAAGTACTGAAAGATAAGGGCGGAGGACCTACGAGGCAATGACGCGGAACAGGAGCAAATTGTTATTTGCGCGGAGATCCGCGTCGAGAGACGTGACCCTGGCGTCGAGAGATGTGACCTTGGCGTCGAGAGATGTGACCTTGGCGTCGAGAGATGTGACCTTGGCGTCGAGAGATGCGAGCTGGACGTCGATAGATGCGAATTTATTGTCAATAGCTGCGAACTTGTTGTCAATGGATCTGAACTTGTCGGTAAGGAATACCTCGAGGGATATGGGCCTCTTGTCCATGGATAGGACGAGTTTGAGAACTTGGTTCAACTTATTGCCCTCTATTTTGATAGCGGTAGTATTAATCGTGGGGTTTGGGTGGGTTATGGGCTGGACGTTAAGTAGAAGAGGTGATGCCGTTAAATTATTTACGAAAGTTATTTACGGACGTTGGTAAGTTGTGAGCGGTAGTTGGGGGATAGGAAGAAAAATGGCTGCGCTTTATACCATGAAAAGACTTGTAAAGTCAAAACGGAAGGTTCAGATGCCAATATAGTTTTAGAAAGTACTTTTCTGCGTAGTGGGAATCTGGAAGCTCTGTATTTGACAGAAAGAGCGCTGCAAGTCTTTGAAAGCTGGGTTGGTAGGAACATCGGGTACCGAGGAAAGTCGACCTGTAGAGGGGAGTCTTGAGAGAGGATATTATCGTTGATCGTTGTAGTCGTTGAAGGCCACTGCTCGCCCCGCTGGCGACACGTTCTCTCGGCGACGGTCTTGGCTGAGGCAGTTTTATGCCTTGCCCAGGACCCAACACAATGAGAACAGGATACAACACAATGAGAACAAGATAGAGGAATCTGGGTTTATTTAGAGATCTATAGCATATCTAGGAAGTAATGCCAAACGATCGGGTGGCAGCCGGACGAAGCGGAGGTCAGGTTTAAAGGGTTTGGGAGTAGAGCGGCAGTGCTTCCTGAGTATTCATTAGCATCTGAGGCTATTGGAGAGGAAGAGTTTGTAAAACTGCTCGCTGGTGAGAAATACAGTAGCGGCATGCTGTATGCCAGCTAGCAGAGGACATACTGTGCTGGTGCAGGTGGAGGGGAAAGGGAGGAAGAGCAAACCAGTCGAGCCTCAAGGGCATCAAGGAGGGCAGCCCTCGAGAGCCCGCGCCGAGCCATCTGCTCGAGGCAATCTCACGCTCGAGAAGGGGCTCGGGGCGGCGTCTCTGGCCTCGCCGAGGCGGGAGTTGTAGGCCGCGCGTGCCTCATCCGGGCGGAGTGGCTACCGGCAAGGTCTCTTCATCAGGTTCAAGTTCAGCAGTAGAGCTAGCATTATACCGCTTCTTTTCGCTCGTTCGCGATTTGAACTAGGAGGCTCGGGGATTAAAAGTCACGAAATATTTCGATCGCAACCCTGGGGAAAGGAAGGAAAAGTCGAGGAATCTCGAAATGGGCAAATGAACGAGGAGATTTCCCTGCTAGTTTAGGTAGATGGCAAAGGACTGTGCTCTCTTCCCCGCATAAGAAAACCAAGTAATACTTAGAAGCAGGGACCAGGGGATTGCGAGTCTGGGTGATCCTTTTTTTCCTCAGTCACGCTGGATTTCCTTACTCCGTATCCGTAATGCGTAGGTAGGTAGGTATCCAGACTCGAGCAAGACTAGTAAGTTGGTAAGGTAATTACCTTGCATAATTGGTAGAATCACTAGGTAGTAGCGGTATCCTAACCCCTAATTACCAAGTAATACAGATAAGCGGAGGGACAAAAATTTTTCGGTGTTAGGCCGAGCAACGCGTCAAGATGAATTGCAGATTGAAAATTGACGACAACCGCGTCCCGTCCACGACCGGCCCAGCGACAACCGATCGAAAGCGACGCCTGTCTGTCCGCTCCCGATCTACGCTACGCTGTAGCCCGGCGACGTCACTGCGCGGATTTGGCCAGAATGTTGCAATTAACTAGGCGAATGCCTCGAGCGCAGCCACAGGCAAAGGCACTGGCATTACGGTCTCGGTCCCAACCGCAACCGCAACCGCAACCGCAACCGCAACCGCAACACCATCCTCAACCGCAGGCCCAACTTGTCTGTACAGCATGCCACCAGGCTTTGCTTCGGGCCCGGCATGCTTCGTCGCTTAGCCTTGCAAGGTCGTCGATTGTTGCCCCAGCCTCAACCTCAACCTCAATCTCGCCTGGTGCCTCCTGCCGCCAGTACTCGGCCGCGACTGGCGCACTGGCCGTTGACTCGGCCTCAATGCCCGACGTTACGGCCACGCCCCCCCAGACCATCGATACAATAGCAACGACGTCTCAGGTCGAGACAGGGCCAGAGCCGGGGGCGGAACCTAGAGCGGCAGCGTCGACTCGGATCCCGAAGAAGAAGAGAAAGAAGAAGAAACCAGAGGAGAAGGAGAAGGAGCAGCCGAAACAAAATAGGCCCCAAGGGAATCAGGACCTGTCCAAAAAGGATCAGCTGGTCCAGGACGCCAAATCCCAGCGGTTATTAAAGAATACTCTGCGCGTGCTTCAAGAGCTCGAGGCGACCCAGTCGTCTCCCAAAACAAGAAGTCAAAAAACGCGTGACTCGATGCTGCTCGAGGGCACCTTGGCCATCTTGAAGAAGGTAATTCCCGAACAACTTCAAGACGCCCAGCCTCCTCAGCCAAATACCCCAGAAGAAAAAATTGTGAGAGAAGTGCTCGCCACTCGCAAACAGGCCCCCGTTCGCAAAATACACTCCGAATCAAAGCACTATGCCATTAAAATAATTCCCGCCACCGAATCAAAACCACCAAAAATTACATGGCTGCCGCTAAGCAGCATTCGAGGTTCGACTGGCATCGGGAGCAGCCCTCCAACGAAGACACGGAAGCCGACGACAAAGAAGCCGACGGCAAAGAAGCCATATCTCGCAGATCGTGCAGGCCGCACAAAAGCCGCGAGATTCTTTCCTGACACGCTTAGACTGGATCCTGTTGAGAAACCACAGCCTCCGGTGCCCCGGCTATCATACGGGCTGGACCGTGTGCTCTTCAACCCCGGCGTCTACCAGCTTCAAGACCCCCGGTCTCGCGTCTTCAACTTCGATCCCTATCTCGCCCGCATTATGCCGGCCCAAGAGTTTGACTTCGATGCGCTGAAGCAGTTCGTCAGCTCGTCCAAGGACAAAACCCTCCACGCCATGGCCTCGGAGCTTGGAAAGAGGTATTCAGGCTCTACCTCGAGCATGACGGCCGCCCTGAGCCATTTTCACTTTCTGCTCTCGTCCTGGCGTCCCATCAGCACCAAAGCTATGTCTCAGGACTTCGAAGTGGACTCGGAAAAATTCACCAAAATCACGCGCGCCCCCGCCGCCTCCTTTCTACATTACAAAGACGGCGTGTACGCCATTGATGCCGACAAGGAATTCGACATGGCCAATCTCCTGAGCTTGCTGGGCAAGTCCATGGAGAAGCTTCTGACACTGCCCAAGGAGGAGTTCGAAAAGTACCGCAAGACCAAGTCGGACCAGCTGACCCACGCTCAGCGCAACGACCCCGAGGCCTACCATTATACCACCATGGGCGACTTTATGATGCGCTCCCAGCTTGACGCCTATGACCCGAGGGTGCCCGGCACCGGCATGTTCGACCTCAAGACCAGGGCTGTGGTGTCCATCCGCATGGATATCCAAGGCATCAAAAAGGGCGCCAACTACGAGATACGCGGGCGTCTTGGCCAGTGGGAGTCCTTCGAGCGCGAATATTATGATATGATCCGCTCTGCCTTTCTGAAATACTCTCTGCAGGTCCGCATGGGCCGCATGGATGGCATATTTGTCGCCTTCCACAACACGGAGCGCATCTTCGGCTTTCAGTACATCAGCCTGCCCGAAATGGACCAGGCACTGCATGGCACCACCAACACCGATCTCGGCGACCAAGAGTTCAAGGCCAGTCTTCACCTCTACAACGAGGCTTTAAACCTGGTGACCAAAGAGTTTCCCGAGCAATCTCTGCGCATTCACGTTGAGACGAGAGAGGGTGACCCCCCAAGCATGAGGATATTTGCCAGACCCGTGACAAACGACGAGATTGAATCCATCCAAGGAGCGCAGCGCCGTTACGCAGAAGAATTTGAACGAGAAATAATGAATGCAGGTCTTGGTTCCCGAGAGGACGCCGGTCCGGAGGCGGTCGAAGGGGATACTGTTGTTGCCGAGACCGAGGACACGGCAAGCCAAGACGTGTGGAAAGACGTAATGCTCGAGGTCGAGCACACGCTTGAGGACCAGGAACAGGGCGTGACAGCAGTTCGAGAGGCTATCGAGTACGCACTTGAGCACAGTGGTCTTCTCCACAGCTGCACTAGCGACGAGGCGGGTCACCACCTCGATGAGCTGTTAGAGGCCCTCCTCACAAGTGGTGGAGAGGTTGTGACTGAGGGCTCCGAAGGACAACCGCAGACCTCTGAGGTCCGGTCATCTCTGAAAGAGCTTCTCCTCAAGCTGGCCGCTCAGGGCAAAGCTGTATCGAGTATTCGACAGACTGAGCAGCAAATCGAAGATGACGTCACGGATGATTCCATAAAGCTTCGCAATTTCGAGACTATTCTGTCCGAGCTGGCTGAAACGGCGCGAGACAGCGGCAATCTGGCGGAGCCATCATACGAGCAAGACGACGGAACGTTGGAAATGTCCCCCACGGAAATTCCGCAGTATAATGGCCCCCTTTGTTGCTTCGCCCTCACCGTCAAAAATAAGGACCAAAGGATCCCTATCGAACGGCCAACTGGCCACGCGGATGAGAAGTGGTCAATCGAGTACGCTTTTGACAAACTCTCGGATGGTCGTGCCAGGATGTTGTACAAGCACACGTTGGCTCGCCGGGCGAAGGAGTTCCAAGCCAAGCCGACCGAACTCGCTAAAAAGTCTTGGTACGCCATGTGGTCGGGCCTGCTCAGCGAGTACAACGACAAGGGCCGCAAGTACAGGGATCTTGAGACGGCTCGCGGCCAAAAACATCCCGTCCACGTGTACGGCATTGACACGCCGTTGGACTGGGAGTCGGTCATGGAGGGACCGGCCGAGGAGCCCTACCGCCTGTGGAACGGCGACGGGCTCAGTGCCGGTGATGGAAAGAAGTGGGACACTAGCAGCGAGAGAGAGGCTTGGAACCAAGACCTTCGCGCCACCGCCCAAGAGGAGAGGATGGAGTGGAACCGGCAGCAGCGGGCTTACAAGCGCAAAGTTCGTGCAAGGAGGGCTACCGAGAAACTAAGAGGATTCCGCTTCTACACCGCCAAGTCAGGTTGAACTAGCAGGCTCGGGGATTAAAAGCCAGCAAATTTTGCGATCAAGATTGCGGGGAAAGGAAGGAAAAGTGGGAGAATCTCGTAATGAGCAAAAGGACGGCGACATATCCCCTGCTTACTAGTTCAAAGGTGACTTGGCTGAGGAGAAGCGGTAAATGTCGCCCGCCCAGTTCGTGGACTGGCGGCTTCTGTATCACCACTCCCTGTTTTTGTATAATACGGACAGCACAAGCATAGAGAAAAGGGGTCATGGATGAACAGAACACCTACATGTTATGTATATATATATAGATACCAAGATGTAAGAATATAAATTAAAACAGTGTACATTGTATTGTGTAGCTGGAGGAGTGTATATCATGGGTTGGGTTGGGTTGGATTGGAACAAAGAAATGTAGATGAATCTACTACCCAGTCAGGGCCCATTACTTACTGTGCTTACCTAGGTATCCCGCTTTCTCGCTCTCAACTCGGCATATCTGGCTCTTATGATAGACACGTAACACTGTATTACAAAGTACCTCAGGTAGCTAAGTGATGTAAAGCTAGGATCAACCTTGCTATTACCCCTATCTATGTAACTCTCTACATACCCAGTACCTACCTACGTTCCTAGATGACAGTGTCTAGGAAAGCAACCGCTTTTCTTGCTCTCTTTTTCCCCACGCCACTCCGGTCTTGACTCGACCCACCGCGCCAAGACAACAACCTATTGGCAAGCAGGAGAAGTCTTGGGAGACAGTAAGGTACTTAGGTGCCCAGTGGTGTTCACTGTTATACTACATGAAGGAACAGCGATACTCAAACAACGTGCTCCATATACCTTTTGAGCATCCAACTCCAACAAGGGCGACAGGGTCGACTAGAAGCATTTACACTTGCTTATATATTGATATATAGACACGTTCCCGGGTGAATGCAAAGGTGACACGCACCCGGGCGGATATAATTGTTCTTCGCTGGTTCCAAACAGGGTCCCTCCACGACCTGGCCCAGTCAGTGATGGTTTGAGGCCCCCGTCGTGAATGAAAATAAGAAAACCCCCCGTTTTACAGCCAGTCTGAGGCATTTTGGTTTTCTTTTAAGAATTACTCCTCCATCCCATGACCGAAACAAATAAAATAAAAACATGAGAAAAAAACCCCAGAAAAGGAACGCCAGTGCTATGCATAATCAAAACACTCACAGGGGGTAGGGGTATGAGTTCCCCTGTAATTCCTCCTCCCCATATCTCGCAACCAAATTCACACCAGAACAAGGGGTTCTCTCTTAATGACCACTCAGTAACCAAAACAGCTCACTCCTCACACCTGGATCCGTGCCCAGTGCTCAAGAAGATCAAGGATAACTGCGTCACGCCTGCTGTGCTGGGCCGGCGTCGCGTTTGGCGTCGTAATGTTCAAGTTGCCAGTCTCGCACCAGTTGTTGACGGGCTAGTGGAACAATGTTAGCATAGGTAATGACAATCAGAAACGTGGGGTTTCTTACCAAGCAGCTCAAATACTTGCACCAGTCGCAAGTATTATGATAGATGTAAAAGTTGTTGAGGAGCAGGATGAAGACGACCAGCACGAGCACCAATGCGCCGACTCTCAACAACCACCAGGCCCACCAGAGCGGTTTGCGCCCCTTGAAGAAGCCGAGGGGATTCTTGAGGAACGACGGCGGGGCACCCTGAGAAAGGAAACCGTTGTTTACGTGAGCGTAGGGCACGTCCTCGCCGATGCGTCGTCGGAGAGAGTTGGGTGAGTGGAGCAGGCAGATGCCCAACGCCAAGCCCATCAGAAATCCGCCAATGTGGGAGAAGTTGTCCAGACCTGGCAGCAAACCCAAGACAAAAGAAATGACGATGTCCAGGATGATGAACATGAGATCCTTGACCGGCTTCTCACGATCCTTCCACGAGTAGAGAAGATCGAGGAGAGTCAGGGCAATGACCCCAAACAATGCTCCAGACGCACCAGTCGACGAGATGCCCGTAGCAGCAAAATTTCCGCCCATGACAAACCCGAATATGCCGGCGCTGATATAGACGAGGAAAAAGCGAATCGACCCTATTGACCTTTCCATGTCCCTCCCCAAAGTCATCTGAAGCAGCATGTTGAAGCCGATGTGGATGAGGCCGGCGTGCAGGAACATGGGGATAATGAAGCGAAACCACTGGTTCGGCTGAGGACTCTGGTCTATCGTCGCCGTCGCGTTGTAAAAGGGCTCGGGGACACCGCCAAAGCCGCAGAGATCCGAGAGGGTGCACTTTTGCGACGGGCTTTCCGGGTCAAGTGTCGTCGTGTTCGGGCACGGCCACTGTATGCGAACATGCGAGTTCTGCACCCCCACCGTGTTGTGCATGCAAGGCACGAATCTGGCGCCCATATTGATGAGTATGTATGGCGACGGACCGATCATGGGGTTGAACGAGGGCTGCGTCATTATGGGCGACCCAGTGACCGTCGCTGTAGCGTGGAATGGCGTGTTAGCCTAGGAAGAGGACAAATGCAGGATGGGGATGCCTACCGTTCTTCACGATCTCGCCAATAAAGACGCCTACTTGAACTACGGTCAAGAGGTAGACGACAAAGGGTATCCTCTTGTTGTTTGCGCCCAGCATTCCCAGCTCGCCGAAGCGCACGCGGCCCTTGCGTGATTTCTTGTTCTGTGGCGCCTCATAGACATGGTCTTGCATCTCGGCGTCTTTGGGTAGATTGCTATGCCTCTGGGGCTGTAGGGGAATGTCATCTGCAGGGTGATTGTAAGCCATCTCGTCTGAAGGGATCCGCTCAAGACGGTAGTATTCCGAGTCCTGCTGACTTAGTTGATGTTGGCTCGAGGACGGAGTCTGGTGCGTGTTCGCCGGGTAGACATGGTCGTCGAAGACGGTCTCGAAAGGTGACGGACCTGTCCCGCCCGCTCCTGGTGAGTGCCGATCGCCAGTCGCCAGATTCTGTTGCGAGGTGTAGGAAGGAGGGGCCGGCGGATACGCGGATGACTGCTGTTGCCCGTCGTAGTATCCCGACATTCGCGAGGGAGTCGGCGCTGGCAGGGGCTTCTGCTTGTAGTAGTCGTTTGCGGCCATGGCGGTCGTCGAGGGGTTGCCTGCGTTGCTGGTATTTCTAGAGCCGCGGCTAGAATTTTAAACCCGGTGTAACGAAGCACCCTCCAAGCGTCGCAGAACAAACGACTGGACGCTCCCAAGCAGGAGCAAAATTCAAAGATCCTTAACCCCTAACACGTGGGAAGTCGCAGACAGAAAGGACGGAGGGCGGCCTCGTCTGCTGCAGTGGCGAGCCCGATTTCGAGAGGACAGCGAAGGTGGTAACTTCCGGGTAGGAAGTCGGGTCAGGTTGAAGGAGAGTGGGAGCAAGATGGAGAGAGTGGATCAGGAGAAAGCGTTGCGATTGATGTTTCGTCGGCCAAAGCGGTAACCCCCCCTGTCTTGCTGCTTTCAACTTGGCTTAGTGTCTCTCTAGGACAGGGGCCGAGTAGGTTTTTGCGGGTTGACGCGTCCGCTGCGGTAGGGTAGGGTACTGTACGCGGGATGGCGGGTGCGTGGAAGGCACCTTCGAGTTGGAGCCAGTCTGGTCCCGGGTCAAGGACGCGCAAACGCCGCGCACCTGCTCAACAAAACCCAACGACAGACAACCGAATCTAACGACCTTTGCAAGCGCAATGCTGGAATGATGCGGTGCTGCAATGCTGCAATGCGCTATGGTCCCGGGCCTCTCGGGGTTTCTGCAAGTCGAGGTGCCGTACGGTTTTGGAAATTGGAAGGGCGGCTCGGTCGACCCGCTCGATTGGCTGGCTGCCCGCGTTGGGTTTTGCGGGTTAATAAGGTTGTAGGTTCTTCTTGGGCGGCGGCGATGGCAAGTTTGTCGAGACTCTCAAACCTCCCAAAAGTGTAAAAGGAGAGAATGGAACGGGACAAGAATGGGCACGCGAAATCAAAAACGAGCCTAACAAGGCTTATCAATATCAGGAATTAGCTCAGCTTAGGTTTGAGGCTGGGCTGGGCTTTGTGTGTGTGTCCTGTCCTCTATTCAGCAGCACGGGTGAACCAGTGCCATTTCGTGGCTCGTGGCTGACGTAGTTGTCCAGGCAGAGGACGAGACGACCCAAACAAGCCACGCAAGAAGGGCAGTATAAGCTGATCATCGGTGGGGAGGTCACTGTTACGAAGGCACCCCATTCGGCGCAGCAAATAACCTGGATGCGTTTGCCGCATCGGACCAGCAAAAGAGGCCGCCACGGACACCGAACGGAATGGCCATTACGAAAGTTCGCGCTGGGGTATTCTGTTTGTTTTTGGAGACGCCAAGCGCGCCTGCAGGGCGGTTGCGGTGGTCACAGCCATGACTAGGTTCCCAAACGTTCATGTCGAGACTCCAAGGCATCTAAGACTGGGCGACTGAAGTTGGCCTTGTTGATCTCTCCTTACAACCTTTGCGTCTTGAGGAGTCTATGCTGTACGGCGTAGCGCAACCCCACATTGAAGGCCGTTCTGGCCTTTTGCCTTCATTCTTGTTCAGATGAAACAGGAGAAAAGATATGCATAAAATGCCAAGCGAGAGGCGAACACCACCCTCGTCTGGGGGCTGTGCTCCCTTCCTCAGCCGCAAACGGGACCAAAAGTCTCCATCGGATTGACCGACTAAGACGGAAAGCAAACCCAAAACAGAAAGCTTTCCTATGATGTTGTCCGTAGGCAGAGAGGTTTCACGTGCTTACCCATTCAAGTGATCGCTCGAGTCGTTTCCGTGCGAGCCAGATGATGGGATCTGGATTTGTTAACATGCGACGCTCTTTCCCTTTTTTTGCGCCTTTGAACAGGAAACTCGGGTACTTGGAAATAGTGGACTCGATCGAGATCGGATTGGACAAAGCAGTGGGGAAACGGCGATAAGATAAGGAAATGGTTCCACATTATTTTTCTTGAAGGTGGAAGCTTTTAGGTTCCATCGACGGAAACTTGAAGCTGCAATTCACTTTGCGCTGCACAATACATATCTACACCTCTTAATTTGCGCAGCCAATCGACGCTAGGCTATAACTTATTCATCACACTTCCCAATAAATACACAAATTCACAGCCCAGAGCCCCTTTGTATTGCTCGCCATGGCGAAAGGCCGCACCCGTGAGAAATCGGACGTGGACCAGAAGGTAAAGAAGGAAAAGAAGCTATCCGAAGACAAGGTGAAGAAATCAACCAAATCCAAGGATAGCAGTGAGAAGAAGGAGAAAAAGGCCAAAAAGCTTGCCAAAATCGAGGAAGCCCTGGACCTCCAGCCCGCAGCCGCGACCGAAAACGAGACAGAGGTTTGTTGGGCTTGTTGAAATCTTGTTCTTGCGCACGTTCTTATACTAACAATTTGGGTTGCCAGGCTGCCGAAGATTTTATGGCGCTTAACAGTGACGTCGAAGCCGAGACTAAGAAGTCTAAGAAGGTCAAGAAAGACAAGAAGGCTTCGAAGAGTGGCGACAGCGCTGCCATGAAAGACGAGGCCGAGCAAGCGGCCGAAAAGAATACCCCGGTGAGGGACAAGAAGAAGAAAGATGAGAAGAAGAAAGACAAGAAGATGAAGGCCGAAAAGAAGCAACCAGAGGACGAGAATGCCGACGAGCCCGACGAGGAGGAGGGTGGAGCTGCTCTGTTCACGATTGACACCAAGGGCACCAAATTACCCCAAAAGCACAAAGAGCAGATACCCAACCCAAAGATTGACGTCGACTCGTCCAGTTCAAGCTCAGATTTAGACTCAGATGACGAGGACAAGAGATCTAATGTAGGCCGCAGCTCAGTCACGGCCACTAAGGAGGATTCCAGCAACACGGCAGCAGAGGCCAGCAAACCGGAAGTCAAGAAACAGGAAGCCCCCTCGGGTCTCAATAGGAAGGCGCGCCGCCGCCTCCAGCTGATTGAAAAGCAAAGGGCGGTTATCCAGAAGCGTCTAGGCATCACATTTAGCTCGACGGAGCGGAACGAAGAGGTTGACGAAGCGCTCGCTGTCTGGATCCAGGAGAGAGACAGGGTTCAGGCCGTGGCCGACAAGAAGAAGGCGGACAAAGCCGAGAAGGACAACGCCCGCCGAAAGGGCCAAAAGATTGGCTCCGCCGAATACCAACTCAAGAAGCAACAGAGAAAAACGGCGAGAAACGCCAAGAAAGCTGGTGCGACCGGCGAGAAGAAGGCCTAGATCAAGGCCAGAGAGAGATGAGTAGAGAGAGTAAGACATGCTGTGGTTTATCAAACTATCCAGCGGCAGCTGTACTGTCTGAGAAGGCAGGCCGCTCCCTTCACTATCCTCTCCCATGGCCAAGGAAGGAGAAACGGTTGCTTACCGCCACTTCTTAGCACTGGCATGGTTACTTTCCAGGCCAGCATTACGTTTGGTATCTCTGTCTTTTGGGGAAAACCAGTCTGGTTCTTGCCATTGGCCCGGGGCATGGACTTGGTCTTTGCATTGTATATGGAGCGCGGGGAAGAAGGATGGGACTGTTTGTAGCACAACTAGGTAGTCAGTCTAGAAGCTCTTGCTACACAAATTCCAAGCTTGCTGCTCCTTTTTCCAAGCCCTTGTCTCTAACTGACCCAGAAGAAAGAACCTGGGGGGGAAGGGTGCTGCTAAAATAAACGCGCCGTGCTCTCCCATGCTGCCGTCGTACACTCGGATTACTTGGTACAGATACAAACATACCCATTGATGTTCTTTTTGCCGCCCTCCATGCTGTGCCCATCTCCATGGTCTGAAACACACCCAAAGCAAAAGCCAACGAGAGAAAAAAAATACAAAGAACAGGAAAAGGATAAAAATACAAGTCAAAAAAAGAAGACCCCCGCACTCATCCTTTCATTCCCCTTTCTCCCCCTTTCCCCCTTGTGTTTGCTCCTCCTTTTTAGTCTTCGTCTTCTCATCAGAACCACCACCGGCACCGCCACCGGCACCACGCAACCCCGCAGCCAGGCCCTGGTTCCACACCTCCCAGATCTGGTCCGTGATCATGCCCGAGATGCCCTTGCCGCCCTCCTTTAGGGCCTCGCGCTCCTCCTCGAGCCGCTGGCGCTTCCACTCGGGCAAGAGCTTTTCCCTCTCGCGGTCCTCCTCGGTGCCATGATCACTTTCCCTCACCTGCTCCTGCTGCTGAGGTACCTGAACCACCTGCCCCCCCTTGCCAGCCCCAGCGAGGTGCCGCCTGCGCTCGCGCTCGCGCTCCATGAGCTCCCTGTTGGCGCGGGCCTTCTCGGGCAGCGCGTGGGCGTTGAGGACGCCGGCCCAGCGCTCGTTGGACCGCGCGTAGATGGACTTGCCCGAGTAGTCATAGGCGACCTGGTTGAGCGACCAGAAGGCGCCGGCGCCGAGCACGGCGTTCTGCACCGACAGCGCGCCGCGGCCGCGGCCCGGCAGCAGCAGCCCCACCGGCGCGAGCACGGCCGCGACCAGCGACGCGTAGTGCACCAGCGGCGGCGTACCGTACCATTTATCGACTGCTGTTGTTGTTGCTGTTGATGCTGGCGGTTCTGGTGGTGGTGGTGGCGGTGGTGCTGATTCTGGGGCCATGGCGGCTATGTGTGGCTTCCGTTGTGCTGCGTTTGGTTGCCAGGGATGCCGGAAGGCTGGGCTTCTCGTGGCGGGGATGCCTTTGGTGCTATTCGGGTGGCTCGCTGTCGAGAAGAGAAGAGCAAAAGGCTGGTGGGGTTGATATCTCCAGCTTGCCTGTAATGGCGTGGGGATGTGGAAAGGTTGTCAAAGCTGGGCCAGAAATGAAGCTGTAATCGCGCTATCGATAAGGATAGCTAGAGGGTGGATAAGGCTATCTCGAATGATCCGCCCCAACGCCGCCGCCACGCAGCCAACCCCTGACCAACAACAGGCGCTACGCGGCAAATGCAATATACTGTGTATCTGCTATAACCCACCCCCTTCCCAGTCTCGCCAAAAGGCTGAGTCGCGTACGCGAATAAACAATAGCTACTAATACTCCATATACCCGGTCCCTACCGCCCGACCCTACCAAGTACCAAACCTGGTTTCGCGCCTTCAGGACTACAGCTATAGTAAGCATGTGAGAAGCTAAATTCCAAGCGCGTAGGTGTCCGCCGTATGTAGACACACAAGTAATGCCGTCCCGTCAACGTCGTCCCTTCGAGAAACTCGCCTATACATTGCTCTGTAGTTTTTCCTAACCAGCGACGCCTGCTACACGATCAAAGCAAATACAGCTGCGCCAAACCACAATGCCCAGCCATGCTGCGCCCCGGGAGAAACAATAAATGGGAGAGAAGCAGCACACCATGCCCGGCAACAGGCAACGACAACAACAGATCAAATATGCCTCTTGGCGAGAGCCTCGTTCGCTAGCTTCACGCCCGACTCTCGGGCCGCCCGAGCGTCGTCCATTGCGCCTTGTATTTCCTGGGACTGCGCCAGCATCCCCTCTGCCACGCTCATCCACAGCACGTTGCCGCTCTTTTTGGCCATGGCCGAGGCCGCCTTTGCGCTCTTGAGCGCTTGGACTGCCACCACGTTCTCAAAAAACCGATACCTCATGATGTTGAGGGCAATGGACAGACACTGCCTGTTCATCGTGAATTTGGTATCGGCTACCGAGTGTTGGATATGCCGTTTGACCTGGTTGATCGACAGGGGCGACTCCAGCATGACCGTCGCGAGAATGAGGTTAAAAGCCGTCCTGAGCTCCGAGTCGGGGTTGCCTTCGCAGAGAGGTCGCAGCCGTTCAACGACTTCTGCAGCTTCTGCGTCGTCTCTGTACCCTGGTTTCTGCAGAATCCACAGCCGGTTCAGTGCCGCCAGTATCGATAGCTCCGAATCGATATGGTCTCGCGTGTTTCTGGGCGCTCCCTTGTGGTCGATCTGAAATCGCTCGTCCTTCCATATTTCAAGAGCTTCGTCGAGCTTCGCAATGCCTTGAAAGAAGACACCTGACAAGTAAAGAGTCATTGTTTCTTGATGCCCCCCTGGTGGTTGGCACTCTCTGGCCGACTCGAGACACTTCTTCACTTTTGCCCAGTCGCAAAAGGTGGCAGCCTGCATACCGACCAGAACATGCGCATAACAAGCAAGCCCCCTCGCCCAGCTAATTTGCTTGAGGGCATCTGGAAGAGACTGCGGTAATTGCGGCGGTTTGGTGTCTATGGGGAGTGTTAGCTGGAATAATTTGCGAACTACAAGTCCAACCGATCTTGCCTTCTAGCAGCCTTATTGTTTCGCCCCAGATCATAGAGCTTTTCCCGAGTGTTATAGAATTGTACAGAACCACGATCCCGTTGAATGCATATGCCAGCGCATAGGCTTCTTGTTTGCCGAGAGTTGACAGAACAAGATAGTCAACATCACCATCGCCAGGACGGAGGACGGCTCGTGTGTCGTTACTTATTGTTTGTGATGAACTGGGAAGGCGCCTAATTGGCAACAATACCTCGCTGGAGAGGACGCCCCAGGCGGGAGAATGTCTCAATTCGTCCAGCTTGGTCTGTATAACACTCAGTTTCTGGGCCGCAACCTGTGTAGACTTCTGATGCAGGCTGCAAGCCAGGTCAAGGAGCATTAACAGTACGTCAATCGGAGGGAGGTGAACAGAATCGTCGAGCTGCAGCTTCGATGCCTGAGCGATACATTCCTGCACACGATCATGCCAGTCCTCCTTCATAGCACCAAGGTGGGCTAGGCCTTCAAGCAGCATGGCCATGACATAAATGCTAAGGTCTCTGCGCTCCTCCGCAATGGACGCGATCTTGCGCAGGTTTTCGATTGCACCGTGGTCAGCCGCGGTGCCCGACTCAAGATGCAAGGCGGCCTTGAGGAAACGAAAGGCGTAGATCCAGTGAATATGCTTGTAGCTGCTCGAGAAGTCATGTCAGCAAGGTCATGCGCAGACGCCCAATTGGAAAGGTTGTCCGTACGTCGTGCAATCAGCTATGTGACCGTCGATGGACTTGAAGGCTGCCTTCTGGGTCCGCTGGAAGAGGGTCTTCATGAGGAGAAACTGCGAGCTGTACTTGAGGTCGATGTACCGGTGCTTCTCGCACATTGCAATACCCCTCGTCAGAGCCGTCTCAGCTTCCATGATGTTAGTAGTCTCCTCCATCAGGATGCTAGCGTAGCGCAGGCACAGTCTTGCCTCGAGCCGAGGCGTCAGCTTTTTCGACGTCATGGCAATCTCGAGGCAGCCAAGCCCGGTTGCCACCAATTTGTGGTGCTCCATGACCTCGTCGGACAACATGGACTTTGCAACATTCTGCGCTGCTGTGTTGGCTCTGACGAAACAGTCTTCGGCGATACAGAGCAGGAGCGGCAGTGTCTCAAAGTGGGAAGATGTATTTGACAGCATCGGTGATTTTGCGACCGAACCTCGAGATGTGGGCCGGCGCGCATCTTTGGGTGTTTTGATCGATGCCCCTTGCGAAGACAGTCGCGGCTCGCCCAGCCTAGGACTGTTCTGGGCCGACGAGGTCTGCTGTGGGAATTGAGAGATTCGAGATATCGGCGGACTCATCGTATTACTCGTTGGGGAAGCAGACAATACATGGGTGACAGGCCTCGAGGGCGCTGCTTGCTGTAGAAGGGAAGGGTTTACAAACTGGACGGGTGGCTCAGCTGACGGCGGAGGGGGCGGTGGAGCGGGAACAGGTTCGAATGCGCCATTGTAGCTTGAAAAATTAGGGGCGGCGGTAGTGTAAAAAGGCGCCGGCTGCTGAGGGTATGCGGGGTGTATGTACTGGGCATTCTGGTACTGGGCGTGGCCGTTGGATGGATGCCGCGGGTGTTGCTGCTGCTGTTGCTGCTGCTGTTGCTGTTGCTGCTGTCCCTGACCATGACCCTGTCCTGGGCCGTCGTAAAGCTGCCCCTGGGGCATTGTGCCTCGAAATGTCATCGCATCGGTCGGTCGGCGACGGATCGCTGGCGGTCTCTATCTACGCATCCTGGCCGCCGGCGTGCATGCGAGCAAAGATTAGGTTGTCGTCGGATGAATCCCACGGTGTTGCGGCTCCCGAGAATGGATGCAGGTGCAGTCAGTGTTGGACTCGGGCCGTATCCAGTCGACGTTAGCGAATTCGCTGTGGGCCGGGGCAGGAAAGACAGGGTTCTTGGGTCGAGGCGTATGGGGACACTAGCACAGATCCGTCGCTTACGTACTACGTGCTTATGAAAGTACTTCTTGGAGTAGCTAGCACAGATGTGGCTGATAGGTAAGGTGGCGCCTATCCCGTGCGTGTACGCAGGACGTATTACGGGCGGAAGACGGACACTAAAAGCTCCGATACGTATAGAATACACCTCCGTCTAGGGTATAGAATCTTACAGTGCAAGGTCCTAAACCCCGGTGTAGCAGTTAAACCCCGGTGGAGTGTACTGCGTACGCCGTGCGGTACCCTGTTGCGTGGGCTTCAGTCCCCGCTACAGCTTTCCCCACGCCACGCCCAGAAGAGGAGGAGTCGAGGTTGCTTTCCTGACCTACGAAAGGCAAGTTCAAATGGTGATGTGGTGTTCTACGTAGAGCACATTATTTTCACATCAGCTGCCTTTTTGTTTTCATCTCATACTAATAGTGCTAGGTGTACGTGGCGTGTTTTGTCGGCCTAGCCCATGGGGGTCCATGGGAGGTCGGGCTTTGCCCCTTCTATTCTGGGTACAAGTGTAACAGCAAAAACCAACCAGTTTTGGTCGTTTCAGTTTGCTTCAAAGTGCCGAATCTGAACCTCGGCTTGCAGCTCCAATTCCAGCCTGTTTGTCCCACTGCGCTGTCCCGGTTGCTTTTCTCCCTGCTGCACGCGTACCTTGGCCAAGTTGGCAAATATTTCCAGTCTGCAGTACTAAGTAAGACATCGTGTAACCATCCAAGGTGTTTTGTTCTTGTTCAACACCACCGCCCTTTCGATTTTCTCTCCCGCCTTTGGTCTCAATCCTCTCGGTCCAGTACTCCCACGGCTTAGCAACAGGACAAAGTACCTTTACCAGTGCCTAGCACTCTCTACCTCTGACTCTCGTCGTCTGCCAGGCTTTGACTGTGTCAGTCTTGGATCATGGGGGATTGGTTTGGACGAGCCAAGATTGGCTTCACGCATGCGCCATCGCCATTGACTCTGCAGAACAAGGATGGAACGACAACAGATCTCCTAAAGCTTTGCGAGACGGCAGTGCCTCCATGCCAGCTCAACCCCTTCTTGTTCAACGGACATGCCCAGACTATGTACACGGCGGTTAACGAGCACGGGCCACACATTTACTACCGCAGGCGCATCTTTGACGCCGACCACAAGACTTACACTGGGTCCTTTGCTGCCGACTTTGCTGTCAGTCCGCACCAAGACGTTGACGAGACGCTTCCTCCGCGGACTGCCTACTTTGCGGAGGAGGACTTTGCCAAGATCAGCTCCGACGACACGAAGCCAATGCTCTTCATCCTCCACGGACTCTCTGGCGGGTCTCACGAGGTCTACCTCCGCCACGCTATTGAGCCGCTCGTCACGAACGGCGGCGGGTGGGAGGCATGTGTTGTGAATGCCCGCGGCTGTGCCAACAGCCCTGTGACAAGCGGCGTTCTGTTCAATGCTAGAGCGACTTGGGATTTGCGCCAGGTTCGTAGCTGGCCCGGCTCAATCATCCCTGCGCTTGACGTCAGCCAGCTAATTGACTTACAATACAAATACACAGGTTGTGAACTGGGCGAGAAAGACGTTTCCAAACAGGCCCCTTTTCGGTCTCGGCTTCTCTCTTGGCGCAAATATCCTAACAAACGTAAGCATTCGCCCTTCTCTGCTAAACAAATATATAATCTCTCTTTGTGACCGCGATCGGGTCCAAAGGTAAGGTATTTACGGAGTACTGACAAGCGAGCACAGTACGTAGCAGAGGAAGGCGCCAGCTGTCAATTGAAGGCTGCCATCTCTGTAGGGAACCCGTTTGACTTGGAGGTTTGCAACAAGGCTCTTCAGATGACGATGATGGGGAAGGTATATCATAGGGTCATGGGAAGTAAGCAGTCACACCCACAGGGATCCCATTCCCACGTTCCCGCAGCTTGCTGACAGGGGGTTTGTTACAGACAACATGAAGCGACTTATAAACTCGCACAAAGAATCTGTCCTCAAGTATACCAACTTAGACTTGGATCGTATCCAACGTGTCACATACCTCTACGAATTCGACCGAGAAGTACAGTACGTCACAGCCAACTCAAAACCACTACAAGGCCGAAAATGCTAAACTTGCATGGCAGGACCGTAACATGGGGATATCCGACTGAAAATGCATACTATCGCGACGCGTCATCCGCAGACGCCCTCCTCGCGATCAGGATTCCTTTCATGGCCATCGCAGCCTTGGATGATCCCGTAAGTCCCCGAGCCTCCCTTTTTGATATCTCTCTCTCCACTTCCACCTTGACTACCCCACGCCTGATGGGACGGAAGAAATATAAGAACATATAAGGTTCTGACTGTATATCTTATTCACACTCTCTCACACACTCTCACACACAGGTTGCCGTGCAAGAAGGCATTCCCTTTGGCGAGTTCAAGCTCAATCCCTACACGGTGCTCTGCACGACGTCCCTCGGCGGGCACCTCTCGTGGTTCGAGTTCGGCGGGGGCCGGTGGCACGCCAAGCCCATCTGCAACTTCCTGAACCTCATGGTGTCCGAGATCGACTTGGATGCTGCCGCTGCCGCTGCCGCTGCCGTCAGCGATAGTTCTGATGGGAAAGAGCCCGAGTCCCCCCAGTTCAAGACTCGCTTCTCTCCCGTGAGGCGAAAGCTTGAGATTCTGAAGGAATAAACCGCCGATCTCCTTGGGGAGAGAAGCCGTGATCTGGGCTGCTAAGTGCAGTAGGTCATGTAGGTTGCGGTGTGCGCATCACCCAAGGTAGGTAAGGATCTTTGTACATATGGCCATGTTTGAAGGATTTAGAATTGGGAATTCTGTATGAATGGCGTTACACATATGCCACTACGATTAAGTAAGGGGCGATAGATAATGGTAGTAGACTTGGATAGAATCCCAACGAGACTCAATTTCGAGTGTTCCGAGCCTAAAAGAGTGACTATATAGCCCATATGTTATCCGACAAGGTCATTTTTGATGCAGACATGATTCCGTGATGTTCTCTTACAGACACCAGTGATTTCCTCATTTATCTTCCCTTTCTCCATAAAGATGCAGGCCCTCGTTTTCTCTTGGATATATCCCAGGCCCAGGCCAAGCCGTAGTAACGCCGCGACGCCGTGCATACCGTACCGATGCTCCTTATTTTGTGTAACACAGCCCAGACAGACAGACAAACAGACAGACAGACAGACAAGAGATAGACCCTGAAATAGAGAGTAGTAGAGAGCCCCCCTAAGATGATTACTCGGCAGCAAAGGACACTCTCTTCTTCGTGAGCTTGGTGGCGTTGGTTCCCGTGGCCGCCAATGACTTGACGTCGCCGCCGTCGTCGCCGTCACCACCGCCACGGCTGCCGCCACGCGGCTTCCTGCGCTTCTTGCGCAGCGAGTCCTTGGTCTCGTCAAACTTGGCGTGCCGCTCAGCCTCCTTGGCGTCGGCCTCGGCCTTGCGCGCCTCGCGGATCTCCTCCATCTGCCGCGCCTTGATCAGCTTGGACTCGATCTGGCCCTCCTTCTCGGCCTGCACGATGGCCAGGATGGTGTTCATGCTCTCCTGTGCGTGTTGGGGCTGTGTTAGTATTTGTGACGATTGTGAGAGTGATAGAACCAGAATGGCGGGTTTTATGGAGGTGGAATCACGGACCCTATCGTCGACAAACACCTTGCCCTTCTTCTTCCCCCGCGGCTTCTGCACGCCGACGGGCGTCACCATGTTGAGCTCGGGCAGGCCCAGCTCCTTGGCCGTGTACACGCGCTTCTTCTTCTTGTGCAGCAGCTCGGCCATGTTGGGGCGGCCCTTACCCCGCGTTACCGACGCGTGCGCCGGGTTGGACTTGTTGTTCTTGGACTTCTTGATGACGCCGCCGTCCGACTTTGGGTTCTTTGACTGCTTGCTGCCCTTGATGCCCGACCCATTGGCGGCATGTCTGTTTTTTATCGTCCTCGTGGGCGCCATGGTGGCCGATGATAGGGGGGTTTTGAGGTCTGCTGTGTGTGGCGATTGACGACGACGGGGAGAAGACGGAAACCTGAATGAAACCGCCTTGAGCTTTCCCTCTTCCAATGCGGCTGCCCGTTTAAAATTTTGGAACGGGAGACTTTCTTATCGGTTATCGCGCTGGCCATGGTGGGGCCGTCTTCAGCGGCTGGGAACCCGGATTGATGGATTTGCAACCCTGTAACCAAAAGTCTCAGGGCGGCAACTACCCCCCACCAATGCGCAATAGCGGGGTCTCTCTGACAGCGCTCTTCTGCTGCGTGTTGGTAGATTTTGTCTACGGTGTGTCAACGGCGAGTCTACCAGCAGATATCAGTTCTCCAGCTTCTTGTTCACCGCGCTACTTACAAGCAAAGCAGAGGATTCACCCAATTGAGAACGCTGGCGCTGTTCTTCAGGCCTCGAATTCAGCCCCGTTAAATTTGCACAGAAATACCGAACCTCACTCAACATGAGCACCGAACCTCGCTGGGCCGCCTTTGCGCGGGACACGAACGAGACCAAGATCCAGCTCGCCCTCAACCTCGACGGCGGCGCGTTCCCTCCCAACACCGATGCCCGGCTTAATGTGGGGAGCAATAGCGATTCCGAGACTGCCCACGCGACACAGGCGAGTAAGTCACAAACGATCAGCATAAACACGGGCATTGGCTTCCTGGACCACATGCTCCACGCCCTGTCGAAGCACGCCGGATGGAGTCTTGCTCTAGCCTGCCAGGGGGACTTGCACAGTGGGTGTTTCCAAACAGCCCAGTCCAATGCGGCTAGAAAGAGATAAGCTAACCAAGCCCCCTCTTCTCTCTCAAAAAAGTCGACGACCACCACACCTCAGAGGACGTGTGCATCGCACTGGGCTACGCGTTCGCGCAGGCGCTGGGGACGCCGACGGGGCTGGCGCGGTTCGGGTCGGCGTACGCGCCGCTGGACGAGGCGCTCAGCCGGGCCGTGGTGGACCTGTCGAACCGGCCGTTCAGCGTGGTGGACCTGGGGCTGCGGCGCGAGAAGATTGGCGACCTCAGCACCGAGATGATCCCGCACTGCCTGCAGAGCTTCGCGCAGGCAGCGCGCGTCACCCTGCACGTCGACTGCCTCCGCGGCGACAACGACCACCACCGCGCCGAGAGCGCCTTCAAGGCCCTCGCCGTCGCTATCCGCCAGGCCACCACCCGCGTCGCCGGCCGCGAGGGCGAGGTGCCCAGCACGAAGGGGACCTTGAGCGTATGAGCGGGCTACCGGCCGTACAAGAGGGAGGGCGTTGCGGAGATATGGGGGTCTAGATGAAGGGGGTGGTGATATCTAAAACGGGACATGTTCGTTGAAAATTAGGTGTTTCCATGCTAGATATTATGTCGAGATTGCATTTGGAGAGATACTCATTACATGGCGATTTTTAAGACATAATGCTGGTGGTTAGTAAAAGGGTTCATATCTGAGCAGGGCCATACCAAAAGTTTAACTGGGGCTTTAAACCCTGCAATATGTTACTATCATTCAACTTGAAGTGTGGTGGTGTTATTGGCTCGTAAGCTGAGACGTAATTGTCGCATCGTCGGCAGTTCGGTGTTGAGGCGCGTCGGGAGAGTGAGGTGAGCGTTGAACAAACGTTCGGTTCTATGAATGCGCCCCACTGTGGTGGGATGATGTCGCTGGCGCTGCGGACGGGCGGGTTGTATTTGAGCTTCAACGAAAACAGCCTCCTGGCCCCTGCCCCTGCCCCTGCCCCTGCCCTTACGCTGGAATGACCTCACATCCGCACTACTCACGAATAATAGCAGAGCAGCAGAAAACGAAGAACGGCGAGCCTGCTCCAGGGCTAGATCTAGCACTAGAATTGACAAGGCAAATCAACGGCAAAAATCTGTAGGCGTCTCCTTAGGCCATCGATCTAATTTTTCTGTTTGGGGGTGTTGAGCGCCTTATCAGCTGATTCTCATCGCCGCACTGAGGTAGGCCGACGCCTTTGTGCTCACATAATTGCACGGTCACGCAGACCAAGCCTCGTTGTCAAACACATACACACACACCCAGAGAGAGAGAGAGAGAGAAAAGCAAGTGGACCACGGTCTCCGTTGCAAGGCATTTCTACAAACACACTCCCAGCTTCCTCTGGGGCGGTTGCATAGGTACCCCCTTTACCCCCTTTCCCCCTTTACCCCCTTTCCCCCTTTACCCCCTTTCCCCCTTTCCCCCCTATCCTGTCCTCTCATCCCATCCCATCCCATCCCCCCTCATTCCGCATACAGCCAAGCGAACGAGATATTCACACACTAAGAGACCCAGCAAGGCCATCCACTTCACAAGACCGGCCGGGAGGGAAACTCAAAGTCAGGGGGGGTTCCGAAAGTCCCAAGACCAACAACAACAACAACAACAAAAAGGGAGGGCAGAAATGCCGTCCGCGTCCGAAATCAAGCACGCCGAAGCGGCAGACGCGTCGTGGGAGGCGGCGCGCGGCGCCATGTACGGCGCGGCCAAGTGGGGCGTGGCGTCGGCGGTGCTGGGCGGGCTCGGGTACAGCCTGTCGCCCATCTACCGAGGGCTGACGATCCAGTTCAAAGTGTATGTTGTTTTCCGTCTCTCACCAAGTCATCCTTTGCCTAATTTCTTCCAGATACATACAAATGTCGGGCATGGTGCTGGGCAGCATGATCGAGGCCGACTCGCGGCTGCGCGAGTACGAGGCGGCCATGCGCATGCGGCGGCGGATTCTGCGCGACGAGGCCATGTGGAAGAGCTTTGAGCAGCAGTATGGCAAGGACGACGAGGACGACGATGCGTGATGATTTAAGTCTCAGATGCTCAGACCGTAGGCAGGCGGGCATTTCCCAACAAACGAAGATCTGTGACAGAGACTATGCCAATCTGTATACCTTTCAACAGCAACATCTAGCAGTCCTGGAATATGCACCGCGATACACCATTGTAGGGCTATTTGTAGTCCTGTCTTTTTGCTGGAACCGGCCTGCCAGCTTGCTAGCTTATCAACAGATAAAACACCTCGAAGACCTTAGATGATGATGCTAAAATAATGCGGCAACTATAAAGCACCTTGTCGTCCTGGGCCCTTCTTAAGGCGCGCTATGAAGAAAAAAAAAGAACATGAGAGAGAGCGAGTAAAGTAATAGATGAATATGCCTTAGGCTAGGAATTGAGACCCTTCATTATCTTCGCGCTCTTACTCGCTGTAGGCCAGATATACTCTTCAGCGTATCGGGTGTCACGAAGGAGAGGATTCGACTGGCATAACACGCAGTATAACCGTAACCTGTATTGTGGAATCTAAAGCTAAAGAAGGAAAAGGAAGATGTTGCGGGGAGCGGGCAAGGCGCGGGGTTCTAGGTATGGTGCGGACCACGTGATAGGTATGCACAGACCACACTCCAGCACTACGTCATTGACACCAACACGGCACCCGCCGTGACAGGGATGATCATCGCCTAATACCCTCTTCCTCGTCTCTGCTACTTGTGAGTATAGCTTTTCAGCCTCCTTCCGCCGGCCCAGCTCCTCATATGTCCATGCCAAGCCGTATATACTGTTCAGCGTGTCGAGATGATCGTCACCTAGTACCTTCTTGCTCGTCTCTACTACTTGTAAATATAGCTTTTCAGCCTCTTTCCACTGGCCCTGCCTCCCATATGTCCATGCCAAGCCTTAAGACAGTAGCATTACTCCGTGTCCGGGCGAGGGCCAACTGCATGGGTTTGTCGAAGAGGTCGAAGCCTTGGACTTCCTCTATAGCGTTAGCGGCCGACCCCAGGTCCTCGAAGACGATAAAAGCCTAGCCCTTGGCCTTCAAGTCAGTCTTAGCAACGATGCCGATTATATTCCCATACTCAGAGAAGATGGCGCGCAGGGCCTCTTTGAGCGGCTCGGGCTTGATGCGCTCCTCGAGGTTTCGCAGTGCTCTGTGGGGGTCTTCGGGCGATCATCCATCCAGTGAATTGGCCCGCTACGTACCATAACGGACGCCGCGCCCAAGGCATATCTGCGATCTGTTACAATTCCATACAACAGCATGGGCACCGGCGTCCGCGTATCCGGCCAGGACGCCACAACTGCCTCTTCTTCCACCGAAATCCCAATTTCCCACTCGCATTATTTTATGAGTATGTATATTCCACTCCGAGGACACGTGATTTGTGAAATGTAGTTTATTCATCATGGGAGCTATCAGGTCCAAGTTCAGGTTATAACCCGCGTCATATTGTTTTGTTGTTCTTCTCTATTCCGCAACCTTATTGGCGGTACGTGTCATTGGGTAGCAAATCTATGGTCGTGCCGAACCTCGACGGCTCCGGGCCGTTCAAAGTTCGGGTGTGGGGAGCGGAGCGGCCGGCATGTGATGCGCCAGTTGTAGCCGGATCCGAGAACCTTTCGTGTTGGACTTGTTGCTTCGTGCTTCCGCCGGGTATTGGCTTTTTTTTTTCGTGACCAACTTTAATCTATAAATCATATGAGTATGTATATACTATAAGATATTTTGTGGGTAAACACTCATCTGTAAATCTGCCGTGAACCGCCTCCCCTTTTCCTGGCTGGTTGCACGTATGCTACGCTAGAGCCAAGCAAACCGAGCCACATGATAGAAAGCCAACGCCAAACACATGAAAAGATCAAAACATTCACATTGCAAAGCCCAGCCTGGGTATCTCTTTTTATTCCTGTCCCTTTTCACTCCCTCATATGTCTCGAGTCTCTCCTACTTCTTGGGCGCTTCAAACTTCTTGGGGTCCATGTTCAGCTTGCACAGCCGCACGACGCAGCCGCTGAGCTGCAGCAGCGTCTGAACGCCCTCGAGAATCTTCATGTGAGTAAAGCCAATCTCCTTGATGAACTCGAGCTTGGAGTGCTCGCTGAGGGTGGGGATGGTCTTGGTGACGCGGAACATGGTGGAAATAATGTCGTGGCTCGAGTAGCCGAGGTCCCAGAGCTCGCGCAGAGCGTCGAGGGCGGCGTCGACGTTGCCCTCGTAGCAGGCCTTGAGCATGGCCTGCACCTTGATGGGGTGGGGCGAGTCGACGACCTTGAAGACGTTGTCGCCCGACACAAAGCCGAAGCCGGCAAAGGTCGACTGCAGGTTGTTGATGGCCTGGCGCATGTCGCCCTCGGCGCTGAACACGAGCGCGGCCAGCCCGTCGTCGCTGTACTCGACGCGCTCGGCCTCGATGATCTGCAGCAGCCGCTTGACCACCTGGGCGTCGGTCAGCTTGGCGTAGCGCAGTATGGCGCAGCGCGACTGCAGCGGCTCGATGATCTTGTTGGACTGGTTGCAGGCGAAGGCGAAGCGCGTCGTGTTGGAGTAGATCTCCATGGTGCGCCGCAGGGCCTGCTGCGCGCCCGACGTCATGCTGTCGGCCTCGTCGAGGATCACCAGCTTGTGGCGCCCCGCCGGCAGCGTCACCTTCTTCTGCGCGAAGCCCTTGATGCGCTGCCGCACCACCTCGATGCCGCGCTCGTCGCTGGCGTTGAGCTCCAGCACCGCCTCCTTGTACGCGTCCCCGAGCAGCTGCCGTGCCAGGCACAACACGCTCGTCGTCTTGCCGATCCCCGGCATCCCCGAGATGATGACGTGCGGCATGTTGCCGTCGCGCGCTATGATCTTGAGCCGCTCAATCGTCTCCGTGTTGCCCACCACGTCGTCGAGGAAGACAGGTCGGTACTTCTCGACCCTGCCGCTCCCGAGTCAGCCACAGCGATAATGAAAAAAAATGGCGATTGGGATGTGTGAAATCAGTCCAGCAACCAACATCAACATACCATGGCAGCTCGTAGGTGGCATTGTCGCTCGAACTGGCCGTCAGTGCAGCCTTGGCTGCCGACGTCGACGATTCGCCTTTTGATTCGGCTCTGGCAGCTGGCATTTTTCCCCTTCAAAATTTTTTTCTTTCTTTTTCGCTACGTAGATTCGAGAGTCTCGAGTCTGTTTTTGCGGGCGAAGAAGATCTCGTAGTTTGTGGGAATGAGGGGACGGTCGCTCGATGGAGGAGGGGATGGATGGGATGAGATCGGATTGGATCTCGGTTTCGGCGCGACGCGTTTGCCAAAAGTCGCGTCTCCGATTTTAAGTGCTTTTCTTTCTGGGGGCCTTCAGACCTCACCTCAACCCTAACCCTAGGCCATCTAATTGTTGACATTGAAGGAAACAATAGGGGAAACAGAACCTCATGTGCTAATTGTTTTGACATCGAGGGGTTTTCCTTTTAAGAAGCATATTCTGTTCATTACGCTCCGCTGGTGCGCTGGTGCGTGTATCCAGCACACGTATCTACGTTTTTTCCCCATGAATCTATGTACTTTGGATCTAGTCCCCCAACCCCACCGAACGAACCCACCCTCTTGTCTTTACGTGCGGTAGTCGCCGTTGATGGTGCTAGAAGTATCGTGTGTCAGTAGCCTCCACAGTCCATATCTGTCGAGATTTACTTACATGTACTCGTGGCTGTAGTCGCATGTCCAGTAGGTCGCCTCCTTGTTGCCAGTTCCTAGCCTGACTAGGATCTCAAGGTCCTCGAGCTCGAGGATCTCGGCAGCCCTCGCCTTGGACATGGTCAGCATTTCACAAGAAACAAGCATCACGTTTTATACAGGAAACACAAGGGCTGAGCACGTACCTCATCCACTTGCTCTGGCTCGCCGTTCACCAATAGCTTAAGCTCGGCCGTGCCGTCTGTGGGGATGAACGAGACGTTCGTCTTCTCGGGCACAATTTCGGGCACGTCGTTGACGGGCATTCCAGGCTCGGAGATCAACGAATATCCAGTGGCGCACAGAATACGTCCCCTATCATAATCCGTCAGCAGTTGCTTCCCATGGCCCTTGATTCTAGACTTGGCGCAGAGGGAGTAGGGTAATGTACCAGTTCGCATCCTTGCCATATAGCGCAGTCTTGACCAGAGGCGACCGGGCAATGGTGCTGGCAATCTTCCTGGCCACATCCTCGCTCGCCGACTCGACAACGCGGATGGTCACAAACTTGGTCGCGCCCTCGCCGTCGCGCACCACCAGCTTGGCAAGGTCGGCCGCAAAGCCGGTCAGGACGGTGCGGAAGGCGTCGTAGTCGGGCGAGTTCTCGGCGACCTCGCTGCCGCCGGCCGCGCCGTTTGCCAGGAGAGCGACCGTGTCGTTTGTCGACGTGTCGCCGTCGATGGTGATGCTGTTGAACGAGCGATCCACAGCGTATTTGAGGGCCGAGGGCAGAGCGGCCGGGGATATGGGGGCGTCGGTGGCGATGACACCCAGCAAGGTGGCCATGTTGGGGTGGATCATGCCAGCGCCCTTGGTCATGCCGGCTATCCGATACTCGGTCGATGGCGAGGACGGCAGGGTGAAGGTGCGCGACATGAGCTTGGGGAAGGTGTCGGTGGTGCAGATGGCCTTGGCGCAGGCGAGCCAGTGCTCATGGGTCGACCCCAGGGCGCTGTGTGCAGCCGGCACGTTCTTGATGATCTTGTCGATGGGCAGCCTCTGGCCAATGACTCCAGTGCTCATGACAATAGTGGCATTGGTCTGGCCCAGGCACCTGTCGGCCTCGCGGGCCATCTTAGTGGCATCCTCCAAGCCGCCCTTGCCCGTGACGGCATTGGCGCAGCCCGAGTTGATGATGACAGCCTTGATGCCCTGGTTTGCAGCCTTTTCCAGCAGACTCCGGCTGAAGGTCACGGGGGCGGCTTGGAACTTGTTCTTGGTGAAGACGGCGGCGGCGGCGCAAGGGCGGTCTGAGGCGATGAAGGCGAGATCGGGCTTGGTGGTGTTGGCCGGCTTGACTCCCACTATGGTGCCCGACGTGCTGAAGCCGAGAGGATAGGACCCCGTCGTCGGCACGTACTTCTTCTTGGCCGCCGGAATCGAGTTAGCCGCAGGTGCAGAGTAGAACCGAGCTTGCACAGGGACAGAGACACGGCCACGGCCAGAGCCAAGGTGGCGGGCCAATTGGGCGCGGGACTGCCTCAATTGGCCCCGGACACAGCCATTGAAGCCCTCCATGACCATGACAATGCCGTTTCAGATGTAGAATATAGAAAACAAATCGAGTTTTTTACAAAAAGCAATGGCGGTGCTGTAGAGTGCCAGTGACAGCTTGAGCGCCGCTACAAACCCCCAAGATATCCAACTTCAATTGGTGTCGGTGTGGCGATACCGGAGCAGCTCCCGGTTTTTGTGATTTTTGTGTTATCGTAGTACCGTAAAGAGAAAAGCGACAACTAAAAGGTCAGTTAATTTGCTGAGGGGGTCTGTATCAACTCTTTCCATTCCCAAACAAAAAGACAAATTTTTAAGCTAGATAATAGTTGGTATTATATTTTCTTGATATCTTCAGTGAGTCACCTGTTTGAAGTCCTCTCCGTCGATCGAGCTCGTGCGGCGCAAGGCCTTGCAGCTCGTCATAAATCTCGTCTGGTCACGCCTGTCATTGCTTGCATGCATTGCCAGGCCGAGCTCCCAGCCACAGTACTGAATCGAGGACCCCAGCCTTTTTCACCTGCGCAGCCTTGCCCTGTGGCGGGAGCTCTCAAATGCCCCGCAACAAGCCACGCTCCCATAGGTATTTCTTGCCGCAAATTTCTTCCGTCCTTCCTCCATCTCTTTCCGCACCAGCCCCAAAAAGAACACGAATCACAAAGGGTGCCTCGTGGGACATCATCAACCCGGCGCGGCCCTGGCGGCTTCCTCCCTTCCCCTTTCTTTCCTTTCCCTTCTTCCCCCCACGGCCATGCCTCCATGAGCTGAGCTCTTGCACTGGGAGCTTCTTTTGAGAAATCGAAGCAAACAGCGCACCAAGCAAGCAAGCACCCACTCAATCCATTCCCCATCATTGTACGGATACCCCCAACCAACCGGCCAAGATGTCGTCGCAAATCATGGACGTGTACATGCAGACGCCGCCAATGGCTAGGACATTGGCGACGGCCATCTTTGTTACGTCCATCTTTGCCCACTTCGGAGTTCTGCCCTACGCATGGCTCTACTTCACCGAGGACAGACTCTTCCACCTGCCGCCTGAGATATGGCGGCTCGTCACGAGCTTCCTCCTGAGCTCTCCCCAGTTCGGCATCATCCTCGACCCGTACTTTGGTATGTTGGCTTCCCACGCCAATGCAACCTCGCTGCGGCCTGGGCTGACGGGGCATTCCCCTTGACAGTATACACATACGTCAGCCACTTGGAGACATCGAATCCAAAGTTCCCGAGGAAAGAAGATGCGCTCTGGTACCTGATTACAGTCGGCGGCATAATTATTGTAGGCATACAACTCTCATTATGTCTTGACCCTCTCAACACCATTCACCATGCCCTCTACCCTACACTGCAAATAATCTATTACACCTCACCATATCTGCCCGCATAGTGCATTGTCTCTCAACTATAGCGGTTCCTGGAAGTGAGGAAGAGTACCCCTGCAGGTCGGTCGGCCATTTTCGCTTTTGGTCCGAATACGACGTGTAGGCATGGTGGGATGTCTCAATGGATGGCCCGGGTGGATTGAACACGGTTTCGCCCGGGTGGTTTTTAAAGCTCCCTACATTTTTCTATCTGGGGGATCGCCTGTTTTTACATTGTACCTTGCTGGGTATTTCGGAGAACGGAACTGACAACAAAATAATAGACTGTCAACCGGCTCTTCCTCGGGAATGCGTTCTTCCTGCAGGGTCTGACAATGGCTCTTTGCTACACGGCTACGCAAGACCAGCGGGGCGCCAAGGCGGGCTTTCTGTTCTTCACGGTTCCGGCCCAGCTGATGCCATATTGCATGCTGCTTTATTCACTGCTCATGAACCCCATGGCCATCCCGCTCCAGCTCAGTGGTCTATTCGCAGCACATTTGCACGACTTCCTGACGCGCATCTGGCCCGAATTTGGTGGTGGCCCGAACCTGCTGTCGACGCCAGCCTTTGTGTCGAAGCTCGTCACAACCCCGAGGTTTTTGCAGCGCGAGTATGGCACTGCCATCCGCCCGCAGAGCTCTAACCAGCCGTCGGGCGGTGCCAGAGGTGCGTCGACTGGCTCGGTACTTCCTGACTCGTGGAAGACGAGAGGGTCTGGGCATCGTCTTGGATGAAGCGCTGCGAATGAAGTGGAAAGGAGCAAGAGAACTATTTAGGAGCTGTACAGCAATAAATAATGCCGTATTGATTTATTCAACCTTGACACTTGCCATTCGACCTCATGTGGCATGTAGATGTGAAGTATTCTATGGTTAGCTCGGTGAAGTATGTTTCGGCTGCCCCAGGACCATGTACCAATGTCACAAGCTTCAAACCATTCTACAACATCGCCAGCAGAACTTTGGTCACAAGAGAAGTACTGTATAGAATGAATTCGATCTTTATTTGTGCCGCAGCGCGACACCAAGTACAATCCTTTAAAACTCCAAAGGGCAAGCCTACCCACCGTCGAGCCAGGCCAGGGATGGAACCAGTCTGTACTCGGATATACCCAAAACCAATAATCTGTAAAGAAGGAAAATCCCAGTTTGCGCCCCGACGCCCCTTCAAATTGCCCCATTCCTAATAATAATCAGTCATCCCGTTCTCATCGGTTGTCTCCGTCTCCCCATTTGCGTCCGTCAATCCAACGATCGATTCATCTCGATAGATAGATATATATAACAAGTGATGTATATATGGTGGATATTTAAACCCGGCTTTCTCTCCGTTTCCACAAAGGTATATGATAATAATAAATAAAAATAAAGAAGGATTTGTTTGGGTTTTAAAAAGTTAGATAGGGAAGGAAAGGAAGGGAAGAGGTACAATAGCTTTACGTGTAAAGATATTGTAAATTCCCAGGGAGGGAGAGAGAAAAGACAGGCGAGGATGAGAGATGAGGGTCTCAGCCCCAAATGTCTTCCTCCTGGCCGACCTCGACCTCCTCGTACTGCTGCTTCTTGCGCTCCTGGCGGCGGCGCTCGTGGCGCTCGGCGCGCTCCTGGCGGCGCTTGTCGCGGTGGGCCGACGTGGTGGTGGAGCCGGCGCGGCTGCGCGACGACTTGTTGGTGGCGGCCGTGACCGTCGATATGACCTGCGATGGCGCCTCGGAGCCCGAGTACTCATCGTAGATCTGCTGCTGCTCGCGGTACTGCTTGGGCGCCGTCGCCTGCGGCCGGCTGATGGACATGCTGCCCTCGCCGCCGCGGTGCTGCCCGCGGACCCGCACGCTGCCGGCCACGCTGCCCACGACGCTGCCGGCAACGCTGCCGGCGCCGGCGCCGCGGGTCTTGCTTTGGCTGCGTTCGCCGCGCGTCGTGCTCACCGACGGCTTGCGCCGCGAGCTGATTATGGGCATGATCAGCGCCGGCAGGCTGTGCGTCGGCGACAGCCGCGTCTGCAGCGAGTTGCCCGACAGCGGCGGGGACAGGATGTAGCCGCCCGTCTGCTCCGAGTTCGCCGAGAGCGGCGGCGACGTCATGTAGCCGGAGAAGGGTGGCGAAGCGACGTAGCCACCCGCCGTTGTTTCGGAGTTTGCCGAGAGCGGCGGCGAAGCCATGTAGCCGCGGGTCTGCTCCGAGTTGCCCGAGAGCGGTGGCGACGCCATGTAGCCGCCGCGGGTCTGCTCCGAGTTGCCTGAGAGGGGTGGAGAAGCGACGGGGGCGCCCCGCTGTTGAGAGAATGTTAACTTTGGAGGTTGTGTCAGATAGCGGCCGCGTTGTTGCAGCTGCTTCTGCTGGAGCCGGAGCAGCTGCTCCTGCAGACGTTGTTGGTCCTCTTCGTCTTCGTGTTCGGGCTCCATATGGCGGGAAGGGTATTGTTGCTTCTCCTTGTTGAAGTCGGGCGAGGCGACGGTACTCGGCGCCTTGGAAGAGGCCTGCTTAAGAGAAGAGGCCTGGTTGAGGTACGCCTGGACCAGCTCGTCGTCTAGCATCTCCTTGTTGGAAGAGCCGACGGTGGGCAAAGTGACCGAGTGTACGGAGGGCGCTTTAGGCAGTGGTGGTGAGAACTGGTGGTCGTACGAGGCTATCGACGGGCGAGACGACGATGCGCCCCGGACGAGGGCTCTGGGGATGTAGGCCGGGTGGGTGGGCATGGCGGCGGCCGTCATGTCAATGGGGCTCGTGGTGGCATCGGGGGTGTGGGCAGAGACGGAGGCTCCCTCGTCCTGGTCCAGCTTGTAGTCCATGGTGTAGACGACGGGCACGCCGCTGGTGGCAAAGTTCATGTCTTCCCTCGAGATGGCCGGTCCGTTGGCGTAGTAGGCGTCCATGCGGTCAAACGCGCGCTGCCGCCTCCAATAGATGATAAAAAGGCCGGCCGCACTGAGCAAGAGAGTGCCGGCGCCGGCTGCGATGCCGGCGATGGCGCCTGTACTTAACGCATTGCTGTTTGTTGTTGTGTCGTCCCGCAGGACTAGATGTGACCACGTCGGCGCCATGACGTGCTGCTTCTTTCTTCGTCGTCGTCGTTGTCGTCGTTTTCAGTTTTCTCTTGCCGCGAGGACTATTCGGTAGCGAGTAGTATCTCTCCAAGCCCAGCCTGGCCTGAATTGATGTCGCGTCTCCGGTGCTGCTAGGGACCGGAGCAATGTTGGTCGACACGCAACTTGGGAAACACCATTCGAGGTCCCAAGAGCTTCTTGTTCAGAGTTGGAGAGGTAAAGAGAGGCAAGAGCAAAGAGAAAAGCAGCCACCCGGGCTGGGCATGGAGTACACTAGTATACGGGAGGATGGGTGGGCGCCGGTATGCAGTTGGTTCTGGCCCCCACCAGCGATTGGTGGGCGGGAGTCAGGCTGTTGTTCTCTGGTGGTGTACAGAAAAGGACGAGGTACTGTTGTACTGGTCGATATTGGTTGGTCGAGTGTCGACTGTACGTATACATCCAATGTACAGACAATAAGCGCAACCAACGCATTCAGGGGTGACACTTCGAAGCTAAGCAATAAGAAGATGGGAGACGTCCTCCGGGGAGCCGGGAAAACCGGAAAGAAAAAAAGAAACAGAAAAAAGGAACAAGACGCACTGATGGACGAACAGGACAGAACAGAGGAGAGGAAGAGAGAAGGAGAGAAAAAAAAGACGTGAAGTAGGAGATTGCACCTCGGAGTAGGCGGCGCACTCGATATAATATCCAGGCGCCAACCTGAACGCCCCTGTGTGCCCACCATGCTTGCCCTGCCTTTACTAAGGCAAATTGTATTACACGGCTTGAGTGGAGGTTGAGGTCAGGTCGCTACTACTGTGTAAGGTAAGGCACTGTACACTACAGCTCATAGCGGAGTCGCTGTCCCGTCCCTTCCTTTCAAGTCCAGGTTTCTCTCCACTCCCCACATGGAAGGATGATGGAGAGAAACACACTTGGCCAGGACCAAGCGAGGCCAGCGGCTCCAGCAGCCACTGTCGGTCGACGCTGGGGGGTCGGTGGGCAGCGCTGGTAGCACGGAAGCAGGCATCATTCACTCTGGCGGTCCTGGGTGCGTAGCCGTGCGTGCGTGGTTCTGGTTCTGGGTGGCCCGATGCCAGGTTTCTCTGTGCTCCCAGCGTCCCTGGGGGGGCTCCTTCCCGGGCCATCACCACTTGTTTCCCCCTCGTGCACAGGCCAGCCCTCCCCTTCGCGACTTTTGGCGTGCTGTGTATGCGCCGCCGGGCTGCTGCCGCTTGCTTGGCCGCTCAAGAGGGGAATAGGGCGCCCCTCGAAGCGCGACTCTGGGGTGGCTGGCCGCTAGACCCAATCACAGCGCGCGCGAGAGACGGGAAGGAGCTGCACGACGAGGGCGAGGGCCACCAGGGGGGGTTGCATCGCTCGCGCCGGCCAATGGCGGAGCTTGACGGTTTCGTTTGTCGGGCGCTTAACGGGGGAATCAAGTGGCCTCCCCTTGGTCAGCGTGGGGCTCAGTCGCTCGAGATCGACGAGTGGGCAGCAAATTGCGGCCCTGCCCAATCAGAGCAGACCCTGGCCAGTCCACCCTTAAGTCCCGCGAAATAGGGTTCACACCGTCTTCTTTGGGCCAATCCACCTCCGCATTGCTATTGCCCCCAAGCAATGCAGAGAAGCCTCAGCAGCGGGCAGCCCTCGGAAAATCAGCGAGCGTTGAATGCAGGATTTCAGCCTTCCTTTCCGACTTTCTGTGTAACCGTCTGCCATGTACGGACGGAAGATCCGCTGCTTACCATGATCGCCACCCATCTTCCCGTTCACTGCTTGGCTTCTCTATACAGAGTATCCGTACATACTAAGTGCAATTCATGTGCCTTCAGCGTGTACAGTATCTACACTAGGTACCTAGGCACATGTACACCCGACTACTAAACACAGTTAGACAGCCTGGAAGGAACTTGCCGTAAAGTCGAGTGGGGGCGGGTATTTCGTCTGTGCACTTCGTCGATCCCGTGCATTGGGGACAGTGTCAACCGAGAAAGGAAAGCAGTGACCTTGCACTGGCTGGTGCGCACTTACTATGTACACACGCAAGACTGGCTCGGCTGGAGTTGGACTGGACACGAACCAGGCAACCAAGCCACCTTCGCTTCCCTCCAGTCACATCGATCTAAAGCACTTCAAAGAACCAACAGCATATCACTAGCGCTCGGTTTCGCCCACAACCCCTGCACATGCTACCGCGAATGACGCCTTTTTTTTCTCTCCTTCTCTTCCCGCGGCTGATGCATTTCAATATCTCGAGTCAGAACTAAGGTGACTATCCGCAGTGGCCAACGTTGGCTGCCAACTGACCACAACATGTGAGAGGGAGAGGGTAGGGGGAAAAAATGGTGCAAGTTGGAAGGGTTCATGAGATGGAAGCACTTACTGTAGTAAATGGAGCTAGACGCCTCGTGTGCTGCTAGCGTGGCGCTTTTCCCTCACTGGCTGTCTTTCCGGTTGCTGCTCCCGGACGACGTGCAGTACCAAATCAGCACGGGCTCAGTTCAATATTTGATATCCGCGTACTGTGTATTCAAGATTGCGCCAGTAAGTCCTCATGCTCTACTTGCCCGACATGACACCTGAGGTGGTTTGTCTGCGTGTTTGTTTGGACTCGCTCTCGTGGTTAATAATCCATCAGACAGACGATCCGTACGAGTAGATACCTTAGGTACGGAGTACGGAAGACTCCGCGTCGGAATCCTTTACCATGTGCCACAACTTAAACTCGTCCCACCCATCCGCAAATCCTCCTCTGGCAGGGACCTATTGCGTAGAGAGGAGTAGGGGAGGGGAGCGCCGGGAGCATGATCAGCACACGTTGGCCGCATCCAGGCCGGCCATCCTTGACCTACCCAAGGCCCAAGGCCCAAGGAGGTGTCTCTTCGACAGCTGACACAAGAAACCTACGGTGTGCGCTGTCTCTATCCTCCCCGAGGCTCCCCGTCGATATGATCCAATGGCTGGGTATGCCACGTTGAGCCGAACCCGCGATTGGTGTGTACAGGGGTTCGACACGCTCAACTCGGGCTTCTTGTCTTTTTGACCTTTCCTCCCAACGGCTCTCGAACCAACAAGAAGGCTGGCCTGCCCAATCAAGCGAGGGGCTACACCAGCCGACGACATGTTCGGGACGTTGAGAAATCTCGCCCTCGGTGTACATGCGCAGTTTCCGCCTGTGCAACGGTGCTTGTACGACTTCGGAGGCAAACATATTTTAACATGCTCTGCTCTGACTGGACGCATCGTGGAGCCCCTATGTGTGGACATTGTCCTAGACGGCGGAGATGAGGGAAATCTCGCCCGGGAACTCATACTGTTGCTTCTAGGTGCGGCTGCGTACCCGTGTTCAACCATTCGCCACAGGGGCACCGCTTCTCTGGTTGAGGTTCATTGTCTGGATGGACACGGAAGCAGACTGGATCTTGTCTGGGGGGTTTTCTTCCAAAAAAAAACCTCAGCGGCCAGCTTGTCTAGCCCAGGTATACCGAAATGTCTTGGGCTACGCAGTGCCGATCAAATCTCAGCTACTTGGCCAAGTGTTGGGTCTCGAGCGAAGGACGAGCAATCTTCATATTGCTGCTGTCGCCTGCATGCTGCATGTGGCACACCGATGCGTGATTGGGTCGCGATTTGGTTTGATAGCACTCGCCACGCCAGCCGAACTCCCAGGCAAAGAGTCAGTTCATTTGCGAGCCTTCACGGTGTCACGGGCTACCATTCCCGTCCGTACATACATGCCTACTCCATACGGCATAAGGCTGCTTAGTGACCGACAACAGTGCAATTTCGTGCTGCTGTTAGCTCTCCTTGTTGGCCGAGGGGAAGGTACCAAGCCGATTCCGCGACTCAGAGACATATTTGACAGCTCGCAGGGACATTCCAGGGAATTTCTGACATCAGGTCTCTCTTAGGACAGACTTATATGCAGGCCAGTATGGCGAGCTCGAGTCCCAGAGAGCTCGTATATGCATTCGAACCTCTAGTCAGCAGTTGCCAGTCGACTTGACCGTTTGGGCGGGTCTTCTTCTGTTTGGTTGGTCCCAGCCACTTCCCTGCCTTTTGGGAAATATGTCTAAATCTTGGTGAGTGGTAAGATTGGGGAGCGGTGTTTCGACAGGAACAAACGACTATCCATGGATAACGGCCCATGGGGGTTGCGAATACACTTTGTTACGTCACGAAAACAAGAAACTTTGGTGCCCGTCTTGAATCTGCACCTGGGGATTTTTTAAAACTTCGCGAGAGCTTGCACCAGTGAGCCATCCACCTGTTTATCTAACGGGAGCCGCAACGTATCCTTTACCCCCTTTTTTTTTCCCCTCTATCGAGCACCAAAGACTTGGCGAGACGTCTACCCTCAAGTGTCTCACGTTCTCACCCAAAGATCGACACCATGCCAGTGCCGAGACCGAACCTTGAACTGCCGCCGCCGGAAGAATGCCTGCCCAAGGACAAGTCGTCCATCTCCTGGCTGCTGTCGTCGTAGTAGCCCGAGCGGCGGAAGGTTGAGCAGAGCCCGCACTCGAACTCGATCTGCCCAGCGGCAGTATCCGTCTCGTCACCGTCATCGGTCGTCTTGGGCTTGGGATCCTCCAACCTGAGGCCGAACTTGTGCTGCAGGCTGTGCTCAGAGACTACGCGGCAGAACTCGCTCAGGAAGTTCGCGTAGCCGGACATGTCGAGTGCGCCGCCGCCATCATCATCAGCATCAGCGGCGGCATACTCGTAGGCCTGGAGACGAGCTTCGCTGTTGACGAAGTAGTGGATCCCGCGGAGTTGCTGTCTTTGCAAGCTGCTTGTTGTGGTCGCTGTTGTGCTGCTCGCCGCTGCTATCGCGACCGGCTTCATGGCCATTTTCTGGGCTGTTGTTCCGCCCCCGCTGCCGTCGCCGTCGCGGCCAGGGTGCGCATCGACCTTGTCAAGCACCATGACCTCGCCGTCGTAGGCAACGTCGCCATGCTTGTGGATCACGTGGATGCAAAAGAGGTCCTTGGTAATGCCGTGGTTGTATAGGAGCTCGCCCAGGTTGCGGAGATCGTGCCAGTAGTCGCGGCGAACCTGGGAAGCGGCGCCGACGAGAGGTAGCGCGTTGTACGTGCTGGCGGACACGAACGTGTCGATCAGGGGCGCCATGGCTGGGACGGGGTCGATGTGATTGCGTGGGTTGTTGTGCCGCCGGTTTTCTCGTGACGGCGGTGGTGTTTTGGGGCTCGTTGGTATAAACCCCCCGCCTGGAACAGTATGGGCGGTGACGTTCAGTGTTTCATGGCTATTGGAGGGGCTTCCAGTGAGTGAATCATGAGATGACTGACTGCTTCCGGCGATATGATGGGTGACAAAGCGGAGACGTTGCGGGCCTGGACCAGCGACCCGGCCAACAAAGAGAAAGGGGCGGCTAGCCCAGTGGAAGCATAGAATGGAGCTGCCACTTAGCACCGCTTACAATATCCGAATTCCATGTTGGTGGCGTTTGCGTTCACGGCTGTCGCCACTCGAGGCTCGTCATCTTAAAGAGTGTTTGCAAGCCAACAAACGGCGCCATTGGGGTCCCATTGTCGCCAGATGTCCACCGCCTCTCGTCTAAACCTACTGCTGCTTCCAGGGTCGCCATAACTTTCCACCCGCATCCGTATCTCACATTGGTGGTGCTTGACTCGTTCCCTACCTAGACACCTCGCCTTGCTGGCTCTCGAGACACTTGAGTTGGCATGAGAGACAGCACCATCCCTCCTCCAGCTTCTACTCAGCCTGTTCAGCAGCCCACAGGAGGCTTCACAACACCTTGGCAAAAATAAAGATAAAAGCAATTCTCTAGATTTGCATATATATTTAGTTTCGTGTACTCAAGAAGTAACTTCCACAGTTAGATGTATCACAAGTGAAATGGCTCATACCCCTGTCCTCAATCACTATGATTGACTTGACCGAGCACCTTGCGCTTCATGGTGGCGCTCAGCCCGGGCACCATGTCCTTCTCCTTGCCGACGAGGTACTCGAGTACGTCGTCCTGGGTGAAGTGTCCGTCCTTCACCAGCGCTGCCAGATAGTCCAGCGGCGTGGCACCGGGTTGCTTCTTGGGTCGCAGCGCCTTGCCGGGCTTGGCTGGCTCGTTGGCGATGTACCGGTCCACGTCGGCCTGGGTCAGCTTTCCGGCGTTGACGACAAGTCTCAGGTAGTCCAGCGGCGGGACGGCTGGTAAGGACGGGGAGGTGCTGTTGCTGGCTTTCGGCCCCCCGACGACGACGGCGGTCGATTTGGTGTGCGGCCGGACCCCGTCTTGCTTCAGCAGCTCCAAGAAAACATCCGTGGCCTTGTCAGCGATCGTTGCCTGCAAGTGCCGCGCCTAGCCATCGAGGGAGTCGATTGTGACCTGGATCTGCCGCCCGTCTAAGCGCTCGTGCGAACACGTCACCTTGTACCTGCCGTGGAGGGGCGATTGCTAGGATCGCGTCACCCAATAGTCATGCTGGTGACCTGTCATGCAGTAAACATTGCCCAGGTTGTCAACTGTTGACAAGGAGGGGGGGGAGAGACCGTGGCCGGGGCTATCTGGTTCTGGTTCTGGTTCTGGCTACTAATCTCGCGATAATGACCCCCGACAATCCAATCCCTGAATGTTTGTTAGTAGGGGAGTTTCCAAGATTTGAAAGGCCTTAATAACTTCGGCTCGTCCTGAAGGTTTTTCGCCGAGGGATGTAGTCGTTATTATGGTCCCTATTATAGAATCTCAGAGGACTTTCTCTATCCTAGAAATACATATCAAAGGCTTTCCTAGCCGGTGTGCTTGCTTGAAAGAGGTGTTCTGTATCCGTCATGGAGGCTGAGCTCGGTGAGATAGGATCTCTAGAAGTTGAATTCGGGGTACTTCATCCTCATCTTGAACGCTCTATAGGTTGTCATCTAATATGGTGAGGTGGATGCAAGTCAGTCAAGCAGTTAAGTAACAATAATAACAATATTTGAGCACAGAAAGGGGTATCACTGTGCTGAATCGGCGCTGTGGTGGCGGGCATGGCTGGGATTTTTCTGTTTATCTGTATCAAGATTTTTAATCGACGGCGGCGACGTACAGCTGGCTCTATTACGGGACGAGTCTGTAACCGAGTATTGCAGTGCTGTTTGATTAATTTGCCTGGTTGGTCCAGAGTAGAGGGAAGGGGGAATGAGACCGCAGGCTGAGTACCGATTACCAGGTTTGATTAACCAGAACGCTGCCGAGCTCTCCCTCTACCTTCCCAAGTACTTATGGCCGGCAACATCGCGCAGTCTGGGTTGCAGTCCTCCCTCATCCATGCCTCTGAATAAGACTGATTATTCCGACGGGGAGATTTGATGATCCCAGAAACGAGTGAGGTGCCCAAGGTTGTTTCCTCGAATCCATCATCTGAAACATGATAAAGGCTTCATGGCCTGGTCGATAACTCAAGGGTTGGCTAGCTGGTAGGGTAGCCTTTTATTCAAAAGTGGACACATAATCCATTCAATTGACAAGCACGACCAGGCTGAACTTCACTTTAATTGCTCTGGCTGTTAACATCCGACGGGAAGATGCAGGAGAAAAACCGACAGCAGACCCCACACTAGGTAATTATAGTCTGAAACTAGATCTAATATTAATTAATGCAAAGCGGGCCTTGTTTCGGCCTTTTCTAAACTTATGTTGTTTACCAACGGTGAGTTGGCTGACCTAAGCAGCTGACTCCTGGTGCCCGGATCCCGGATGTCTGTGGGGAGACGTTGAGAAACGGATGAAAAATAGCGGGAGTAGTGGCATCGAAGGATCAAGTCAAGCGTGAAGCGAAGCCAACGAAGGAGCCGGGCCACGTTAGGGCTGACTGGCATGTATCAAAGATGGCGGGGTGCAGACGTTTCGTCAGCACCTTGCTTGCCTTCCAAAGTTCCAAGAAGGGGCTGGCTTGACCAACGAAAAGGGGGTCCGCCTCGGCTCCCGCTTCCGACAGACACCGACTGCCGTGGCGAGCGACATGGGACGAGGATGGAAGTGGAAAGGGACTTGAGACGCCACTGGATTAGAAAGAGAGAGGAGGAAACAGAGGCGAGCCTAGAGGTGAAAGTGTCAGCCATGGCGTATATCCCTCCATCTTGACAAATAGGTGCCTTCGTAACCAATTTTCTTCCTGCCTCAACGACTCTTGTCCCACCGCGGAGCATCACCTGCCAAATCCCTATCCTTCTCTCCAGCCACCAGGAAAAAAACCTGCTGCTGGCGTGTTTTCGACGCGGCGTGTCTGACGGCCACGGATCGGGGTACGGGGGAGGCGGCATGGCGATGGTAACACGCGCTGCTGACGGCCTATCCACTCGGAAATCATATGGGCAAACATGTGAACGGAAGCGGGAAGAGGCATGGTTGCACGGTAGAGCTGACTGGCAGCTGTGAGTTTGCTTTCACACCCGTGAACCAACCGAGCCACATGGGGGCGAGTGGGACATACCATGCTGCCGGCCGCCCGAGGTTGGCGCAACATTTTTCTCGGCTCTCGCCTGTATAACCAAAACAACCGTGTCTCCAAAGAGGAGAGGGTGGCTGTTGCTTTGCAACTGAAGCCATCGGGAGAGATGAGTCTGGGTAAAGTCTGAATAGATCGTCGGGCCTCGTTTAGACGACCTAGTGTAGACTCTCACGTTCTCTGACAGAAAAGAGGTGGCGAAGCTGCACGCTGCCATGTCCAGCAATATAATATTGCTACCGCATGTTGGCCGTTGATGACGGAGGCACGTGGAAAGGGCCGAGTTCGGGAACATCATGGCACGAACAAGGCTTGTGGCCGTCTGTGTCTCCCTCGCTCAAGGCAAGACAGTTCATCAGTCTTGTTTGTTCGGTCTTCCCACTATGCCCCTAATCGACTTCTGCACGACTCAAAATGGGCGCTCTTCTTGGAAGGGCCTGGAGTATAAAGGAACCATATAGCCCTCACGTCGGACTGTCCATGGCAAGAGAGACAGACACGATCCAGCCTGGCCATTCCGAAGCAGACGATCCCAACCGGTTCAGCCACCAACAGCCACCAACAGCCATCTGTAACTACCTTTCTTGAACCCCCAAAAGAGCTCCAGCCTGCTACCGTCGTCACTGCACCATCATGAAGCCCTCGTGCTTTCTCAGGGCCGCGCCATGGTGGCTGCTCGTTCTGCCGGGACTCGGCTTCTCGCACCTTGGCCCTCCTGACAATTTTTGGGCCGCGGCCTTGGCCGTGGGAGAGAGGCACCACCAGCAACAACAGGCTGTCAGCAAAACCCGTGGGAACCACGGCAGGTCCGGGGTGGACACGACGGCAAAAGTGGTGACCCATGAGGCGGCCGAGTCCCATCATGATGCCGAGCATGCGAAGTGGAGTTGCTTTTTAGCATCGCGCCCCGGGGCGGCCGTCGATGCTGGTGGTTTAGAGGATGGCCTTGACTCTGGCGAAGCCTACGTTTGCGACACGACCAAGGGCCGGTGGTCTCAGGCGTGGCAAATGACTTCGCAGAAGACGTGGCAGGTTCTCAACTTCAGCCGAGGTGAGTGCATGCCTCCAATAAGCAAACTTAGCGACTCGAAACACAAGCTGACCGAGATTTGCCACACTAGCGTTCGAAACAACGCCGAAAGCCCTGTCCCTCAACTTCACTCTCGTCCAAGACAGCGACGGAGCATCGCAGCGCTGTCTGATGTCGATTCCAAACACGGGCCCCAAGGAGAGTTGGTACCATGCTTGGTGCGAGGGCAGCGATAATGCCGGCTTTGGCACTAGCTTGAACAGAAACAGCACCAGCGGTACCAGCGGCACCAGGGGCACCAGCAGCAAATCCACCGGCGGTAACAACAACGGCGAAAGTATTGATGGTGTCATTGGGGACGGTGTCTTCACCATCTCGTGGGGCTACATCAACGGCTCCGCAGACGGCGCAGTTATGACGGTGTGCAAGTGAGTTGAGCCCCCCCAAAAAGACACAATAACTCCTGCTAACCCCGACACCCCAGTCCTGCCACGGGGACAGACGCGTGGTTCGGCTTCGACCATGTCAACACCCAGCAGAACTTTCCCAGCTCGCCCAAGGAGCCAGTGTACGACACGGGCTGCAGCTGAAGGATAAGTAGCATATTCAATGGTGGGTGAGTGAATTGGGGGCCGCTTTACAAGAGCGAGGGAAAAAGGCAGGTAGGAGACGAATAATGAAAAGGGGAAAAGGGAATATGACACGATGAAAGTAATAGAGATCGGGGTAGATTGGAAAAACTAAAGAGATATGGCCTCTGGGTAAAGATCCCTCCTTAATGCCTTGACATCCGTGAATATCAGGGTTGTAGCCAACCTGGAAGATAAGACTTGAGCGCTGCTGGGCTACAGCGTTGGAGTAAGAAGTAGAAGCCTTTCTTTGCCTTGCCATGGCGCGGCAGCCTCGGGAGGGAGTTCCCGTCGAGGCCCGGGCAACCCAACGGCTAGCTGTTTGGGTCTGGTCTGGGGGGGGAGGGGGGAGAGGAAGCGGCTTTGCCCACACCCTGGAAGATTGATGCATCAATTCACAAATGTAGAAAGGTGCCCGTGCAATTGGGGGGCACGCAGCGCACGCCCCCAAAATGGAGTCTCGTCGGTGAGTTGAGGGTGCCGGGTTCCTAAAATAAGAATTGACCACCCAAGTAAGGTAAGGTAGGTAGGTAGGTACGGAATATCGGTGGAATCATGCATTGCAATTGCGTGCGCTGCGTGCCATGGACCCCAATACGACAGACAAGCAGAATGTGTTGCACAAGAACACTCGAGATTGCCGCCATTGCAACTCTACGGCCCAGACCAAATTGGAGACGGAGTGAATATAAAGAAGTCGGTGTTGTGCAGACCAGAGGTTGTTGATGGCGAATCTGGGGCAGACTTCAAGTTGCTGGGAAGTCAGGGCAGAGTTGTCGGGCAGTTGCAGGCAACTTGCCCAAGACTGAAGCAGCTCTGAAAGGAAAGTGCCAGGGCAAAGATCCCGGGCCAGTTGAGGTGGCTGCTGAATGGACCCACTTCCCCAACCTGGGCGCAGCACCTTGCCTATCTCGTCACATTGAAGAGCTTAACTGATCCGCCCCTTTCGCGGCTTCCACACTCCTCCGCACCACACCACACCACCACGCCCCACTGTCCTCCTGTTTGCAGGACAGCTTGTTGGAGTGAATTCTAAATTACTGTATACACCAGTTGTCGCTATTGTGTGACGCTGGCCGCCAGTGGACTTTCCGTACTGTGCATTAGCGGAACTTGTTCGTGCTGGCGAGTGAGCCCAGATTAAGCCGTGTGATATATTCGGCCTGTTAACTTCAATCACAGTGCAACAGCCGTTTCTCGCAAATCACCGAAGCGCAATCAGCGAAAAGGAACAGGCCAGCGGGCCAATGAGAGATGGCAGACTTGGCTCATGCACGTGCTTTGCCAGAAGTACCCAGTCAGTGCGTTTTCTACCATCGGGAACATGAGGTGATCGTCGGCCACCCCCAGTTCTGGTTGGGCTGGCACGGTCCTTCATGCAGCTCTCGAGATCCTGCCCTGCCCTGCCTGCCCCTCCCCCTCTGCTCTTTCTACCCGCTCTGCCGCTGCCGGTGCCCCCTGTGCCCCCGCCATCTCCCCCCCGAAGGAGGGTTGTGAACCCCCTTTCTCCCTGCGCGAGAGAGTTAAAAATAGGTTCGGCCGTCAGTTCAGCGCATCCCGCTTTCATGCTCGCCCATTCCCATTCCAGAGAGCCAAACCCCAGAAGCAGCAGCAGCAGGAACGGTGGAGGCCATTTCCTCGACCAACACCACGCAGAATCAGCCTCCTCATGCGCATCTTGCATCTGCATCTATATCCCACATGTCTTAGTCTCTAATTCTGGAACAATAATCGGAAACAAAACCGCCACCAACCCAATTGCCGACATCAAAGCCTCAATCCATCCATGTTGAAACATGCGTGATCGTTAGTCTGGTATATGAACCTCGTTCACGCCATTTCTCGTCAAAGTCCAGACGGAAGCACGATTGCTCAAGCACCAAGCCGCCATTGGTAGCCTCACCCCGATCAAGGGCAGCAGCGCACACTGGCAGCGGCATTAGACGACGACGAGAGCAACAAGACAAGTCCGCAGTAGGTTGGAAAGCACATCACATTCCCACGGCCACCATGAGGATCGGGTGTCTCCAGTTCGCCCCAAAGGTTGGCGATGTCTCCAACAACCTCTCCCGCGCCGACGCCGTCCTGGCCAAGGCCGACGCCATGGAGCTCGACAACCTAGACCTTCTCGTACTTCCCGAGATGGCGTTCTCAGGTAGGCTAGCTATCCCGGACCATCCCGCCGGCGTGGTCGCCCAACTAACCCGCTCCCAAGGTTACAACTTCAAGTCAGCCGAGCACATCGAGCCCTTCCTTGAGCCCTCGGGCTCTGGAATTAGCGCGCTCTGGGCCCGCACCACGGCTCTCAAGTACGACTGCACCGTCGCCGTCGGGTATCCCGAGAAGGTCGGCAGTCCGTCTCCCGAGTACTACAACTCACTCATCCTCGTCAATGGCGATGGAGAGACCGTCGCCAACTACCGCAAGAGCTTCCTCTACTACACCGACGCCACGTGGGCCTCGGAGGGCGACGGCTTCTTTGGGGGCCCCGTCGGCGAGTTTGGTCAAGTTGCTATGGGCATATGTATGTTCCCCCCCAACTCGCATCTGCAAGTACCACGAGCTGCTAACACTGGTCTCGCTAGGCATGGACATCAAGTATGCGACCGGCTTTTCTCCTTATCCCACCCCCATGCCCCGTGCCCCGTGCCCCGGCTAACATGATGCCAGTCCCTACAAGTTCCAGGCTCCCTATCACGCCTTCGAGTTTGCCTTCCACGTCCTAGAAGTCCGCGCAAACCTTGTCATCCTCTCCATGGCCTGGCTCACGCACGAGGACCAGGCCACCTTCACTCCGTTTGCCCAAGAGCCCGACATGGAGACCCTTACCTACTGGGCGCAGCGACTAGAACCCATCATCCGATCCGACAACGACGACGAGATTATCGTTGTCTTTTGCAATCGCTGCGGCATCGAAGACGAGGTCGTCTACGCCGGCACGAGCGCCGTTCTTGGCGTCAAGAATGGCGAGGTTTCCGTATACGGCCTCCTTGGTCGTGGTGTTAAGGAACTGTTGGTCGTCAACACCGAGCTGCCTCCATTTGCCAAGCTCGTCAATCGCACCGAAACACCCATGCGCGCCGGCTTCGAGCCTTCGCCAAAATCCCCAAGACGCTCCGGGAAGGAGCCGTCCAATGCCCCGCCTTCTCGGTCCCCAGCATTGCCTCCGGCTAGCCGCGGTCAGGCGGGTGGGGCGCAGGCTCCAGGGAGCATGAGCCGCGGCCAGGTGAGGCCGAAGTCACGGGCACCTGCAGCTCCGTCGTCTCCGCGTCCCAGACAACCACCTTCACTTGCCGACTGCGAAACTAGCAGTGAATACGATGAGCCCCGAGATTACGAGGTATGCTCGGGCCGGTGCGGCGGGTGTAAGGACCACCCCCAACCTGCGAAGCTGGGAGCTCCGAAACCCCCTACGCACTCCCGGCCAACGCCCGTAACCCAGCGGCCGAAGCTAGCAATCTCGACTGGGCCAGAGATAATCGCCCCTTTTACGTCGAAATTGCCTCCTTCGGGGATGGATTCCGGGGCTATTTCATCCAGAGGCGATATCGGCACGCCCCCTGTCACGGCTTTTGACGACTTTCCATTGTCTGCGTACTATTGGCCCTCGTCAGCACATCCCCTCTCAGCAGCCGTGTACACGCCACCTGAGGACTCGGTCTGGCCCTTATACGACGACACCGTCAAGGTGAATGTCGAACCCAAAACTCGGCGTGCAGTCGAACAGGTAACGCCCGTGGCGCGACCTGCATCACCCAAATCCCGCAACGCAAGCCAAACTCGGTCGCCTCAGTCTCCAGGCAGAGGCAACCTTTGGCCACCCGGACAGGCCTCTCCCATCAGCAGCAGCCGCTCTAGGACCCGGACAGCCGGGCCGCCTTTGCCTATCAAGAGCGCTCGGCCGAAGATACGGGCAATTGAGAAGCTAGCGTCGCCTTGTCCCACCCCGCGATCGGCAGTCTCCGATTCGACGTGGGCCCAAAAGAGAGATGAATATTTAGCTGAAGCCGCCACCAGGAAGCTAAGGCAAGCTCGATCGGTAGAGGATCTGAAGGCGAAAGCCCGCTCCAAGCATTCGATCACGATCGCCGCGAGCCCAAGTGTCTTCAAGACCTCCTTCTCCCCTCAGGAGATTGCCACCAAGGTACCGGCGCGGCCCGAGACTCGCTTGGGCCACCATGGACTGCGAAAGAGCAAGTCGATCATCAACGCGGCTCCGATCTACCAGTCCCAGGCGCCGCCTCTGCCGCGGTCGCCGCTCGTCAAGACCCTCCCTTTTCGCACGGCGGCCAAGGCCCAACACCCCACTATAACCATCACCTCGACCTCTCCCTACCCTGAGCTCGCTGTCGCCGAGGACGAGGTCTATTTTGGCCACACGATACCCCGGGACAGGGGACGGAGACAGCGCGGCTACTCCAACGACCGCGAGGCGCCCGCCTGCTACTCCCCCACCGAAGTCCGCTCGACCATCTCCATCTAATACGTGGCGCGCTGCGCTATTTCTTTCGTCCTTGTTGGAGGGGGGGGCTTTTGGCTTTTGGGCTGTACAGTACGGTACATTATTCTCGGATCAAGCGTGGCGAACGGAGCTGGAGGCACTTGGCGTGGGATGCAATCATTACATGAATTTCTGGCGTATTGCATATTTCTGGGGGATATTGCTCTTTCTTTCTCTCACATTTATCTTGTTAAGATTTTGGAGGAGGGCTTTAGAGAGACGCGGAGGGGGATAGGCGCAAGGAGACAAAAAGAACCTTACCTACGCTTCTTTAGAATCTGGCGGCGAGACTGACACTTTTGGGTTGCCAAAAGCCTGTCGTCTCTATTTACCTGCCTTTTATTCTCGTACATATCTGTTTATGTATTTACATTTCTATCGAGACGGAAGTTACCCGTTCCTTGTCGTACTATGCAGCGTCTGCATATACAGACACTGCTTGCCAACCTGGCAGCTTAACATGTGTTATCCATCCGTATCTCAGTGTGTGCGTGGTGATGGTATAAGCCATTCCGCTTTTGTGATAGATATAACTGTGGAAGTCCCTCGTCGAGCAGATGAAATACAATACCCATCCATCTACAAACACACATACAATATTTGCCAAATACCGTGCTCGCAAGTCTCAAGAGCATGGAGAATAAAGTATGAGGCATCCTGCTACGAACGAACGACAGCCCAGTACAGTCCAGCCCAACCCATTCTAGGAAGGCAGAGCAGAGAATAAACGAGCCTACACCGGCGCGACTGCTGATTATCTACCTAGCTAGATAGCCGCATGCGCGGTTCCATGTTCCATTATCGTTGGCAAAAGCCGCGGCGTAAGACCGAGACTACTACTCACATGGTCGTGGCCAAGCTATTTCCTTCCTTCCTCCGCCCCTTGACTAGGTACCTCACCTCAGTCGCCAAGGTGGGTTAGGGTAGAGAAAAGTCCCTCGGTCTCGGTTCCTCCGCGCTTTTCATCCATTGTTTCGTGTTTCATGTTTCTCGGTGAGAGGCGTATGTGGGTGGGCGGGGTCTTGGCGACAGGAGCTCGCTGCTGCTGCTGCTGCATGGACACTGCAGTTGACTTGCACGTACTTACCCAAGGTAGGCTGTCAGCAGCCTGCAGAGATCTGACTGCTTAGTGGACAGGCACTTACTTGGTGAGCAGGTAAGCACTTGGAGAAGATCGTGCTAGAGAAAACCCCTTTAGAATGTTTCGAACCCAGCACTAGCTCGGATGTTGTCAGGCTGACCGGCGGCCAGCCGGGCATTTTCGACCATTCCTCCGGCCTCCGTCGGCACATTCACCAGGTTGGAGGTTTCGAATGCCGAGAGCTCGGGCTCGGTGCGCTTTGTTCTCTTGAATCTAATTTTTTTTTTGGTCGGGTATACAGGTAGGTGCATACAAATTACAAAATTTTATACAGCAATATATCCAAAACACCTCGTCACAGGCGCTTCAATTATTCCCCGGTCACACTGCATCGCCGTGACCCGCGATTTATTTCGAGTTCACACGTGACTCGTTTTCTTCCCCTGAACCCCCTTACCCCACCTCTAAATGTCTTTAAAAGGGGCTCAAGCGGCGCAGACGCCTGGCTGTATGCACCCGGCGGCCGCGCCACCTCCTTCCTCTGGCTTACTCTTTCAAAAGCCTTTAACTGAGAAGCTACTTCGACGGCGCAGATTTCTAAGCACCAAAGGGGTGGCATCTCAATTCCAAGGGCGTCGAGGAAGGGCGTCAATTTGACTGCGTTTTCTGTTGCTCTGCGAGTATGTGGAAAATCGCGCGCCTTCTCGGAAGGCGTCGGCGTGCTCTGGCTGTTGGCAAAGGGAGTAGTTGCGCAGCTTGTGAACACCGACTTCAGCCGTTACCCGCACCCGAGGATACAAGCCTTACAGCTTCTGGGCGGGGTTGCCTTTTGTGAATGATCCAGTAGACACCGATGTCACCTATCCCGACTTGAGTTCTAAAGATGGCCTCCAAAGACCCTGCGGAGATGTCGCCGGAGAAGATGGCTGCACGATGCCGAGTGGCGTTTCAAAGTGACGCGAGGCATCCGACGACATTGTCCAGCCCCTGAGTCTTGGAGACGTCACGAGGGCCAGGCTGGTGGGAAGGTGCTCATATGTCGGTGGAGATGGGAACTGAAAGCTGAACTCTCGAGACGGACGGTGTAATGGCCGAGGCGATGTCACCGAAGTCGACGAGCGTGCCGTGAGCCGGCTTGTAGAGGGTGGGGGAGGTGGTAACGGGGCTCTGGGAGGAGGGACCCTAACCCAAGGCTCTCCTGTCGGACTAAGATATATGGGCGGAGGACGACGAACTGCTCTCGTGTCTGGTGGGTTTGGACGCCGCCTAGGCGGCCCAGTGTACCGCCGACCGGCAACGAGTCTCCCGTTATTAGCTGCTGCTGGGTCTTGAACTGTCTGCTGGCGGTTATATCCAATGCCGGTAATTCCAAGCTCGGCAAGGCCATGTGTCTCGGCGTGCGACGCGTGGGTGAAGTTCGCTTTGCTGATGGGACTGTTCGGGATATAGTTGCCAAAGCTTTTTCTCTTCGCGATCCTCGATCGTCGTCGAAAGAACATGATAATGAGAGCGACAACGCTGATGACCAGAAGCGAAGACCCCGCGCTGATTGTCACAACGGTGACAGTTGTGAGCGGGTTGTCGTTTGAGGCAACTGACTGGGTAGGATTTGAGGGAGTGGTCACCTCCTCGGTGCTAAAGAGAGGGCCCTTGATTCCAAGGGACGAGCCAGAAGTCTGAACTTGGGAGCAGCCGGCATCAAAGGCAGTGAGGACTATTACGTCGTGTGTAAGCATTTGGCCGTGAATACATGGGCGATGTCGGACTTACAGTTTGACATGTACGCCTGGCCGTTGTTCCGGAGACACTTAGAACAAGAGGTGGCTTGCTGTTGAAAAGAACTGTCCCCTTTTACGCAATACTGGAGCTCCGGCAATGAGGAGCTCAAGGGGGCATCGGCAAAGGAATCACGGAGGCCGCCACACTGGCTGTCGGCAGCGCAGCTGGTCGGCAACTTTGTCTCGTTCTGGGTCGAAAATAGGCAGGAATCGAGGGTCGAGCGCAGGCTGTCTGGTGGTAGTGTCAGCATACGCGCCATGGGATGGAGAATTTATTGCAGCTTACAGACAAACCAGTAGAGGTCACTCTTGGCTCCAGTGACACTTGTGCTGGTCTGGAGGCAGTTGATACACGACTGGAAAGCACGGCCGTTCGGAGAAGAATCGAATTCTTTGTCGGTGCATGCAAGGGGTTGGTCCGCCAATGCTCTCGGGTTCGCGCCGGGCTGTCCGAGGGTGACTGAAAGGCAAGACGAGGCACAGGCCGAGTCGGAGGAAACCTGGAGCGCCAGGCCCCAGTGACAGAGAATAGGCCAGGCAACGAGAACCTGGCACCAGCGAGAATAATGCATTGTTTATCTCGGCTGGCGGCAAGAGAAAGGAAAAGACAAGGAAAGGAAAGGAAGATGAAGGAACGATCCCGCCTGCCTGTACATACCTGGGGTAGTATAGGGTAGGGAGGATGGGGAGGGCGAGGTGGATGAGGTTGAAGAGGGGAGTCCAGAGCTTTAATGGATCACGGCTCCTGGCGAGACGGGAGTCAATCCAGCTTGCCGGGTGGCCGTGGAACCTAAGGTACCTTGGAGCTAGAACTACCTTGCCCTGGGAAGTAGGGCTGGCCGTGTGGGTGCCGGCACACCGAACAGGCCAGAATGCCGCCACATGGTCTGCATCTAAGAGAGCCGGGCCGTGGCCGCGCATGCCAAGGGGGATTGGTGGTCTACCTGGGTACTACTTGAAGGTAGACCTCGGACGGGGAGGTGTGGGGGAGGGCATGGAGATGGAGATGGAGGTGGTAGTGGTGGTGGTGATGATCCACGACCGGCATGTAGGTACTAGGTAGTCCTAGGGCCAAGCTATTGGGAGGTGTGGTGTGCAAGCCAAGCCAAGCCAAGCCAAGCCATCTGAAGGTCAGGTACTAGCAGCAACGAGGGCACTAAAAAGCCGGGCAGGTATCCAAGGTCCCCAAGATAGAATGCCATGGGTCAGTAGAGGCCGTTGGGCGGACAATCCATGGAAGGCGCATCATCGCAACTAGCGGAGGTAAGATCTTGATAGAGATGGGAAAAGTGCCTTGCTTCTCTGGGTGCCTGCTTGTGTGCCTTCCTGGGTGCCTGTGGTTCCCTCGGGCGGCCCAAAGTTGGCTGTCCTGGTCGGCCGCTAAGGTACCACCACCTACCTTAGGCAGTTCTGCCCTGGGCTTGGCACCGATCTTGGATAGGGTCGAGACTTCCCGAGATGGAGTGTATGTACGTGTCCTCCGTACGCGGTGCAGGTGTTTGCATGGTGACACACATGGAAACAAGGCAGGCGGGCCCTGCGGGTTTGCTCCTTCCCGGAAGTGGCATTGCGAGAAGGAATTCGTCTATCGGACCTGCGCCGCACAATCCCTTCTCTGAAATGCGGCCGACGCCTAGCCCAAAAGGGCTATCCGCCTCGACAAAGGACAATGCATGCGGTGCGGCGCTGGCAATGCAAATAGACGGGTGGGTGGTGGTAAGAATCGACGGGGGCCAGTCGGCGCTTATTCATAGGGCTGCCAAGACTTAAACAAACCGGCAGTCGGCTGCCGTCCTAATCGCGATACCGAATGCATCCCAAGGCGTGAAGAGGAGAAGATGACCCGAGATAGGGGGCTTATCTCTAGTTTTTTTCTCTAGTCTCCAGAGCAAGCTTCGCTGGAATCAACATGAGGCTGGTCGCCATGAACCTTGAAGAGGTGAGGGGGAGAGAGAGGTTGTTTCCAGATTCCAGATTCCACAGATCCAACCCCCCTGCCAAGTTCCAACAGAGAACAGACCATCGACGGCATCGAGGCCCAACAAGCGCCATGCCGCGCTAAACTGGCAAACCGAATCCAGACTCGACAGCAACACATACCCCGATTTGGACGACATCATGTCCCCAAGTTGTGCCCCAGTGGTGGGAAAGACGCGAGGCATGCATGGTACATTGGCGCCATCGCCGTCGTGATTGGTTGTCGGCCTGCGAAGCGCTCGCTTGTATGCATGACATCCAACTGGCTTTCCTATTTTAGCGGAGAATCCATGTCTAGCCGACTCGATGGCGGCGCTTGCGCCCACCACTAAATCAAGCGCGGTGTGGCTCGGATCGTTTTATTGATGTTCTTTTGGAATTCGAGATCGTCGACGACACCACCAGCACCAGCAGCAGATCGTGGCAACCGCCTGAGGTGTACACCACCTCACTCACACTGCGCGATCTCACCTCCTAATCTCCACAACAACAGCGCGCTTAACGGGCGTAGATGACGATGGCGGCTGTGGCTGCGGCAAAGAGCCGCGTGGTCTTGACACACACAACGTCTTGTTGGGGCGGGAGTTGAAGGCTTGGCAGGGCGGTTGTTTTCTGTTCCGATCTCCCCTTGTCGATCCAACTTTTTTAGTTTACACGCGTAGAATTCCGGATTCCCGGGACGTGGTGATTCCTCTTGCATTGCCATTGCCAAGACGTCGATGAGGGGGGCTGCTGGACAAGCGCACTCGAGATTTCGAGTGTTGGCACCATGTACAAAGGCTAGCTGGTGTTCCGTACATGCCTTTGCGACTTATAGCGGTCGAGGTTGGCCGCATTCTCTCGACGACACTCGGACGAAGAGGGATCGATTACGAAGGATGTACAGAGTAGATAAGTGAAAAGATGAGATGATGGACCCGATGCCAAGCTTCTTCCCGCGCCCCGCAATCTCATGTCGGAGCCAGCCGAACAGTGCAAGTCTGCGAAACAAGCACACAGTGGAGACTCACCTCTGAGATAAACGCTTTACGAAGATCAACAAGCTTGTTTGGTTGCTTTCAGACAACGTTGGGGGCCACTGGCAGCGTTTGCCCAACTAACTGAAGTTACACCATTCTAGAGGAGAAATCCATTGGTTGCTGGCACTAAGGACCGCCTAAGAGGGCAGTAAGCTGACTTTGGAGACATCACAGGCCAGCGACGCCTTCAAATGCTGTCTTGGAACACTTCAGTGTTAGTTTATCATTGTGGTATGGTCATCGCAAGAACGCCGGGTGCTCAACCGTGGAGCGGTGAGGGAGGTGAATTGCAAGTTCAAAATCCCCAGAGGCTCGGATCGAAGTGCACGTGAGCACCACCTTACCTAACAACCGAATCCGCTCCCGTCACTTCAAGCTTTTCCCTTTCGAGATGGAACCACTTGCAGGTCGCCCTCGGGGCAGATGATGACGAGATAGCGCAGGGGACGATTGTAGCTGGACGACACCTGCGTGGCGGCTCACCCGTCACACCACACATGGCTTCCCGTGCAGCCAGTCAGATTTGCAGCTAAACTTTGTTTGGGTAGCACGATTGCCTCGGCCATCCAATCGCAGGAGAGATGGTCCACGGGAGAGACGAGGTCATTGGACGCGGAGTCGGCTCCAGTTGCTAGACTGCAGGCGTCCAAAGGCGCGTAAATTTCTCTCGTGGGCGGGGGCTCCCACTCCCACAACGCTCCAATTGGCACGAGTATTTCGCCATCCCGCAGTCCCCAAGATCTGGGGAAGCTAAAGACGGAATGGATCTCAGTTTCGCCAAAAAGGTTGTTTGTTTCCTTGTGCAAAACCCCACGGAATTCACATCGCTCCCGAGCCGTTTATTACCGAGAATGTTGATGGAATTATAACGTCTACCTACCTACACCACGTGGAATGAGCGCACCTTTAGCCGAGCGCACTGTGGGAAAGGGAGCGAAAAGCGAAGATCAGAGACTCCCCATCACATGAGGTGCATGAGGTTCGGGAACTCTTCGATTTTGGTCGGGGGGTCGACGTATTAAACGCGAGCGCAGCTTCGCGAATGACCTGACCCGAGTTTGGTGGTGGTGGTGGTGCGGCCCCTGGGCCCCCAACTCCAACCCCAACCCCAACTGGACAAGCAAACAGATGCGACGATCGGGCACGAGAAGGGCAACAATCTTGGGCAGACGGACAGAGGGCACGTCGGGCGCCTGGCCGCATGAATGAATCCGGGCTCTGAAGACGTCTCGAGTTGTCGACCGTCTTGCCGGCGCGCCTTTTAAATATTACTGCCCATTGCCTACCAGCAGCAGCAACCTGCCCGGGCAGAGACGAGGTAGGTTGAGGGTGAGCGTGAGATGCTCTCTGGTGGGGGATCCCAACCCCTGAATGAGTGGAGGAGGGCGCTATGTTAGTTACCTGTGCTGTGGTTCAACGGGGGCGGCGGGGTCCCCTGCGAGTTGCGAATGAGCATCAATGCCATGTCCGCTCTCACCAGCAGCCCGGCGCTTAGGGGTCCGACGTTGTTGGTTGGGTTGGGCGTTTCCTCCCCCGGCCTCCCGTTCTCTGCCCACTGTGGGGGAGGGCTACCCCACGGACTCGCAGCATCCTGCCCTGCCCGTGACCCCCCCGGCCAGGCCAGACCATGGCTGAGGGAGGAGAAACCTCGAAACAACTACCGTCTGCTACCCTTCCAGCCTTACGAGAAGAAATTGTCTATTATTGCTATTGTCGTCGTCGTCGTCGTCGTCGCTGTTGTCGCCGTCGTGTGCTTGTTGACGTCCTTTTATCTCGAGCTGAGGAGAAACGGGGAGAGGGTGTTGAGGTTAGGTGCAGTGTTGTCTTGTGTTGCTTCCTTTGTTGCTGGACAGAACGAACCCCGACATTCATGATGGCTACTGCGCATGAACTCTACTGAGTCCGATCAGGCCCGACGAACAACCTGATCAGACTGCCCTTTTGCCCAGCCCAGCCCAGCCCTCGTCTCGATCCGTGAGAAGCAGAGACTCCTCCCGGTGTGAGGGCTATCATTCGAACCTACGACGACATTTACCTCGGCACTATTATCCCGCCCGCCCGTCCAAGACAGGATGAAGATCGCTTGTTTGCAGTTTGCGCCACAGGTCGGCGATGTCGACAACAACCTCAACCGTGCCGATGCCATCCTCAGCAGAGCCGGCGCCGACGATCTCGAGGGCCTTGACCTGCTCGTGCTCCCAGAACTTGCCTTTAGCGGTAGGGATCCCTCGCTGATCTGGACGAGGACGTGGACGTGGACATGGACACGGACATGGATGGGCGCTTTGCTGACATGCCACGCGCGCAGGCTACAACTTCAAGTCGCTGCAGCACATCACCCCCTTCCTAGAGTACCCGGGGTCCGGCATCAGCTCGCTCTGGGCCCGAACAACGGCCCTCAAGTACGACTGCGCCGTCATCGTTGGCTACCCGGAAAAGGTCGACGTCACCGCCCACTGGCCAGCCTCGCCCGAGTACTACAACTCGTCCTTTATCGTCAACGGCGACGGCGAGACCATTGGCAACTACAGAAAGTCTTTCCTGTACCACACGGACGAGACGTGGGCCTTAGAGGGCAGGGATGGCTTCTTCTCGGGCCAGATCCCCGGCATGGGCAACGCCGCCCTCGGCATCTGCATGGACCTCAAGTGCGCTCCTCTCCCGCCCCACGCTTGCGATAAACCAATTGACTAACTGACTGACTTGCAAAACTACAGCCCCTGCAGCTTCGAGACGCCGTGGAATGCGTTCGAGTTTGGCTTCCACATCCTCGAGGTCGAGGCAAACGTCGTAATCCTGACCATGGCCTGGCAAACAAGTCAGGACACGCGCCTATTCAGCCGCCGGCCACAGGAACCTGATCTCCAGATGCTCGTCTACTGGGTACAGCGCCTCGAGCCCGTCATTCGCGCGGAAAGAGAAGAGGAAATCATCGTCATCTTCTGCAACCGGACCGGGGCTGAAGACGACGTCATGTACGCCGGCACCAGCGCCGTCATTGGCATCAAAGGGGGCGAGGTCTTTCTCTACGGCCTTCTGGGCCGCGGAGTAAAAGAGCTTCTTGTAGTCGACACCGACGCCGCACCCATCAGCAAGCTGACTGATGTTGGTGGTATCGAGTTCGAGTCCACCTCGCACCCGGAGGAGACGGCATCCGACCTCGCGAGCAACGGACCGGAGACAGATGGCCGCCACCCCGCGGCCGCCGGAGCCGGAGCCGGAGCCGGCAACGCGTCGCCTACAGAGAATAGGTCGCGCCAGCCAAACGGACACGACTTCCCAAGGCCCAAGTCTCGGCTAGGGTCCCGGCCGTCGCCTTCGGCTCTGAGAGACGAGCCGAAGCTGCTGCCCAAGCTACAGATCCCGGTTACCCCATACCTTGACGGCCTGATGTCGGCCGGCAGCGGCATGTCGGACATCATTGAAAGTCCTGACGATCACAGCCCACTGGCTCTTGTGCGGCACGAGCCAAAATCCAGGGGGCAGATACCGGTGCCACCGTCGCCGTGGAGATTCAACAAGAAACCAAGCACGTATCCCTCCGACGCGGCAAAGCCCCAGGTCTTTGGAGGAAGCGTGTCCATCACGCCCATCGAAGCAGTGCCTCCCGTGTCGATCATGTCGCCGCTGCGAAAGTCTTATTTCTGGAACCCCAACCAGGCGCGCACGCCGCCTCCGGCCGCCGAGAGGACGCAGCAAGGCGGTCGTGACTCACGGGGACCATCAGAGTTCGATTCCGCGCCGCTCGCAGACCACCCGCTCTACCGCACCCGCTACTCTCCCGTCTCGCCCAGGCCCCTTATAGACACTCTGAACGGCGCAATAGAACAGCACCACCCGGAACCGGGGCGAGACTACTCAGACGACCATTCAGACATAGAGCTGAGCCACTCGGAAACAGACGAAGCCTATTCAGGAGCAGAGCAAGCGCACGATCACGAGCAGGACCACGACCACGACCACGACCACGACCACGACCACGACCAAGACAACGAGCATGAAGACGGCGACAGCGCATCCTTTCAAGACTGGGACGAGCTGGATGCAGTCCTTGAGAGCCTGAAGAGCCTGCGGACCGATGCCGAGCGACGTCCCGGCTCGGCATTTGACCGGGGGCCGCAGGTGGCGGCGACGCCGCCGCCGCCATACGAGCCGACCGAGAGTCCCTGCCCAGACAGGCCGAGCTCGCCCAAGTCGCGCAACGTATCGCGCAACACGAGCCGCCAGCCGGCAACCCCACTGTCTGACCCCGTCGCTGGCGAGCGCGAGACGAGCCTCTCGCGCGCCTCCATCATGGCCACCACAAGCCCGAGCCCCTTCCAAGGCGACTTCGACTTCTTGGACTCGTCCCAGCAGCAGCACGCGATGATCCCCATCTCGGCCAGCCCGAGCGTGTACGGCGGCCGCCGGAGCTCGCAGGACTCGGGCGGCGGCGGCGGCGGCGCGGGGGGCGTAATCGCCCGGCCCGCGAGCCGGTTCGGCCACCGCATAGGCGGCGGCAGCAAGGCGCCGCCGGCTGCCGGGGGGATGCGAATCTCGTCCTTAATCGGCAGCCACGGGAGGAGCAGGTCCCTGCCGGGCGCCGAGCAGGGCAAGCCGGGCCTCCGGAGCGTGAGCGTGCAGCCCGCCGGCGAAGAGCGCGGCGGCCGCGGCGTCGTCGGCCGCCCCCGCCAGCGGTCGCTGCTGAGACACGCCATCTCGAGCTCGGCCGAGCCCGACGACAACAAGCCCGATGCTGCAGATGATGACAACGACAATGACCCTAGGTCTCGGAAAGGGCTGTACCGCAAGCTCGAGGCTAGCAATAGCGACAGCAGCGAGCCGAGGCCGCGGAACGTGAGCCGCGGGCGCCAGCCGGCGGCCCGCGGGACGTCGGTCGAGCGGTCGACCTCGGTGGGGCCGACGCGCAGCCAGGTCTCGCGGCGGCGGTCGTCGGTGGCGTCGCGGGCGCCGTCGGTGCCGATCCGGCAGGCCAACGACCTGTTCTTTGACGTGGCTGTCAGCAGCCCCATCAACAACTACAACATCAACAACAACAACAATTCCGGCATGGAGCTGCAAGGCCTCGGCAACATCGACCTGGGCGCGCTGCAGCTGTCGCCCGACGACGAGCTGGTCGGCAGCATCACGCGCATCTCGCCGCACTGCCCGCGCCACGGCGTCAACTCGCCGCGCAACAACATGCGCCGCGTCGTCCGCACCGCCACGCTTCTCGACGGCGATGACGACGACGAGGATATCTACTTTGCCGACGGCAGCCTCCTTGACGGCAGCCTCCTCGACGGCAGCATCATCATCATGGACGACGTCGGCAGCCCACCACCGCCACCGCAGCAGCAGCAGCAGCAGCGCCTCCCGCCGCCGCCCCTGCTGCCAACCTCTCCGGCCTCCTTCTTCACCTCCGTCCTCTCGCCCGTGCCCCCCTCGGCCACCTCCACGCTGGCCAACAGCCCCGGCCCTCTGACCCCGCGCTTCGAGTCGCTCGTGCCCGCGCTCGTGGCGCCCGCGTCTGCCGAGGACCTTGGTAGTCTGCTAGGCGGCGGCGGCGGCGGTCTAGGTCTAGGTCTGGCGCTTAAGCAGCACCAGCATCAGCAGGAGCAGAGTAGTAAGGATGGTGACCAGCACCAGCACCAGCACGGTAGTAGACTGGTTTGGTGAGGCGACTCCAAAACATGAAAACATATGACGACGGTGCAATGTCTTTTTTTTCTCTTTCTTCGTTGTATTTCCCGTGTCCGCGTTATAACGTTTTCCTGTTCTTCGTTGGTTCTACCGTCGTATCTTACTTGCCATGCCGTCCGTCCCATGGGATGGGCGCGGACTCGGGAGGGAGGCGTATTTTATTTTTTGTTTGTTTGTTTCCAACCGTTTCCGCGTACCTACCGATCATAACTGCCTGCCTTGCATGGGATGGTATGGTATGTACCCCCCTACCTCATGTATGTACGGATGCATCGGCTGAGCACCACTGCTAGCACCACGCCCCCGCTATGGATGGCATAGCATAGCATGGCTGGCCTGGGAATGATGATGTATGATGAAGAACAGCCCTGAGCTGTTTTGGTCTTTTTTCTTCTTCTGAGTGGGGGCGAGGCGAGACGAGAGTACGGAGCCATGACGCAGAGAACGTACCTACGCATGTCTGTACATACAAACAAACAAACATACTTGGATAGCAGCAGCAGAGACCGCCGCGGTCGAGGTTGTCTAATCTGGATATCAGGTAGGCAGGTTGGATGAAGAGAGGTAGGCCGGTGAGGACGGCGGATAGATGGATGATAAAGGCAGAATAAACGAGGAAAACAATGATGATTTTTTTTGTTTAACTTTATCCAGTTTGTCTCGTGATGAGAACGTAGAGGGGCGAGCCTGAACTCTCTTTGCCTCTCTGGCTTCTTTATCCAATACATCTGGGAATACACGCAAAGACTGAACTCGCAGACAGGCGGCGCGGTGATTTGCCTCTCCCCCTTTTCTGCTCTTGCTGCACTTGTCTATGCGCAGGATCTATCGCTCACTCACGCCCTGCTAGTCACGGAACAAAGAGAACATTTGGGCTTCATGGATGTGATACCTATCCCCGTGTCAGGAAAACGAGGAGACAGCCATGCTCTGGGCGGCGGCCCTCTCCGAACGGCATGGGATGGCATGGGATGGGTACCGTACCATATGGCGAGGGGGGAGCCATCTTTCCAGGGGGGTGAGCGTGTGGGTGGGTGCAGTAGCGGACCTGACAGGAAGGGAAAAGGGGCATCGCCATGCATGTTGTCTTTGCCGCTGAGGGTTTTTGCCTATTACAGTTCTTACATTGCAATAACATGCATCGCGCCGTGCATGTGGTAGCCATACACACACACGCACGCACACGCACGCGGTGTGACGTTGGCGTCGAGGAGGCTCCGCGAGGAGGACGAGGTAATAGCATGCAAGCGCTGAATCTACTCGATCCGCTCGCTTGGCCGTGACTACTACCAGGTATGGAATGTGTTTCGAGCGAGTTTTGCAGCAGCCGGGGATCGCATCTCTTTGTTGAGCCCCCGTGAGCGTCATCACACATGATTTCCAGGGGAAAGAGTCGAGAACGTCGAGAACGTCCAAGGGAGAGCAACAAAAAAGGAGAAAGCGGACCCGGTGGTTTGGGTTGCCGCCCGCCTGCCCGCCTCCACCGACCCGAAGTGGAGGGAAAAAGTATTGTGTTCTGCCAGGCACATGGCGCCCGGCGCTATGCTATGCCGTGTGGTTGGCTGTCCGTTCCCAACACCTGGGCTCTGTATCGTGTACATTACATTACCTTTTGGGAAGAGAGTTGGTCCGGCACCTTTTCGGATTCTGCTAGCTGGCGTTGCAATAGGTAACCACCACCACGGTCGACCGACGGTGGAGTCAGCAATCAATGCTCCGTCCTCCATTCTCCATTCTCCATCCCCTTCCCGCACCCAAAGCAAGGAAAGCCCGTTGGCAATAAGACGTCCCAGGGGCGCTAAATACAGGGCCGCAAAGCTCGATCATAATACAACGTTGGCCGTGTTCGGCATGCATTGTGTGGAGATGATCAATAGAGCCAAGATTATTACTCTGCACAGAGAGATGATGCCATGGCAGCCGCAGTCGCCGTCGGCCAGTTGCAACTTTGTAATGACGGCATGCAGATGCTCGGCGCGTCGGTTGGTCCAGGCTCTCGGGACAATAACCTTAGCCCTCGACTCAACGCAACGCCCTCTCCAGGCGCGAGAATCCTGCGCTCGGGAGGCTCCGAGGGGCGAGGTAGGACGAGGAGAGCATGATGATGACATGATGCGGTCAATCTTTCGTTCGCTCTTTTGATGCTGCCTTGGTCGTATTGTTGCTTGCGTATTGTTGCCCGTATTCCGCCGTCAGTCTCTCGGATTCGATTCGATGCACATGGAGTGGGCAAGACACCGCCAGAGCGCGGCCACTCACACCAGAGTCCAGACCTACGACGGATACACGTATAGCATGGATGGACCCGACGCCTATCTGAGCCTCTGGTTATCGCATCGCCTCTCTGCAAGATATAGGCTAACAACCAAGTTCATAGCGATCAGCAACGAGGTGGGGTAGAGCTAATGTTGTGCGACCAAACGTCGTCTCGAACTTGGCAAGTTCTGCCAGCCAGGCACGGTGCAATGTCCTGGAGCGCACGGCAGTCCTTGGCGGGTTCGTCTAGACGCACACAGGCTACAGCAAAATCCCGCCAGTTGGGCATCTCAGAAGTCGGGGTGCCTGAGGACGGGCGCTGACGACCAACAACTGGTGAGGTGCATGAAGTTGGAGAGATGAGAGGCTTGACATTTGGGTGGATTTCTCACCTTCGCGTGCGACGGCATGGCAGTGATGGCACGCCAGTGGAGAAAGAAAGTTGGGGGCGGCGGCTACCTTAGGCCAACGCGTTCACGTTGGCACTGGCAGCAGCGCATCACACCAGCGACTGGTTCAGTGGTTGGGGAGCTTGGGCTTGGGCTTGGGCTTAGGCGGGGCTTGGGCTTGGGGGGCACAACCACAGAGCAACACTCAGCTTGTCTCGTTTGGGCCACATCATGCGTCGCCGGCAAAGATGCGAGGGTCGGGAACCTGTAGCCGTCGCCAATCATGACGGCAGAATCCGGGTGGCCCGCTGGAAAGAGGTGAAGACCGGCAGGGGCCCTTGCAGCAAAAGGCCCATGCCCCGCTCTCACTGGCCAATGCGACTGAGCACATGCATGCCTAGCGGCATGGTTCCCGGTTCTTAGCGGCCGCGGGACTTTGCGTGTCGTCCATTGTCGATTGTCTTTTGCGGGAAGGTGGGGTGGAGGGCTGACGGGGAGAGAGGCCAAGAGAGGCGAGAGGGGCCAAATGCGCGGCACAAATGTACGGCGCAATTCAGACCCCAATATCACACCCCGTCCGTCCATCAATCACGCACACGCACACCGGGGAGGGCAGGGCGACGCTGCGAGCCATCGAGCACGCACGGCCTGATGGGCCCCGGCCCCCGCCACTCGGGGCTGGGCTGGCTTGCCAGCAGCGACCGCCCTTCTCGATAGGGCCGTTGTCTGGTTCCTGTATCCGGGCTGCACAGTACGGCGCATTCCCTCTCTGTTGTCAATCTGTAACCCGCCTCATATGCTTTGCAGTGATTCATATGTACAAGACAGGAGCAGTGCCGCACCCACGATACTTGGTACATACATACCTACTCGTGTACATGGTGTGCACGACACTCAGCGCGCGATCTCGACAGTCTGCACTGTATTAGTCCCGCTGTGCACGCTGCCCCCTTCCCGTCACTGTCACATTCTTCCATCACCACCAGTCTGCTGAGGTGCCCCGTCTCCGGCTCTCCGCTCTCTCTGTCGCCCTGCAGATTCTGCAAACATCACTTCCAACGTGCGCGCTTACTCGAACTTTTGCCTCGATCATTTCGGACAAGGTATCCGTAGAACCAACACGGTCTGTCTGTCGCGATACTTCATATAACAACCTCTGTCGTCCGACTGCCGCTATCACGACTTTAGCGGCCGAGGTTCGAACACTAGCTGTCTCTATATTGAACAGGTTCCTGCGGGCGACCACGTATCATTATCATGGTTTTGTCGTGCAGCATCTCTGTGCGGTGGTGATAAGCGTCTCGAAGCTTCATCCTTTGGACCCCAGCCGGCACCAGCATCCCTCATAAGCCGCAAAATCCTAACAAGAAGGAATTTGCTTGTGCGGGATAGCTCAGGTCATCTTCACACCCTCTCATCCCGCTGCCACACCTTAGCCCGGGGACGGCGAACCGTCGACAGCGCAGACCGAAGGCCCGAAAGACACCAAAGATGGGCCGCACCGTAACAATGCGGAATTCCGCGATTCGTGCCCTGGCCCTTGTGTGCGGCTTCACCTCGCTGGCAGACACCCTGCTGGTCGCGCCTGGGTCGCCCTGTGCGTCCGTGTGCGGCAACGAGCTGTCGTCGACATCGCCCGACGAGATAGTCTGCAACGACTCCGGCTACAAGACGACCACCGCCGGCTCCGTCTGGCAGCAATGTATCACTTGCCAGCTCACCAGCGCCTACTACACCCAAAAGAACAACAAGAACGACACCGACCTCAACTCGCTGCTATGTACGTGTGCTTCCCTCGCGACTCTTTTCTTCCCCCTTTTGCTTTTAGCTGCCGAGTCCAACGAACGAGCTGACGCTCAATGCTCCCAGACAACCTCCGCTTCAATGTAGATGAATGCCTCTTCAAAGGCGGCTTCGAAGAGGTCGGACCATGTATCACATCGTAAGTCGGAATCAAAGTTTTTATAGTCATGATGATGCCATAGGCTTTTCCTAGCCTTTCTTTTCCCCGCCCTCCTTCCCTCCCCCTGCGATGTGGCTCGAATCCTTCGGCTAACTCCCGGCGCCTCAGCACTGCATGCGGACCGCTCCTGGATGCTGTCGAGTACGGCAACTTCACCACGAGCGTCGGCACCTATGACTACTGTAAAAATTGGGAGATGTTCCAGGAGCCCAAATGTACGGGATGCCTCCAGCCTTCCGGCTTTTATCTGTACAACTATGTCACGGTGCTCGAGGCAGCCTGCGAGCAACAGCCTCCCGCCGGCACTGTTCTCTCCCTCCAGGGCGGCCTCTTCAGTAACCAGCCCGTGGTCATCACGACCCCGGCTCCAACCTACAGCATGGCGCCCGCCCCCGACTTTGGGCCCGTGTCTCTCGGCGCCCGCGTCGGCATCGCCTTTGGCGCCCTGGCCTTTATCCTCGCCCTGCTCGGATGCTGTGTCGTTTGCAACGGCAAGCGCCGGCGCCGCGCCTTTCTGCGCGAACTGGAAAAGCGCCACGCCCAACAGGGTTGGCCGAACCCCAACAACCAGTTCGCAACCGTCGGCGGTGCCGGCGGCGAGATGTTTGAGACTCCTGTCAGCCAAAAGGCTCTGCGCAACTGGGACGAGAGCCCCATCAGCGCGGGTACCGAGCGGACACTGCCCCGCTACTTCAGCCCGTACCAGAGCCAGTACAGCAGCCCGATCAGCGCCGGCGACGGCGGCCCCAGCGCCGCGGCCAACGCGAACTGGCCGGCATTATCGCCGCAACACCTCACCCAGCTCATGCAGGAGCAGCAGCAGCAGCAGCAGCAGATGTCGGCGCACGGGACGCCGCCGCCGTCATTCTCCCAGTGGCCCAACACGGCCCAGGAGAAGCTCATGATACAGATGCAGCACCACGAGAGGCGGCAGAACGAGATCGCAATCGGCATCGCCCTCGGCGGCGACGAGGCCAGCCTGCGGTCCAAGCCGTCCAACAACAGCATCAACAACAGCAACGGCTACCCGATCGAAAACAAGGGCAAGGACCGCGACGAGATGTACGAGATGACCGCAGTCGAGAGCCCGTACAACGGCAGCAGCGACACCGACCGCTACAGGATGCCCGCCGCGCCCGATACCCCCGTGCTCCACCACCCCGGCTACGGGAGGCAGCACGGCTCGCGGCCCGGCACCGGCAGCTCGGGCGGGAGGAACATTTCTAGAAGCGGCAGCGCGTTATAACACGACTCCAAGGAGCTGTGTGCCCTCGTCTTTAAGCGGCAGTCCTGAGCAGAGATGCTCTCTCCACACATTTTCAGCGGCTCGGTACTGGTTTCTTTATTTTTCTTTGTCGTCTCTACTGATATATATAATACCCGGATTTTTTTTTGGTGTTGGGAAGGATACCCGAGGCGATTTTGGTCTCGTGGCGGGAAGTAAAGTGGAAATGCCCACTACGTTCGTATTTCCCTCTCTTTTGCGTCTTGCATTTTGGATAGGAAGGCGGTGACCAACCAGCCAGGGGAGACGAGGAAGTGGAAGGGGGGAGGGAAAGGGGCCGAGGTCATATGGGCCATATTTCCAAGGCATATCTCTAGCGTCCTTCTTCTCGTGAATAGACGGCTAGGACGGGGGCACTGCAGCAGACTCCAGCTATGGTCTCTGTGGACGGGTTTTTTGTCACTGGTCCACTGAGGGAGAGCTGTCTAGTTAAAGCTACCTACCTTGTCTGTCTCACTTAATTACGAAGCCGCATCTCACTCAGTTCAACAATGGTCTCTCGAGATGCACTTGATCAGGTGACAATGCCGCCGCAACTGTTCTATGGCCCTAACAGGTCGAAAGAAGGTGCTGATTGCCCACCTTATTGCCGTGCCATAATTGTGCGTGGGTGGTGAGTGGAAGTACGGATACGTCATGTTCTTGTTCTCGCGGATTGAGTGATAGGGTGAAACCAATGCAAGCCTGCCAGGTGCGGATGCCGTGGTCTGTCATTGTGTTCTCTGCTGTGCGACTTGGATTTTGAACCGGGGAAGTGAGGTGGTTGAGTTTGAACCTTTTAGGTACTGTTCCCTATTGCCCAATTGCTCGTCTCTTGGCGTGCGAGAAGTGATTCAATTTTCACGTGAGGGAGCTCTCCACAATAGGTTAGCCAGCCCCACTTTGACTTATCAGGCCTTACCCCACACTGCCCTTTCGATCCGCAAAAATTTCGGGAGAGCTTATTTTTTTTTTTCGAACAACGCCTTTTTTACCTTCGAGAAGGCGAAGAAAAAAACACAAGGCACACAAATCGCGAGAAGGACCCTCGCGAAAACAAAGAACGTCGCACGCGTTGCCTCCGTCGCTCCTTGCCGTGTCTTGCACCTGCTTCGATCCTAGAAACCTCCCAAAGCTTCAATCCCAGTCCCACCCCAGGATCTAATATCTGGAAAGCGATCGAGCACACGAAAGAAGAAAAAAAATGGCCGACTTTGTCGTGAAGCCCGAGGCCGTCACGCCTGAGGTTGATACATCGGACTGGCCGCTGCTCTTAAAGAATTTCTCATCGCTCAGCATCCGTTCTTCAAAGTACACTCCGATTCCCGCCGGCTGCGCGCCGCTGAAGCGGGACATCAAGTCCTATGTGTCGAGCGGTGTGATCAACTTGGTTCGTACTCTTTCTTATCTGCTCGCCTTTCCTCGCGTCCCCGTCGATCGCTCGAAATAGGGCGCATGGCTGACTCTTTGGCATTGAATGATATAGGACAAGCCGTCGAACCCTTCTTCCCACGAGGTCGTCGCGTGGGTCAAGCGCATGCTTCGGTATGGCTTCCCCCCCATTGAGAATTCTGTCGCCCCTTTTCTACGCTCTAGAGCAGCAGGACTGATGGATCCTCTTTCTCAATACACAGTGTCGAAAAGACAGGCCACTCGGGTACTCTCGATCCCAAGGTTACAGGCTGCCTCAGTATGTTGCCCCATTGATGTCCCAGTAGACGGGGTTTGGACCGTTGCTGACCTGGATTCAGTCGTCTGCGTTGACCGCGCAACACGTCTGGTAAAGGCCCAGCAAGGTGCAGGCAAGGAGTACGTGTGCTGCATCCGTTTCCACGACACCATCCCCGGCGGCGAGACGGCATTTGTTCAGGCTCTCGAGACCCTTGGGGGTGCCCTGTTCCAGCGCCCGCCCCTCATCTCTGCTGTCAAGCGACAGCTCCGCATTCGCTCCATCTACAAGAGCAAGCCCATTGAGTTCGACAATGAGCGGCACTTGGCTGTCTTTTGGGTCTCCTGCGAGGCCGGAACTTACATCCGGACGCTCTGCGTCCATCTTGGTCTCCTGCTCGGTGTCGGAGCCCACATGCAAGAGCTCCGCCGTGTCCGAAGTGGTGTGATGTCCGAGACCGACGGCAACCTTGTCACTCTGCACGATGTTCTGGATGCCCAGTGGCGGTACGACAACGGAGGCGATGAGTCGGCCCTCCGCAGAGTTATCCAGCCCCTGGAAACTCTTCTAGTCACCTATCCCCGGATTATTGTTAAAGATTCTGCGGTGAATGCTGTGTGCTACGGAGCCAAGCTGATGTTGCCTGGGCTTCTCCGATACGACCCTAATATCCAGCTTCATGACGAGGTATGTCCCTTTACTGTTGAGGCACTGGCTCTCAAACGGACACATTACTGACAAAACTTGTAGGTTGTTCTTACGACAACTAAGGGTGAGGCCATCGCTATCGCCATTGCCCAAATGGGACCTGCTGAGTATGTTTCTACCCCGTGCTGCGAGTTTTGCAGCTCATTAACTAACTCTGTCACAGGATGGCTACTTGCGATCACGGCACCGTTGCAAAGGTTAAGCGGTGTATCATGGAGCGTGACCTCTATCCCCGCAGGTGGGGGCTTGGTCCCGTTGCCCTGGAGAAGAAGAAGATGAAGGCGGACGGAAAGCTGGACAAGTTTGGACGGCCCAACGACGCCACTCCTGCAAAATGGACCAAGGAATACAAGGACTACAACCCGCTTCCCGAGACTACGGACGCTGCGGCGGCGGCTGCGCCCGCCACGCCCGCTGTGCCTGAAAAGGCAGCGGAGAAGGTAGCACAGCCGTCTCCTGCCAAGGCGGCAGAGGAGAACGACAAGAAGCGGAAGAAGCACGACGGCGAGACGGCGGAGGAGAAGGCCGAGCGCAAGCGTCTCAAGAAGGAGAAGAAGGCCAAGCGGGCGTCGATGGGTGGGAAGGCTGATAACGATGACAGTGATTGAGAGACATGAAGAATGACGTTTTGTATTCCATTCTTGTTCCGTCTCTCTCCTCTCTATTTCTAGTGTTTTTGTTTTTTTCGGTTATCGGGGCTTTCCTCTTGTGTCTCCGAGAGGTTGGACTGCAACGGGCGTTTTTTTCTGGCGGGGAAAACGGCGTTACGCATGGGCTTGGCTGGGCGTATTGAAATGCAAATGAGGCACTCTTCTGTTTTATGGTTTGGCAAGTGTGTTTAAGTGTGTGTGTGTGTGTGTGTGTGTGTGTGTATGTGTATGGATGGACGTAGTATTCGTACATACTTCCCTAGCCAGAAGGAGATGTCTCTGTTGGATTTGATGACAAGACATGGTCTGCTTTGTGTGTGTGGTTCTTTCTCTATCTGTGCTATGGCGCTGCAGACTAGCTCACTGCAGTTGGCTCACGGCACGGCCCTGATCATCAGCACGGCCATGGCGGAATCCCACACGGCCTTGGCATGCCGTGCTTTCTTTTTCCCCTTCGGCATTACTTCGTAAGCAAGGTAGTTGCTAGGTATATCATATTTAGGTATGTAGGTAGGTAAGTGTCTGCCGCTTTTCGCTCGGATCAGTCTCGAGATGGAAAAGAGACTGCCTCTCCGTTGCCGGAGTTGGAGCGGCGACTTGCATATGGGATTACCTATTATTTGAGTGAGTGGGTGAGTGAGCGTGCTTCTCGGAGGCTGGGAGTTGTGTGTTTGTGCTGTGTATCTTGGCGTAGGTAATAAGCTGGCTGTCTGGATCGGTATGCACAGGAGGCGAGGTGAGGTCGAGGCATGCTTCGCTTCCTCTCTGTGTGTACGTGTGTATGACCAGGTCTATTCTAGTCCAAAACCTGTCTTTCACTTGTTTCCTTTCTTTTTTTTTTTTGGTATCCATCTGGCAGACAGACAGACACATTACGTTGAGGAGGGTGGCTGACTATAAGGGCAAGATTAGCAAGGTAAGGTAGTTTTAGATTGTCCCGAGAGGTGCATCCGTCTAGCCCGTAGCTTCACGTCCAAGCAAGCACTTTGTCTCCCAAGTCTTGCTGGCCTGTGTGCGTATGTGCAAGTTCCCTTGCAAGCGTGTGCGTCAGATTGAAAGGCGGGTTTGTATCTGGTAGGTTGTAAAATCGGGTGTTATTGTGGCACGCAGTCATAGCATAATGTGATATCCATGAAACGAAACAAGAACAGCCCCCAAAAGTGCGGAGGTTCCATGATGGCGATAAATATCTGTTTTTGGGGAAGTCACAGCTGGCTGGGTGACTGGCTTTTATGCAATGCGCTTTCCATGCTGGGTGAAGTGAGCAACTACAACCACCGTTCCTTCCATTTTGGGCAGTATGGGCATGTATTATGCGCCGACAAGTTCAGCCAGAGCAAAGCGAGCAGGCATTATATCTCTGACTATAACTAATCGCCAGCGGCAGCAGTATTATTATCATGTTGTCTTCGGAGCGGCAAACACTTCGCAACCTTGTCTCAATTCTTTACCTTTCTAACCAAACTCTAAAATGCCCATGCCATGCCACCGAGCAAGGCAAGGCTTGCGCTCCTCGGGGATCTTGCAATTCGTCTCTTTCTCTCGTGGTCGGAAAGAGAAGAGATCCATGTATACTTCTATCGCTTTGGTCGGTCTGCTCTCGTCCCGTGGCGGACGGACGGGCAGGCGGTCTCGCTATGAGACCTTGGAAAGAAGGTTTGAGAAAGTGGGTATTCTGACATTTCCGCGCCCCATGCCATCATAAGAAATTAACTTCCAACGCCTTTTATTATTTTTTTCTTCCTTTTTTCCCACGTCGGTCACGGGCTTTGCCAGAGCGCGCGCATCGCGCGGCGTCGCTACTGCCGCACAACACCACACCCGACCATGCTCGGTAAGGTATGTATGTACTTGTTCATGCGGCTCTGTCGCGTGATGTCAAGCCCCGCCTTCAGGGAGCCAAACTTCGGTATTGCTAAAACTTTACCTTGTCAAAAAGCCCACTTCTTTACCAGAGGCTAGCCAACCAAAGATAACTTGGAGCTTGCCCCTCTCACTAACAATTGTTTCCCCTCGAATCCTTCAGCAGCTATTGGCTAGGAGCGTATTGAATTACCAAACTTGGTCAGGTGGGTTTTCACTTTTCAGCCATGACGAAGCTGAGGTATGTATGTACCTAGGTTCCGAGGCGGCGGCCGATGGGCTGCTGTGCTGTTAACTGTGCCCCCTTCTGATCTTCTTCTTCTTCTTTCCTTCTCTCACTGTCACTCTGTTCACTCTGTCACTCTATCTCTCTATCTTTCGATTCTTGCTGTCGTCCCGCCGACTGCGTGGTTGTGCTTGGTCGCAGGTAGACAGGCATACATAACATAGACACACGCTTTATAGGATTCTCTTGAGAGGGGGCAAACACTCCAAGACTTGTTCATCTTGATCCATCCTGCCTGCGATCGTCTCTATGTCCGAGACTGCTCCGAGGCATTCCTGTCTCGGCTTGTTTTTATATTACGCCTCTCAAAATATCCGTTGCCAGTCGCATTCGCCTTGGCTTGATCTGAGTTGGGCCTCGGGACTCTCTGGAAGCGGTGGGTGAAGAACTGCCTGGCCAGCGGGTTCTTGCCTGGACTCACTCAGGTAGGTCCAGTTTAGTGGTGCCCCTTTTTATTTCATGCAAACTACGCTGTCTGAGGGAAGACTGACGGGTGCTGCACGGGAGAGAAAAGACATCATGCGGCTCTTCCCAACCCTGTCACAGAACTTGGTTCTGGGGGAGTTGGTTCTGGGGGCTCTGGCCTTGAGCTTGGCAATAGCAAGCGGAGAGAAGACGGCGCTGATGAAGCACGACTTTCCCGACCCAAGCCTCATGCAGGACTCGGACGGGACGTGGTACTCGTTCGCGACGACCAGCGGCGGCAAGAATATACAGGCGGCGCGGGCGGATGCGCCGGGCGGCCCGTGGACGTACGTGGACCAGGACATGCTGCCGGACACGGGGGCGTGGACCACGGGGCGCAACTCGTGGGCGCCCGACGTGAGCCTGGTGGCGACGGGGCTGTACATCATGTACTACTCGGGCGAGCTGGGCAACAACAGCGCGCTGCACTGCGTCGGGACCGCCACGTCGTCGGCGCCGCTAGGGCCGTACACGGCGGCGCCGACGCCGCTGGCCTGCCCCGTCAGCCAGGGCGGCGCCATCGACCCGGCCGGCTTCGTCGACGCGGCGACGGGCCGGCGCTACGTCGTGTACAAGGTCGACGGCAACGCGCTGGGCCACGGCGGGTCGTGCAACAACGGCGTCGAGCCGTACGTGGCGACGCCCATCATGCTGCAGGAGGTGTCCGCGGACGACGGCGTCACGGCCGCCGGCGACCCCGTGCGCATTCTCGACCGGTCGACGACCCAGGACGGCCCGCTGGTCGAGGCGCCCAACCTCGCGCGCTCCAGCGATGGCACCTATGTGCTCTTCTATAGTAACCACTGTTGGGACACACCTGGGTACAGTATTAACTACGCCACCGCCTCGGCCGTCGCCGGCCCTTACACCAAGAGCGGCACGCCCTTGGTCGCCACGGGCGACTACAACTTGACGGCCCCAGGCGGCGCTACCAGCACCATCGGCGATGCGGCTGGCTCGCTGGTCTTCCACGCCAACTGCCCCCAGGGCCGCTGCCTGTTCGGCGCCCCCTTTTCCGTCAGCGGGTCGACAGTGCGCGTGTCCTCCCGGACTCTGGTTTCCCGCGACTATTTGTAGCAGTGGCCGGATATGTTGTCACGGTTGAAAGACTTTGCTCAGGGGTTCTATGGCAGTCGGTCACTCGACTGGCGTGTATGGCACAGTGTGCGGTAAATAATTAGTAAATAATCGACAGTACATGTATTTTCAAGAGACATAATTCGAACTTTGCCTATTAAAAAAATACCTCCTCCTCGTGCCATGCCCCCGTCGAAAAGAAACGGCTATGCCTGCACATGTAGTGGGTTCCGTTGACCAAGGCCACCCTTTTTTCTTTTAATATTTTTTTTCTCTGAGATCCACTCTGGGTCCTAGGGTTTGTGGTCTGTCCCTCCTTATAGGCGCGCACCAGGTACAATTCTCCATCAAAGTCGCACCGACTGACCACAATCAGTCAACGAGCAACACACCTCAGGGCAAGATGGCCGAGCGGTCTAAGGCGCCACGTTAAGGAATTCATCCCTTAATTCACGATTCCGAGGGGTTCCTGCCCCCTCGCCATCAACTGATCCCGTGGTCCGAAAGGGCGTGGGTTCGAATCCCACTCTTGTCACTGCATTTCTTTTTGCCAGCCCTTACGTGTATCTATCCGATGAACACTGGGTTGATTTGGTCTTCTTTTTTGTTCGTCTTTCATTTTCTCCTGGTACCCGCCCAATCACCCAATCTCTCTCCCTCGCGTTCCGAAGAGTCTTAACAGACTTTGTAGGCAGATACAAAGACCCTACAACTGTAGCAGAACACAAAACCATCACACTCATTCACGGTTTCATGCAGTGTTTTCACCTGCCAGGGGGGGCTCCTGACTGAACTTTAGCTTAGCTACCACAGCTACCACAGCTACCCCGAGGCGGCCGGCTCTGTGATGGCCCTCCCTTCTAGTGCTATAAGTCGGAAGAAGCCAACAACGCTAGGCCTCCTGTCTTTGGGCTAGCCATTTTGCAAGCAAGCAAGCGAGCCCGTGTGGTGTGTGCACGGAGTATTGGCCGCATCTGGCGACCCTCAGTTATTGCTGGTCTGGATGAACCCTGGTATCGGCCATGAAAGCTACGCGCCTGAGGTCACCCATCATCCACGCCGCGTCCAAACCCAATATCGTATCTCTTATTCTTTCGCATGGTTGGTCTCTTGCCTATTATTCCCATTGAAGGATTCTGCTACATACAAGCTTCTTGTTTCCCCAAGAAACCGGGACCGCCCTTCTTCGGATTATCCATACCACAAGCAGACATATCAAAAGAATAATGAGGTGGGGGCTGTAATATTGGATATGTGCGTCTGAGGCTAGAATAGAACAGAACCACCTGCAAGTGCAAACCAACAGCATCTGGCAACTCGATCAAGGCAAGTCTCGTCCGCGCGGACAAGGTCGCGTAAAATTCTGACCTCGTCATGCGACTCCACGGCGTAAAAGAGCTGCCGCGCATGTATCTGCTTTCTTTTGAGGTAGCTTTGTTGCTGTCTAGACCTCCTTGTGTGGGTGTTGTTCTAGTTTGGGTTGTTGTCAAAGTCGGCCCCCAATCTTGCCCGCCAAACGAGTGTTGTAGTTGCTGCACACTACAACACCACACCAATCGGGGGAGCTAACGACCGGAAGGAGCAGCGAGAAAGCGGGAGTTCCATTGGGGTTTTAGGAAGGATTTAACTCTCTCTCCTTCTCAAACGGGAACTTGCGGTGGCGGGACTTCTACGCCGCTGGTTCCTGCCGTTGAGATAAGGGCTATGCTATTTATGTGTTGCGGCGTAGGTATGGGGATTTGCGCCGCTCTGCACTTTGCAAGCTGTGAGATACTGTACGTGCCTGAGGTACTTGATCTGAATAGAGAGAGTATAGCCTTTGCTGGCTTAGCGAGAGAATGGAAGCGACGAGATGGGCGTAGGCATGTTTGCATCACCACCTCCTTACCTACCTACCCACCTGCCTACCTGCCTCCGCGCTTGAGAGAGCCAACAGCGCCGTGAGCGCAATACATGACTCGACAGAGGCCTCGTCGCCGCCGCGTTACACAGCCTCTTGTTGAGCATCGCAGGGCCTGTGGTGAGGGTTTTCGCCATCACCGAAGGAATCGTTGAAACCAACTTCCAGGTTACCACCACCACACACTGCTGCAGCCGTGTGTCCCGTGCCTGGGCAGGGCTGGGCATGGCAAGTTCCGGAAGCTTCTTTTCCCACAGCGTGCCATCGCTCCCTTGGCTTTTAGGCGCTGGGCCGCTGCTCAATTCATCAGAGACTGCAGCGCCTCAGCGGGTAAGTACTAAGAGAGAGAGTGTATTCCGTTAAAGGGCTCGCTGACCTAAACTGGACCTGGACTTGGCTGGGAAGCTACGAATGGAAGCTACGAATGGCTGCACATCGTCAGTCCCAAGCCGGTAGGTAATAAGAGGGCCGGCCAATCAGCGCGGGGGCGACCATGCCACTCCCGGCCTAGGCAGCTGCGTCTGGCTTGCATGTAAGCGCCCGCCCAAGGAAACACCACTCGGCCGCCGACCATTCAGCGACTTTGGCTCCGCGAAATAAGAAAACCGAAAACCGCCGTCTTGTTTTGTCCCCTAAACGCTGCGGAGGCCAGCCTGCGGGTTGCAGAGCATGAGCATGGGCCAGCAAGCAGCGCTCTACCCAAGCTGCTGGGACTCTCTTGTCCGCGTATGAAGGCAGAAGAGAGAACTAACGGGCCTCTCTGTGAGCCCGGCCTCGGCTGGATTGGCTTCCTCTTTGGTCGGACAGCTGCTGCAATCGTCTATCTCTCTGTCTGTACTTACAATACTGTGCGGTTCCACTGCAAGGTCAAACAAGGTGAGTTCACTGGGAAAGACCTGATTGAGAAGCAATAGCCGCATTCGCCAATTGCCTTAGCGGTTGTGGGGTGCCGTGCCCGCCCAAGCGCTCACCAGACGCCGTTCAACGGCGGTCCGGTCGTGATCGGTGCGGTGCAGTTGCTTGCAACGACAGATCTCTCTTCCCCGTCGGCCCACTACTGCCCGTCGCGCTAGCTAGAACATGCCACCACGAGCCTCAGATCGACTGACAGACGACAGACGACAGACAAGTTGAGCTGACCTTTTCTCTCTTAGCCGCATTCAGGTCGGGGCTGTATCCTTTTATTTAGCAACTACCTCAAAATCATTTTGCTGAACTGCTCCGAGCCCTTGACAGAGCCTTTGACAGAGCCGCGAGAAGCAGCGTGCCTGGTGACTTGACGAGACTGAGTCGATGTTGAGATTCCTGCACGGCATGTCCCGGTGGGATGGCGAGAAAGTCGACCGTGGGCGTAATCTTGATTGGCGCCTCCCCCACCCCAGCGTCGTTCTCTCGTCCATGGCCAGCGGCAGCAGCACATTCGTGATTGACACGCCGTCCGGATCCAGCACAAGCTCCTCCGCAATGGCAACCTACCCCCAATGCGGGCGGGCTTGGCTCTCGACCGTCACCTCCTGGTGGTGGTCCCCCTTGGGTCCCCCTTGTCCCTGGCAGTCATGGTGCGGCGCATCACACTCTAGCACACCACTCAGGCCGGCAATCGACTTGGCTCAGTGGCCAACCTTTACTGCGGGTTCTCCCTACCGCTTCGATAGTCGATAGAGCCGTATGCAGCTGCATCGGGAAATACTGTCGAGATGGGCGGCACGAGATTGGCCGCCCCAAGAGCTTACCACTCAACGAGTCCGTGCGGCACCGTGCTCGAGTCCGCTCTCTATGTTGTGTGACGCGGGCCCAGAGGAAACTTACATGTACCTCTGGCTTTCCCCCTCTTCTGCCGAGTCCAACATCGGCATTCTCGTCCATCATCTTTCCTTTGCCATTCTTAGTTGCTTCGGCTTCTTTCCTTCGTTTCTCTTCTCTTCTCCACCAAGACGCGGCAGGGCGGCGTTGACTTCGTTGTCCCCTGACCTGCTTTCCTATCTCTGGCCTTGGCTCTTTCCGCGTGACCTGGTGTCTCCTCTACACACCTCGCCCTCTAATCGAACATTACCACTATCCGAATACCCTTTGGCTGGTCCCGGGTTCCTTTTATTCTCTCTTGTGTTTGAAATCCATCTCTCTATCGACATAACGGTCCTTGACATAATAATAACTACACACCGGCAACATGGCACCTCAAACATCAACCACCGCCAAGATGCTCACTCTCCTTACCCTTCTCGTAACATCACCCCTCGCTCTCGCCCTCCAAGTAACACCAAACTCGCCATGTTCATCGGTGTGTATGGACCAGCCCGACCTCGACCAGTCGGACCCCACCGCCTCAAACACAAAGAACTCGGACATCGTCTGCCAGGATGGTGCCCTCGCCAAAAGCGCCACAGGCACCAAGTGGCAGACGTGTATGACGTGCCTCCAGACAAGCACCTTCTCCAAGGGCGGCGAGACGGACCAGGGCTGGTTTCTCTGTAAGATGCATCCCAGGCACTCTGCTGTTTATGGGCTAGGCCGGCTAACCCTGCGGAACCAGACAACATGAGATATAGCGTTGCCTATTGCATCTTTGGATACCCCAACGCAACCGGCCTGGGATCAACTCCATGCAGCACCTCGACGGCCTGCGGCCCTTTGCAAGACAGCATGCAATACGGTCTCGTCAAGCCAAACAACCTGGATTCGTTTTCGTACTGCTCTGCTGGCGACGGCGAAGCCAAGGTCACGGGCAATTTTGAAAAGTGCGGGGCCTGTGTTACTGCCGACGGCAGCACCGACTACCTGGCCAACTGTAAGGAGATGCGTCTCTCGGCATGAGCCCCTTCATCAACTAACTCAATGACTCTAGATGTTGTAGCTCTAGAAGCTGGCTGCCAGCAGCAGCCTGCCCCCGGCAAACTTCTCGGCCTGAGCGGCACTGTCTTCACCCACGACCTCATCACCGTCGTTGATCCCTTGACTCTCAAATCTGCGGACAGCGGCTCGGGCCTGTCGACCACCGTCATTGTCGGCCTCGTCGTTGCCGGCGTGGCTCTTGTTCTGATCATGGCGGGGTGCGTTTTTATTTGCTGCCGCAGGCGGAAGAACAAACGTGCCCGTATGAGTTCCGAAGCCGACTTTTACAACCGCTTCCGCCACCGGTCTTCTTTGTCCTTCAAGTGCCAAACACATATGGCCTCGCCCATCACCGAGGAAATGCCTCACAGCGACATGATAGATGCTGTGTTCCAGTCGCAACAGCCAGGAGATCTTGGCCGGCGGTCGTCCGTCTGGAAAGCACATGACCCCGAAACCGCTTTCCAGGACATCACTCACGCCCCCGCCTACCCGCAACAAGAGTCTACCTTCCAGTTCAGCCACAACGAGAAGGCGGGCTTTGCCAAGCAGGGTGGAATCGCGACGGTCGCGCTGCCTCAGATCACTACCGACCTCCCCTCGCTACCACCGCATGCTTACACGTCCCCCAAGGCCGTGTATTACAGCCCATCTGACATCAAGTCGCCAATGTCGGCCCTGTCGGCACGGAGTACAACCGGCCTGCTGCCCGCCGTCCAGCCCTACGTCCCCGCAGAACACGGAATGCTCGCCACCCCTCAGACGGGCAACACCTTCACAACCCCAGCGGGCAGCGCCTTCACCAGCCCCGTTTCCGCCAGCCCCGTTTCCGCCAGCCCCTCCAGTCCTTTGGTAAACAGCTACACGCGGCACGAGCCGAGGCGACAGCCGTCCATCAAGCTGAACCTGGACATGAACATGCTGCCGCCGCCCGTGTCGTACAAGACCTCGCGGTACAGCTTCATCACGCGGAAGTCGCCTAGAACCCCGACGAGCCCTGCAGAGACCTGGGAAATCCAGACCACCTTTGCCGCGCCTCCCAAGAGGTGATGAGGCACTTGGCTTACCCACTTCTTCCTGTCTACATTTCTGTTTTCTCTTTGTTTCCCTGCGTCTAATATATACCCCAAAACGATGCGCGTCGCCGCGTGCTCTCGCTCTTCCTTTACTTTTTATTCTTATTGCCCACTTCACATGTAAACTAGGTATGCACACCGGCTGTTTACTTATAGGTCTTTTTTTTCTTCTTTTTTGTTGTCATGGCGAAACGATTTATATTTTTTTTCTCGTCTGCTTTTTGGTGGGAAATAGCGCCCTTGATGGAGATTAGGGGCGGCTTTTTTTCTGTAGTAGTGGAAATTGGGAGTTTTAGGCGCCTGGAAGATGTATGAGGGTCCAAAAAGGGGTTCGAGGCGAGGGCCAACCAACCATGAAGATTTACCAACGCCACGCAGATGAATCATGTTGTAGATGTCTGTGGATAATAATGGAGAGAAAGAAAGAAGAAATAAAGTCAAACATGAGATACATCATGGTGTCATTTTATCCGTGCATCTGTAAGCCTGAGCCTGTGAGCATTTTTCCAGGCAGTCGGCTACTGAGCTCGAGAGATCGACGATATACATCCCTCGAATGAAAGGGCGCGGCTTGCTACTTAGCTTGAGTTCCGACACGCGGCCACTCCTCTAGCTCGTTTAAACACGCGCGTGCTATAGTGGCGGTCGCAGCGATATATGATATATGATATATATGCATGTATGATGTGTGTGATGCTGTGGGCTTGGATCCAGACAGAGCGACAAAGGAAAATGCGATATGAGCTTGGGTATAATTGTATTTATCCTCTCTTGTTTCCTTTTGACCTAGAAACCATTCTCCACATCTCTCTAACTATGTGTAAGAGAGTGCGGGAGTATGTGGCCAGTTAACATGAATTTTCAACGGGCTTGATGCAGGAGAGAGCAACCCCGAACGCCACAACAGACAAGCCAGACCATCTGGCCCAAGACACGAATAGATAGATACGTAGGTAGGAACAAAAAGAGAAGAAGAGGATCAAAGGTTTTTGGTGTGAGGAGGGATAATATTTGTATAAGTTTTATCCATCTCTCTCTTTCTTCGTCCGCAGGCGGTTGGTTGGTTAAAACCACAAACCCGCCTCCGTCCCTCCCCCCCAACTATGGGCTTCGAACCCAGCTTGCCAACCAGCCAGCCAATTGATAGTACATTCGAATATGAAAAACGTGCATTCCTTCATTTTCTTGCTTTGTCCGAGTGCCTGGTCTCTGTCTTTCCACCGCACATCGATTCGTCTCATGTTGAAGATGTCGCATCCTAACATCTCTCACTCTCTCTGTTCCTCTCTCTTCCACTAAATATAAAAAGGCTTTTTTTGTCTTGTCACGCCTCCTCCGCCCACTACAAAACCAAATACGCCTCACGAGAACCCCTGAATCAGGTCCATCTGGTCGCGGAGGTAGGGCCTGTCCGCGTCGAGACGGTCCATCGTCTCGCGCAGCTCGCGGAGCATGTTCTGGGTTTGCTCCACCATTGCATTCGTCTCCGCCGTGCCTGTTGACGGCGGCTGCAACAGCAATGGCGATGCCGCGGGCGCCACCCTCTTCTTCTTTGCCGACGCCGGCGAGGATAAGCCAGTCCCTGCCTCATCATCGTGCATATCTTCGTCGTCGTCAGGGGCGCCGGGCGAGCCCCGCTTCCGCTTGGCTCCGCCGTTCTCTCTCCCCGCAGGAGACACAGGCGGGAGAGGGCCATCGCTGGACCGAGAATCTTGGCCGACGCTGTGCCGATAGTCGTTCTGGATATTCGGAATCTTGAGCCGAGCAAGTCTCAGCTGCAAGCTTGATGGCGTTTCATTACCGCCGTCGCCGCGATCCTCCGAGTCGGTGTCTTCGTTGTCTGAAGTCGGATCGGCAAGCAGTCCGTGCGCCCCATTGCTCTTGGTCCGCTTGCCGTCTTTCACGGCGTTGGCGATGGCTTCCGGGAGCCATTGGCCGTCGGCCATGGGGACGAGCCCACGGGCCCGCAGATCCCAGTGCCTCGACTTGTAGCCGTTGGCCTTGCCGAGCGATTTGCGCTTCGGGTCCCTTTCGTCATCCGAGGATTCCTCGGCCAGGCGTTTTCGCGAGAAGTTTGTCGTCTTGGGTACGGCTGGAAGGGACTGGCGGAACTGTGACGAGCCATTGACGGAGCTGTTCACGGACCTGCCCGCCGAGGTGCTCCTCCGGGCGTCGAGGCCAAACTTCTCTCGCAGCGACCGGGTCTTCCACCCATCCTGCTTGCTGACGCTGCTTTCCCGAGACTCTAGTTGTCGTCCTCGGATCGAGCTTCTCTTAGCTAGGACGAGTTCCAGTTCCGATGCGGGATACTGGAACGAGGCAGAGACGGGTCCATCGTTCTCGGCTTCCTTTGCGACACGCTGGGCAACGGCTCTTTCGTTGCGCAGCCCGCTAAAAATGCCGCTCGCGAGAAGTTGCTCCTCGACGCTTTGCCGCCGATCTGTGACGCTGCTTCGCCGCTCCGAGGCCATCGCGCTAAGACGGTAGCCGTATGCTTCCAGCTTCCTCCTTTCGGCTCTTTTTGCCTCCTTTTCGGCGCGCTCCGCGTCCTCCTTCTTCTTCTGCTGCAAAACGCGCTCTTGCGCCCGATACGCGCGCATCTTCTCCTTCCCTTCTCGCAGGATACGCGCCCTGGCCTTCTCCCTGGCGTTCCGCTGCCACCTATAAAAGTACTTGACGCGAAGATTGTAGACCTGGAATTTCCGGGCCTCTTGCCAAGACTTGTAGTCGTGCTCTTTCCGCTTCTGGTCTTCCTCGTCTTTGCGGAACTTTTCAAATACATCCGCGACAAGATCGTGGACAGTCGTATCGATGAACTGTTCCATCAGACCGCCGTCACCCGTGACGAACCAGTTGGTGAAATTGCTTAATGGATCTGGCTCTCTAGGCGTCTGCTGTGCAGGAACAGCTGGGAAGGTTGGTTGAGCTGGCTGGCCGGGTTGGGGCAGAAAAGGTGTACTTTTGCTCTGAGGGAAGGGCTGGGTAGGCGTAGTTGGAAACCCAGGTGTTGGAAACACAGGTCCAGCCACAGCAGACGAATTGATCTTCGGCGCTGGGGGGAGCACAGAACCCTGGAACAAGCTTGGCAGTGGCTCGCTTGGCGGCGTCAACACGACTGCAGGAACCGCCGGCGACTGACTTGGGATCAGACTGGTAGATTTTTTTGGCGCGGCATTCTCGGATGCTGCTTCGCCAGTAAAGAATGGGGAGCTCGAGCTCCCAGGACCCGAACTCAGAATCGAAGTTGGTTTGTCTGATAGGCCGAAAGGTTTTGTCGGGACGGTATCCGAGGGTCTCCCAGGGAAAATGGTCGTCGGGGTCGTCTTCGGTGCGCCATCATTGACCTCTGAGACTGGAGCGGAAGGCCAGGCTGGTGCCGGCTCTTCGGCAATCTTGGGAGGTAGCGCTGGTGTTGCGCTAGGGGCAGCCTTGAGGAAAGAAAAGGCGCCTGGAGCCGGAGGCACAGATATAGGGGTAGATATATCTTGTGCTGGTTGAGGAGCGGTCGATGGCCCGCTTGTTGTTTGAGGGACCGAGGCTTGCCCAAGGCCGAAGATGGGTTTTGGAATTTCTGTATTTGCCTGGGTCTTCCCGAAGCCGAAGGTGGGTGTTTGGGCTATTGTTGAAGCCGTTGCTAGACTTGCCTGAGTCTGCACAGAGCCAAATATGGGTGCTGGAGTTGTTATTGAAGAAGTCACTGGGAGAGCTACGTTCTCCTTTGGAAGGGGAGCTGGCGCTGGCGAAGGCGCAGGAGGTTGGCCAGGAGTAGTAAAAGTACTGCTTGCCGCCTGGGCTGGTGTAGTACCTTGGCCGAAGGCTCTCAGTCCAGCAGCAGCGCTTTGAAAACTCGGAAATGCAGGCGCTGTGGCCTTTGGCGCTGGCGTCTCGGCCGGCGCTGCGGGTGGTGATATCCCGCTGGGAGTGTCCTTGCTAGTACCCGCAAGAGGTGGGAGACTTGGGGTAGTTGTCCACACCCTCGAATCTTCGCTCGCCTGCGACGGTACAGGGGAAGAAATGCCATCGACCGCGTGCGATCTGGCGACAAATAGATCATCGGTGCTATCTTCATCGTTCCTGGTCTCATTTACCTCGTCGTAGATGGTGTTGTAAATCACATAAGGCAAAGACTGTCCGTTGCGTTTTCGCTCGACAAGTTTGTATGAGTATGCCTGCGTTACTCTGGGCGATGGTACATATTTCCGTCTGTCGTTGAGAAGAAGATATGGCCCTAGGACGGGATCTTTGCCTTCGGGGACCCAAGTCGAGAATTCGAAGTTGTGCAGCTTGGCAAACTCAACTGCCTCCTCGTCCGCGTCGAACCTCAGCATCTTGTTCAGATCCGAGGCCGTGATAGTGCGAGGAGCGTCTCGGGGACGCGCATAAGCCTTGACGAGGTTCTTCAGGATACACTGCCGCACTGAAGTGAAGTGCACTTCGGCAATGCATGCCATCGTGTAGGACACCGTGGAGTCCTCGACAATTGAGAAGTAGTTGGTGAAGGCCGTGTCAGCCAGCGTGGTCATGCGACGTGGCTTGATGGGCCCTTTCGGCTCCCGGACGTCTTCCATTGCCTGGATGAGCGAGAATGCCGTCTGGACCTCTCGGGACTCGAACCAGTACTCCTTTCCCCAGGCGGGAATCCTCTTTGCTATAGAAGGATCGCCAGCGTTGAGAAGGAGATAATATGCCCGGAATTCCGGCTCATTTTTGCAGGTGACGCGCTTCTCGCGGCACTCGTCGTACGCTTCAACCAGGGATAGGATGGTCCTGCCCAGCTGCTCGACCTCTTGCCTCTGGTCGAAATCGCTGCTGGCAAAACCCTTCCGGGACAAGAGGTGGAGGGCACTGGTGTGAAAGCGCGTGATGGTCTCAAAGCAATGAACCAACTCCTTCATCTCTTCCGGCGACTTTTGCGAATGAAAGGTAAAGTCTCGGCGAACTCCCCTAGTTCGGTCCCATAGGAAGTTGTGCATCGACGGCAGGTTGGCGTCTGACTGAAGGAGCTCGTTGAACAGATAGTCCGTCGTCTTTCGTAAGGCAGCAAATGTGCGGACGTCCATCGGCAGCGGGGCCTCCTGGCCAGCAGCAGATCGGCCGAACTTCTTGACCATCCGTGTGGGCTCTGCCCATAGTGCCATTGCAGCGCCGTGAGGGGCCTTTTCTTCTGTCTTGACGTCGAACTCGGCAATGCGCGAAACCTGCTCAAACTCCGGGCACATTTCCTCGCAGATGCCTTTGAAGGGAAGAGCATCTTCAAGCTTCCGCCTCTTCTCAGGGTCGTCAATGTACTCTACCTTTCGGAGAGACTCGTACACCTTGGCGCGATACTTCTTATACTGCTCCTTTAACGACTCGATGGGTCCGCGCTTATCGGGGTTGCCAGGCTCGGCCGGCCATGACGGAGGGTTGAGGCGCTCTTTGCGAAGGTGGCCAATTATTTTGTTGGCGTAGTTGAAAGCGAACTCGGAGAGCTGCTTGGTCTGCTGTGATGGCTCCTTCAGCGGGCCCTTGGCTTCAACGACGCCGGGCCTGCTCGCGCGCGGTTGGTTTCGCTCAGGTTGGTCTTGCGCTTGGTTTCGTTCAGGTCGGTCGCGGGCTTGGTTCCATCCAGGTTGGTCACGGGCTTGGTTCCGCCCAGGTTGGTCACGGGCTTGGTTTCGCCCAGGTTGGTCTTGCGCTTTGTTCTTGCCGCGAGATCCTCGTCGCGCCATTGCTTCTGAGGGGAGTGGTACGGGTGCGGTTTCTGGGAGTTCAATCAGCGGCTGAGATCCAAGCGGTGGCAGGTTTCTGGGTGACTCTACCTGTAGCTAGTCCTGCGGAGGAGAAGGGGTTGTGGGCAGCCTGTGGTGACTGCGCACGAGGTTGGCTCGCAAAGCCGGGCGCTTTCTGGAAAGGAGATATTTGTGCACTTGGGGGGAGTTGGCTCCGTATCCGCGGGGACGGCGATCTGGAAGGTCGTTGTGGTGCTCCGAACGGATTGTGCTTCTGCGCAGGTGCAAATGAAGTCGCACGTGCAGAAGGTTGTGAGGGAGCGAAGGGGGCCGGCCTCGCGAGAGGATTTTGTAGTTGCGAAAGATACCCCACATTACCAGCAGAAGCACCGGCAGCAGCAGCAGCAGCAGCAGCAGCGAAGGGTGGCGGCGCGGCGCCGAAGGGATTCTGAGGTGAAGGTGAGGTTCGTTGACTTGTCGCGGCGGGGAGGGGAGCTGAAGCTTGCGGGGACCCAAAGGGGTTGTTGAACCCTGCTCCTCTCGATGACGGTCTGCTGCTGTTGGCATTCCCAACAAAGACTGCCTGTCCAAAGGGCGTCGAAGCCGAGAAGAGTGGTTCCGCGAACGGGCTGGGTTGTGGTGTCGCGAATGCCTGTGAAGGTGGGGCCCCGAAGGGGTTGTTAACGGGTGCCGCCATAGTCGTCAGGGTATGGCATTGGAGTCGGGCGAGGCAGATGTGATTGGGAGGTGAGGCGATGGTGAGAGTGTCGTCGCGTCGCAAGACGGTTGCGCGGTGGCGGCTCGGCGCGCACGTGGATGATGCTTTACCTATGACAAGTCGACGGCGACGACAAGGACGGGGTCGAGACGAGAACGGGACGGGAAGGTCGCGACGTCGGTGTCGGTAGCGGCGCACACAGAACTACAGCATTTTGTCCAACCCAGGTTGCTTGCCGATCGACGACCAAGACAACTCATCCACGACGCGAAGCACGGAATGCCGACCTGTTCGGACGGGCTTGTTCAGCACGGGCTGGCTTGCTTCTTTGTCGCATTCACCTCGACTTCAGATTCTGCCCATTCAAATGGGGCGGTCAACAGCTAAAAGTGATGCCCAGGTGCCCCACATGACCACTTTGGGAGAGAAGCCAAGGGTGGCTAGCTCGCGACGCTCCTACTGGATGCCCAATGGTGCGCGTCAAAGGCCCAAACTTCCCTACCAGCGGGCGGCTGGCCAGGGTTGGGGGTTTATTAAACTTTGAACCTTTGAAGGACGGAGCGCTCCTGAATTGAGCCGTCGAAAAGATGAAAGTTCCATTTCATGTCGTTATCTTTAAATGTGTATACGCACCCTAAAAATTGCCGATAAATTTCCAATTACATCTTCCAAATAAACAGCACAAGAAAGAATAACAAAGCGAAGCCAATGTTCAAGTAAAACTTAATAGGATGAATCCAAGGTCCGCATGTCTCTTGTCAAGAGCGAGTATACGGTTTTCTCGCACAAAGCACTGCGTACCTGTCTTTGCGAGACAACAAAGGTGAATACGGATAGATAGCAGAGTTGCACTAGATATAGAGTAGCAGACAAAATAGTTCACACAGAGCACAATCACGTGGTCAATCAAGGTATATACAATCAAGGCATGTCGCGGAACAAAGCGTTTGCTGGGTATCGTGATTGTTATTCTTTTTTCCTAAAGCGGCCCTGCAGCCAGCAACGATACATCTTCAGCTTCTTTGCCCGGTTCACGAGCATTCTACGATCAACACCGAGCTCCTCGATCTCAAACGACGGACCACTCGGTGCAGATTTCTCGCCGCTGTCGACGACACCGGCGCCATCAGCGGTGGTGTCTTGGGTATCAGGAGCGGGCTTTGCCGACCAAATATCGGCCAGCTCGTCCTTCTCAAAAAAGTAGACGCGCGTGCCGTCGCCTCGAATGTAGAAGTTCTCTTCGAGATAGCGTCCCTTCTTGAACCGGACCTGAGCGAGGTCCCCTCTTCCATAATCGCGGAAGCAAACCTCGCCGCCGGGCTTAAGCACCTGGTAAACATTCTCAACCGCCTTCTTCCACTGCAACGGGGACAGTGCAGAGAAGATAAACACCATCAACACAAGGTCCACGGAGCCTGCTTCCAGGCCAGGTGGCAGACTGTTGCCGGCCACGTCCCAAACATCAGCTTGCATCAAGTCCGTGTTGTACGACTCGTGTGCGCGCATGACCTCGACCGCTTTTTTTGAGAAATCACAGGCGTGAAGCTTCAGCAGTGGGTTCTTGTTCCGGGACAGAATCGGAAACGCCGTGTTCCCCGCACCGGCTCCTATTTCTAGGAGCGTCTTGGGGCCGGCCCCTTCCTCTGTGACCTTGTTCAGAATCGGAAACTCTTGTTGGAGCCATTTCCGGTCCTTGAAGAAGTTTGCAGTATTGTTCTTGTAAAACTGGTTCCACCATTTGGCAGGATCCGAGTTGAACCGATCTGCCGTCAAAAGTTAGCAAATCTGCTAGGTGACCTGATAACATTTGACAATGATTGTTTTTGGGGCGTAGTCAGATGGGAGCGAAAGACGTTGCTATACATAGATGTCTTCAAGGTTGTTCAGATGAACTATGCTATAAGAAAATCATCACACGCGGGTGATTGTTGTTGGTAAAAGCGAAATGCTTGTGAGCTTACACTTGTCAAAATCCGAGACAGGAGCCTGCCGCTGCATCTCGTACTGCTGCTCGGCATACTCCTTGTATGCGTCGTCAGTCTCGACGTGATCCCAGGCATTGAACTCGAACGGGTCGTCCTGGTCCTGAAGCAAGCGAGAGCCAAACTGGAATGGGTCGCTCCGCTTCTGGTTGAACTGTGGATCGTGAGACCGGTGGGGCGACGTCGGCTGCTGCACGTCTCCGGCTATCTCAAGCGCAGAGATTTCTGCAGCAAGCTTCGTGTCTTGTCCATCGGCCAGGCCAGCCAGGTCCGCGACCGGCACAACGACGGCGCCATCAGGGGCCGACATGGCAAGAAGGGTGGGCTTGTCTAGCGGACTGTGTTAGTGCGCCTCCAGCGTGCGACTAACAATCGCCACAGGTCATTGAATGGCGTGTTCTGAGGTGCGAGTGCGACAGAGCATATCGCGTGGAGAGGACTGCTGGATTGCAGGCTGGGGAAGGTGGAAGGAAGATGAAAAATGCGGAAGGTGAAAAGTTGATGAAATAGGTCCTTGATGTGGGGCACTACTTTTTTTTCTTCTCGGCGCCGTTTCGCCGAGCCCTGGAACCAGGTTGCCAGGTCAGTTCCCCCTCCCGGCCTCAGGCATGCACGGTTCCGGGGGCAGGTAAAGACAGACCCACTTGGTTCTCAACTCGGAGTCAACAAGGACAAAAAAAAGGGGAAATATTGAAGAATAAATGTATCAATAATTAATTATTCTTTATATCCGGCGAAAGAATATCAGAAATGACCTCCCCATGAATTGGAACAATAACTCGGCGACGGAGAGGCACAAATCCCAACCCATTACGAACTTTGGCCAGTTGCTTAACTTACGTGCACCCATGGCACTGGCAAACATCGAATCTCTCGCATCCTAACGTAGGTACGTAAGGTAGTTTGACTCAAGATACTCCTATGCATGCAAGATCCCAAGTCCCTAGCTGCCCAAAATGTCGATCAGAGCAAATGACCCCTTTCTATGGAGGAATGCAAGCCCGTTTCACAGAGTCAAGACCAGCAAACATATCAGCTCTCTGCCTATTTAGCCTCCTTCGCCTTCTTGCTTGCCAGCTTCTTCTCGATCTTCTCCAGCTCCATGTCGATCCGCTTGAAGCTGAAGCTCCTCCAGAAAGGCGGATACAGAAAGGGCCTCAGGTCAAATCGGTTATCGTCCGGCGCTGTCCACCCAAAGTCAGTTCCTGAAGTGAAAAGCATGTTGTGGTACTCACCATAGTCGTTGCAGTGTAGCGCTGGAGTCAACACAGTCGACTTGTGGCCTGATAGAGCATTAGCAAAACACACCAGACAGCATCTTGTCAAAAGGCACATGACCAAAACTTACGGTTGATGGCATAGAAGTGGTAGAACCTCTTGACCTTCTCCGCGACCTGTGCAGGAGTGTAGCGTGGTGCATCGTCATCAGGTCTGATCTCGCGCTCGGCACTCCAGTCGTGAACGAGCCGCTGGAACATGGCAAACGGGCCAAGCTTGTTGATTTTGCGAAGTCGACCAAAGATGGTCAGCTCCTGGTATGTCATTCCCTATCATTCACTGTCAGCGCCAGCCAATCGCCCGGCTTGGTTGTAGCTATGACAGCTATCAAGGACGCAACATCATTTCTGACATTATCCCTTGTGAACGATGCACATACCATGTCTAGCCCGCAGCGTTAGTGACTGTTGTTTCAGGGTGGGCTTTGTTGAGATGCTTACCTGCTTCATCACTCTGAACGTAGTTCTGCGTAATAGGCTCCTGGGAAGAGTTAGCACACACGGATCAAGCTGAAGCTGGAAGTGCTGCACTCACTAATTCCGCAGTGGGCACGGCTGTCAAGAACCCATCAAGGCAAGGCAAGTCGAAGTTCTTCTCGGCCCAAGCAATGAACCGTTTTAGATCAGATTTGTCAATCGAACCAATTGGGTTGATGTCGGCACTGCTCCATGGTTAGTTAATCGTCGAATATCACAACCGAATCCGAGAAGCAGCCCCAATAACATACCTTGAGCAGTCATATTTCGTGAGATAACCTCGGAGAGCTATGAAAAGAGGAGACCCGTTAATTATCTCCATCATGGATACTCGAGGCTGAACTGGTGGGTATTCGGGTCATTCCACAGGGCGCGCTTCACATATGAAAAAGGTACATACTCTGTAATACTATCAGTACTGGGGATAGTTAGTCATAATGATACCAGGACGGTGTTGACTTACTTCGCCGACATTGGCGCTTCCCAAGACCAAAAGGCTCCCGCCCCCGGGCCTGTTGCGCGCCGTAGGAAGAATTTGTCCAAACTCCTGGCCGTCGGTATCGAGTCAGTACGCAGCTCTCTTCAGAACAGGAGAGATTAATGAGAAAGGCCGAGATTATTTACGTACGTATGCGGTCACCATTCGAATCCGAGCTTGTATGCACTGAAGCGTCAGGTTCTCCTGGTTGGTACCGCCATGCACCTTGAATCTCGGCTCAAAGTTGATCGTGTTCACGAGGAGATTCTTCTGGGCTTCATAAACGTCATCGATGTCGAGGTTGACATGGTAGCTGCCGATGGCCTCGGCGAGGTCCTTTGCGCGCTGGCGAGTCTCGTGGGAGCTTTGCTTCTTCATTCCCATGTATATTGTGGTGAATATTTGGTTGCAAAGTGCCTGCGGCGTCTTTGGGAGCACGCCTTCGCCATCGTATTTCGCGATACGCTTGACGTCCTCGATAACCTGGGCATTTCCATCCTCGATGGCGGCAATCACGATACGGCACATGGAATAAACGATGGCTGCCAATGTTAGTTGGGGATGCGGTGCGATTGAGCAATAACCAGTACATACTAGCAGTTGCACACGAGTCTATTCCGCCGCTTAGTGGAACTAAGAAGCCTGCCGATCCGGATCTGCGGAGGTACTGTCGGTGCCATTTGTTAGTCTGGCCCGCTTTGCACAGTCAGGTTTTACTCACGTCCCAGAGGTAACAGCCACCGCAAAGGGCAACCTCCTCTTCGACCGAGTGGATTCTCGGTTGAATTGGCAGCGTAGGTCCTCTCGTGACGTCGGACTCTTCATCTTCAGAACTGAGCTCGAAGGGCGTCTGGATTCTCTGATACTTGGCAGCTGATGTCGCGGCTTGCATACCACGGGAGATGGCGGCTCTGTAGGACCTCACTTCATCTAGGTCCACAGTAGCCGTGACAACTTCGACGTCGTTCAGACTGAACTGGGAGCCCTGGGCAACTAGATCTCAAGTCAGACCTTTCTCCATGAAACCCAGGAGTACGGTTTGCCTTACCGACGTCACCATTCACTGCAAATAAAATGTCAGTTGTTGGTCCCGAGCAGTTCAGTCTCGCAGCAATATACCTATGATCATGGCGCAACCATCGAAGTAGAGCCTCTCGCCGCTATCGCAGTTAGCATAGCGCATTCCCGCCGATATGTCATGCGGGTTGCGGGAGGGAGTTTGGCATAGACATTGAAAATCCGGGAAGCACATACTCGCAGCCTTGTTGATTGGCATACTGCGACACGACACGTAAGAATCAGCACGGGCGCAGTACATAGATATAGTGAGTTAGGGGTACGGGGGTCATACAAGATAGATGCCGCCATTCTTCCTGGTAGCTTCGGTGATGAGCTGCAGGCGGGTATCGAGCTTCCTCAGGGTGAAGTGGGAGCCGGAACTGTTTGTGATAATTTCCACCTAGATCCAGTTAGTTCTAGGGTTGACCGTCCCGATGCAAGAATTGGAAGCTTTTCTTACCCCATCAAGGGCCATGTCCTGTAGAAAACCAAGTTAGCCTACGTTGACCTAGATCGAGGTCTTGGCCCGAAAGGCTATCTGCGACAAGGCTCTCAACGATGGGAGGTCCAACATACAATGTGTGGGGCACGGGGAGTAAAGAGTTCCTCCTGTTAATCAGTTAGCAAGAGAGATTGAGTAGTTTCTGCCTCTTCGAGCGTGGTGGCCTACGCAAGTCTCTGCCCCAAAAGCAGTCTCGGGGGTGGAAATGACAGCATCACCAAACAAGACGTGGGTTTCGCCTTGAATTTCCGACAGGATCTTAGGCAGGTGGAAAAGCTCGGTTTCTCTGGGGCGCATCCATGGAGTGAAGTGTCTCATCTCTCTGTAGTTGCCGTCGTTGGCAAGCCACATCTTGGGCCGCTGTCCGATCCCATCGTCAGCGACTGCAGCATGATTCCAAGGTCGCGGTAACTCATCCCGAGCCCAAGACTTACAATCAAGAGGATCTTTCCGTCAAGGCCTGAATATATACACTTTAGCCCTTGAACTCTAGTGGTGTCAAGATGAACTCGGACTCACATATAACCCTGCAGTTGTATCTCAGGTTTCGGTGCAGGATGGGCAAGCCAACGTCAAGCAGGATGCCATGAGTAGACTTGTCTAGTAGGAGCCGCTGGAGCATTTCCAGACTGTGAGTGTAGACATCGAGCTCATGGAAATGGTCGAGGGCTGGCCAGACAGTTTAGTACATGTTGTGGATCTTACGGCGTGGTGCGATATAGCTCACCCGAATACCCAGTAATCTCTAGTTCCTAAGAGTTTGCAACATTGCTCGTATTAGAAATTTCCAAGTGCTCACGGAAGGCGGCGTTGGTTCGGTGTGAGGAAGCTGGACAAGGGCAGACAACGACAACCCCCAACGACAGAACAACAACAGCGCCAGCCAATTACACCAGAGACTTACAGGTCCAACACGGAGACGTGCACCGGCGGCCTTTGCCAGGTGGATGCTTTCGATGATCCTGCCTAGGTTGCCCTCCCACTGTACAGAGTATCACAACTGTTAGCATTGGTTGAAGGGAGGGCCAATTAGAACAACGGCAGACCATTCATTGGCTGCGTTGGCCACTTACGTCAAGAACCCATTGGTTCAAGCTACATGTTGCGACAGTCACGAGGTGGCCCCCCATGGCGGCGATGGGCGATGTCGGCAGATGGCGGGACCGAGATGGGAATGCAGCTCGGCCGCTGAAATGTTGGGGAAATTATAAATGGCCCTGGAGAGGCTATTCCTGCAACGAGGCAGTTCTGGAAATGGTGTCCAAGGTGAAAGAATGTCAAGGGTCTAGGACGCTTCCCGGAGCTTCATGAGACTGAGTGTAGGAGATGCGTATGATAAGGAGGGGTACCAACTGAAACCCTTCCAAGCAGGTTGCCAAATGACTCTACCCTAGGTAAGGGAAGGGGTGGGATGCTGACAGGTCTGAGCCCGTTTGTTGGAGGCGGCACGTCTCCGCAACGGCGTCGGCACTTGTTTTAACTCCTGCCCGCCAAACCGCCAAATGCGATGTGTGAATCCCCCATAATATTTTTTTTTTAAAACCAGAGCTAAAGTACAAAAGCATCGGCTTGCCTCTTGTCTAGAGATGTCCCATGTACCCAAGTCGCTGTTCAAGTGCGTCGAGGCCGTTGAGATGCGTCAGAAGGACCCAATACGGTTAGATAGCGGGTAGTAATAGCAGTTGGAAAGCGTAGACCACGAAGAATACCCACTGTAGCATAACATCTAGCGCTTGCCATAGCAAATACAGGGCATAGTCTGCATAGTAGTCCCAGCTTAGCCACCCGTCAGGCACACACGGCCGACCTCGGTAAAACCGCGCTCGGGAAAAAAAAGATCGCGAATGTCGACACCCGCCCCGACGTCAGCGACAGCGACAGCGGAAGTGACAGCGACAGCAATGGAAGCTAGGTAACGACAAGACGGACGTGTGGGCAGTGGGATTTTATAGGAGGACATTTCCCCCGTTCCGATCGCTACAGAGTCGCAACAACAACAGACACAACCCCCTCGCCGCCTTCGTTTCGCCCGTCCCTGCCACTCGAGGCCTCAAAAGCACCGCCCGTCGCCATGGCACTTCAAATCTCTCCCTCGCCCGCGCGGCGCGTGCTAGCCTCGAGAGTAACGGCAACGGCGCCAACTTCTTTCCGCGCGCAGCACACATTCTCCTCCCTTCCGTGCCGCCGCGCCCTCTTCTCGAGCCTCCACAACACACCACGACTACCACCGCACTCCCCCCCACGGCTCTCACGGCGACCTTCAGCAACACCACACCACGCCCTCCAGCCAAGACCCAGCCAGCGCCACTCATCATCATGGCTCCTATCCGCCCTCCCGCACCTCCTCCCGGGGTCCAGCACCAACTCCGTCGGCCCGTCCCCAACACCAACACCAACGACCACCCTCCGCGCGCGCCGCACACTCCCGTACCCGCCAGCGCAAATCTACGCGCTGATCGCCGACATCGACGCGTACCGGCTTTTCCTGCCGCACTGCACATCCTCAAAAGTAACGGCTTGGACGTCGCCTGCCCCCTCCCCTCCCTCACAACCATCACCACACACACCATCACCAGCACCCTCAGAAACCAGTCAGCAGCAGAAACGGAAGTGGCCGGCGCGCGCAGACTTGACGGTCGGCTGGGGCCCGTTCACGCAGAGCTACACGAGCTGGGTGTACTGCGAGCCGGGGCGGGCGGTGGAGGCGGTGAGCGGGTCGGGGGCGCGGACGACGATCCCTGCGGCGACGCTCGCGGAGCACGGGTATTCTTCTGGCTTTGAGTCTGACGGGGACGACATGGCGATGGCGGGCGTGTTCGAGAGCCTGGTCACGCGGTGGACAGTGCGGCCTGTGACAGCTCCGGGATCGGGATCGGCCGCGCTTCCTCAAAACAACGGCGCAGACGGGAGTGATGATGGCTGTTGGACCGAGGTGTCGCTTAGCGTGCGGTTCCAGTTTGCGAACCCGGCGCTGGGGTACGCCATGGGCCAGCTAGCCGACAACAAGGTCGACGAGATGGTGCAGGCGTTTGAGGACCGGGCGAGGGCGCTCTACGGGCCCGGGAGCAGTCAATAAGTGCCTTCTTCCCTTGGGTGACCCTTCCATCCTCTCCCTCCCATCCATGAACACGCGCATTCATCCAAACCACATCCAAAGACCACCTTACTTTCAGCACGAGCGCATGTCTGTCTATAAAACATCACGTGTATAAACAGTTTTCTTTCTTTTTTTAAGAGTATTTCTAGCATTTTTAGACAGCAGCGGCGCACTCAGAAAGACGGGGGGGGAAAAGACGGAAATAGGAATTAAAGTAAGAGGATAGACAAAAAAAAAGCAATAAGACCATCTACCCTTCCCTCCCTCCCTTTCCTTTCCAAGATAGACCAAACCAAAACAAAAAAAAAAAGTAGATAGAACCCCGCCACGCATGGACAACATTGCATTCGTCTTTGCGCCAGACCAAAACAAAGGTTGTCGTAGACATTTCAGAGCAAGCCCACCCGCTGCCCAGAAAAATAGAATAAAGAAGCCCCCTCTCCCCCAACCCACCGAGAGACAGAGCAGCGACAGAAAATGAGGGCAGACCAAAGCAGACCGGAGAGCGTAGAACGGGGCACATCTGATCATTCCACCCATAAGAAACCCCCTAGCTCCGAATTGATCCTTCCTGCCCTTGGTACCATTCAAGCTTCTCATACTCCACCGTCGATGCATGAAAGCGCAAAAGAGTCGATCGGTAGGTGGCCGCAATATAAACAAAGTCCAGAGAGGGAAAGGGGGAATCCAAAAAGCCAACAAAAGAGGAGGATAACAGCAAAACTAAGCAAAAAGGTATCAAAAAGCAAACAAGTTTATGCCGGAAAAAGAGAACGCTGAAGGTGACGCAGCCATGAAGAGTAGTCGTTTATACCGAGGGGAGTAGAGGGAGCCGATATTGACAGCGGCAGCCGAGGTGCCACCGGCTCTGCGCCGTAACCGTACCAACTGTGGCCTGCCGTGACACTCGAGGCAATTCGCTGAGCGACTCGTTTATTCGGTCCATCAATGCCGTTTTCTGCCAGCGACGTTAGCATACAAACAAAAACATACGGCAGAGTCGACCATGAAGTAGGAGCTGGGGAATTCGGGATAGAAACGGACTTGTAGAGCATGGGCTTGACGTGTTGCGGAGTGTGTCTGGAGCGGGATGTGGAAGGGGCACGGGTCACATAAACATACTTCTTGCCGCTGCTGCTTTTAGTAGGTTTCCCGGCCATCCAGCCCAACATGGAGCCCGTGGATTTCGAGACTCTCTTGGGCGGCTTGCCAGGCTCCACCTCAATGACTTGAGGTGGCATACCCCCCATGGGCCGTCCTCGGCCACCCATAGGAGGTGGAACACCAGCCCAGCCTTGAGGGGGGGGCGGAGGCGGCCCCATGCCACCGCCACCACCCGGCCGTACGCCCATTGGGCGAGCACCAGCAAACATCCCCGGGAAGCCCCCGGCTGGCCGGGGGGCGTGTCCGTGGGCGTGAGCGTGTGGGTGGCCCGGATGGTGCGGCCGAGGCATGCCACCGGGTGGCATGCCGCCGGGGGGTGGGCCCCGCATACTGGCCAACTTGTCCATGGGCCACATATGCATTGTTATTGACCAGTCTGGCTCAACCACCTTGTCCCAGACCGTGGGCAGAATGATCTCGCCATTGGGACCGACCAAGTCATAATGCCCTTCTTGGACGTGAGGCCCGATGACTTCGACATGCAGAAAGGCCTGCTTAATGAGCTCCTCCATTCCCTGTGCACTGTCAGCAAAGGGGTTCTTGGGAGGGTAGAAAGTCTCCTCGACATACCGTCCACGTTTGACATAGGTTGTACGGGAAGTTGAATTTGCGGCCCACTGCGTCTTTGAACTTGATGGGTGCCTTATCCTTCTTCTTGGCTGCCTCTTCAATCTTTAGTTGCGTTTCTTCGATGATCTTCTTCTTGAGCGCCTCCGCCTCCTTCTTCTTTTCCTCCTCGGCAGTCTTCGCCGCCTCAGCAGCCTTCCTCTCGGCCTCGAGTTTCTCCCTCGCCTCGAGTTCGGCCTTCAACTTGGCGTCGGCTTCGAGCTTCTTCCGCCACTCGGCGTCTTCGGCGGCCTTCTTGTCGGCGGCCTCTTTAGCTTCTTTCTCGGCCTTCTGGGCGGCTTCTATCTTGAGGATCTCGGCTCTGATCGCAGCAGCTTGCTTCTCCTCGGCCTCCTTCTTTGCTGCCTCTAGCTTCGCCTTGGCGTCCTCCTCCATTTTCTTGACTAACGCGTCCTTTTCGGCTTGCTTCTTATCCTCGGCGGCTTTGAGATCTGCCTCGGCCTTGCGGGCTTCCAGCATCTTTTCGTGATGCACTCTGATGGCCTCCGCAATCTCGGCCTTTTGCTTAGCGTCGCGAATTGCGGCCTGTTCCGCTTCACGCTTCTTGCGCTCTTCGGCGTCCCTCATCTCCGCCTCCATCTTGTCGCGAGCATCACGCTCGGCACGCTTGAGGGCTTCCTCGTGCGCCTTTCTCCTCTGCTCTTCGGCTTTGCGCTCCTGCTCCAGCTTTTCGCGTGCCAATTTCTCGGCTTCCACCCTTGCCTTCTCGATCTCTATCTTGGCATCCTCTTGCGCCCTCCTCATATCCTCCATCCTCCGCTGCAGTGTCTCCTCGGTGTCCCTCCGGATCTTCTCCTCCAGCTCCTTTTGTTTTAGCTCGGCTTCCTTCCGTTGCTTCTCCAGCTTGAAGAACTCGAGCTGAGCCTTCATGGCTTCCACCTCTGGGTCCAGCTTCTTTTCTGCCGGCGGCGGCGCGGGTGTGGGAGGCCCGACAGGGACGCCGATCTCGGTGGGGGGGGGCGGCGGCGCATACATGTAGTGCGCACTATAACCAGGACCAGGACCTCCGCCGCCACCGCCGCCAAAAAAGGCGGCACCGTTCTGGTGATACGGCATCACGTCGTAGCCACGAGGATGTTCTCCAAAGAAGTTTCCGCCGCCCCCATTAGCGGCCATGCCACCCATGGGAGTGAATGGGTTTTGGTAATTGTACGGCACCATCTGCCCATTGAAATGATTTGGCATGTATGCGCCGACGTGGCTCGCCGCATAGTTGGCGGGTTGGTGGCCGCCTCGGCCATAAAATGCGCCATGGTTTTGCGGGGGTGGTGGGCCGTAGCCGCGCCCCCCAAACGACGGGCCGGGGCCGTAGTCGTCTGACGGGTCTAGACTCATCGGAGGAGGCGCCGGGGCTGGGCCGCCGCGATATACAAATGATGCGCGTGCAGAGGAGGGGAGCCTGTGGCGCCGCGATGTGCTTCGTCGTCGCGTGCTTTGAGGGCGAGGTGGCTGGTGACTTGTTGACGCCGAATCTGACGGGTCTATATCGTCGAATGGGCTTGGACCCCAAGGGTCGTTCTCGTCTACCAGCGAGTCGCTGTACTCCTCTTGGCTATGCGACGAATCGCCCTCGTCGTCGTCGTCTGTGAACGAGCTTGACGAGCTAGTTGATGATCGGCCGTGTCCGGGTTGGTCAATAGTTACGGTTGTCCGTCGCCTAAGGTTTCTGTAGAAATGGGTGGGAAGAAGATAGCCACCTTGGTCAGTATTGTCGCGCTTATGAGGAGGGAGCCGAGCGGCACAGCAGCCCTCAGCCTACCCATGCGCCAGACGGGGATGGGGGGAAAGAAAAAAGTCAGACTTACGACATTGGGAATAGCGGGATCGCTCACCCTTCACTCGCGACAATCTGCGGGGGAGAGAGTCGGAGCAAAGGCGGCAGGCTTGCGAGATCCTTTTGATCAAGATTTGGCCAAAGGTAGGTACGAGGTCTGCCCCGTCGGGGGAGACAGAGCGCCGGCGAAAGGGTGTATTTAGCGGTGAGTGCGCAGACGCCCTGGCGCACAAGGCAAGGTGGGTGAGGTGGGAGTGGCAGTGGCAGTGGCGGGAAGGGGGATTTGGACCAGGCCCGACGCAGACGCGGGGTGCGGAAAGTGCTAGTTTGCGATTTTTGGCGGTTGGACGAAACTGGGTTTCGCGACGGCCCCTGGATGCTCAAGAGACGGGAGTAAGCGATACTATGTTTTGGCGGTCGGCGCGCAAATGCACCCCTCGAGAAGTTAGAACGGCGGCCGGGTTCAATCGCCTAATAATGGTAAGTCGAATATTGGACGATAGCGCTTGGGTTCTGACGGGCACTTCCTGGTAGGAAATAAAGTCGACGCTCCGCAGTAGGTGGGTTGGGCGCAGCGCTGGGGGAAAAAGGGCGGATTGGCCTGTCCGGGGTTCGTCAGCGACAACGGCACGGACGAAAATGTCACAATGGGTCCAGATCCACAGAGACAGAGCGGTACAAGGTCGGAGAGACGCTAGTCGGTGAGGGTAGGGCCAAGCGTGTAACAGACAGACATACGACAGAGAGGGGCGAGGCAAGGCGATGGCTGAAGTGGACGTTTAGCCCAATTCCGCCGCCATGGCAAAAGTGCCAACTAGGCTTACAATCGTGACTTGGAATGGAAACAAAAAGATGGCATGCTGGAGGAAAGAAGGTAATGAGAGAAGACTCGGAATATGGATGCCACGGAGTTACAGGCAGAGACACGAACACAGACATACACACACACCTCACTCTGCTGCGACGCGTGACCAGATGGACCAGACGGGCGGGATCGGGAAGGTCCAGTCCTTGCTGTTCTTGGCACGGGCGCTATAAGCCGTGGTTCTGGCACAGCAGCAACAGAGGCAGCAGCACCGTCAGTGAGGAGCCCGAATTCGATCCGTGGAATCCCCCAGAATACCAGTAGAGCTGCAAAGATGCATACATCCACCCAGCAGCTTTGTAGGCGGGGAAGCGATCTAGCGCGGCGGGGGGTGTTGGGCTCTCCAGGGCCGGGAATGCAAGCAACAGCGAAGAGGAGTGCGTCGATGACGACGACTGGTCGTGCATCCGTCCTCAACATGGAGCTGGCGCACCGGGAGATCGTGTGGTCGACCGTCCCAAGTGGTGTGTATCCATCTCGTCTCCCGGGGCAATAGACACGGGACTGAGGTGAGCGTATTGGGGCGACTGGCTGCCAGACTCGGCACCCCTCATCCCGTCTCCTGCCCGCAACGGTGCCGTGACGGCTCTATGCCCTAGGTCCAGTGCCACTTTGTTGGTGCGGGTTTGAGTTCCCCAAAGAAAACTGCCAACGAGCAACGAGCAGCCGTCGACTCTGCACCACTTCATTTGCCAGCGAGGACGGACAGAGGTAACAATATGGGCGGCTGAACGGGAAGAGCGGCGGAGAAAAGAGTCACGCTGGGGACAGACCCACAGGCGAGGCATGAAAATAGAATGAAGAGGTCAAGAGCAAGCAATAAAATCATACCTAAAGAATTTTGTCAGGACAGTGGTTGGCCGTCGTTGTTTGTTTGTTTGTTTGTCCTATAATCCGATGGATCTTGGCGATCTCTGTGCCTGTGTGCTGTGCCTGTGTCTTGCAATGTCCTTGTGAGCCTGTGTGCCGTCTGCACGGCAAAGCGGTCTCTAGCGTCTTGTGTGTGGGCGGTACTTCGTAACTAGCGGTGATAGGTGAAGGTGGGGTTCGAGGCTGAGAAAGGTCTGCCCGGCAGAGTCTTTCCAAGAGGATGGCAACCGAATCCGTTGTTTTTGGTGACTTCCGGAGCACCTTGGGAAAGGCGAGAGAGGATGTGATGTGACCGAAACAAACAGCGTGTTTAGTTTTTTTGAATGCACCACGACTTCAACTTACTAGACAGGTATCGACGTTTAAGCCCGTGTGTTTGTGATTAAAGTAGCTATGTGCGAGGCTTTACCCGGGCAGCTCTTGGGTAGTTATATCACGTTGTGGGTGGGTTTTTATCGTTAACGGCTTTCAGTGTTGTCGGGGCTCTGCTCTGTGTTGTTGGTTGAGCCGGGGTGTCGTTCGGTCGCGGGCCGATCAGGCAACAGTGTCAGGCAGCGGAGAGAGAAAAAGAATCCTCGTAAGTCCGTCTTTGGGGGGCCACAAATGGTGCTGGTCTCCTATTATACCTATGGGATGGGGCCTCCTGGTCAGACAATGGGATGAAGTGCGCTGCTGCTGCTGCTGCTGCTGCTGCTGCTGCTCCTGTTGCATTGGATGCTAATAAATGTAGGCGGGCGGGCAGGCAGGATGGATGAAATGGGGAATGTGGATTTTGTGGTGCGTGCAGCTGCTGCTGCAGCGGTCCGCTGGAGAGGGGACTGGCTGGGGAAGCAAGAGCGTTGCCGTGCCTACAGAAAAACCCTGGCTGCACTTACACGAGGTGCTGCCAGCCTGCCACAGGGCAAAGCGACGGGACGAAGCTGATTTAGACGGGCTCTTTACCCACGCAGGGCAGGTATTCGTACGTAATAATCTGCCAGAAGGTAAGTTAGTACCTTCCTTACCCTCAGGTAGGTACGAAGTATTATGCACAGAGACTGCCAGTTTTGTCGCGCCAAAACAAAGATTGTAAGGCAGCTGCACGCAAGAGATAGATATTGCGGCCTGGGTATCGATTTGTTATTCTTTTTTTCTTCCCGAGATGTGGCCTGTGTCCAGTTCTCGGTAAGGTAGGGGGTGGTCTGGCGCCCGATGCCAGTTTGCAGCAGGCAGTGACCTGGGGGCCCAAGTCTCACACAGGTGGACGGCCGTTGGCAACAAGAGTCACCGCAACGGAATAGGCTGGTAGGTAAGGTACGGATATCCGTAGGTAGGTAACGTCGTCAGTCGCCAGTGAGACAGACAGCGATCGAACTGGATGCCACTCAGACAGTGTGGAGAGAGAGGAGAGAGAGAGAAGACAAGTCAATACTAGACAGACCCTGGTCTGTTCTCTCAACTCAGCCTCCACAGGTTTCCTTCGCCGGTTGATGAAAACACTTCTCTTTCTGCGACTTCTCTGGTTTCTTGATGTCTTGAAGCTGCCTGCATCCTCGCAGATCGCACATGGTCTTTTTTTCCTTTCTTTTTGCCCTTTCTTTTTCCAGTCAGGAGCTCAAATCTCGTGGCGACGGGAATGGTCCAAACTCAAAAGGCCCAAGAAGACGCGGGGTACGGATAAGTCGTGGTTGGAGTTTGAGCACCAACGGGCAACTCTGCATCTGAGGCGAGAAAAAGCAATGGAACTGACAGACAACCTCTGGAGCTCGGGGCTCAGACAGTCTGCAGACACATCAACCTGGATCGGAATGCTTCAAGGTACGGCAAAGAAGGCAGCAGGTGGACCGTTGTGAAGACACAAACAAATGGCAGCCAGCGGACCGCGTGCATCTTAAGTATGCCTAGGTGGAACTAGAAATTACTAGTCGCCATGCACTTTGAACTCTTCCCAGAGATCCATGGCGGCGACTATGACAGCACAGTCAAAAAAAACACCACGGGGAGTGCCACTGAGAGGAACACGTCAACTCGCTCTCGCTCCCCAGGGCTGCAGAGAGGCATCCCCGGCTGGGAGCTAAAAAGGTCCGCGAGGAGCAGTTCCGGGTACCTTGCGCGTGCTGCATCATTAGGTCATTGGACGCCCATTGAACCCTCTTGGCCCAGGCACCCGGGCGCGGATGGCAAATTGGCAATGTGTAAGTCTGTGTCTTGGTGGAAGGCAATGGAACAAGGCATCGGGGGCAGCTGTTGTTTCGGCGAGAGGCCACTCAAGTGCAGCTTGCATTGAAGCTAGCCCGAGGAGCTCCGGTTTTTCTGCCCAAGAGGGGCCTGGGATTTGCTCAGCCTGCGTCAGGGCCATCGAGCCCGCAGCCCGGGACAGTCCGGTTGGGTTGGGCTCGAAGGGCTGCGCACCGCCCTTTCTCCACACGCGCAAGAGGAAGCCATTGCGTCCGTTCGTCTTGTGCCGTCTACTGGAGCCACGTGCCCAGACAAGACGTCTTTTCCCTCAACCTGGAAGTCTTCCTGCCCAAGACCCACCGCCTCGGCTAATGCACATCGCCCGCAGCAACGCCGACCGACTAATGTACACAGTAGAATCACCACGTAAGGCACCAATGAGGCCCAGAGCCCTAGAGCACCACCACCAAACGGGGTCGCTTCTTCGCAAATGCCCTCCAAACAAGCCAACGCGTCGCGGCGGCCCATTCCGCGTCTCAGCAAACACCCATCAATGACTCACGTTGCCGTGGACATGGCGGGGGTGTCACTGGACTGCGCCGTGTGCCGGTTGTCTCATCCGCAACGAATGTCATCTCTCAATTCTAGATGCCGCAGATGCGTCTTCCGAGAGAAGCTCCCGCGCCGCTGCAACCTCAACCTCATCGTACCCACGCCATCCCCGATCCCCCGCCGTGCTGTGTCGAACAATCTCGGACAGCTTCGCAGTAGCTAGCTCGTTGAGCCGCTCAATGGTGCTTGTATCCGGCAGACGCAAGCCACCCTCGTCGTTCTGCTTTGCTGGCTTGCCCGACTCCTTGAGGAGCCTCATTGTAACCTTGAGAGCCGTGTCAGAGTGTAGGTCAACACAACACCAGGGGGCACAACCAGGGGACTACTCACCAGCTTCAGCCCGTAATAGCCCCGGAGGTAATCGTCGCACAGCTCGATGCTCCGGGAGAACCGCTTCAGTGATTCGGCCATGTACTTTTGATAGGAACTGCCACCCGCACCCGAAGCAGTAGCGGCCATGCACTGCATCTCGCCAAGCCGTGCGTGTATCTGGGCAGCTGCGTTAGCACAGGTCTTAGGCGTGCCATGTTCGGGTCGGGGTTACGCACATTCCACGCATTTGGTGCCAATATTACGACCTCCTCCAACGCGTAGATTGCTTGCGGATACATGCCCTGCGATAGGTAGAGGTCTGCCAGCTCCGACCAGCCTTCAGCATCCGTGGGGGAGAAGTCAAGGAGCTGCACGAGGGCCGATACTGCCTCCGAGACGCGGCCCATGGACCGCAAGAGTCCGACGCGCCTCTTTGTGATAGGCTGTGGGCTGTTAGTGATTGGCCGCGGCCGACTAAGCAAGATGGGGGCATACGATGTTGGTGTCGTTCTCCTTTAGTATCTGCTCGTAATCTTTCAGGACTGCCTCCAGCTTGCCCGGGTGTTGGGCTTCAGCTTCCTTAACCAGGCCCCTGAAGGCCATGATGCGCTCGTTGTCCTCGCCAAAACGTGCGGCGAGTCTCTCGAGGCATTGCTGCGCGGCCAGGTCGTCCCCGGTTCTCAGGCAGGACAGCAGCAGGTTCTCGTACTTTATCCACAGTTCTGGGGATTCCGAGGCCGAAAATATTGCGCCGAGCGGCGATGAAGAGACGGTGCTCGGCGAGCTCTGGAGCAGGGCGGGAGCTTGTTGGGAAAGCTCGAGAGCCGCGGCTGGGGACAGCTGGCTGGGAGGGTGGAGCAGAGAAGGAGCCATCATGCTGGACTTGATCGTGCGATGCGATCCCTGGATTGGATTGACTGCCGGGCAATTGTCGATGAGACTGCGATTAGAAAGATTCCGATCCGTTGCAAGGCGTGTCGTGTCGTGTCGTGTGCATGTCGTCTGATGAAGCAGTGGCAGCGTCAGTGGCAGCGTCAGGGGCGACGCGACAGATCCGTCAGGGACAGCTGCCTGTGTGGGGGCAGTCGATTGTCCTTGAGCGGCCGAGCTAGCCAAAAGCGGGAGCCGCTCGACGCTGGTAATCCGTACTGTGCAGTGACGTTATCCACATTTTAACGTCCAACCAGCCCACTGGCAATGGCAATGGGCTTCCGACTGCAACCCATCTTCCCTGCCCATAACCCGAATAGTCTCGACACCAATACTTCAAGATGGAATCTGTTGGATATTTCGACCTCCCATTACATACTGCATATTTTCCATGTTAAAAGTATGCCGTAATCAGACCCTGGAGCTGCATGATAGATGATACAGCGCCTATAAATCTGCAGATACGATTTTACCTATAAAAAAAGCAAGGTTAACAAAGAAGGAAAGGAACAAGACGGAAAAGGGAAACAGCAAAGACATTCCCCGGCCATTGATAGTTCGAACGGGTGGCTATCCGTTTACAATTTCACCCATCATCGCGTTTTCACAGAAAGATGAGGCGACCGTGAAGACGCAAACCCGGGACGACCTCTACCAGCCACTCCGAGTTAGGTGATGCTGCAACAGGATAGAAGTTCCGTAGCCGATCATCTCTAACCTTTTCGAAATCAGCAACATGCTAACCCCCCATTCACTTCACCTCGTGTCTCGCCAGACACGACAGCTAAGTAACTGGCCATGTTGTCATCAACACGGCTGGCAGCTAAGACGGATCGAGCTCCGTTTAAGCCATGCATGTATGTACGTACTCACAACGCAAACGAGGAGTGAGTGAGTTTCCAACGTGTCCATACAGAGAGAGAGAGAGAGAGAGGAAGGCCGAGATGCACCAACGGCAAGAAGGGGGTAGCTGTCAGGTATTCAAACATTTGAATATTTGCCTCGGCGACGTCCCACCTGTCCGCGTTCTTCCGGAAGCGGGATCGACGCGTGCGTCCTGTTTGCGTGTGTTCGGGAGCACTGCCAACAAGTCCGCCTCGGGTCAGCAGGTAGATAGCAACCATTGGGAGTTTGGGACCTCGTACTGTGAAATACTTCTTGGGCGTTTTGTATGTCGGCTGTCCTTCTTATCCTGTTCTATCAGATTCCTGGCCCAATATCGGGTCTCATATGAGTTACGCCTTGAAAGAGCTACATGTTTCCTTTTGCTATCGTGTAACATCTCCACGCAGGTTAGCCTATGCTGTAAAGGCTTCACTCAGGATTCCACAAGCCATATCGACCTCTTCCTACCAGAAACAAGACCGGAGCAGGGAGAACGAGAGACGGAAGACGGCGATGATGGTGGCATCGTGGGCACTATGGAAGGCCCTCCATTTCACCTCACCGTCAAGGGTTGCCTACATCATGAAGGAGAGATAAAAGGGCGGCTTAGGGATGGAGAAGTACCCTCATATGAAATAGCGAGGAAGCGCAAAGTTAGATGATATGTAAATGGTTAGGTAAATAAGTCTGTAAATAATCTAGGTCGCAAGCCACTCCCAGGGAAATAGACAAGGAACCGTGACATGTAGACAATAGTCGTCTGAACCCCAAGCCCCTCCACTGGCCTCCCAAAAAGGACCAGAGGGAGTACGACATGTAAAACACACAAGACAGAAAAAAAGGAAAGCTAAACCTAGCAAGACAAAAAAAGGCTGGTTTGACCGGTATAGATATTTGCACAATGCCCATATGGCAATAATAGCTAATAGCCAGCGTCGCTTATTCATTCCAGCCTCCGTCATTTCAAGTCGTCAGCAGTAGCCCCAACATATTATTACTAGTAATCCATTGGCGCGTCCACAAGAGTGACACCGTGAGAGGCATTCTCTGATCCCGCTGTAGTCGAAGGCTGTGCGAGACGGCGCCCTTCAGAAAAGCGTGCTCTGTGAGCAGGACCGCTGCGTCCCAGGCTGTTCCTCTTCTCAAGCACACTCTCGCTCTCGATCTTGGCCACTGGGTCCGCCGGGGTGGGCGAGGTTGTCGATGCGGGCGCACCCAGGTTCAAGTTACCATCGGCAGGGTGACTGAGACCCATGCTGATATCATCGGGGACTTCAAGGCTCGTCCTCTTTGGCAGGATAGGCCCCAGACTCTGCCTCTTGGAAGTAGGGCTTGTAAGGCTCGGCGTGATAGGGAACCGCGTTTCGGGACCGCCTGTGCTCTTATCGCGGCGGTGACCGCGCGGACCTGGCGCCGGCGATGTCCCCCTGCTTCGGCTGCCGCCTGCCTTTTCTAGGAGCGCTCGATTACGCTCTTCCATGTGTGCCTTCCGGTTGCTCTCGTCAGTCGAGATCGCCCGTGGGCGGTTCTGGTTTCCGGTCACCGACCCAGATGAGCTCAGCGTCGACATGCGCTTCAGCTCGCTGAATATGGCGTCCTTGTGTGTAAACAGATCACGGACGAGCCGGTACGCGTGTTTCTCCTCCATCGTGAGCGACGTCTCGGTGCGTGGCCGCAGAATACACGGGGCGAGGCCAGTAGCTAGCTTAGCGACATAATCCTCGCCAGCTGACGTAAGGTCAATCAAGCGCGTGAAATGATTCATGCAAGCATCCAAGGTCGCGATATTAGTAAGTCGTAATTGCGAGAGTGTCTGCTGTAGTACCGATACGCGGGCCGCGTCGTTGGTGTCGGCCGTAGGGGTTGTGTAAATGGTCCTGATGATCTCGTAAACGTGAGACGAGACCAGCGAGTCTAGCTACGTGTCAGCAATCCAGTCCATGATAGGAATACGAAACAGCAAGCATGCGCATACCTGGGAGTTCAAGGAGGTAGAGCTTCAAGAGGCTCGCGACAGTAGGGATGTCGAATTCGGCAAACACGTCGAGAGAGGGTGGCTTTCCATTGTTCACCTTGGCTCTTAGCTTGTGTGTCTGAGCAAGGGGCACTTCGTGGAGCCACACCCCCCGCCGAGCTTCATCGCCCTCGAGATCAGGGTAGTGGTGGTCCAGATAGGTCAGGAGACTGGTAATAATGACAGGCACGCGCTTCCTGTCCGCCCGAGCGCGAGGCTCGAGGTCAACACCAAACGTCTGTTCGTCGACTTTGTTGTAGTAGTTCTCGTAAATCACCACCTTTGGCGCAAAATGACCCGTCCGGTAATTCTCCAAGAGGTACCGGAGATCGCCTAGTGGCTGCACCGTCTCCTGGTAGAGCATCATGTTGTCAACCGTGGCCTGGAGGCTAGGAATTACGTTGCTGATGGTTCCTGAGAAATCCAACACCACAGTCTTGACGGCCTTGAGCCTATCAAGCTCGCATCGCTCGAGAAACTTGAGGTGTACGAGGATGGCCTCTTCAAGGGCGCAGCGCATCTCATCAAGCTTCTGGACCGCAGCCTTGTACCTCTCGTCCGACTCTCTGGCCTCTCGGCGCATCCGCTCGGCCGGCGACTCGTTTGGGCGTGACGTATTGAGCACGTTCCAGTTGGCGAGGTACTCGCTTACCGCGCCGACCGGCGAGTCGGTCCCGTCTGTTGCGGGCAGGGAGAATGTCCGCGATATCACTTTCTTCTCCGGAACTCCAGCGACCTGGAACGCCTTGGGCCGCCACTGGTAGAACATTTTGGAACTGTTGGCAAATGTGTTTCCGACGTTGCCAATCAAGCGTAGGAAGCCGTGCGTTATCAAATCCTGGCCGATCCTTTCGGCATAGCTGACGCTCGAGCTGCCCATGTTCCGCTGTAGATACTCCACGATGTCTGAGCCTGCCGACGTGTTCTGGTAGAGGCCCAGAATCGGGACCTTTGTTTCCCCTAGCTTGATGTTTCCAAGCATGTGCGCGAGAATAGCCTTGACCTGCTCGGGGCCATAGGTCTCGTCGCCGATCTCGTAGGGCTCGTTGTCGTCGTCCTCAGGTTCCTTCTCCACGTTGATCTCAGGGATGGGCTGCTTCGGCTTCGGGCTCGTCTCGGGATCTTGAAAGGCTAACTTGTTCTCTTCCTCGAGGTCCTCAACGAGACGGCACTTGTTGAAGTAGTTGCTCCTCAGTTTTTTGACTGCCTCGGATTGCTTGTCGTGGCTCTTGATTCTCGCCTGGAGATCCTCCTGCGAGTCCTGTATCCGGGTCTCGTGGGCCTCGCACCATCGCGAGAACGGGTTCACGACCAGGTCTCGGATGTTTTGCGCAATCTTCCTGTGATTCTTGGCCGCCTCCTCCATCTCGGTTCGCACGCCGTCGTACGCCTAGTAGACACGTCAGCACAAGCCCGCGGCGACCTGATGCCGGTGGGTGGGTCGAAGAATACCTTCCGCACGCTGGCTCCATCGTCGCGACCAAAGCCGCCTTGTATCTTGTCGACGGCGGGAGCGATTTCGGCAAGGCGCTGGCCGTAGAGCTCTTCGGCCTCGGCGCGCATTCGAGCCACCGTGAGCACTTGGCGGTTCTCGATGACACCTTGCTGGAGCTTGCCAAACAGGACCCCGAGGCCTGCGCCATCTGCTGTCAATACGGGACATCACAGCGCCATCCATGAACATCACGAGGTCACTCACCTGCGGCGTAGTCATTCGACCAGAAGGAATCCGCGAAGCCCGGCATCGTGAAAAGCGGGCAAGTCGCACTGCTGTCTCTCGACTGAAAGCGGCAAAATGGGGTGCAAGTTGGGTCCCTGGGGATGCTCTTCACGCAAGAGCCCTCCGACAGACACTAGAATCGAGCTCGTATTTGGTGGATGCAGGGGAAGCCGGGAATTGAATCGAGCGATTGAGGCTTGTGCAGTCAGTCTTGGCTTCGATTTTGGCGAGCTGTGTAAGCCACCAAATGCCAGGCCGTGCGATTGTGGATCCGGGTTTCGTGTCCCCGTGTCGCAGACTGCGCAACGGCGAGTTCGGTTGGGTAGGATAGACAGTTATTGTTGTGCTGGCGCTGGATGAGGACTTACGGCAAGAAGAAACAAGGAGAAAGCAAAGGTCAGTCAAAAAGCATCATTCAAGAAAAGACCTTACGTAGCGCACCTGCACCCAACAAGGGCCTGCAGACGATCCGTTTTCATTGGAGCGCTGGACACTTCGTTAGGTACGAAGTACCTTGGGTTGGCAGCCCGAGACCTGAAGGCGTTTAACCCGACCCCTGCATTGTAGCCCAGGCGGGGGGTACTTCGTACCTTCCCGCTGTGCCCCTACACTCAATGTACGAAGTACCATCTTCTACTTACTGCTAGTACGTGGAAACGAAACGGGAGAGCAGCCCGGGCCTTAACTGGAAAGTTGAGATGACGGGTGCCCGCAATGAAATCTCGAAACCATTACTTCCGTACGACGACCGAAGAGGCTTCACGATCTGCCCTGGGCGTTTGAGCCTCTCCCACGATGTCTGTGGGTTTCGAGACAAAACCAAACATTGTCCGAGCCAACTGGCCACGAATTTGATGACGTATGGCCCAGACCTTGCTCAAGCAAAATTGCGATGGATTGTTCTGTTGTCTTCAAATTACGCCGTGCGGGAGCAGCAGGAAGGTGGATACTAAGGGCAGTCTAGAACAGAATCGCGTCTTGATGCTTGATAGGCTTTTAAATATGCGTGGTTGTGTGCCTATAGATGGAACCTCCGTCAGCGCATTCTCGCGTGTCTTTGTTTCTCTTTACTTCAGAGGTTGTAGTGTATCAGAGGTATCCAATTCATCTGAGACCTGAAAGTTGAAACCCAGGTCCGGGCTTAACAATGGAAGGCTCAAGCCCCCGACCCCACCTGGCGGGGCGAGCGGGTAAGCAGCCCAGAGGAAGGGTCAACCCACGCCTCATCAGTCCTACTCTGCAGGACGGATACCGTAATCTTGTAACATGTGTGTTTGTTATTGTAACCAAAGCCGAGGAAGCCGCCGCCGGTCGCAACACAGCCCGGGCCTGTCCGTCATCAAAAAACACCCGACACTCTCTCGAAAGGCCATGAGAGGAGCAGCAGGTTTCAAAAATAACCCGGGCTCCATTAATACATTCCTTGCCTTATCCATTATTCGCCCCCAACATCTCCAGGGTATAGCCTCAGCGGGGCTTGCAGAATCCTCCCCAAGCGGTTCCGGAAAGTCGGGTGAGCTTACTTAGTAGACTTACTGAATACTCGTTAGGTGTGGTTGCGACTTGACTTGAGCCTCCGACGGAATACCTAGGTCTAGGCCTCGAGATGGAGAAGAGCCCGATCATCACCAACACCGCCACCGTGGCTGGGAGCGGCCGCGATGGCACCGGAGACGTCAGTTCCGCTCCTCCACGCCGCGGGAGGAGCTCTCGGGCCGCGAGGATCTCCCTCCTGGTGGTGCTCTTCTATTTCATCGTGGGATGGCTCTTCCAACCAGTGATGCGCGCTGTCGCCCTCCGGCAGCTCCGCCACGCACAGGAAGGACATTGCACCAAAGGGCCCCAGAGCGTCGAGCAACGCGTCAAGCGGATCCTCACTGGCACTCCGTTGATCGGTAACTGCAGCTCCCACCTCCCCTTACTCTCCTACCATCCACCGCCTGTAGGTAGGGGATGTCTACCACAAGAGGTGCTTCTTCTAAGTCACCTGCATTCATTCATTAGATGGACACAATGACCTGGCCATACTCATCAGGTTTGGCTACAACAACCACATCTACGATGAGAAGTTCGCCGGCCCTTTTGAGCAAGGCGGGTTCCCTTCGCACGTCGACTTGCCCCGGCTGCGGGCCGGCATGAACGGCGGCGCCTTTTGGAGTGTGTTCTGGCCGTGCCCCGAGAATGGGACGGATTTCTCGGACGAGAACTATGCCTCGAGTTAGTCATTCATCATTGCCGCCTGTTGTTGTTCGCCCTTGTTACACCAACCTCACCAAACTGCTCCTTGAACTAAACCACAGTGTCCCGCTCGCAGGCGTCGCGGCCACGATCCAGCAGATCGACCTCATGAACCGGCTCAAGGAAGCCTACCCCAATGACTTCTCGCCCACGCTGGACAGCAGCTCGGCCATGAAGGCCTTCAAGAAGGGCCAGTTAATCTCGCCTTTGGGGGTTGAGGGTCTGCACCAGATCGGCAACTCGGTCGCCAACTTGCGCTCCTTCTACAAGCTCGGCGTCCGCTACTCGACGCTCACGCACAACTGTCACAACAAGTACACTGATGCTGCTCTGTTGGAGAATCCCCTCCGCAAGGCACCTCCGCACTGGGGCGGCGTCAGTCCGGAGGGCCGGCAGCTCGTCAACGAGATGAACCGGATCGGCATGATCGTCGACCTGTCCCACACGAGCGTTGACACTATGGTCGACGTCCTGGGCTCGGGCCGGGACGGGTGGGCCGGGAGCAAGGCGCCCGTCATCTACTCGCATTCGAGCGCCTTCAGCATCTGCCCACACCCGCGCAACGTGCCGGACCACGTCCTCGAGCTGGTGAAGCAGCGGCGCTCGCTGGTCATGGTCAACTTCGCCCCCGACTTTGTCTCGTGCGTCGCCGCGGACCGCGCCGACGGCTTGCCCGACTTCTACCCACCCAACTCCACTCTGTCCCACGTGGTGACGCACATTCTACACATTGGCAACCTCATCGGCTTCGACCACGTCGGGCTCGGGAGCGACTTTGACGGAATACCCAACACCCCGAAGGGGCTGGACGACGTCTCCCGCTATCCCGACCTCGTCGCCGAGATGCTGAGGCGAGGAGTGAGCGACGGCGACGCGGCCAAGGTGGTGGGCGGCAACCTGCTCCGCGTCTGGAAAGAGGTCGATGCCGTGGCTGCCCAGCTGCAGAAAGCCGGCGAGTCGGTGCTTGAGGACGATCTCCCGAGCCTCCGCTTCCCCTCAAACTTTGTATAGACGGGTACCCGTTTTGGAGCGTAGGGGCTTCAAGTGGACATGTGCAACGGGCGCTTTCTTTTGTATGGGTTCTTTCCAATACTGTATGATATACATTGAATGGCACACGCGGCGGTGCGAGAGCTCTTGCAATCCACCGAGGCCATCTGCTAGGAAATAGTAAAGACCTAGTAAGTTATTGTACATATGGACGAAGCGCCTTGCCCAAGGGTATTGTGTGTGCGCGGCTTCCTGCGGCGTCCATGGGCCGGCGCTCAAAGGGGAAAAGCATTGTCCTACTCCCCCGTTCTGCTCTCTCTCTAACAACCGACCGCACTGCCTCGACAAATAACCGGAAAGCACGGAGAAAGAGATAAAATAGGCAGAGTCTTCTTCTCAACCCTTGCGCTCGATCTTGTTGAGCTTCCTGGCGTTTGAGATCTGGTTCCGCGTCTGCTGGCCGCGCACGGGGAGGCCCATGGCGTGGCGGCGGCCGCGGTACGTGCCGATGTCGCGCAGGCGCTTGATGTTGTCGAGCACGATCTTGCGGGCCTCGTTCTCGATGGTCATGGTCGACAGCTCGGCCGTCAGCGCCGTCACCGTCTTGGGCGCCAGCGTGCCGACCTTGGCCCGCGCGTGGATGTAGTACTTGGCCATGACGCGCGCCGACGTCTGCGGTCCCAGCGCGTAGAACGACTCGAGCGCCTTTTTGACCAGCTTGTTCTCGTTGAAGTTGACGCCCAGGATGAAGACCTGAAAAAACCCCCCGCAGTGTCAGCGAGACTGGTGTGTATGTGTGTGTCTGCAAGCTACCAAATGGTGTGCCAAGGAGGGACGGGGGATGGAGGATGGGGGATGGGGATGGTGATGGTGATGGTGATGGTGATGGGGAGAGGAAGGGACACTACCATCTTGTCTTGCTAGCCCTAGTTGGGTCAGAGAAATCTTTCAGTATATCACCTGGCGTCCAAAAGCATGTCTGAGGGCCTCCCGCAACGTGCTTTGCGAAAAGGCTGGGAGCCGCGACGGATGTGGTTTGTGTCTCGCGGCGGGAATCCTTCCAGTTCTCGAGACGGCCTCGGAAGCTGCCAATTGACAAGCCGGGTTGCCGAAAATCCGGGTGAGGTCGTTGGGGCTGCCAGGCTGCACCAGCTGCTATGGTTGAGTTGTCGGCTGGCATCTCTGTGGGGTCCCACCAAAAACTTAAGTTCACAGGTGCCTGTTGTGCCTGTTACAAACTTGGTGCGCCTGTGCCTGGAATCCAACTCAAATTTACAACCATATCCCTCAGGTTATCGACCACCTCAAAGTCAGCCAAGGGAAGGACCGAGATACGTAATTCACCTGCTTGTGTGACTCTGATCCTAAATACACAAACTCAATGAGATCAATGGACGACTTCTCCACGAGGCCAGCCCGGCCGCTTCCATTCTCTGACGAGTTTGCTTCTGCGGATGAGTACGTTGACAGCCTGCTGCACTTCGCCGCGAATTCGGAGCTGTTCCAATTTCTCTGTGGCGGCGTCCACATCCTGGACTTCTTCACCGGCGAGCCTGGTCTGTTTATTTCGGCCGTGCCCCCAGAATGGCAGCCCTTTCTCCTCGAGTACGGGCCTATGGAGCTTATGGATCTCCTGATGCGGGACGACCTGGCCGAGGCCTCGCAGCGGAGCGGCTCGAGGGCCCCTCCCGAGAGTCTCCTGCGCTATGTCAAGGACATCCGCCGCCTCTCCCTGCGGCGCTCGTTCCGCCCGGACAAGCCGAGGCTGTCTGTCCTTCCCCGGTCTGTGGCTCTCGGCATGAAGACCAAAAAGGTCCACGAAGTCACCCATTTTGCCGGCTACATCGACAGGCTCGCCGCCCACGTCGCCCACGTCTCGGGCAAGCCCTTGACTCACCTCGTAGACTTTGGGAGCGGCCAGAACTACCTTGGCCGCACCCTGGCCAGTCCTCCCTACAACCGGCATATAGTTGCCGTCGAGAGCAAGGAGGCTAACATGGCAGGCGCCAAGGACCTCGACATCCTGTCCGGGCTCGCAGAGCGCGAGAAGCGCGTGCGCAACAAGAAGCTGTACCATCGGATTGCCAAGTCTGTCGATCCGTCGCTGCGCAACGACGAAGAGGCTCTTAAGTGCGCCGCAAAAGCCCTCGGCGTGACAGACGAGGAAATTGCCACCATTGACCTCAGATCTAGGAAGGAGCTCCAGGCCATATACACGGCCGAGCAGGGAAAAGGCTCCATCGACTATGTCGTCGGCCGCCTGGAGCACGCTGATCTGACAGACGTGATATCGCAACTACCCATCAACGAGGCCGCGCTCAAGCCCGAGAATCTCCGCATGATGGCCGTATCCATCCACTCGTGCGGCAACCTGTCACACTACGGCATCCGGTCAATGGTCTTGAATCCCTGCATCCAGGCCGTCGCTATCGTAGGCTGCTGCTACAACCTTCTGACTGAGAAGCTGGGGCCGCCGTCGTACAAGCCTCCCTTCAGCCGGCCAACTCTCCAACCCATCAATTCACGCGTCGCCCGGGAGTCAGAGAAGCGTGACCCCCAAGGATTCCCTATGAGCGAGCGTCTCTCGACGTATAACGAGCAGGGGATCCGGCTGAACATAACAGCGAGGATGATGGCCTGTCAGGCGCCTGGAAACTGGACCGAGCAAGACAGCGACGGCTTTTTCACTCGGCATTTTTATCGCGCCGTCCTGCAAAGGATATTCCTCGATAAGGGTGTCATCACTCGAGTTTACCACACCAATGAGCCTGGTGTTGGTGCTGGCGCTGGTGCTGAGGGTCGTGGTGCGGAGAGCCCGTTCAACTCTAGCACCAACCCGGTTATCATCGGCTCCCTTCGCAAGCAGTGTTACTCTTCCTTTGCGGCCTATATCCGAGGGGCGATAACAAAGTTGACAACCAACGCTGACTGTGGCCAATACAGTCAGGTAATTAGGGACAAGATAGGCGATATCACGGAAGAGGAGATCGCAGAGTACGAAGAAAAATACCGATACCGGAAGAAGGAGCTCAGCGCCGTATGGAGCCTGATGGCCTTCAGCGCGTGCGTGGTTGAGTCACTTATCGTCACAGATCGCTGGCTGTTCCTTAGAGAACACTCCGATATCGTCCGCGACTGCTGGGTGGAGACCGTGTTCGATTATCGAGAGAGCCCGCGCAACCTAGCCGTCGTCGGCATAAAGAGATAAGGAGGTAGCTGGGCGAAATAGACACACAACGTCGGAAGACGTCTCCTGCAGCCGCGGGCCTGGATCGGATCCCGCCCCCGGATCTCGCGTGCGAAGTGTGCCTCTCTGCATTAATGCTTGGCAAGGTTGTCGGCTGTCGTGGCCATTAACCAGACTCGAGCCCGACCCTCTAACGGAGCTAGCTCGGCCCGACGAGTCCTGGGGAGGCCGTGACTCTCCTCTGCGCCTCTTGTCATTTCAAGAAATGGCAGCTATATGGTGTTCTGTGTCCCCTAAAAGCCAGCAACATCATGATCAAGCATAGCATCCATAGACGGCGAGAGTGAGGCATCAGCCCGGAAATGGGCGAGCCCTTCCCAACATTTCCCAACCCCCCTCGCGCACTGTTCCTCCCTCCTATCACACGTTTCACAGCGGAGCTGCTTGCACCTGCATCTTGCAGCCCTCACGCCCGCCAGGCACTTCGCGGTCAGTGTGCGTACGTACATCTCTCACCGGTTTCGACACGGTAGATGCTGCCATGGCGCTCCTGTCTCCTGTCAGTTGTCATGTTCCATATGCGGTGCCCCCGTCACTTTTATGTGCTTGGCTCAGGTTGCAGACCCATACGAGATGCCCGAGCGAGATGATAGGTTTGTCGCGCCATGACCGAGCTGAGGGGGATGCCCGCTGCCGACTAGCGTGAGGTCGCGCCCTCCTTCCCATGCTCGCTCGCTCGTCCCGTCCAAGGAACACCCTCAGATGCACCCCACACTGCCCATTGCCAACCGAGATAACCGGTAAATACCGATTGGGACAGGCCGAGCGCGGCCAGGCACCGTGCCTTGATCCGTCCTACCTATGGTATCGTATCCAACACCCAACGGTGTGAAGGCAGCGGACCAACAGATGGGCGGACGAAAGTCGGTATTTCAAATCTGAAATAACCAAACAAGCGTCGAATGCAGGGACAAGACTAGACATTGGGGGTTCGAATCCGCGCTGCTGGCAACTGGCGGGCGTCGGTCCCTCCCTCTGTCGCTGCCCCCGTCATGAACATACTGTATCTGTAGTAGCTGAGGTGAATTGCGCTAGAGGGCGGGAAGGGTGATCGGCGACGCGGGGAGAGGAGGCACCTATTTCCCAGGTCGCCGTTTCGTTGGCCACCCAGCCGTGCGCAAAATGTCGTGCATCGTCCAAACACTTCTAGTGACAGGCGCCACGGCTCCCCCCGACAATGACACAGCTTGGGGTTGGGCTGGTTCGATCCCGCCGTTGGCCGGTTTCCCCGAAATCCCGCAGCGATCAGCGAATTGGCATGACATATTTGTTTTCACCTGAAATTCCCTAGCGCATCGAGGCACAGTGGTCCCAGATGTATTTCTCATCTTTCGCAATCCAGTCCAGTCCGTGAGGGTGCCTAGATTAGGTTGTTTGTGGTGGTGAGCGCTGCGAGAATCGCGTGAGTGGGCAGAGCGCGGGGGGGGGTTTTTTCGGAAAGCGGGTGCGGGGGTGTTTGAGCTCAATCCCGCCCTTTGAGAAGCCCGTCCTCCAAGCCGAACCCCGCCAGAAAAGGGTCCTGCCCTGGAAATGGAACCACCGCTGCGTCTTCCTAACTTCCACCTACCTATCGCCGGGTATTCTGGCCATGATGAATCTACTATCGTCTTTTTACGATGAGAGGCATTTCACCTCAGCCAATGCGGCTATGGGAATCCCACAAGCTCGACACTAGAACCAGGCTAGATTCTAGCACGAGTTCTCATTCTCATGCACATCTCCCGTGCTCCCAAGGTAAGGTAGGCTGAGCCGCTATTAGCTAAGGTACGGCAATGGATGGAAAGGGAGGCGTTCCAGTGTCCAATCCAATGCACAGAGCACTGTGCCTGGGAAACGCTGGGACGTGCTGTGGATGGCAGTCGCAACCTACCTAGCAACCTGGCAAAAGCCAAAAAGTCCCCCTTCCCGGATATCCCACCCATTGGGGGGTTCTGGGTTCTCCCCCCCACGTCCTGCCCCACTAGCACCTGCATGCAAATGCATGCACCTCCAAAAGCCTCCTAGCTTGAGAGTCTCTTGGCGGGCATCGATCCGGATCTCTCTCCACCAACCTACCCAAGGTTGGTAAGGTAGGTCTCTTTTCTCTCTCTTACCCCTCGCTGCCAGCATGGCCGATCGCATTGTTACTTGGCTGGACTGGGCTGGGCTGTCACGGGTCCTACGTGTCTGTCTACCTGGGTGCTCTGCCTGACGTATGTATGTACATACAATACAATACAAAAGCCGAGGTGCTATATGCTGGGCTGTGTATGTCTTTGGGAAAAGGGAAAAGGCCATCCATTATCCGATTTGACACCACACACACGCACACTCCCTTTCTCGCACTTCCGTATATGCGGTCTCTTGGACCCTCCTCCCTCCTCTAAGTCGCTCCAGAGAGAAGTCATCACGTCATCAAACTACTCGAAATTGCTACCTACCATAGCACTCACTTCTTCCATATCCTCGTTGAGAAGCGAAACCAGGAGAACAGAACAATAGGGGCCAGAGTGGGGCAGCAGCCTCCTCGCTCCCTAACTTAGCCAGGCGCTGGACATAGCGAGATTGCTAGCGCTTTCAACTCTCTCTCTGGCTTGTTCTCCCCACCTTGGTCTGTCTCAGCCGTCATAACTGCAACAACCACCTGGTGATCGAAACCCAGCAACGAACAATGGCTTTGAAATCTTGATTTGCCCTTCCTTTTTCGTCCCACTACACGGTTTCCCCATACGGTATTCATATTACGAACCAAGACGGCTAGCCGGACAAGAAAGAAAAGCAACTACCTACCTTACCTAGCATCTGCCAGATGTTGTTAAATGGCGTGATGCGACTCGTCACTTTTCCTCCACCGCTTCCAATGTCCCAGAATTAGAATCCTCATTTCTGTGCGTACAGTACACGCATGCACCTTGACACCACGGGAAAAAAAAAGGAAAAAAAAATCTTCTCGGCACACACAGACAGACGATTCAACTAGTTGTTCTGTCTGGCCATAGCCATATCCACCCCCTCAGACACCTCTTGCCTATAAGGTTTCGCTTCCCGAGTCGATGATTCCTCCCTCTGTTGCTTTGAGCTCCCCATCGACAACCGTTCCCTTTAACAGAAGCTCTTGAGAAAGTCGTCTTCATTTCACTTTCTATTTGCTTGCTCCTGCTCTCTACCGTTTTACAACATCTCCCACCCCTAGAACCCGCTCAGTTTCCAAGTGCGAGTTTGGACTTTCTGGGCGGCCGCTTCATGGGCCAGAACCTCGCGACCGGGACGAGCCGATAAATACTTGACCATGAACGCACAGATAACCTTTCTTGTGAGTCCTCCCTCCTGCTCCGCAGTCTGCGGTCTGCACAGAATCCCAGAACCCAGCAAGATCATGGTCCCAAAGGAGCGGCCCCGGCCAATCCTACGGCCTAGGATCCGTGCACCTCTCCTAGCCGCGCGTTTGAGGTGATTGGGAGTGACCCAGTCTGTCGGGACACTTTATTCCCCCACCCGCTCAAGTCGCGCCCAATCGTCTCGTCCCACTTGCACATTTTGAATTCTGGTTGACGTTAAGACTCTGCAGGATGAAACCTTGAGACTGATCCACGTACCTCTGAGCCTCTACTCGAGCTTCCTCCAGCCAATCCTCAATGTGCTTCTCCCGAAGAGCCAGGGTGCCAGTGGAAGTGCCCAGCAACCCGAGCTCGAGAGCTCGACACTTGGCAACCAACATGGCTTCCTAAACATTAGCGTCACTCCAATCGAGTGTTCGATTGTGTGCCACAGCGCCTGGGCCAAGAGTGTCTTTGAGCCGGCCATCAAGAAGTTGCCCAAGGAGCTCTCCAAGACGGTCTCGATTTCCAAGGACTCGTATGCCGTCATCTCGGTCATCAGCGCCGGCATGGATGCTGGCTCGAGGGTGGTCGACCTGACCTCGCCTCTCGCACTGGCCGGCATCCCCATCTTCTTCATAACGACGTACTACTCCGACTTCATCCTGGTGCCGACCAAGGACCGGCAGAGCGTCGTCCAGGCCCTCTTAGCCCGGGGCTTCGTCTTCTCCGAGGATGAGTCTTCGTTCAAGCCCGCCATTTCCCCAGCCCATAGCCGGGGGACGAGCCACAGCAGTGAGCCGCCGTCGACGCCGCCGCCGTCGAGTGTCGGCGAGTTGCAAACCCGAACGTTTGCGCTGCTCAAGAAGCGGAACGTGGTGCCGTACATAGACCCCGATCTGCAGCTGATACACTGCTCGGGCCGGGAGAAATCCTCCTTCAGGGGCTATTCGGACCGGCCCTCGATGGCCAGAACCCAGACCAACGGAAACCGCCGAAGCTGGTTCGACACGTTGGACACGAAGCTGTACCTCAGCATCGTCTCGGCGCTGGCGTCTCAGCCGCGGTTCCTGTCCATCACCCTGGCCGAGGACGACCCGCCTTCGCTGCTCCTGGACAAGTCCCTGCTGGGCGTCTTTGGGGATTCCCTGGTAGGCCCTACCGAAGGCACGCTGGTCCCCATCTTTCTCGATCTCGACAATCTGCCCTTCGAGGCCACTGGGATCGTTTCCGGCGTCGCTGGAAAACTGGTGCAGGAGATGCACATGATGGAGAGCGCCGAGCTGTCGTACCTCTCGACTGCGCGCGCTGGCGCCGTCATTCTCTCCGCCGAGCAGTCGGTGAAAGCACTGGCCATCTTGACGCCCCTGCTGACCAAGGAGGAGCAGTGATCGGGTAGGCGGGTGGTCTTCGGGGGCCAAAAAAAGGGGGTGCGGGATGAGAAAAGGGGGTGGTGGGTACAAACTAAACTAAAACATCATATAGCACAAGGAGTCCAAAAAATGGTGCGGGTTTGAGCAATTCCTGAAGTCGGTCGGTTTTGACCAGACAAATCTGAAGGATTTTTCGAGGTGGCTAATTATGAGCGGGGCGACATTGCCGTGGTTTTTATCTCGCCGTGGGACAGAAAAAGGGTGCAACGATTTCCAGTAGCGGCCGTTTAAATAGAGCAACTGCGTTCTCACGAGTGACGCAGGCGTAGGGACAGGTGCAGTCGCAGTCGCAGTCGCAGTCGCAGTCGCAGTCGCAGTCGCACTAGCTTTTCACCAGATGCCGACCCAACATCCCAACCTTTTTTCTCATTTCCCATGGCCTTTCCTCTTAGCCGCCGCCGAGTCACTAACCAGACCGGCCTTGACGAAGGCGTCGCGGGCGGCGGTATTGATCAGCGCGAAGCGGCGAGGCCCCAACTTCTGGCCGCCGTACCACCGCGTCACCACCACCACCGTGTCCCACAGGTCCATGAGCTGCATCAGGTGCAGCAGGCGGCCCCCCGCGGCTGTCTCGCCGTCGTCGTCGCAGTCCTGGAACGTCGCCCCACCGGCCCCGCGGATCCGCCACGCCGTCATGTTGTGCGTCGCCCCCCGCACCCGCCGGTCGCTCGCGAGTAAATGGCGGATGTACCGCGCCGCCTGTGCGGGCGATGATGCCGCCGCGCACCGCGCGACGAATGTCGATTTGAGCTCGACTACGGGGTCGGATATCACCCACGGCGCAGCTTCGTCTTCGTTTTCATCCTCGCCATTGCCGCCGTGGCTGCCCGCAGGCTGCTCCTCCTCCTCCGTCACCGCACTTTCTTCTTCGCCTTCCTGATCATCATCACGGTGCACGGCAGCAGCGGATGCAGCGGCGTCCTCCTTGAACCGCTCGAACGCGTCGAACAGACACACCTGCCCCGGCGCGTACACGGCGGCCACGGCGCCGCGGAACAGTTGTAGATCGCGCGCCGCCGCCCCGCGCTTGCTGCCGCCGCTGCTGCTGTGCGTGCCCACCACCGCGGGCGGTGCGGCTGCGGGGTACCCCGCGGGGAACTGCAGGCGCAGTGATGATGTTGACCCTGACTCTGGATCAGGGGAGGGGTCGAGGGGGGGCAGGCGCAGGATGTAGATTCCCGAGTCTGGTGTGTCTGATGATGGGTAGGGTGTGAGTGTGTCCTCCCCGTAGATGGAGTTGATGGCTTCTATTTCGTCGAGAAGCTCTTCTGACATTTTTGGGGCATGGATTAGGGGAGGCGTGGTTGGTGTAGTGAAAGTGAAGGTAGGTGTGCTTATGTGTCTGCTCAACCGTGGAAGTGAGCGAGTGAGTGATTGGTGTAGTGATGTGATGCCGATGAGCGGTGATGAGTGGGTGTAAGCGGGGCGGTTTGAACAGCCGTGGTCTTGGATTTTAAGGTTAGGGTTATCTGCTGGTCTGAGGCGTGGATGGATATCACTGCTACGGCTGTAACATTCTCATTTTGACTTTTAGGGAAGCTGGGTTGGGATGATAGCCGGCCTTTAATTACCTGTTTGTTGAACCGGCCATCTATGGGCATTTACTCAGTTTGGATGGCACTGGGACCTAGGAACCCAACCTGGCTTGTCAGTGCCGAGTCGAGAAGGCTCGTGTAAAACTGTATAGTATTTCCGTACATACCTTACGGCATATCACTCCCAGTACTTACCCATCTGCTCTCTCTCAGGCCGAGAGCTTCCATCTCCGTTGATATCTTGTTGAAGCAAGTCAAAAAAAGCTGAAGTCGAAATAGTATATTACCTCGCAAAATATAAGAAAACTGAAGGAAGACCCATTCTAACGGCAACTTCGCACCGGCCCTGTCGGACAACATCGCGGGCCGTCACCTAGCGCGGGCCGAGTATAAGCAGCCCCCTGTCCCCCGCCAGGCAAGGCAGCGTTTCACTTTTCTCGTCGCCTTTCTGTTCCAAGCAAACAATTGGACTACTTACCGCCCTGAACACCAACCCCGAGTCCTTAGCTAAAGCCGCCCCCGGACTCAGCTTTGTTTGACTTGCCGTTTTTTACATGTTGGCTGGAATGTGTAATTTAGCATCCGCGTTTGTGGAAACGCACAGTGTACAGTGTACGGATAGACCCTCAACGCGTACGGATACCTAAGGTAGGGAGGGTAAAGCCAATGGATATCGACGGGTTGACCAGATATGGCGAGCTTCTACAATCCAAATCCTTCGTGGTGCTATTCCCAGCTTCGGGAGCAAATGCACTGTGCAAGCTGCGCAGCACCGTCTTTGACAGCGCTTAGTTGGCGGCGCTTGCTGCCTTGTCCTTGCCAAAATGCCACATATTGACCGTGACGGATCAGTTGTGAACATGGTCGTGTTGGACGTCCACGTCTCGTTTGGCGAGCCGTTTGCGGCCGACTCTGCAGGAGAGAAGGGAACGAAGGCGTGCTCTCGTGTTGCGAAAGCAGGGAGACGCTGTCCGAGCCAGGTCACGCCGTAAGCCTCGGTCATGATCGACGAGTCAGTCTTGACGGACTGCTCCTAGAGAGTTGGGAGTGCATATGAGGTTGTCATTACCGTGTCCTGAACGAGAACAACCTCCTTGACGCCGAATATGGAGCTCGACAGGGGCGTCACACCCCCAAACACGAGCATGGAGGCGATGCCAGAGAAGAATACCGGCCAGTGTCTGCATTTCTCTGCGGGTCAGCGTTCTGGAAGCTTTCGGGGCGGGCAACCGTGGTTCCTTACCTTCTCCTGCCGGCCGAGAAGGGAATAAAGGCCAAGAAGGTAAAGGGGTAGTCGAGAAGCAGCGAGGAGTCGGCGTCAGCGCCGCCGGTGCGCGACAGCTCGAGCCACGGCTGCAGCCTCCTGATGTCAAGATCGACCCAGGTCCAGAGGAGGCTGTACAGGACGGCAACGATTGTGATCCCGTAGAGATATGAGAACGTGACGGCAAACGGGATGTCGTCGGCGCTATTACTGAGGGACAGGCCTCCTTGCTTCGCACTCTTCTGCGAGAGGAACTCGACGGCGCCGGCGAGGGCGAGCGTGGTGATGACCGAGGCCAGCACCGGTACGCGCATGGTCAGGAGCTTCCATCCCGTCTCGTTGCCTGCCTTTTGCTGGCGGGTCCTGCCCGGCAGCCCCATGGTGAAGAAGAGGGAGAAGGAGAGGCGGCGAGAGATGCAGCGAGGATCTGGCCATTATTCTCCAGCGACTGACTGACTGACTGACTGACTGACCCGGCCAGCCAGATTCATATATGCGAGCAGCCGTACAACAACCTCTCATTGTCGGTCCTCTACATTGGCTACTATGAGCAAGCCGCGCTAGACTACTGGCTTGAGGGCCCGGGCTGCAACTCGTCGTTCCGGCACCAGTTCCTCGCCGCTTGGGCGCCCATCTCCAAGATCAAGGTCGACTACGGCGGCAACAACGTCACGGCGATCTTCTGCGAGCCGACGTACTGGAAGCAGAGGGTGTCTGTCGACGTCTCGGCGGCTACCAAGCAACTAGACGCCAACTCAGTCGTGCCCGTAGGCTCGAGGGACCCGCTCGGCGCGGCCAAGTTCAACACCACGGCGCTCGAGTACCTCATGGGCACCGGGGTGCCCGCCGCCACGGCCACCCGGGACTACGCGGCATCCACCACCATCCAGTCGTGGCCGATTCTCCAAAAGGAGCAAAACGTAGCCGGCCCGGTGACGCTAATGGTGACATATGCCCTAGGCCTCGTCGGCGCGCCCGCGGCAGCGCTGCAAAACGCATCCGTTCTCGAGAACGCCTTTGCCCTGGCCCACAAGACCGTGTTCGCCATCGCCATGTCGCAGATCCTATCAGATACGGGGCGGGCCGAGGCCGCGACTGCTGGCACGGTGCAGCGCACGCTCTACGGGGTCGAGGTCAGCAGGCCGATAGCCGCCGTCCTCGAGGGGCTGCTGGTGCGGGTCGCGCTGCTGGCTGCCGCGGTGCTGTGGACGTGCGCTAGGGCCGAGAGCAAGCTCCCGCGGGACCCGGCGGCCATCGGCTTCACTATAGCTGCGCTGAAGAGGTGCGCAACCCTCCTTAGCCGCCCCGCCGTGGCAGAATCGGACTCGGCCGACAGCAAGACGCTCGCACAGGGCCTGGCGGGGCAGCGATTTGCGCTGACTGGGAGCTACCCGCCCCGGCTCGAGCATCTCGAGCCGCAGCCGCAAGACCCTCCGATGAGCTCCGGTGGTGGGGCCGGCACGGGCGTTGGGCTCCGGAGAAGCACGGCTTACTCGCCGTTCCAGCCGCGGGAGTTGCGCCCCGCGTCAGGAATCATATTGGTTTCAATCCTGCTCTGCGGGGCCGGTGTGCTAGTGTATCTCAAGAAACACGAAGAGGAGCTGCATGGTAAGTTGTCAATGGCTCTCCTTTGTAAGTTGAATATGGTATTTACTCACATGTTGCACCCCCTAGGCCTTCCCCGCCCGACGGACAATTTCGAGGTGTTGCAGTTGCTCGAGAACTACATCCCAACCGTGTTTGCAACCCTTCTCGAGCCTTTTCTTGTACTGTTAACGAGGCTTTTGAGCATACTGCAGCCATTTCACGAGCTGCGCATGGGAAAGCGTCCCGCCGAGAAGACGCTGGATGCCAAATACACGAGTTTGCCGCCTCAGCTCGTTGTATGGCGGGCCTTGAGGTCGAAGCATTTCTTGCTAGGGGCTTTAGGCTCCATCTCGCTCCTTGTCAATGCTCTGACGGTGGCTCTTGGTGGCACGTTCAACGAGTTGTCTGTTGCAATGGAGTATCCAACCGCTTTCATAGAAAGCCGTCGCACGAATCTAAGCCGCAACGCCATAATCTCCGAGGGCGCCAGTTGGGAAGGGTACCTCGATCACTTGTATGCCGTGTATTCCAACTTGTCCTCCAACACGAGGCTCCGGCCCTGGGTTACCAGAGACTATGCTTTCCTGCTAATCAATGCCACTGCCCGGGTGCAAGACGGACCTAGACCTGGGCTATTTAGGACCAAAGCGCGTGGGTTCAGGGCTCTTCCCAAGTGCGCTGCGCTTGCGACATCGCCCTCGACGACGCAGCCCTATGCCAACTTGTCGGGAATCAACGCCGAACTGTCGACGATTCCTTTGATGTTCCGCCGGGACAACGGCACGTGGACGCAGTGCTCCCTCCCTCCTCCCAGTGTGAGATCCCGTGCGGCGAGGCGGTCAGCTCAGGAGCTCGTCGGTTCGTTGAGCAAAGTACAGATGTCCGGGGGAGATTTTGAATGGTACAACGACGGCTTCTGCGACGACAGGATGGTCCTCGGGTGGGCTCGCCTCGACTCCTCCAGCGACAGCGACACCACCACCCCCAGCTCGCTCTAGGCCGCCATAATCCACTGCGAAGCAGAGCTGCGGACCGCCATGTTTGACATCACGTCCGACTCGGCGGGGAACATCCCCGGCTACGTCCAGGACGGCGAGTCGCGGGACACGTCGCAGCTAATGGCGCCGAAGGTGTCCAGGAGCCTGGTCAGGAGGCAACCTATCTCATCGCCAACAACGGCGGGTACGAGTGGCACAACACGACGGTCACGCGGGACTGGTTCAACTAGTTATTGCGATTCGCGCTGAACAGCACCGACCTCGTTGACCCAAGCCTGGGCGTGCCGCGGCACGACGTCGTGATCTTGGCGGCCGAAGACATGTACAGGCGGCTCTTTGCCGTGCTCATTGGGCAGAACCTGGACATGTTCCAGCGTCGGACAACCCGTCGTCGTCGTCACCGCAGGTACAGATTGCGGGCGTTCCTATAGAGACTGAGACGCGCATCTTCGTCGACAGCACTGCTTTTCTCGTTGACGTCGCCATCCTCTGTCTGGATGCTGGTGTCTTGGCCGTCTTCTACTTCCGGCAGCGACGCGCGTTTCTCCCTCGCCTGCCCACCAGCATTGCGTCGGGCGCTGCGTACGTGGTGTCCAGCCGAGCCGTGCGAGAGCACGGAGATGATGAATACGAAGAGGAGGGAGAGGATGAGACGGCCAAGCGGTGGCGGGGCTCCCTCCGTCCAACGTATTCCTTTGGCCGGTATGTGGGCGTTGACGGGAAGCTCCACGTCGGGATCGAGCTCGACCCGCTTGTCATGCTGGTCGATGGTGCGATGTTGCAGAACCGAAGCGGACCCGGGGCCTTGGGATTTCGGAGAAGATTTGGGCTTCCTTGGTTCGGGAGAAAGGGCACGCTCTGATGGTCAGGCAGCAGCAGCAGCAGCAGCAGCAGCAGTAGGGTCCTGTGCCCGACTGTTTCGTTTCTAGACCAGATGACAATTCGCAACTGGAAACAGAACACCCGACGCCAAGCATCCTGAATGCATCAAGTGCATGAGAAATTCTTCGATTCCTCGCTTTGGCGCTAGATATGCATTATATGTACCTAAGTATCTGATATCTGAGTGATGCATCAGATGCCTGGGTAGTGTACCTGAAAGAGTCACGTCTTGAACCTTTGTTGCCGTGGGGCTCCGCATTTCAACCGCCTCTAGCAGGTTCGTCGTCCAAGTCTGCCTAACCTAGCTTCTATATGACGCGGGTGCCAACGTGGTTGATTGGTATTGTAATAGGTCCATTGATTGCTTGGCTGAGGAGAGGTCTTAACCAAGGTAGGTAGTCCGCGGAATAACATGTCAGCGATAAGCGTCCCGGACTTTTTGTCCTTGTCAGTTGTTTATGCAATTTTTCGACAGCCTTGGAAGTGTTCTGCCTAGCCTTCCAATTGCGAAACAGTTTTCAGTGTCCGCCGTCCACCTTCGTGCTTTAGACGGTGCCTGCCTACCTTATCTAGCTGGTCTGGTCTAGGCTTCCCGTTTTGGACAAGTTGCACGGTCGCCGAGTTAGGCAATTACATAGCATACCTAGGTAAGCTCTTATCCACCCCTCACTAGCTTCAGAAGCTGCAACTTTTTAAGTTCCAAGCCTCGCCCCGCCACCTAGCAGCAATCGTCAACGGCCAACTATAGGTAGTTGACTTCAAACGGCAGACAAACATGGGCGGCCTAGTTGCGGCTACGGCCCAGAGCGACGATGGGCTACACTGCGCATTTTTCTATGGTGAGTTTAGGAAGAGATGGAGGAGAGACGCAACATTTTGGCTGCCCTTCCCCACTCCCGTCTATCACGTCCGACGATCGGGCCGATGGCTGATATGACACAGGAACCCTGGTATGATGAGAAGACGAGAACCCAAACAACTCGGCGGGCTCTGGTCGTTGACTGAAGGCGGACGCGGGGGTACGCAGATGGTCCCCGAGGTGTTTTACTCGGTATGCTACAACAACAAGGATGTGCCCGAGGCAATCGCCAAGCTGCACTCGTTCCACCCTGCCATCCTGCACGGCTTCTGTCGCCGCCGCGTCGAGTACGCCGACTACCCCGGCATCACCGAGGACGAGGACCACCAAGTCTTTGGGTCCCATGTCACGGGCTTGACCGAGGCCAACATCCAGAAGCTCGACTACTTTGAAGGCTCTGCCTATGAGCGCCGCACTGTCAAGGTCCGGCTCCTCGTCAAAGTCGGCAACGCCAAGGGCGAAGGCAACGTTGAGTGCGACGAGAAGACGGCCCAGGTCTACGTCTACCGCAACAAGAGGGATCTCGAGGACAAGGAGTGGGACCTGGAGGAATTCCGCCGAGAAAAGCTGAAGAAGTGGACGCGGGCTGGCTACGTCTTCGAGGGTGCGTGATCGCTCCAGTCTCATCAACCCTTGTTTGCTCCTCTCCTCTAGCTTCTGACAGACACGGGAGCTAATTTTTTGTTTCCCAAGACTGTGACCCTGACCAGCCTGCCTCTGCGGCCAACTAACCTAACTGAGCTGGGACCCGGGGACTGCCCGGTAATACTTTAGAGCTGGAGGGGGAGAAGGACCGGTAGTTCAGTACATTGGGGCTATCAAGTGTTAACAAAGACGAAGACAAATAGGTTACGGGTAAGATTTTAAGGGCGAAGGTGTATTCCAGAGAGTCGACACCGGCTCTTGACAACACTAGACTTGCCCAGTCAAGAAAGTTCACCCTTGGGTATGAAACGATAATTTGGGAAATATCCTGCCAACCTGGCGAAGAAGACTAAATCATGTGCATGCTGTGGCCTCGAGGATTTTTCGATTGTTATCCGAGAAGGATGTGGTATACGAGTCCGAGGCCGGCCGCGCCGCACAGAACACCGGACGGTGCGGTCGAAGTTGAGATGAGTTGCTTGACGAGTTAAAGCATTACAACCATACCTACCTAGCTAGCCAGGCTGCCGGGCATTGGGGCGGTTTGCTTGCGGGAAACCCCCGGCGTCGATCATGTCATCGCGTCAATATCCGCCTGAGAACAGACGACTGCGCCACCGTCCTTGACGTGCATGAACGTTGCAAAAATAAACGTAGGCGAAATAAGACCTCATGCTCAGGCCGTCTGGACATCTTCAAGGATTTTCGCTCTTGTTTCTACTGACCGGTTCGTGGCGAGGGAACACCTGATCTACCTAAAGCTGTGCTTCGCCAGTCCCCCTAGGCCCGTCTAATGTCCATACGTGTGAAAACGACGTGGAAGGCCTAGGAGGTTGCTGGGCAAGGCCAGGCAAGAGATCCTGGCAGTTTGACAGCTCGGCCACGCAAGCTGGCCTCGGATAGGTAACCCCGCAAGGCCTACTAAGCGCCGATGGAGGGAGCTTTTGAGTCTTTTATCAAACAAGAAAAAAATCCGCAGATGACTAGATCCTTTCTGCAACAGCTGAGGTGAACATAGTAAACCTTTGCCAGGTTCACACGGAGTAGTCGAAAGAGGTTTCCACTGTCTTGATTAGATTTTATCCGCTTCTTAGCCCCGCAGACGTCCGTTTCAGCGTCAAGGCGCTCTGTGCCACTCACGAACGTCGGTAGCACTTGCCCCACCTTTAGACCCCTGTTTCTTAGGCAGGGGTACCTCCTTCCAGTGCTCGGCATGAGGACATTCGGCACGGTGAGTGGCTGTGAGATCGGGGCGGACGATGCTTGCCCTCGCGTCCCAAACCGCCAGGAAGGGGAGAAAGCCTGAGCTGTTCTCCTGAATCCTCGATCCAGCACACACCTTCCAGGTCCCCAGGGGTGTTCATTGGGTTGGGTGCGCAAGCCTACCGCCAGGTTTGCCCATGCATCTTCATCCCAGGGCGAGAAGAAGGGATGGATGGATGAGGTTGGACGAAAGAGGCAAGCAAGACCACAGATTCCGGCCATCTCGCACCATTTCGCTACCAGAGGGAGGCTGGAGACGGCCGCACCTTCCAAGAGTGGGATGTTGACCCTGTGATCCGAAACAGCAACAGATGCCAGACCGAAGGAGATATCACGAACATGGCCAACAAAATGAGCCCAATCTATACGCGACGAAACGGCACTCAACGCACGAACTGCCTGTCGGTCATTTCCCCGGATTTTGGTCGATTCAAGGTGGGAGTCCCGAAGCCTCTGCTCGGCCTGAAAGTGCGGTCGCTGAGCGCCCCCTGTCATCCACGCTTGGCATAGAAGCAGCCACCACGGACGGCCCCTTGCTTGCAGGCCGCCCGCGCTAGCCCTAGTCCTTGGCACGTCGGCCTTTTTTTCTGCCCCTGACAAGGTTCATTGTGTGCGCAAGAGGATCTGGGCCTTCAACGACGGCCTCCTCGCCTACCCTAAACCTTTTCCTCAGCTCGGTGTCCCGCCGATGCCAAAATGCAGCGAAGCCCCAGAGGAAGGAGCCGAGACCCGCGGCCCACCGAAGCGGCCTCAAAAGTCCGATATCCAGGGATGAAATTCAAATGACCGTCTACGGATACAACGTACGCAGTAGCCCGTCTTGGAAGTCAGCGACGCTGGAGAATGCAACGCAAACATTTCAGACTCCCACCCACAATCCGCCAAGGGGCAAAGAGAGAGACAAAATGTTCTGCTCAGCATACCAGGCCTGTCGATGGCACCGGAGCACTCCGTACATCTTTGTACTAAATAAACCATAACCAACATTGCTTTATTGAACTGGCCGAGTAATAAGAGCAGGCACGAAGAGCATGCAGGTCAGGTAGAGGTAAGGATAAGCCAAGTAGGTTGGTTCCAGTTCGTTCCATTGTCAGACTGTCGGGTCACGCTCTCCATCAGATCAAGCCCGTCAACCCATCTCCATTCTTTGCTCCCTGCCTTGCCGCACTTCTACATTCCTAGTCAGGGGCTCCGCGTTCTGCTCGCATCCCTACCCACTCGCGCACGGAATCCACCAGCGTGGGTTGGCGTACGGCCAGTCGCCGCCCAAATCCCGGAACTTCGAAACAAACCAGCTGCACCCCATTCAGCCAATAGCTGCCCCCCTTCAAGCTTTGGGATGCCTCACCAGCCTTCCCCTGCCCCCTGACGGCGATCCCCTCTGCAACAGAGTGCGACAACCGCAGCTCAAGGGCTCGGGCTGAGTGGTCAGGGTCCCTATCGCCACTCGACGGGGACCGATGGATGCCCAGTCCAAAGGCAGCCCTCCAGCCGCAAGGGCGGTCTCGGTACAGGCTCACTAGCTTCGCGTCCAATCACAGGACTCATGTGTGTCTGTTCCTGCAGCAGCTCCCATCCATTCCTTTCTCCTTTTGTATTTCTCTCTCGTCATCACCTCGCTTTCGCGGAGTACGCCCGTTTCTAGCCTTCCCCTTTCCCTCCCTTGGTCCTGGTATATTTGGTATATAAGGAGGCTGCCAAGTCCTGGTGATGTCGTGAACTCCTGTTCTTCACCTCACGTCTCACCGTACTCGAGCTGCCTCGTCCATTCTTTCAAGGGCTAGTCTTGTTTCTTTCTGTTGAGTTGAACTCATCTGCCTGGTGCACTACCCTCCTTTTCTCAAGATATCAAGTCTCGTACCAGATCCTAAGCACTCTCTTGTGACTTACACCAAAACAACACTCTTTCAAATTTCCAACACACGAGAACTTGTCGTCTGGAACGATCCAGCCCTTTATATCACCATGTTCTTCACAAAGACAGCCATTGCCGCCAGCGGCTTTGCGGCCCTTTCAAACGCTCACATTCTCATGAACACGCCCAAGATTTTCACTACACCAGCTGCTCAAAACGGGCCCCTCGATCCAAGTGGCAGCAACTTTCCTTGCCAAGCAGCGGGTGGCGTCTACAATGCCAATGGCTTCACCAACGTGATGCCGTTGGGTTCCACACAACCCCTTAGATTCACTGGTACAGCTGTCCACGGTGGAGGATCGTGTCAAATTTCGATCACCTATGACACTGCCCCGACCAAGAATAGCGTGTGGAAAGTCATTCATTCGATCGAGGGCGGTTGCCCCGCAAAGAATACGCCAGGGAATCTGGGCAACGACCCGACTGCTCCGGTCCCATTCGACTACAGCTTCCCGATCCCGGACGACATTCCTACGGGGAATGCCACGGTTGCCTGGACGTGGCTGAACAAGATTGGCAACCGCGAGTTCTACATGAATTGCGCGCCTGTCACTCTGACCGGCACTGGAGGTGATAAGTCGAACTGGGAGTCCCTTCCAGACATGGTTGTGGCCAACATTGCTCCGGCCAACGGATGTGTGACAGTTGAGGGTCAAGATTACGCATACCCCAACCCTGGAAAGTCAGTCGACATCTTCGCCAGTGGAGCGCTCTCCCCTCTTGGTGCCAACTGTGGTGCGGCTGCCAGCCCTGCTTCTGGAAGCGGAGGTAGCGGAGGTAGCGGAGGCAGCGGATCCAGCGCTCCTACCACAGCAGCGGTTGCGCCCCCTTCGCCATCGACCACGCTCGCCGGCGGTGTCTTTATCGAGCCGAGCAAGTCGGCTGCCAGCCCGCCCGCTGCCACCACCCAGCCCGCTGCGGCGCAACCAGTGGCGTCTCAGCCGTCTACGCCGAAGTCCCCAGCGGTCCAGTCTCCGGCAGTCCAGCCCTCCCAAACCCAACCGGCTGCTCAGCCTGCCCCGTCGATTTCTGGGGGAAGCGGCACTTCCGGCGCCTTTGCTGCTGGTGCTGCCTGCAGCCCCGAAGGTCAATGGAATTGCATTGGAGGGACGTCTTTCCAGCGGTGCGGCAGCGGTGCATGGTCGGCAGTGCAGGCACTGGCCGCCGGCACAAGCTGCACGGCTGGACAGTCGGCGGCGATTAACATTGTGGCAACGAAAGCGCGTCGTGTCGCCGTTCCATTCCGGGCATAAACCGGGAACTGGGAGGATGTTTATGTTTTTGCATCTATTACAAAACTTTTGCATATATCAGGGCGTTTTTTTTTATCTTTTTGGAAACCCATTTTCGATTCTCTTTATACCTGTACAAAACATTCAGTTCAGGCCGTGTTATTTTAGAACCTTTTCCTGCTACACTTTTGTAGCAAGTTGGCAACCGAGAAGCGGTTTTAGGGCGGTGAAAAAGAGACTTTACTCATCAAATATGAGTACAATACTCGGTTTGAGTATTCGAAAGAACAATCCAGAGAATCAATGTTTTTGGATATACCTGGAGTTTACGCTTCCATTCCATGCCAAGTGCAAACTGTGCTGAATTTAATGTTGTGTAAGCCGAGACGAAAATAAAGAGGCAGATCGGTATCGTCGGTACCTAATTCCATTCTGCTGATGGGATAAACCTGGGAAACACCGGTACCCTGGCGTTAGCAAGTGGACAGGTGGGCGATCAAAAGGCGTGGTTTTCCTTGGCCTAGAGATCTTTCGGTAGACTGATAAGATTAAACTGATAAGATTAGATCTACGTTCTTCTCGAGCAATGACGCACAGATCATTTGCTGCCCTTTCTTCGTCTCATTCTAGAGCCAGGTAAAGTCAACTGTAGACGCCCTGGAGTGGATATAGAGATCTGGACCCGCTAAAGGCCGGAACAATATTAGCGCAGCGCCTAGCGCCATTGGTTTTGGCGAAGGCAAGCCCCAGCTTCGCGGTTCTCTGGGATTTTTGGGTTTGGTGACCGCGCAGCATGGAGAAGGCAGCCACGGCCAACCTTCAACTTGGAAGAGAGACCCGTCCTTTCCTCTCTCATTCCCCAACACACAACAGGCGCATGCTTTAAGATTTTAACGCGTCTTTAAAGGCTGCATTCTGTTTTCCCTTCCCTCTTAATCCTCTTTCTCCAAGACACATGGCGTCTTGATTAGGTGGGTTTGCGCAAGCTCTGGACAAGGCTCTGGAAGCTTCAACTACTTGGGGTAGCTAACCATGAACAGGTCGGAGGAGCGTTTCTACACCGAAAACTACCAAAATATACACCACAGGGCTTGGCGACACATATGCGAACCTCACAGCGCCCAGCTGCTCTATGATCGGTTGAGGTGAATGCCGCGACCATGGCGAACATTGAGGATGTCGTCAGGAAGCTGAGCACGCCCGAGACTGGTAGGCTCCCACTCCTATGAACCCCCCCGCGACTCGGCCCCGACGTGTCTCACGGTGGCTCTTCAGTCGCCATGATTGATTTCAAGCTGACCGCACTGCGTTCTCAGAGCTCCGGCTCAAGGTCGAAGCAGCGGGCACGCTGCGCGACAGTCTCGACCACTATGTATCTGGCCCTACCTACCCGGTCTTCTTGAAGCGATTTATGCCGTCCTTCATCATCATCCTCCGACAACCATGCGTTTACCAGACGACAACACCCGAGCAGGCGAACCTCCAGAAACTGCGCAACTGTGTTCTAGAGATTCTTCACAGGCTGCCGACTACGCCGAGCCCCCCCGAGCCGTTCGAGCCGTATGCCGAGGAGGTTGCCGATCTTCTGATGGGCCTCATCAGGACAGACAACGAGGACAACGCAGTGCTGTGCGTCAAGATTGTCGGCGACATCATGCGACATCAGCACAAGGTGCTCGGCGGCAAGGTCCAGTCCTACCTAAGCCTGATCCAGGAGCTGTTCGAACAGCTCGAGGGGGTAGTGCGCGAGCAGTTGGACAATACTGCTCTAGTCCCCCCGGGCCCTTCTGGGGCGCCATCGACTCCCGGTGGCACCCAGACGACCTTTCTGCCACACCAGCAGTCCCCGAGACCCGGATCCCCGATCGCGCCAGGCGCTCCCGACTTTAGCGACTCGAGCCAGCAACCCGGGCGCCCGCTGCTCAAGGGAATGCAGTCCTTCAAGGTGCTATCCGAATGCCCCATCATTGTCGTCTCGATATTCCAGGTCTATAGGGCGACTGTGGCACACAACGTCAGGCTGTTTGTCCCGTTGATAAAGAGTGTTCTTGTCTGCCAAGCCAAGGCGCAGGAGCAAGCTCACAGGGACGCAGCTGCCAGGGGAACCATTCATACTGGGGTCAGCCCGAACATCAAGAACAGGGTGGTGTTTGGAGAATTTGTCACGGCACAGGTGAAGGTTATGAGTTTTCTGGCGTATCTGCTTCGGCAATATTCTCAGCAGCTTACGGATTTCTTGCCTGCTCTTCCAGACATCGTTGTCCGGCTCTTGAAGGATTGTCCGCGCGAGAAGTCGAGCGCGCGCAAAGAACTGCTTGTCGCAATCCGGCACATCATTAACTTCAACTATAGGAAGATCTTTCTCCCAAAGATTGACGAGCTTCTGGATGAAAGGACCTTAATCGGTGATGGTCTCACAGTTTACGAGACCATGAGACCGCTCGCGTACAGTATGCTGGCCGATCTCATCCACCATGTGAGGGAGTTGCTCTCCCCGGAGCAGATCCGCAAGACTGTCGAGGTCTACACTCTGAATCTCCAGGACAATTTCCCCGGAACGAGCTTTCAGACCATGAGCGCCAAGCTCCTCCTCAACATGGCCGAGTGCATAGCACGGATGCCAAACAAGGTGGACGCACGCCATTATCTCATCATGATCCTCAACGCCATCGGCGACAAGCTCGCTGCCATGAACCGACAGTACCCCAACGCGGTGAAGCTCAAGGCCTTGTATGAAAAACAAGCCATCGAAAACTCACCCGAGACGTACCTGGCAGACAAGGATCACCCTCCGGAGTGGGATGAGATAGACATTTTCACGGCCATGCCAATAAAGACATCCAACCCTCGTGACCGAGCTGGCGACCCAGTGGTGGACAACAAATTTCTCTTCAAGAATTTGATGAACGGGCTGAAGAATACCTTTTACCAGCTCAAGAGTTGCAACCCGCAGCCGGTGAACGAGTTGCCTAACGCTCCTTCGCACTGGGCCGACGTCGCCTACGGATTTACGGCAGAGGAGGTACAGGTCATCATCAAGCTGTTCCGTGAAGGCGCGTATGTTTTTAGATATTACGAGATCGAGAAACCCGCATCGGAATCGCCGTATACCTCAACGGTCGAGTTCATGGCAAACTTCTACATGATATCAAGTAGCAAGGAAGAGAAGGAATTGCTAGAGACATTTGCCACCGTGTTCCATGGCATTGACCCGGCCACCTTTCACGAAGTCTTCCAGCAGGAGATCCCACGACTTTACGACATGATTCACGAGCATACTGGTCTCCTTCACATACCGCAGTTCTTTTTAGCGAGTGAGGCGACGTCCCCCAGTTTTTGCGGTATGCTTCTGCGCTTCCTGGTGGAGCGTATCGAGGATGTTGGCTCAGCGGACATCAAAAAGTCATCTATCCTTTTGCGGCTATTCAAGCTGGCCTTCATGGCCGTTACGCTCTTCGCGGCCCAGAACGAGCAGGTCTTGCTTCCGCACGTTGTTGACATTGTCACGAAATCCATCGAACTATCAACAACGGCAGAGGAGCCGATGAACTACTTCCTTTTGCTTAGGTCTCTATTCAGAAGCATAGGCGGCGGCAAGTTTGAGCACCTTTACAAGCAGATTCTCCCCCTCCTCGAGATGTTACTAGACGTCCTCAACAACCTCCTCATGGCCGCCCGGAAGCCAGCTGAGCGAGACCTGTATGTTGAACTCTGTTTGACAGTGCCTGCTCGGCTTAGCAACCTCCTACCACACCTCAGCTTTCTTATGCGGCCTTTGGTTGTCGCATTGCGGGCGGGCACAGAGTTGGTCGGCCAGGGACTTCGGACCCTTGAGCTCTGCGTTGATAATCTCACTGCTGATTATCTGGACCCTATAATGGCTCCTGTGATTGATGAGCTTATGACTGCCCTTTTTGATCACTTGAAACCTCACCCTTATAGCCACTTTCACGCACATACCACGCTTCGAATCCTCGGCAAGCTGGGTGGCCGCAATCGGAAGTTCATGACGGACGCCCTCCCAGTGACATTCAGAGAGTACGTCGACGACCGGTCCTCCTTCGATGTTCGACTTCTCGGCTCGAAGCGTGACAGAGCATTCCCGGCGCATCTGGGAATTGATCTTGCCATCAACAAATTGACCGAGGTCCCTAAACCTGTGAAAGGCTCTTCAGCGGGGCCTTCCAAGCAGCAAGATGCCTACTACAAAAGACAGGCGCTCAACTTGATCAAGGCGCAAGTGAAACTGCGGGTTGGCTTCGACAATCTGCCAGATGATCTTGCTCGCTTCGTCCGCCTGCAGGCTCAAGACCTGATAAAGCTTAATAGGGATATCGACGTGTCATTCTTCGAAACATCTGACCGGGAAAGGTCGATGGCCAAAAAGGACGACGAGGAAGCCATTCTGAAGCGTCTGATCAAAGCCCTCATGTTTGCTCAGTCGATTCCGGATTTCAAGGTAGAGGTCGATGGCTTTCTTCTGGGGCTTGCTCGGCATTTCACCATCATCGAGGTGGGGCGAGCCCTAGTCGACATGAAGCGGTTCTCCAACCCATTTGACTTAGATAAGGGCGAGGGCCCGCTCACCGTTGATACCAGAGTCATGTCGGACGCTCTCCTGGAGTCTCTTGCTTCCGAGATTCCAGAGGTCCGTGAGGGGGCAGAGGCGTTGATCAAGGAGATACACAGCTCTGCTGTCACGATTTTTGGATCGCCAAACTATGTCGCTCGCCTGACGTTTTTTAACAGCTTAGCGTCTACTTTTTGTCATGGTTGCTATGAGGAAGAATGGTTCACCAAGACCGGAGGCACGCTAGGAATCAAAATCCTCCTAACCGACGTTGAACTTGGAGATTCTTGGATATCGGCAAAGCAGATCGAGTTCGTCCGAGCCCTGATGTATGTCATCAAAGACATGCCTCAAGATCTCCCCGAGAAGACTCGGAGATCGGCCCAAATCACGCTCGAGATACTCTTCAAAAGGCTCACCAAGAACATCAAAAAGGAGGACTGCATGCCAGCCCCGCAACCAGCACCACCACAACCTGGACAACAGCCTCAGCAAGTTAAGCAGTCTCGTCTGGCCCAGATTTGCGCTATGCTGAACGGCGAACTATCACATATGAACCGGCATGTTCGTGAGACAGCGAAGGAGTCTCTTGAGCTGATAGCTAAAGCCGCGGGGGCTGAGGTCTGGGAGCTTCTCGAGCCTCACCGAAAGCATCTGCTCAGCCCGATATATGCCAAGCCACTGCGGGCTCTACCTTTTGCAATCCAGATCGGGTTCATCGACGCCGTCACATACTACATGTCTCTCAAGCCTGATTTTGTGGCCTTTGACGAGCACTTGAACCGGCTGCTCATGGAGTCTCTTGCTCTAGCTGATGCAAGCGACGAGTCACTTGCGGGCAAGACTTTGGAATTCCGCACGCACGATTTCATCGTCAATCTCCGCGTGTCTTGCATCAAAATCCTCAGCACAGCCATGGCTTTTGATGAGTTCCAGAAAGGGCAGGGAAATCCGACTAGGTCGAAGATTGTCTCCGTCTTCTTCAAATGCCTCTACTCGGATTCGCAACCCACAATAGAGGCCGCCAACGAGGCCTTGAAGGGGGTCCTGTCACATACTAGTAAGCTGCCGAAGGACCTTCTTCAATCGGGCCTACGACCGGTTCTTGCCAGTCTCCAGGATGCGAAGCGCCTGACTGTGCACGGCTTGGAAAACCTGGCCCGGCTCTTGCGACTGCTCACGACATACTTCAAAGTGGAGATAGGCTCTCGCCTCCTCGACCATATCAAAGTCATAGCGGAGCCGGCATTCCTCGAGCAGATCTCGTTCACCTTCTTTGAGCAGCATGCTACGATGAAAGTGATCGCGGCCGTGTTCAACATCTTTCATCTTCTGCCCGAAGCTGCCAAACAGTTCAAGGAGCGAGTGATCAACGATGTTCTCGATCTCGAGGAGAAGCTGCGAAGAACCCACCACAGCCCTTTCCGTGTCCCGCTCTACAAGTATCTCAACCGATATCCCGCCGATATCTGGGCCCTGCTCTTGAGCAAGATTGATGACTTGAGATATGGCCGGTTCCTATCCCAGGTGTTGCAACATCCGGACAGCCAGGCACTGAGAGATTACGGCGCGGCCAACGTTGAGATCATCATCACGTCGTGCAACAACGTGATCGGCCAAGGCAAAGACAACAGGTTTCATGCAATCGTGAACACAATCAACATACTCGATGCCCTGTGCCAGTTTCCTAGCACGCTGGGCTGGATGGAGAATAAGGAGCACGTCGACTGGCTGAAGCAAGTCGGCAAAGACCTTGAGCGCACCTTCAAAGTGAATGCACTGCCGGCGGCTCTTCGTCTCCCAGCAGATCAGGCTTCCGAAAAGCTCCTGGCGATCCTGACAAAGGCTCTCGAGCGGAATCCCAAGGACCTGGAGCCGCTCTTTAGCCTCCTCGAGTCCATCACTGCAGACGAATTCCGCGAGACACAGGTCTTGTTGTCCTTTATCTACAAGAACATTATCGCTAGCCCGTCTATTGAGTTTTGGAAGACGGTTGTCCTCCGCTGTCTTGAGATCTACGTCGGAAGGACAGCATCGCAGCGAACTAAGTGGTACCTGCTCCACAACATCGTCAACCCTATTGTGGCAATGGACGTGATGCGCCACTGGAACCGCGGCGAGCCGGGCAAGGGCCCGCGGTTCCTGGATAGGACTGTCATCGACTCAATCAATACCAAGATCTGGAAGGTAAACTTGCCTGATCCGCACGACGACCTCCTGCAGCCACGCATCGATCACACGCGGATGGAGGTGCTTCAGCTCTCGGCAATGCTGGTCAAGTATCACTACGCCATTCTGCAGGATGCGCGGAAAGACTTCATCAAGTTTGGGTGGACCTACATCCGGCTGGACGATGTCATCAACAAGCACGCAGCCTACGTGGTCATCAGCTACTTCATTGCGCACTACGAGACACCAGCCAAGATTGTCACGCAGATATACTTCTCTCTCTTGAAGACCAACCAGAACGAGGGTAGGGCTCTTGTTACCCAGGCTCTTGAGCTGATGGCCCCGGTCATGCCGAAGCGCTGCAATAGCCCCCCCGGCGACAAGAATCCAGTTTGGGCTGTTGCGCCCCGCCGGATACTGGCTGAAGAAAGCCAGAATGTTCAGCAGATGGGCAGCATCTTCCACTTTCTCGTCAAGCATCCGGACTTGTTCTACGACTCCCGAGACAAGTTTGCCATGTTCATCATCACCTGCCTTCGCAAAGTGGCATCACCACCGAATCCCTCAAACGAGAGTAAGAAACTCGCTCTTAGCATGATGTGGTTGATCTGGGAGTGGGAGCAGCGGCGGGTCGAGGGAAAGAAAACTGAGCAAATCCGCGCAATCTCCGAGTCTCCCAACACAAAAAAGAGGAGGCTCGATGACATGCAGTCCTTGTCTCCTTCGGCTACTCGACAGCCCGACAAGGTTGAGTTTCAAATCCCGCCCATAGGCCGTGTCAAGATGATCAAGTATCTGGTCGAGTTCATCGCCGCGCAGTTGAATGAGCGGTACCAACTCCCCTCAGCCAAGACGCGAGAAGCTACAGCGTCGACAGGCCCAACGATGCAGATACAGTCAACAGAATTCTGCAAAAAAGCCATGACCCTCCTTTACAACCTCCTCCAGCCGCAATACTGGGGAGATCTCGACTTGGATTTGTTCCCCAATGTTACCGAGGTAGTGCTAGCTGGCGAGAAAGCGGCAACCATCCTTGCCGCGGATCCTTCAGACAAGGAGAAGTATGACGAGAAGTTTATCACCAACATCATCAATACCCTCCAAGTAGTGCGCATCCTCCTCCACTTCAAGTCCGACGAGTGGGTGGTGAAGTACATCCCACAGATCCAAAAGATCCTGGAGAAGTGCCTCAAGTCGGAGAATCCAGAGATTCAGGACTGCCTTCACGTAGCCGACAAGCGCTATGATGGGGGCCGGGAGATCAGGCCTATCGTCAAGCGGATCCTTGATGCGGTCCCCGAAGACGTCCCCATGGAGGATGCGGATGCTGAAAACGAAGCGGAAGCCCCGACTTCTGAGATAGTGACTTTCCTGTCAGGCATTGCCACGGAGAGCATGGCTGCGTCCAACTACGTGTCCGGGATCAACGTGCTGTGGTCCCTAGGCCGTCGCAAGCCTAATACCATCGAGGTGCAGATACCAGCCCTCATGAGATCGCTCCAATCCAAGCTTGCTCGAGATCATGTCGCGCATTATGCAGCCCTGGCACACCAAACCAGTGGCGTCCGCCCTCCACAGGAACCCGGAGCGCCAGCAGAGATGGACCCCTACGACCTTGAAATCCAGACTGGGCTGATACTGAAGGCCGTGGAGATCATCGCCATGCGTATGGAAATCCTGGGCGACCATCGAAGACCCTTCTTGAGCGTCCTGGCCACCCTTGTAGAAAAGTCTTTACACGTGGGCTTGTGCCAGAAAATTCTTGATATGGTGGAGGGCTGGGTGTTCCGGTCCGAGGGTACTTGGCCGACGCTTAAGGAGAAGACGGCGGTTCTTCACAAGATGATTACATTTGAGCCCCGTCAGGACCCGACCATGTTGACAAAGTTTCTCGATCTGGTCATCCGCATCTACGAGGACCCAAAGATCGCGCGGACGGAGCTCACCGTCCGTATGGAGCACGCTTTTCTCATCGGTACCAGAGCTCAAGACGTCGAGATGCGCAACAGATTCATGAACATATTCGACAAGAGCCTCTCGAAAGCGGCGAGCGCCCGGCTAGCTTATGTCATTATATCCCAGAATTGGGACACCTTGGGCGACTCGTACTGGCTCGCGCAGGCCTCCCAGCTCCTCTTGAGTTCGATCGATATGAACCCCGTCATCCAACTTAACCTGGAGGATTTCCGGACCTTGCCAGTGTCACACCTCTCAAGAGCATATGCCAAGGACCCTCGAGAGCCCACGCTTATATCTGACGACAAGTATGAGGCATTCATGGCTGGCCACCGACGCTTCGTTGCGGAGCTCGGTGATATCAGAGTGCGCGATATCCTGGAGCCCCTGACCCAGCTACAGCATGTCGACTCAGCCTTTGCCAATGAGCTCTGGGTTGCTCTCTTTCCCCTCTTTTGGTCAGCAACAGTCGAGGTGGAGAGGCCTGAACTCGAGCGCGGCTTAGTCACGCTCTTGACCAAGGACTACCATTCACGGCAGATAGACAAGCGCCCAAATGTGGTCCAGTCGCTCCTCACCGGCGCGGCCAAGGCCTGGCCGGCATGCAAGATTCCTCCTCACGTCTTGAAGTTCGAGGCGAAAACCTTCGATGCCTGGTATACGGCGCTCTTCCAACTCGAGAACGCTGCTGTCAGACCTGAGATCGACTCGGCCACTGTCCGGGAGAGCAATCTGGATGCGCTCATTGATCTGTACGCGTCTCTTGGCGAAGAAGATCTGTTCTACGGCACATGGCGCCGCCGCTGTCAGTTCGTCGAAACGAACGCCGCCCTGTCATATGAGCAAAACGGCATGTGGGACAAGGCCCAGAGAATGTACGAGGCTGCCCAGATCAAAGCCAGAACGGGGGCCATCCCTTTCTCCCAGGGCGAGTACATGCTTTGGGAAGACCAATGGGTGATATGTGCCCAGAAGCTCCAGCAGTGGGAGGTTCTGCAAGATTTCGCCAAGCACGAAAACTTCCAGGATCTCCTCTTGGAGTGCGCCTGGCGCAACACCGAGTACTGGCAAAATCAAGAGAACCGAGATCAGCTTGACGCCTTGATCAAGGGCGTCATGGACGCCCCGACACCGAGAAGATCGTTTTTCCAGGCTTTCATGTCGCTGCTGAAGCTTCATAACAAGCAGGAACCCGCTCAGGACTTCAGCAGGGTCGTCGATGAGGCGATTCAGCTGTCCATTCGGAAGTGGCATCAGCTTCCGAGGCGCCTCACGGCGGCCCATATCCCGGTTCTCCAGAATTTCCAGCAGCTAGTTGAACTCCACGATGCTAGCGTTATCTGCCAGAGTCTTGCTGGCACAACACAAAATAATCTCGATGTGAAGTCCGGAGAGTTGAAGCTGCTCCTCGGATCGTGGCGCGATCGGCTCCCCAATACCTGGGACGACATCGTCGCCTGGCAGGACCTGGTCACCTGGAGACAGCACATCTTCGGCCTCATCAATGGGACCTATCTCCAGTTGCTGCCACCCCAAGGGCAGAATACTAGCGGCGCTTCGTTTGCCTATCGTGGCTACCATGAAACGGCGTGGATCATCAACCGCTTCGCCCATGTGGCTCGAAAGCACAATCTGCCGGATGTGTGCATCAACCAATTGAGTCGCATATACACGCTTCCCAACATTGAGATCCAAGAGGCATTCTTGAAGCTGAGAGAGCAGGCGAAATGTCACTATCAGAATCCAGAAGAACTTACGAGTGGGCTGGATGTGATCAACAACACCAACCTGATTTACTTCAGCTCACCCCAGAAGGCCGAGTTTTATACTCTGAAGGGCATGTTCCTGGAGAAGCTCAATCATAAAGATGAGGCCGATGCTGCGTACGGTACCGCGCTGTTCTTCGACATCACAGCCGCCAAGGCGTGGGCCGAGTGGGGGTACTTTAACGACAGAAAGTTCAAGGAGAACCCTGATGACCTTAAGGCGGCTAAGCAGGCTCTCACCAGCTACCTACAGGCTTCGTCGAGTTACAAGAACCACAAGTCGCGGAAGCTCATAGCTCGGATATTGTGGCTCCTGAGTCTGGATGATTCTAATGGCCACATTGCGGACGGGTTCGACGATTTCAAGGGGGAAATTCCCATTTGGTACTGGATCACATTCATTCCCCAGCTCCTCCCTGGCCTCGGCCACAAAGAGGCCCCACGGTTGCAGAGCATTCTCTTGAAAATTGCAAAGAGCTATCCTCAGGCCCTCTACTTCCAGCTAAGAACTAGCAAGGAGGACATGATGGCCATTAAGAAGGGCCAAGAGGCCAAGGAGAGGATGAGGCAGCGAAACCAGAACGCAGGCGGAAAGCCTGCGGGGTCTCCCCAGCAAGCCAAGCAAGATGGTGCTGCAAAGGCCGAGGGGTCTGTCGGCTCCCGGCCGGCAACTGCTACCGGCGATGCCGCTCCGCAAACCAAATCCGAGGCCAAGTCTGAAGCAGGGGATTCTTCCGCGCCAGCGTCAGCCGTCAACGGCGCTCCCCAAAGCGACCAGCAGTTGGTAGCTGGGCTTAAGAAGCCGCCGTGGGAGTTGACCGAGGAGATAATGAGTGCTCTTAAGACGGCCTTCCCGCTGCTGGCGCTGTCTATGGAAACCATGGTGGACCAGATCCAGAAGCACTTCAAGTGCCCTCCCGACGAGGACGCATATCGGCTGATTGTGGCGCTACTTAACGATGGGCTAGCCTATGTCAGCCGCATGCCGGCCTCGTTTGCCAAGGATGTCAAGCTCCCTTCGGCTACCGAAGCAAACATAACACGTTTTGCCGAGACCATATTGCCGAGCCATATCCGCGGCACATTCGAGCTCGAATTCGTCAAGATCAAACCGACCATGTTCGAATACATTCACAAGCTCCGCAAATGGCGTGACAAGTTCGAGGAGAAGCTCGACCGCCGTCCGTCCCACATGCCCCTCGAGAGCTATGCGCATTACTCGCCGCATCTCAGCGAGTTCCGGTACCAGAAGTTTGACGACGTGGAGATCCCTGGGCAGTACCTGCAGCACAAGGACAAGAACCAAGACTTTATCCGCATCGAGAGGTTCCTGCCGAACGTCGACCTTGTCCGCAGCATCGGCGCCTCGCACCGACGCCTCAAGATTCGCGGCCACGACGGTAGCGTGCACGCGTTTGCAGTGCAGCACCCGGCGCCGAGATATGGGCGGCGGGAGGAGAGGGTCTTGCAGCTGTTCAGGCAGCTCAACCAGACGCTGAGCAGCAAGAAGGAAAGCCGGCGGAGAGATCTGCAGTTCACGCTGCCGCTGATGCTGCCGCTGGCGCCACACATTCGCATCTGGCAGGAGGATACGTCGTACATCACCCTGCAGGGCATTTACGAGGATCACTGCCGCCGCCATGGCATTTCCAAAGACGAACCCGTGCTCTTTACTATGGATAAACTCCGGGGTCTTCTGGAGGCTAAGGGACCGGTAAGTTCCGAACAAGGCTGGGGCAGTCAAGACGATGATGACATTATACTTGCTAACGGCGGGCAACAGAAGGCTGGTGAGGCCAATTCGGTAACGGCGCGGCTCGAGGTGCTCCGGGCGATCCAGGAGAAGTGGGTGGACCACACCGTTGCGCTCGAGTATTTCCAGTCGGCGTTCCCCGAGTTTGCCGAGTTCTGGCTGTTCCGGCGGCGGTTCTCGTACCAGCTCGCAGCACTGACGTTTATGACGTACGTGCTGCACATTGACAAGCGCTACCCGCACAAGTTCAACATCGCGCGGGGGTCGGGCAACATCTGGGGGTCGGAGCTGCTTTCATTCTTGGCGCAATCTAAGCCGTTGTTCCATAACCCGGAGCCGGTTCCGTTCCGCCTGACGCCCAACCTGCAGACGCTAATGGGGCCGCTGGCGATGGAGGGCATCTTCAGCACGTCGGTCATGGCCATCGCGCGATGCCTGACGGAGCCCGAGTTCCAGCTCGAACACGCCATTACGCTCTTTGTGCGCGACGAGATGATGTACTGGTACACGAGCAGCCACCGGTCGCTCAACCTCACGGAGCGCCTCCTGCGAGAGACGGTCCAGGCTAACAGCGACATGATTGTCAAGAAGGCGGTATCTCTTGCGCAAACGCCAGCGGGCAACCTACCGGCGCAGCAGACGGTCATTGACTTGATTGCCAAGGCGGTCAACCCCGTCAATCTGGCGCTCTGCGATGCTCTGTGGATGCCGTATCTGTAATGTTATGGGCTGTGGAGGAGCTTTGTTTTTTTTTTCTGTTTCTTTTATTTCATGATTTCTTATGCCTTGGTTTCCTCCTAGTTGTTTTGACGCAGGTGGTTATTCTAGATTGGGCTGGGACCATGTGTTATGGGTTGGCTCCCTTGGGCTCGTTCTCTTATTTACTGTCCGGGACGTAGTTTTTCTGGAGGTTCTCGTGATCGTGATAAAATGGGAGGGGAGGGTCTCAGAACACAAGGAGGTGGTGGAGTCGGAGGGCAGCGAAAAGCGTCCATGACGGGAAGGGAAGCTAGGTGCATACGGGAAAACAAACACACAAACGCGCACTAGAGAGGTGCTAGGCCTCGTTAGTAATGATGGTCCAGACTATGACACGCATGACATAGCATAGCAATGGTATTTCTTGCAGCCGGTGGCAACTGGGCGAGGATAGTGCAATATGGGTACTCGTTCTCGGTGCCCAAGACTAGTGTGTAGAAGATGGCGGCCGTGACACGGGTGTACGAAAACGAGTTCGGGCCGATGCCGGTCAATACCATCGGTTCCCGTTTTCGGCATCGCGCCGGCGGAGAGAGTTAGATGTCACACAGCTAACAACGTAGCAGGCTAGCCCGAACCCCGCACCGGAGAGGCAAGCAAGCAGCTGAGGTTAGGTAGGTGCTACGTAGTAGTTTGTCTCGACGTTTTCACGGACCTCCGACCCCCGACCTCCGACCTCCGATCTCCGACCTCCGGCCGCTACTCGATCTACCTTTGCCTGCCTAGGGAGTAGTCGAGTTGACCTCACTTGGCTTGACTTGACCTCGACGAGAGCTGGGTGTAAAAAGGGGAGACACGGAGAGGACCTGACCTCACTGCTTCACTTCAGCACCTGCCCTGTCCTGCCTAACCGTAACAGACGGCCGCCGTGGTGACGACATCGGGAAATTTGAGTTGACGGCAGGCACGACTCGCAAGATGGAGTCGCCGGCGGTTCCGCGGAAGCTCTGGGAGCACCCCGACCCAAAGAGCACCTTGGTGTGGCGGTTCATGCAGGATCTCAACAACAAACACAACCTCGACCTCAGAGTGCGCCTTCCTTGTTTCTTTTATACTCAAGTGCCTACTTGCTCCATGCTGTCCCCACCGACACCAACTCTCGCATACATCCACACACACCTGCCTGCCTACCTCTGTAGTACTTGCCTTCAAACTTGACTTCGAGTTGCCTTGCCTTGCAAGCACCCCGTGGCCGGTCTGGACCGCAGCAGAACTGACCCATCATGACGGGGTCGGGCACAGACGTTCTCGGACCTGCACGGCTACTCGCTCGCGCGGCGGTCTCAGTTCTGGGCCGACGTCTTTGACGCGTCCAACTTCATCCACGGCGGCCGGTATACGTCGGTCATCGACGAGCGCGCGCCCATCGACTCGGTGCCGCAATGGTTCCCCGGCGTGACGCTCAACTTCGCCGAGAACATGCTGTTCTCGCGCGGGCCCCGCGACCCCCCGGCCCACCGCGGCACCGCCGACAAGGAAGACGCCAAGACGGCCGTCACCGAGGTCCGCGAGGCCGCCTCCGCCACCCGCCACGTCACGTACGGCGAGCTGCGTGCCGCTGCCGCCCGCCTGGCTACCGCCATGCATGCCCGCGGCGTGACCAAGGGCGACCGCGTCGTTGTGGTTGCGTCTAACAGCGTCGAGACGCTGCTCGTCTGGCTGGCTACCGCCTGGCTCGGCGCCATCTTCAGCAGCAGCTCCACCGACATGGGCGTCAAAGGCATCCTCCAGCGCGCCGTCCAGGTGAACCCCAAGGTGAGCGAACAGCTCCGGGCTTGGGACTGGGTCAATTCGTGTCTGTCTAGTGCCTGGTGCCAGGGGCGGATACCGCTGACTGCAAGCCGTCGATAGCTCCTCTTTATGGATGACGCCGCCCTCTACAACGGCAAGGTCGTCGACCTCCGCCAAAAGATGGCTGATGTTGTCAACGGCCTCAAGGATTGCTCCAACTTTGCTGGCGTCGTGTCCATCCGCCGCTTTGAGCAAGCCCGTGACATCTCTGCAGTGCCGCGCGCCGAGACATGGGGCTCGTTCCTCGCCGCCGCGCCTCCAGGGGTCAGCCCGCCTGATCTCGTACGCATCGGCTTCCACGAGCCGTTCCTGATATGCTACTCCTCGGGTACTACCGGGGCCCCCAAGGCCATTGTCCATTCGGTCGGCGGCGTCATGATCAACTACTTCAAAGAGGCCAGGCTGCACGAGGGGCTTGGCCCCGAGAGCGTCACCATGCAGTACACCACGACAGGCTGGATCATGTACCTGGCCAATGCCGGGTCCCTGCTGTTCGGCGCCCGCACCGTCATGTACGACGGCTCTCCCTTCCAGCCCGACGCGAGCATCTTGATCAAGATTGTGGGCGAACAAAAGGTCACCAAGCTCGGCGTCAGCCCGCGCTGGATGCTCGAGGTGGCCAAGAACGGGATGGCGCCGCGCGACATGGCGGATCTGTCTAGCCTGCGCATCGTTACCAGCACGGGAATGGTTCTCTCGGATCAGCTCTTCGAGTGGTTCTACGACGCGGGCTTCCCGTCCCATGTCCAGCTTGGCAATATCTCGGGCGGCACCGACATCGCCGGCTGCTTTGGCATCATGAACCCCCTAACCCCTGTCTACGTCGGCGGCACCCAGGGGCCGTCTCTCGGGATACACGTGGCTATCTTTGATTCGCTACTATCTAGCGACGAGCCAGGAAAGGAGGTGCCCCATGGCACCCCCGGCGAGCTCGTGGCCGCCGCCTCCTTCCCCAACATCCCTTGCGCGTTCTGGGGCGACAAAGAGCCCACAGCTACGCCGGGATCAAAGTACCATGCCGCGTACTTTGAGCGTTTCAAGCACGTATGGGCGCAGGGAGATTTCTGCTGTGTGCATCCGGTGACCAGGAATATCGCCTTCCTCGGCCGCGCCGATGGCGTGCTCAACCCCTCGGGCGTCCGCTTTGGCTCCGCCGAGATCTACTCGGTCATCGAGCGCCGCTTTGCTGACCGCGTGCAGGACTCGCTGTGTGTCGGCCAGCGCCGCCCCCACGACCACGACGAAACCGTGTTCCTCTTCCTGCTCATGAAACCTGGCAATTCTTTCAGCCGGGCGCTGACTGCCGATATCCGCGAGGCCATCAGCCGTGACTTGTCCAAGCGCCATGTTCCAAAGTATATCTTTCAGACTCCTGAGATACCCGTAAGATTTTACTATGTCGCCCCTTTTTTCCGTTGGACTGTGAATATCCTCTTGGTCTGCTGGTCTGCTGGTCTTGGTTCAGTTGTTTAACAGCTGTGTTTTCTTTAGACAACAATCAACCTGAAGAAAGTCGAGCTGCCCGTCAAGCAAATTGTGAGCGGGCAGACCATCAAGGCGAGCGGCACGCTGGCCAACCCCGAAAGCCTAGACTACTACTACCAGTTCGCCAAGGTGGAGGAGCTAGTTGCGCCAAAAGGAAAGCTATAATTGAAAGGTGCTTAGTTGGTGGGCTGGGATAGGTAGATGAGAGACTGAACCGGAGAGGTTCGTTCGGAAGGGATAGACTATCGAAGAATCGACTCTCGGTAGTGAGAATTAATTAATTACGATAGGAATAAAATAAAAATAATATAAGTAAAGTCATAGCGAAGTCGTAATAACGGCGTAACTAGGAAGTAACGGAGAAATAACTTGGAGGTAACTAAGAGGTAACTAAGAGGTATCTAAGGAGTAACCTAGAGGTAACTAAGAGATAACTAAGAGATAACTAAGAACTATAATATAACTAAGAGGTAATAAAGAGTTAACGAAATATTACGAAGTATTATTAAGGTGATAAACCTAGAGGGGAGCACTTATATTGCTTTGGGGTTTAGACTGGGTTAGGCTTGGTATTTATTATCTTATTACCTTGACATAAGAATGATCGACGCTCACCGTGTGCATACCTAGGTATATGTCTATCTTCCTACCTAGACACCTAGATGGTGAGTGTTTAAAGAGAAGGAGCCAGTTCGTCGAGTAAGGAAGGCTGCATGTGGGTGCCTAGGCACCCAGGTACTAAATATAAAGAATGAATTCTATGACATGTCCTGCAAGGAACTCACCTCCGGGACCTCATGGATCACAGCTGCTTTCTATAAGGGGGGTTTTCCAGATCGATACCAATTACCAATTACATTAATAATATTTTCATAACAAAAGGAGATGGAGGATATGGTGTGTATTATCTATTCTAGTTCTCCCCTTTCTCTCCGAGCGTCTGCTCTTCCCCTCTCGCAGCAAACCACTTGACCTGACCTCCTGTCTTGCTCTGCTCCAGCTTACCTGGTCTGATCTGATCTGATCTTCAGGGCCTATAGGCTCGAGCAAACCCCAAAGCAAAGCAACCGGTCCATGCATAGAAACAGCGAAAAGAAAAGAAAATAAAGATATCAAACTCCTGATTTTGTCTATCTCGCCTCTTCATACCTAAAATAGTTAAACCCACTAGCCTTTCTCTACGGGCGTGTAACCATGTAAAGAGCATTAATAACAACAACAACAACAACAACAACAACAACAACACAAGAAAGGAAAAAAAGCAGTTTTTCCACGCCCAACCCCAAGAAATTCCCCATTTTTTCATAATGTTCATTCATATTCCTCTTTCGCGGCCAGTCTTCTTCGCAAAGAGGCGCGGGGCTAACAATCCGTGCAAAACCTGAGAGAAGAAAATAAAATAATAAGAATGAAAACAAAAAAAAAAAAATCAAAACACAAGACTACCATCGTAGTGGCTAAGTTACAGAGCAAACACCTATTTCTCCCCGACAAAAGACAAAATAAAAAAAAATACCCGGCGCCGCTATAACTCGCGCTCTCTCTACTACGACTGACGATGAGGGCCGGCACACAGGGAGGAAAGCAACAGAACTGGGGACATAAAAGACGAAAAGGGTGTGAGAGACAGCAGAGAAAAGCAGGCTAGTCCGAATCGGAATCGTCGCCGAGGCCGAGCAGCGTCTTGTCCACGTCATCGAGCTCGTCCTCGCCTTCACCCTCGTCGCCATCTCCGTCGCCATCGCCATCTCCGTCTCCGTCTCCGTCGCCATCTCCGTCGTTATCCCTGTCGTCGTTGTCGACGTCATTGTCTCCATCGCCGTTTTCGTCGCCATCGCCATCTCCTTCGCCGTCGCCCAGGCCGAGCAAGTCTTTCTCCACATCGTCTAGGTCGTCGGCCTCGTCCATGTGTGTGTCGCCATCGCCTTCATTATCGTCACCGTTGGTCTCGACCACGATGCGACCTCGGCCGCGGCGCACGCCATTAGCCCTGCCGCGTCTGCCGCCTCGCCCAGTTCTCTTAGTGCTGGTGCCGTTGGTATCGTGAGCTCGGCGCTGGCGGCGCCGCGATGCTGGGATGAGCAGCTCTGTCTCGTCCTCGGTCTCTGCGGGGTCAATCATCATGGAGGTCTCGCCGTCCAAGTCCTCGTAGTCATCCCCGCCGCCGTGATGCGCGTCGCCGTTGGCGGCCGAGTCACTAGCGGGGGGCTTTGGACGCTTGACCGGGTCGATGATGCCCAGTGGCTCGGTACCGTCGTAGTTCTCCCAGCGCGTCAGGCGGCGGTGGCTTCGGCGAATGGCTGAGTAAAAGGCGCTGAACTCCTCGCCAAAGTCGTCCGTCTCGTCCTTCCGCTGGCACAGGCCGCCGTAGCCCTTCTCGCGGAAGGGGAACTGGGTGCTGCCGTTGGTGCCGTTCTTAGCGTCACCATTTGTCGAAGCGTTGGCACCTCCGGCGCCGCCCGCAAGCGCCTGCCTGTTGTAGTTGATGCACTCCTCGTCCTCGCTGTCCTCGAAGGAATCGTGTACCTCGGCGAGCCTGTTGAGCGCGCGGATAATGGAACCGTCGACGCGACGTAGCTTGCGGGACTTGTGGTGGCTCTTGCGGATGCCACGGTCGAGGATGTACTCGACACGCTGTGATCGGTTACGCTCGACGGCGAGCTGGTGGGCGGTCGGCGGCCGTGGTTTGCGCGCCACTATGCCCTCAATCATCTGGCCACCGCCGGGCGATGAGGCTTCAAAGATCTGATACTTGAGGGGGTTGGTACCACGCCGGCCGGCACCGCTGAGGGCGCCACTCTGACGGCCAGCCATCGCCCGCGGCGGCGGAGTCGATCTTACACTCTCGAGATCGCTCTCGTGCTTGGAGGGTCGGATGCGCGGGAGAATCCCCGTCGTCGGGCCCACCTCGTCGCCGGCCGGGAACCCGCGACCGCGGCCGCCTCGCTTCGTTTGGCTGTCGACCATGAATTGCTGATCGGTCTCGATAATCTTAGCACGCAGCTTTTGCTTGGTGTAGCCAAAGTCTATCTCCTCTTGCGGGTCGTTGTTCTCTTCAGCCTCTTCTTCTGGCGTCATCTCCTCCAGCCGGGGAACACCTTGGTTTGCGACGTCTACGTTGTAGTCAACACCTGCGCCAAAGGGGTTTTCCTCACACCCTTCCTCAGTAAAGTCAGACTCTAGATAGAACCACATGATCCAGAGAAAAGCGCGTGCGCGACTGTAGCTCGTATATTGTGTCTTCATAATCAGATCATGGAACTCGCGGCCGGGAGGGAAATGGAGCTCTGCCACCTTGCCGGCAGCCTGGCAAATGACAAAGAGGAGATTGACGGGATTGGTGCGAGGCACATCGGACGACTTCAGGGCCTCGAGCGAGCCGGGCTCGACGCGGTCCTCGGCGCCTCCCTTGAGGATCGACTTCAGCCTCGGGGCATCTTGGAGCTGCTTGTACGCGTTAGGGTCCTGGCGGGCCTGGAGGGAAGGGATGGCGTGGTAGGTGCGGAGCTGGGCTCGCATCTCGGGGAAGACTGTGTTTGGCAGAGTGTCAGTGTCAGGGCGGGGTGGGATGGTGTTCGGGGGAAGACGGTGGAGGGGGCACTCACAATTGAGGGTGGTGTTCATGCGGCCAATGTTGACCAAGAGGCAGACCATGGCCATACCTTTCGCAGCATCGCGGTCACTAAGCAGCTTATCTCGAAGGACTTTGCTGGTCTTGCTACTCCTGGACATTGTGTCAATGTAAAGGTCGGCGAAGCACTGTTTGCCGATCTTGTCGGGTTCGTAGCTGTTGGTAAAGACCTTTTGCTCGTTGTCGAAGACGGCCTTGAGGAAGTCGTACTGGATGTCCTTGCGCCAGAGCGGCTCGCCGTCCTCCTTCTTGAGGTGTCTGATTTTACCAACAACGCTGCCGTTGGGGGCGCTTGCATCGTCGCGGGCGCGCTTCTTGCCGCGGGGATGCTTTTCTGATGGCTCCGGCGTCGCTGTGGCCATCTTGGTGTCCTCGTCCTCGGTCATGACCGTCATGAACGACTTTTCGGCGTGGACGGGTGAGCTGGGCGCCTCCAGGTCCGACATTTGAGCCGGCGAGCTTGGTGTTGCAGACATGGCTAAAACCGGCCGCCTGGAATTGGTGTGCAGCTAAAGTAGACGGGTCCTGGGTTATTGATGCAAGATTTCCTCGATTACGGTTTGTCGGGTTTGGGGCGGCCGACGGGAACAAGGCGCAAATCACCACTTGGCTGGCTGGCTGGTTCGCTGGCCGCGGCCCCTGCGCGTGCGCGTGCGGAAACCACCAAAAAAGTAAGTGCACGCAGGCGCGAGCTTGCATGCGACAGGGAGAAAATTAACGGATCGATGAATCGATGGCTGGGTGGATGGATGAATTGATGGTGCGCTCAGCCGGTTATTGCGCGGCTGACAAAATGGGCAAAGAGAGACGAAAATGGCGAGGAAGAAAAGGCAGGCTAGCTGGCAAATTGGCGAGAATTTCTCGTGAGGTGACGAATCTTGATGGTGAGAGAGGCGTGGATGCCTACCCAAGCTTGGCCTTCGCTCAGGTTCCTCCGAGGGCATCGCGTTTCCCTTTCCCCAGGTCTCGAACGCTTGCAGGTGACGTGTTGGGCGGCTGGTTCCCCTTGCGTCCCCTGTTAGTGCACCTTCTCTACCAAACCCACCGAATCCACCAGACCTCACAAATCATTAACAAGTGGGGCTCGTCAAGGGCGGGCACAGTGCTGGGCAACCGTTTTTGGCCTCGAAAATCATTACAGACGATGCAGATGCACTGTAGAGCTGTCGCCAACTCACCAACCGTTCGCCAACCAAGCCCAGGCGAGCTTCTGAAATCGAGGGTTTGTAGGCTTTGAGGCCCGCTTTTATGCCTAGAGTTAGTGAACTATCACCAACTTATCTAGACATGTCGCCGATCCTAGCGGGACCGTGTAAGCACAGTCATTCTGCCCAGCTCATAGGGTCTTTTATCATAGGACTGTATCATTCCACCTCTGACCTTATCTCTGGTCATCGCATCCCTTTCGTGCTGTCAAGGACATACATACATACATACCTCACCTCTTTCTTGCCGTGAAGTTGGAACTGCATTATCTACTCCCGCCTCTCAAAGAACGGTAACTCGGGCAGATAGCCAGCCAAAGGACAACGACAACTAAAGGATGGCGAACGTCGCAAAAATCCCCGTCATTGACATTTCTGGCAGCGGGGGCGAGGCCGAGCAGTTGCAGGTGGCCAAGGAACTGGTCGAGGCTGCCATCGAACATGGCTTCGTCTTCATCAGAAACACGGGCAATGACATTCCCGTCGAGGCCGTTGAGGGCGCCTTCGATATAGTAATTACTGGCCTTGGCAGCCTTTTTCCATCCCCCCCTTAGTTCTAGAAATGCTAACGCCAACACCACAATCTAGTCAAGAAAGTTGTTTAGCGCCCCCTTGGAAGAGAAGGAGAAATGTAAATACGAGGAAAACAATCGCGGCGTCAGTCCATTTCAACCATTTCTGCGTCAAAAAGAAGACTGTTTGTGACTGGGAAACATGGAGACTGACTCGGATTCTCACCTCAGTGGTTGTCAATGCAATATGAAGTCCTCGACCCCAAGAATCAACGTGTGAGTGCATTACAAAAACCGCTCAGGGGTTGGTTGTTGTCGTTGTCGTTGTTGCTGTTGTTACTGACCCAAAAACCACCTGCCCAGGTTGGCGACTTCAAGGAGTCTGTATTCCCCTGAGTCTCTCACTCGTCTGCAGCTCTCGTGTACCCTGGCCGCAAGCTTACAGTCAGTCATGTACTACACCAGAGCCTTCAACTTTGGAGAATTCGTCGACGGCAAAGCCCAGCAACCCATCCCCGACACCATTGCGCAGTATGAAGGCCAAGTCGGGGCTTTCAGAGACCTCTGCTACCAGATGTGTCTCAAGATCAACACCCTGCTCGGCATCGGGCTCCAAGTATGCACTCCGGCCACCTAATTACGATTTGTCTTTCTCTTATTAATGCTGCCGCTGGTTTGCTTCTAGGTCGAACCTCCCGATTTTTTCACCACAGCTCATCTGAGAGAGAAAGGCACATCGGGGACGATTCTTCGTTTCCTATACTACCCGCCCCTCGCCGACACCGGTGCCGACCGTGAGGATGTCCGTGCCGGCGCACATTCCGATTGTCAGTTCTTTTGCTGCGTGTTTCTGTCCCGTTGCCTGTTCCAGTTGCCTTCCCATGAACCCCGCCCGTTAGACAGCACACCAGGCTAATCCGAGACAACAACAACAACAACAACAAACAAACCACAGACGGATCTATCACGATGCTCTTCCGCCTCAAGGGCCAGGCGGGCCTCGAGATCCTGACGCGCGAGGACACGTGGGCGCCGGTACCGGTGACGCCGCCGGGGACCGAGGGCGACGCGGCGCCGCCGATCCTCGTCAACATCGGCGACCTGCTCTCGTACTGGACCAACGGGCTGCTGCGCAGCACCGTGCACCGCGTCGTGTTTCCAGGTCCGGGTAAGGGTGCTGTAGAGGGCGAGACCGACGCCGACCCACGCTACTCGATGGCCTTCTTCTGCCACCCCGTCGGCACGACGCCGCTGACGCCCGTCCCGAGCGAGCGCGTGCGCCAGTTCAAGGCGCCGCCGCCGTCGTCGGCTCTGGCGGCCCAGCCTGATCCCGCAGGAGAAAAGGTGCTTACCGCGGACGGGCATCTGAACATGAAGTAGGCAACTTGTTGATCTCGGTCTTGTGACGTTGCTGACATTGGAGTTTTGTTCTGAAGGTTGAGGGCGAGTTATTTGCAGTTCTACAAGGACAAGGAGTGATTCTCGGGGGTGTGATACGTGTGGTCATATACAGCAGACAGGTACGCATGCTTGCTTTGGGCTTTGCGGTGAATTTACGTGTCCATTCCGCCCGACCATGTCTCCAAGCTGCAGTGCAGGCCAAGCCACATCAATTGTTTAGAGAAATCTCCAAGAAATAGGGGGAACAGAGTCCACGTACTCGGGTAGAGCTAAAGAATTCACATCCCGCCAACACACAAAGCCCCGGGATTGTATGCTTCCACCTTTTAAGGGCATTAGAGGCATTCCATATTTGCCATTTTGCTTTCTTGGTCAACCTCCGACGAGCTAAATCTTAGGTCACCAGAGTCTAGCTGGCAGAAATTGAAATACCTCCTTTTAACTTTTCACTTTGCAAAAATGCCTGGTTTGTTCTACACATGATACAGTCCCAGCTAGTTTGCGCTGCGCCAACATGAGCCAGGTCTTTGCTGTCCTAAACCCACGATTGAGCAATCTAAGAAAGCTCGCCCTACACGAACAGGGTGGGCGAGAACACCAGAACATCCAGATGAGATGCCGCCTGTTAGAAACTGCGACCAGTTAGTGGTATTGTTGCCATGGGCATCCATACAGGGCTTACGACCTACCAAATCAAGGCTGGCGTATTTCTGAGTGAAGTAACGAAAGAGAATTCCCCCAGACTCTTGCGCCGTATTGGAACTCTTCTCCGTTTGAAACGAGGCAAAATTGCGACACGGCTGAAGCATCGACCTGGTCTGGCTAGTAGCAGCTCGCGGCAGGAATGACAAGCCCCGCCCAGACGAAACCATGGGAGGCCAATTTCATGACCACTCCATGGCAGCTTTCCACCAGCTAGAGAGCGCCCTTTGATCCATGGCGGCAGCAAAGTCGTTCACGTCGGCGACCTCGACGAGCCCCGGCTTGTCCTCGGCGAGGGCGGATAGGGTGCCTACCGGCTCCGGCGGGGATATCACGCGGAAGTCCTTGTATCGCAGTCTCTAGAAGAAGGGGTGGCCCAGGAAATTAAGGAATGTTCTCTCGTGAGTGGAAGAAATAGTAATTGAAGGCTACATACATGAACGGCGGCGACCCAGCCCCTCACTCGGTCCTCGCTGCCCTTGCAGTACATGATGCCGGGGCTACCGCCGACGCGCAGCATGGCAAAGACCGAAAAGTGGTCGGCGGCTTTGCGGAGGACTGCAACCTTCTTGCGCGACGTGATGTGGTGTGTTCGGATCAGAGCATGGAAACGGCCCAGCGACATTGTGACTGTGACTGTGACGACAGTTACCTAGTAGGCATTGCCACCCCCGAGCGAAGATGGGCGGCCAATTGATGGATGAAGTGGCTAATATGGAAAGCGCTTGGTTGCTGGTAAAAGTTTAATCAAGAAGGTGCACGCACACTCGCCCACTCTCACACCCAAGTCAGTCAGTCAGTCTACCCAGCGAAGAAAAGCTCAGGCAGCCCAGGGGCGACCCCTGCTAATTAAAGTGCAAGCCGCAGTGCCCACCGCTCCACGTGACCACGTGACTACGTGTCCTCCCTTTTGGATCACTCCAGGTACTATTTGCCAAGACAGTGGAAGTTTAGTCGCCTTGTCTCGCGCACGCGTGCCTGCCTGCTTGTGCCGTAACCCGTTGGGGCCCTGAGTCAGTTTGGGTCTGCGGAATCATCTCAATTGAGTTTGTCGGAAGGCAACCAACCCAGTTTACATTATTGCCCCATGGTGGAGGGAGGGCACACCTTGTGGTAAATAGGTCGTGTGGCCATCCCACAGAATGTAGTGTCGCCTCGGTTTTCCAAGAGCCTGCCTGCTACGGAAAGTTAGTCTGCGGGAGCAACCCTCCCTATATATATATATTTCGACCTAGGGTCTCACCACCCAGTCGCGTTAAGCCCGCATCGCATCCTCCTGCACACCCGTTCACAATTAGCCTCTTGTTTTTGGTTTTACCTTTTTGGATGCATGTCATGACATATAGCCCAGGATCATGCCTTTTCCTTTTGCATACATCTGCGATCTACTGCAGGGCCTAGAGGACAACCAGCACGCCCAGACCGGCCAGAAGACCGATGCCTCTCTTATCCAGGCCTGGTTCAGGAGTCACCGGGCCGAACTCGCTCGCGATGATCACGACCCTGCTGCCCTGCTTTCGGCCCTCCTCCCAGAGAAGCGGACGGACCGCGTCTACTCGATCCGCGAGAAGAAGCTGCAGATAATAATCGGCCGCGCTTTGATTCTGGGAATCTCTCGTAAAAAGGAACTAGAGAGGTGGGCAGTGTCCGGGTCCGGTGTTGATCTGGCCGACTGTGTCTATGGGATTCTCTGTGAGACGGTGAGTGGGCTTCTCCCCATACCACAAGATGAGATGGGCTGTAGTACGATGATGGGGCGCGTGGATCTGCCAATTGGGAGCTGCACTTGTCCAAGGCTAATTTAGACCAGCCAAATCCGCAGTTTTCAGATGACGCGGGTGTCACAATCGAGGAGATTGACGGAGTCCTCCATGGCATTGCCTCAGAGTGCCGGTATAGCTCACTGGCTGTACGTAGCAAGCCCTCTGGCACCAGGTTTGCCGATACCGAGCTTGCCCTTGGAGATCTCCACAAGCGGCTTTCGGCGAGAGACGCGAAATGGCTTACACGGCTGATCCTGAAAAACTACGAGCCGATTGTACTTGACCCTTCAACTGTGTACAGCAGTTACCACCCGTACCTCTCAACAATTCTCAAGGTCCAGGACGATTTTGCCGTCGCTGGCCGCATTATTGTCCGCCAGAGACGTGAGCGGACGGTTACTGGCCGAGCTGACATTACCGAGTTCCTCAAGCCGGCCCTCGGGGTAAAAGTCGGCCGCCAAACCTGGATCAAGGGCCGGAGCATCAAGCACTGCCTGGACATGAGCCGTGGCCGCATGAGCTGTGAAGAGAAAGTCGACGGAGAGTATTGCCAGATCCACATTGGCCTCAGCAAGGAAAGCAAATGCATCCAGATCTTCTCGAAGAGCGGAAAAGACAGCACCGACGACCGAATAGCATTGCACGAGTATGTAAAATCCCACCTACCTATTACCAATCTGTTCAAATCTCGTGCTGACATGGCTATAGCTCGATTCGTCGGTCGTTACAGCTAGGGCAGCCCACTTGTCCCCTCAAATCGGGCTGCATCCTGGAGGGAGAACTTGTTGTTTTCAGCGATAAGGTAGAGCCCCAAGCGATGCGTGTTATTTCGTGCAGTGATTAACCCCCCACAGGACGCGAAAATCTTGGACTTCCACAAAATCAGGAAACATGTGTCGAGATCAGGATCGTTTTTGGGTACCGATCAAGACTCCCAGTATGTATTCTGTTGCTCGAGCGGCGGTACTTTGTGGGCTGACCAAAATGAAGGCGTCATCCTTGGGAGCATCTCATGATTATTTATTACGACCTGCTTATGGTCGACGGCGAGTCCCTCTTGGGCGTTAGGCATTCGGGAAGATTCAAGCGCCTCAAGGATCTCGTGACTCTGGTTCCTGGCCGCTCTGCTCTGGTCAAGCAGGAGCTCATCGACTGCAGCAGCCGTTCTGCGGCGTCCGACCTTCGCCGGGCTTTCGCCAAATGCATTACGGCGCATGGGGAGGGTCTAGTCCTCAAGCCAGACGATCCCTATTTCACTTTCGGCGCTCGTACCAAGCCTTACAGTTCTTGCGCCATCAAACTCAAGAAAGAGTACATTGGCCACTTTGGAGACATTGGCGACGTTGCCGTCGTTGGCGCTCGCTATGATCCTGCAAAGGCCAGGACCTACAGTATCCCGAATCTGAAATGGACTCATTTCTACGTCGCATGTCTCGAGAACAAGGACGAGGTCGTGCGGTTTCAGAAAACCCCTCGCTTTATTGTCACCAATGTGGTCGAGCTCAACACCTCGCAGATGGCGGTGTTTGTGAAATTCGTTAATCCGCAATCCGTCGCTCCGAGTGAAAACAAGTCAATTTCGATACGCGTCGAACCCGGGGTCGACAACGGAAAAACGCCGTCTGCCATTTTCCCAGCGCCCCCAGTGTTTGATCTCAGGTGCTTCTCTTTCGACAAAGTCGGCAACACTGGATTTTGGAGTCCGAGATTCCCCGTGGTCAACAAAATACATTGTGACCGGACCTACCGCGACGCCCTCTCTTTCACGGAACTTCAGGATATGGCCAGCAAAGAAAGGGAAATGCCGCCGCCGGAAGACAGCCAAGAGCTCTTGGGTTGGATAGCTGCTCTTGAGGCTGCCGATCCCAAGGGCGTCGCTGTTGACCACTCAAGTCAGGTGACAGTAGCCTCGACTCTTATCGCCACGACGCCCTCGACTCAATCGACAGATTCTGGCCAAGCAGGCTCTTCTGCCAGTTCACACCTTCAAACATCACCTACTCCAGTCCGGGGTAGGGCAGGGGATCCGCCAACACCGCCAAGGTCCTCTATTGTTCAAGCCGGCCATGAACCACGCACAAATAATTTTCCGGGGGCTCAGGACACCTCCAAGAGGCAGAAGAGGCCACCCGAGTCATCAGACTTAGAACACAAGGGCAAAACCAAGGTTCGGAAATTTCAGGATGAGCGTCGGCCCACAGTCGGCGACTGGTTATCCCAGAGTATGAGCGAAATCCAGGGTACACCCCACAATGAGAGGGAGCCTCTGTCAAATGTCCGCATCAGCTCGTCGCGGCGAAATAATCTGCCTAGCTCCACTGCTCCGCGACTGACCAGCACGACTTCGATGTACCAGTTGGGATGGGGCAATGCCCGCCTTGGAGCACCCGAGAGAGTTCAAAGCTCTCTGCCAGTATCGCTATTGTTCCAGGGACTCCTCGCCCCACATCTCTCGATAACCTCCTCAACCGTCACTGGAGCAACAAATGTACGGGATAGCAACGGCGACCATGATAACATGTCTCCTGAAGGGCCATCCACGTCTTGTGGAAAATGCCGATTCCTTGACTCGTGCAAGCTCTCCAAATGTTCATTTCTTCTGTCTCCCTGCATTGCAAACTTTCCCTGGGTCACGGAAGACCTGCTTGTTTGTCATGGCGTGGCAGACATTGTCCTAGATTACAAAAAACTGACCACAGCCCAACCAAGTTGCGGGACTACACCAGCAACTGTTGAGCGTATAAGGGAGAAGAGGTCCGCTAAGAGGAAGATCATTCTCGTTGAATCACGGAGAAAGAGCCCCACCGCAGCTTTCATGAAACTGGTTACTGAAGCCAAGGATAAATGGCCTAGCAACGATCGGGAGTACTTTGAAGTGTATGACTGGAGGATACTCGAGGCTTTGCGGTACGAGGAGGCGAAATGCAGTCGTAACGGCAAGATACGCGGTGCCTGTGTCTCGACGACTACCACAAAAGACATTGAGAAGAAATTCCGGCTAGGTCTCGTATGATAGTATATATTTGGCAGATTCCTGGCGCAGGAGACACCCCTATTTTTCGTTTTCTTTCTAAATAACTTGGGGGTTTGCCCGCCGTGGCCTGGATCAATTGCTTACATCCATTTCTCATGTCCGAGACTGCTGGTAGTTTTCCGTGCCATGGTTGATATAAGACGCAGCACTCGAGTCTTGAACCAGAAACTCTAGCATCTAGCCCACTGATCAACTTCAATACGGTACCACCAGACACGTGCCATGGTATGTTCTGAGCATTCCTCTCTCCTCTACCTAACCTGCCAACGTGACAAAGTCGGGAGCTTTTGGGGTGTGTCGGAGCAACCTCGACCTCGTGATGAAGTAGACGGGAATAGCATCGACAACTGCCAGAACATGGAAGCATTAACGAGGTATCAGCACACATCAAGCGGGGACGAAACATCCAGTCTGTATTCCATTTTTCGCCCCAACCATTGGTGTATGGAAATACGTGTCCCGACTGGGGGATCGCGAGGTGGAATGGAGTTGCTCGTCACGACACATTCCAATCCGCGCGCGAGCACCCAGCCCCACCCAGAAGTCTGAACAGTGATGAGAGGCATCGCAGCAAAAGGACAGAAGAAAAAAATCCCGCGTTTGTTGTCACTGTTTACTTTTGTTGTTGTTGCTGGTTCTCGTCCCATCTTGTCCGCAACTCTGTTCAGAAATAGTCTACCTGTTCCTCTCCGGCAAGCTGCTCACGTCTCCCGTTGCCGAGCATACATACAGCAGCAATTGTAAGTTGTGGATCAAGACATCTGCGCCACTTTCTCCGTCGTCATAAAAATATCACTTTCGCCAATCTACCCTGTCGGCCTACGACCACGACTCAACAGCTAGCCGCGACGACAGAAGGCAAGGAGAAGACTGCCAGTCTCTAAACGAAAAGAAGAAAATAAAATAACCACGACCAAAACTTGTTGGGATGAGTGCTTCGGAGCAGCCTCGGGCGGCTGCCGAAGATATGTCGACTCCCTTGTCTCTCAGCGCCCTGATCAGCATCATCGTCGGCGGCACGTTCATCGTGTGTGCCATTCTCGCGACGCTGGGACTCTATCTCTCGCGCCGGCGGGCCGCTCGGCACAACCTAGTCCTGAGCGGGGAGATTCCCGTCATTTCCTACGACGTCGAGAACAGCTCGACTAGCGAGGCGCGCGCTAGCCCGAGGAAACTGTGGAAGCTGGGCGGCGGGAGGGGTCCGCCGTCGGTCAAGGACGCCGACGACAGCTGCTCTCTTGTCCGCCGGCTATCGCGCTCAACCCTTCCGCGCGTGTTCAAAAAGGGGCATCGCCGGAGCAGAAGCGAGCCGTCGTGGGGGTGGCCGGCGTCGCTGTCCCGCTCCTCGTCTAAGAGGACTGTAGCGTGGGTCGACGAGGACGCGCTGCACGGGCCGGATACCGGCAGCCGCCGCGAGCCTCAAGAGGGGGAAGCTCGCGACTCATGGCAGCTGGGGAACCGCACGCCGACGTTGCCGAAGCTGCCGCACTACACGTTCTACCGGTACGCGCAGACGGAGCAGTCGCCGGTAAACAACAGGCTGACTATTCGCGTCATCGACTACGCGCACCAGGAAGAGCTGCTCGCCTACTCGAGAACGCTGCCCGAGCCCCCCAGACTGACGCTTGTGACGAACAACGACGGCTGGTTTGCTAGCCCCGGAGCCAGCAGCAGCAGCAGCAGGAGCAGTCTCGCCCAAAGCCCGGCCCGGTCGCTGCCACGGACCCCTTCGAGGCCTAGAGTCAGGCAGCCGTCGACGGATTCCACCTTGACCGAGATACTGAGGTCAACAGAGAAGCGGCTGCAAGAGGGAGGCGCTGCCGGCAGCAGAGCGACTTCAAAGAAAACTACCTGCGACAGAGGGACCAGATCGCCGAGAAAGGTGTCGGCGATGGGCAGCAGGGAATCACTCCTTGGCTACGGTAGCGGAGCCGGCAGTGACGAAGTCCCTGCCGCGCGCCGCTCCATGTCTCGGTCCAGGACGCCCAGCCCGAGAAAATGCCCGGCAAGCCAGCCATTGACGGCCTCTCTTGTTCAGCAGCACAAGAGGCAGGACTCGCAGGTGTCCGCCATGTCCGAAGCAGACAGCCTGCTACGAGAGCCGGTCCGGCAGACAGACTCGCCTTCGAGGCTGACCAGCCCCAGCCGGAACCCCAGAAGCCAAGAGCCGGAGGCCCAAGTGGCACAGAACCAGTCCGCGCGCAGCTCACTATCGCTCTCCACCGTCTACAGCGAGGACGAAGTGCTCGAAGTCATGCGAGCCGCCCCCAGCCCCTCGGAGTGCGGAACTCTTGCTCCCCCGGTCGAGGCGCCGCTCAACTCCGCCACGACATCGTCGACGTCGCGGCCAAACTCCAGCTGCGACTGGCCCGGGCGGCCGCAACACAAGCCGCAAGACCTGTTCCGAGAGAGCCTCGAGCGGTCGCAGCGTCTCCGCGGGGCGTCCATAGGACAACCGCCAGCGTCCTTGCCACCGCCCATTAGACTTCCGCCCTGTCCGTCGTCAGGTAATGGTCGTGCGCTTGCGCGAGCTGCCGGCTCCAATCCCGCCAGCCAACGGGGCAGAGTCAGCAAAACCGTCCCCGTGTCGAGAGCTAGCAAGCCGCTAGGGACTGTCAAGCAGAAACCTGCTTCAGTGACGGCAAAGTCTGCGCCTACACTCAGCAAGTATCTGAGCCCGACGGCGATGGCACCGCGCACGAACCCTAGCCCTGTGTTTGCCAGAGAGTCCAATGGTGTCACAAACGCGCAAGCGGAGGAGAAGAACAAGAAGTTTAGCACGCCTCTTGGTAACGGTGCTGCTTCTGCGACAGAAGAACAGACGACAAATAAAGGAGAGATCTTGATATCGCCAGCGCAATCCGCGCCAGGGGCACAAGAAGGGCCGCAGAGCAACTCAAGCCTATCTTCTCGCACCCCAACGGCGCAGGACCACCAGCAGCAGCAGCAGCGGATGAGCAGCAACACGTCGTTCGTCTACTCACAAGATTCCAGCAGCGACCGCCTCGGCGCCGGAACTGTATCATCCGCGAGCGGCTTCAACCGGGCCAGCTTCCTAGCCAATTCCTCGCTGCGGGCAACATCGCCTTCCTCTCCGTCAACGGCGCGGCCCGCCTCATCATCATACCCGCCGCGCGTCGACCTCGGCCGCATCACCAAAACAAACCTGGCCCCCTCCTTACCGGACAGGGTTCCCAGCCTCCTAGAGGAGAAGGATGAAAAGGAGGACAACGACGACGACGATGACACGGCGGCCAACGGCGGAGGAGGAGGAGGAGGAAGAGGAGGAGGAAGAGGAGGCGGCCCCCGGCTCAGCGCCAGCGGTCTAAGCCTCGGCGCGGGCCTCGCAGCCACGGTGGCCGAGCTGCGGCGCATGAACAGCGGGATCAGCACGGCGTCGGTTGGAAGTAGTAGCAGCCTGACCGGCGGCGGCGTGGGTGCCAGGATGAGCGGCTCGCACCACTACCTCTCGCTGGGGAGTTCGTCATTGTCGCCGAAGCGGCGGCGGCAGCAGATCATGAGCAGCACTACCACTTCCCAAAAAAGAAGAGACGGCGGCGAAGAGATCTGCCGCCGCCTGCGCACAATGGTCGTGGTCGGCAGCACGGCCGCGGGGTCGCCGCAGCGGCGGCGGATCGTCATGGGGGAACGGGGGAACGGGGCAGCAACATCCGCGATAGCAAAGCGCGCCAGCTTCCCGCGGCTCGGCCCCGGCATTGGCCTGGGACTTTATATCCCACGGGACGAAGAAGAGAGCGGAGGAGAAGAAGAAGATCACGGAACGGGCAGCCCAGCGACAACACAAAACCAGGGCAAGACAAAACAGCGAGCCACAGTCGATTTCCTCTTCGAGAGGCAGATGCCCACGGCCGCCGAGTTCACCTTCTCTGCAGCAGCAGCCAGCGGGAGCGGGAGCGGCCAACGCGGCGACAGCGAGAGAAAGAAAAACAACAACACACTGCTAACCGCTCTGCCAACCTTCCAGTTCCCCTGTCCCAGCTCCGCCAAGGCCACATCCACACCCACGCCCAGACACCACCACCCAAGGAACAGGACGGCTGGCAGCGGTGGCGGTGGCGGTGGCGGTGGTGGTTCGCCGAGGAGACGACTCGAAAACCCGTGGTCATCGCCGACCACGTGCCGGAACTTGGACCACCGCCGTAGTGATGATAGTCTGGGCTTGTATGATAAGGACGGGTTCCTCATCTGCTCGCCTGCGCGGCAGGGAGGGGCGAGTCCCGGGCTGATGGTTTGATATTTGACATGCATGTTTTGGTGTTGTCTGGTTGTTTGTCGGGGTTGTTGGAAATCTTAGTTCTCATCTCTATCTACGTGTATTGTACAAGGTGCCCTACATACTGTACTTCCTGCCCCTGCTGTATGGGATTGATTGCCGTCACGGCTAGCCAGTGTATACTTGGGTATTTACTTGGTTGGCTTTGGACTCGGTTCAGGGGCGAACCTCCCCGGTGTAAGATTTGCCGCAATACGGAGTAGAGATGTAATATAGGTATGGCTTATACCGTCGAGGGTGCCGTGACTTTTTGACTTTTTGCTGTACATACTCGCAAACCCTTCGACGAGTCAACCGGCTTTTTGAGCCTTTACGAGTACCGTGACCAATGCTTAATTGTGTTCATTTTGGTGTATGTATGTGTATGTGTGTGTGTGTGCTGATGATGGGTATAAACCACTTCACTTTTAGTAATAGATCTAGCCGTAGAACGCTCCTGATGTAGATAAAAGAAAACACATGGCTTGTATCCATACCCATGCAACACACCAAGGAAGGAACACATTTTTGTCAACGTTTGGCCTTCCTATTCGATTTCAAGAACCGCGTCACCCAAGACTAGCCACCTCCAACATGGAAGAAGGTGCATCTGGCATTCCCAGCGTCAGGCAGTGAGCCGCTACCGCGGCTTGTAAAAATTTGAATTTGTTTGTGCGTCTGCTGCCGGCTCCTTCCCCATCAGGGAGTCGAGGGCAAACCAAGCACCCATCCAGGGCAGGAACGAGCAACTTGTGACAATACAGTAGCACTTGCCCGGGTGACTTTGGTGCCATTAGCAGTGCTCCTTCCTCCCTTGTCAACTAAAGCTAAAGTGAGGCACTTTAGTTCGGGGCCCCTCGCCTCGATAGCTCCTACAGGTCGATGTCGATGTCGTCGCCATCCACACTGTCAGACACCAAGCCAGTTAGTCTCACCTCGACTCCACCCTTCAACAACAGAACAACGCGTGTGTGGGGCACTGTGGCAGATGCGATCCTTCACTTCTACTAGCCTGACGTCCTCACCCCCGTTTGACCCGCTTTACTACCAGTAGAGTAAAGGCGCCTCACATCACCTAAGACCCGAGGAGCTGCGCTGGTCAACCAAGACGTTGCTAGTGCTACGGCTAACTTTCCTCCTTCTCGTTTCGCTCGACGGCTTAGCCCCTATCTTGTGAAGAGACGAGACGCTCGCGCCAGTTGCTCGTCCTCCCCCAGATCCTCGACGTTAGCATCGCAGATGTCGTACACGGTGCCATAGGCGAGGACCTTTCCGTGCTTCCGCCCATACATACCCGCATCCAACAAGGTCAGTTGGTCCAGTCTTGTCCAGTCCAGACCAGACTCTGCAGAGGCTTACCTACCTTACCTAGGTTGTTCGCGTATTTCTATATATTGCCACTATTCTAGCAAATCCCACAGCTTCCTAACCCCACCTGTCCTGCACTTGTCCAGTGGTTGACGCAACAGTAGCACCGGCCTTCCGGCTGGGCTCTGCTCTGGCCCGGATACCTGTTACCGAACCATCAGGGCACATCACTTTTGGTCGACCCACGTCTTGGCTAGTACGCTACCTCGTTAGCTCTACGCTATTGCCGTCATCGAATCAACAGTCGGTAAATCGGCCCTGCCTTCTCCATCTCGCACCCACCTCAGTCTGCCGTCGGCGAAAGCCTCCGAAGACAAGGTCCCGGCACCTCTCCCAGCGGCACTACGGAACCAAGTGCATCAGCAACTCACTCCGTTCTTAACTCGTCCAATCACATCTGCGCTGCTGCTTTTGGCAGAGCGTGCTACGTATAGTCCACTTGAGAAACTATGTCGACTTCTCCCACCAGTTCACCGGTCAGGACATGTTCAACAGCCTCTGGCAGGGGTCAACAGCCACCTAGCTTCTTCAACCCGGGCACAGAGATGGCAGAGCTGTGGTGGTCTCGGCATCGATTATCGATTAGAGCCTCAGCCATGGTCCGCTGGTTGCTCCCCCCGCAAATATACGATGCTGCGAATGAGGTAGAGGGTTTGTTTCACCGGCTAGGCACCGAGATGGTGCCGAAGAAACCTCTCGTCCAAGAATAACACCAGGACGATGCATTTGGAAACTGCTCGACGCCTCCAAGTCGGCGTCTGTTGTTCGCACTCCGCGTAAACCCACCTGCGTGAGAGGCACACAGAATAAACACTCTGGGACTCATGGCCCGGTGGTCCAACTCGAAGTTGAGCCGTGGGGGAAAGCTCGCCACAATTCCACGAGCCAAGCCGTTAGGTCTCTCTTCCGGCCTCGTATCTCACCATCAAGAAACACAAGTTCCCCCTTAGCCTACTGTCTTATCTCGCAGCTAGTCAAGAACCCCGAGGCGACTTCAGTGGGACACTCGCCGTGAAACCCGACTATCGATCGCGATGTGTCACAGATACTAGAACTCAAGTGATGTTGTCCTTGTGAGGCCCGAGCTGATGGCGCCAAGCTTTTGGAGGCTGGGGTCGATTCGGGCCGTACAAAGCCTAAAACATGCAGAGGGAGTGATTTTGGATAGGGGCTGATGACCGAACCTGGACAGCTCTGTAGCACACAGCACAATTCTGGGAGCATGCGGGCAGCATGCCAATGGCCTGGGGGAACGCTGTATGTAGACGATGCGACTCCCTACGGTGGTGGTTGGCCTAGCGGTGGGGAAGTTGAAAATCCTGGGATTCGGATGAGGGGTGCTGGCCAAGTATCCACGGCACCATCAAACCTCTCCATCCAGACGGAGTTCACTACCGGGCAGTGGATGAGAACCTTTTTACAGTGGCTAAGCGCCGCTGGAATCCCCAAGGCTAGCATTCCTAGCGGCCACTACCGTTGCCAGAACGGGCATGCGGGCCCCGGACATATTCCTTGGCAGCTCCATGGGCTGGCGGAACAGCGAATGTGTTCGGAAGCCTTCTCCCGAAGCACAAGCCGACCTCGGGGCCAACTACGGACACCGCGAGCTCCCGCGGTTTATCTATCTACCATACCACTTGACCTTGATAACATTCCGTACCCTCTCCCTACTGCACGATGCAGTTTTGGGATGGCCTAGGTCGCGCTCGGCGGTTTTCCCGCATGGCTCTGGCATTTGGCGCACCCCTCTTCAACCCGATTTCTCTATCCGACTCCAATCAAGGAAACGGCAGACTAACGACGGGAGTTAGATGGGGAATCTTTCCTCTATTGATTGCAGGATTAACTGCAGCAACCGGCTAGCCTAGCACCGAAACGCTCAGCGCTGCATTGTGGGCCTTTCATTCCTTTACCAGACTAGTCTCGTCGATGGAGTTCGCTGTTAAACGCCTGCCTGGAGAGGAGTCCAGCTTGCGCTTGCAGCTTGTTATAGGCGCCTCGTGGCGAAAGAAACACGTGTTCGGCCCGACAACGAAACGACGGCATGTCTTCCCGGCCATGAGAGATATTCCAGCTCGCGTTGTCGCACTTGGATATTCGTCTCCAAGCCCATATTTCCCCCCCAGAGTGCCAGTATTGAGGGCGAACGACGATGGGGGATCGTCCCTCTCTGCACGCCAACATTGACTGCTGTCGGAACTTGGTGACTAGTACTTAGTGCTATGTGAGGTATGTCCATACTTTTGTATGTACTTGTACATACCTACGTACATATTGGTCCCCACCGCCGTCTGCCAAGTATTTCGTGCTTGCGATAGGGGATGGGAGTGTCAAATCAAGCTGCAGTCGCTAGTTGCAGCTCTAAGAGGCGCTTTAACAGCTGGTTGAGGGCCCAATCACGGCGCCTCCGCCAGCACCGACATGCCGCACCATGGACACACAGGGCGTTTGTTTAGAGTCTTGAACACGACGATATGATTGATGACGAACCGTGAACTAGGTATCTTTGTGGGGATATTGGCGCGTGGGAACTACACATCGAGGGTCTGAGACCAAATGCCCGCGGATCACTTCTGTCGGCCAACTTGCCTTCTCCGCCGTCATTTGTTCGGGATTCGATGTCTATTTTCGGCTCACTTGATATTGATCTCGACGTGCTACGGTAGTGAAATGCCTGGTACCGAACTGGGGCGGGGTTGGAGTGCGGAATTATCCCAAGAATCGTCCCAGTACAGTAGGCGTCATTGGTCGGAGAAGAGGAGCTCTCGGAACGAAGCTACGATGAACATCGTCCCGCCACGAACCACATTAATCACAGAATGGGATTCAATGCAAGTGTGCTGCCGAGATTGCACACACGGGCACGGCAAACCAACTCATGGGCAAATGGTAGAGAGTCGACAGCCAACGTAGGACAAACCACCAAGACCAAGGCCTTGTCAAAGTATTAGGTAGTCGTGTCAAGGCTTGCCAAGCTCGCCAACGCGGGACTTGGGATTTGCCAGAACCTCATTTCGCGGCAGCTTTGTCGAGAGCGACAGCAGTGCAACACAACCTTGAAGCGAACGCGTGCGTGCCGTCAGCGCCGGGCGAAGTCCTTGCCGCTCTCGTGTCTGGACTTTGCCGGCGGCGGAACCAAGCTTGGCGCTGATTAACTGGTGCAACCCATCATGAGGAGTCGGCTCGGGAATGCCATCATACCCTTTCTTATATCGGTGATTCAGGGCCGCTGCGGGACGGTTCTTCTCCACGGCTGGTGGACTGGATCTGGATCCAAGGGAAGATCCGGGTTGGCTATTACCACGTCGAAAAAATAAGGTCGGCGGGTCAGCTCTGCCGAATCCCCAGGGCTCGGCGGGCGGCCCAGGTTTCTTTTATTAGAATCCGGACGAGCTGCGACGGCGGCCCTCGTGATGCGAGTCCCGGTGCGTAAATTGGATATCCCAGACCCGCGTCTGCCAACCCCGCCCAGCTGGCCAGGAGGCGTGGGCAAGATGGTGGTCAATTCATATAAGCTGGGCAGACTCGCCGCTCCAAAAACACTAGATACAGGGATCCTGCAGGAACCTCAGTTCATCCTCGAGTGTTCCCGCTTCCCGTGACTGACGGAGCCGGACCTCCTGACTACGCATATGGCTGGAACTCCTGCTCTCTGGCCCGAGATTGCGTCGGTATTGCTCATGCAGCGTGGGGATTGAGAGGAAACAAAGCGGACCGGGCCCACGATCTCGCTTCCTTTCCTTGTATCCATTATTGTCGACACTCGACACACGGAATGTATGTACACATAGTACACACATACTCCGTAGTGGTGGCCAACAGAGAGGCGCACGCCATGGCGTCTGGCTAGCCGGTTTGACCTTCAGCTCGTCTGAACTGTCGGACGGGGCGCAACGCGGCGGAGCGGCAACAAGTTGATGAGGAACCAAGGTTTAAGCTGTGTGGATCAAGCTCATCCGAGGGCCTTGCCAAGGGCCCAACGAGGCCCGCAAATCGGGGATATGATGATCAAGAAGCCAGTGAAAACCTCCGGGGGCTGGAGTCAAAGCATCGCATCTCACATCCCGCCCGCAGAGGGGAATACCAAGTCCAATGCACGTGTATCTGTCCAATGGTATCCCTGCCGGAACAAGAGCTGGGATGCTTTGTCGGATGGACCACCGAGTCCCCATGTCGCCTCTTCAGCGTTTCAACAGGCTAATTGTCGTTTTTAGACACTGCCGGAAAGGCTCTGGAGCACTCGGGATGGGCCCAAGATTTGTTTGCTGAAAGAGAAGAGCAGCAGGATGACGGTGTCCTGTGGTACCACTCACCAAGCTGCCGCTGCGACGTCGCAATGCACTCCAGAGCTGACTGCAGACCCCGGAGGTAAAAGAGACAGTAGCGTAGGTGCCGACAAAGATCGATTGCAGACGGACGGCCTTTCGGTGACATGTGCTGTTAGCTTCCCCTGACGCCGACCGAGAAGGGCAAAATTGGAGGCTGTGATACTCGAATATGGCGCAGACGACGGGGGCTTGGATTAAGCCATGAATGATGGGCATTGGGTGATCGGCGTGCGTCCCTGCTCAGATGCGAATCGGCGGCTTAGCTGCCGCCTGGAATTATTAGCCCCAAGTGCCAGAAGCGCATACGCACACTGCCGCATCCGCCCCCCTATCTCGACTTCACGACTCGTCGGTCCTGCTGACGGATATCGGCTTTGGAGGGGGCATCAAGAAGGAGATGCGTTGTTGCGGCGGCGAACCCCGGCCACGTTTATTGCAAGTCGACATGGACGATGGATGTCGGGGCGTCATGGCCGGGCATGAGCCGCCTCCGGCTTATTGGGCCCAATGGCGAGTGCAACCACGTTGCACGGCACGCCAGACCAAGATCAGAAATTACTTTCGGTGCTACGGCGATTGGTGCCGGGTCCTAAAAATAGGCGGCGCCTCTTCACGAATACGGTCTAGTGGCAATGGCAATCCGGTGGTACTAGAGGCGCGAATACCATAGTAGCTTTCGCCAGGTCGGAGTTGCCTGTTGGTCACTATCACCGTCCCGCTGCCTCTCTCTGCCTTCACTGGTAGTGCAGGGTAGGGTAGGGTAGGGATCGGGCTGCTGGCCACTCGCGCTCTTTCCGTGTAATCGGCAGCCTGTCGCGCCTGCCAACGAGCGAGGGGCAGGTCCTCGCCTTTTCTGTCCTGTCTGATGGAACGCTGCGACGTGCGGCATTTGTCCGGACCGTGGCCAGCCGTTTTGTTCTCTGTTTGTGTACGGCACCGCACCGCAACGCACCGGTAGCCTGTCTGTTCAGGGGGTGGTAGTACACTGCACCACCTCACCTTCCCCGAGGAACGCAAACCCCCGACTCGGAATGGCAGGGCTCAGTTCCCGTCTCGGACTTTCTTCGTTGGCTGGCCGTTTTCGCCTCGAAACCACGCGCACGCACACGCGCACGACCACAGATCTCGCCCTCGGCAGTGTCTTGATCAGTAGGACAGATGATAGGTGGCGGCGATCCCTCCCCATACTACGGATACTAATAACTTTACCTCTTGACGGCCGCTCTTCCCCACCCAAAGCGATCTGGTCACACCCCTGCGATCGGGTTCGTTCGTTCCTCCTCGTCCGCCAGCCACGCATCATGACCATGACCATGTCCATGTCCATGCTTGTCCAGGGCATGCTCGCTGACGAAACACGCCTCTGCCTCTCGTATCTGGACCCTCGTAGGCGAGCTAGCCTATTAGGTGCAAGTGTTCTTGTTTCGAAGCAGAACGCCTCTCTCCGGAAACACTCCCAGAAGTGGAAGCTAATCACCCCGACCAACGACCCGAGGCGGCAGAATAGTAAGCCCTGGTGGGCAGGCAAAGAGATTAAGGGCTGGGCACATTGAAGGGCACAGCTCACACTACACTAGAGCAGAGAAATTCTAGAAGGTCTAAAGTCGCACCCTTGCCGCCAAGTCGCTTTCCCCGGGAACCCAGTGCGGGATGGCTCTGCCTGCCAACGCCACGAATAGGTACTCATGCTCACCGTGGATGGGGCTCGCCATCAACAGAAAGTGCCTCATCGAGACAAGAAAGAGCGCTTGTCCAGATTGGGCCACTTTACACGAGGTTGAAGGTGCTTCTGCTGCTCCATGAGCTGAACGCTAGTTTACAATAGTACTCCGCAAGTCGTCTCATGGAGGACTCCACCTCGGTATTCGATTCGAGGGCTTCGGCATTTGTAGGAGAGGCGCGGACGGGGCCCTTGGCAACCCTTTCGAGTTGAAAACCACGGCAAGAATATTCAGGGCTGCGAGGTATGCACATATCTTACATACCTTCGGTCAAGGTATGTACTATGAAGATACAGAAGACGAGATTAATTAGTGGTACATTACTTCGTACCCACATCAGGACACTCGCCTCAACCTAGAGACGTCCCAGCAATACGGCCTAGAAGCAGATCTTATCCTGGCACCCTGTCCAATAACAGGTACTGGACAGTACCAATGCATTGATCTACTGTTCGATGTTAATTACGCAGCATTTACTGCGCACATACACTATTGAAAAGCAACGGCCGCAATTGACAGAACAAGGGAAACAGGATGCTACTCTGCCACCACTGCTACTCTGCGCTGTAATACTAGTATTATGGTAGTATGTGCGAAGTGCTGCCCGCTTCTTGCCATGCTACACTATGTTCGGTACGGAGAAGGATTGCTTCGCTTGCCAAGCCGTCGTTTCCGTCTGCCACTCACGCTTCGCTCGCCGTTCCCCCACCTCCTCACCCCTATCTCGATCTCGAAACTGCGCTTCAGCCCGTCTCTTGCAACTACACCAGCTATTGCGGACGGAAAAGAGGAATGGGGTGCAAACAAGGTCAAGAATATAATCAGAAACCAGAATTACGCCGGGCTCGCCACATGATTACATGCTGTTGATAAGCGTGCAGTCATTCTCAATTCTCATCTCGCGTTCTCTCGTTATTTTCCCCTTTCGTATGCCGTACGGGGAGAGCTAGGGGTCGGCGTTCTCAAGAACCTAAACCCCTCCCCCACGAAAAGCCTCATCAGCATTGTGCACAAAAGCGGCCATTTTGCCCGATATCAGAAGCAAAGCCTCCTGAGCTGCCCGGCAGCCTTTCGGGTTTACGAAATGGGTAGAGATAATAGGTAAGACGGGCGGCAAAAAAAAGGAGATTGGCCCTAGCGTATCGGAATTCAATTTTCACATGGGAGAAAGCCAATGTCTCACCCGTTAGTGCGTCGACGAGACTGCCCGAGTTTTTTTGGTGTGGCATCTTTCGGCTTAAGGCAAAACTTGGCGAAAGAGGCTGACCTAAATCCATACCGGCACTAACGACGGTGACCCCGGCGGAGGATAAGAAAAGGAATCGCACTAAATCACTAAGAGCCAACAGAACATGCAAGAGTTTCCTCGACGAGTTAGCGTTACTACCAGAGACTACCTCCTATTTCTCTGCTCTCTTTGCGGCGTATTGACAAGCAAGTTACGTAAGGCAACGCTGTCGGGCTTTGCGTGGTGGGGTGCTTGCTTCCACGGGGGTGTGGTTGCTGATGATGATAATGATGATAGTGTGGTGTTTTATTTTTATTTTTATTTTATTTCTGGCGATTATTTCCGCCCGTGTCTTCTTCACCGAACCCCCAAAGCGCTCACTAGATTCCTCATGATGGCACGTTTTCTTACGGGACACACTTACATCACCATGGGGTTTCCTTGCCTGGCCCCTTTCCCACCCGCCCGCCCGACCGACGAGGGCGGCCTTCCCTTGAGCCGCCCCATGCCATGCTATGCTCGAAAGGGTTCGTGGCATTCGGTTGCTTTACCTTTTCGCAACAATGCTACATACATAGGGTAACAGTATGTTGCGTCGCATCGGTCTCACCGCGAACGAACAAGAGCCGGGAAGAAAGTTGAGCGGTTCATCAGAAAGGGCAAACACACCAAAACCAAACGTCTCTCCACTCTGGACCGACCAGGGGGGCCGACATCCCCCGCGCAGCGCCAACAAACCCCATGGAAATCCTTCCTGCTCGCTAAGAAAGGTTTGAAGACGATGCCATGTTTGTTTCTTCCCTCCGCCGATTTCCTAGGTAGCTGGCTGCGGAGGAGTAGCGCGACGTCGCAGGGCAAGCAGGCAGGCAGTGCAGACGGTGCAGATGAGTATCGAAACCATTCATGCTATTGCACTGGTTTTAGGTAGGTATGCACAGTACATACATTCCTAGGTAGGTTATCTAATCCTCGGCGATCTCAAAAAAGAGCCAGATTTGGTACTTGCTATGGGTTTTGTGGGCTTAGATCGTTTTTTTCTGTCTGCTCGCCTTCGCCTTCGCATCATCTACACTAAAGCAGATAGATCTCACACCCCTCCCCTGCCCTGCCATGCCCTAGCCCGCCCGACATCTTTGTCTCGAAAAAAGTCCCGAGAAGGAGGGGAAGGCAGGGGAAGGGAAAGAATCCAAAAAAAAAAAAAATAAGGACGAAACGATTCGAGTTGCACAGCAACATAACCCTACACACAAGCGAGAGGCGGAGGGACGGACGGGCCAAGCCTTGTGGGAAGGAAGCTAAAAATCTCCAACAACCTAACGCCATCCCGGAGGAATATCGTCTGCGGCGCCCAATCAAGGCGAGGCAGCCAGCAGAGGTTGCCACTACCGAGTACGGGGTACTTGTAGCGCAGTGTAGTGTAGTGTAGATCAACGATAAGGTGGGGGGACGGGAAGCACGAGATAATAATTCTTCTTCTTCTTCTTCTTCTTCTTCTTCTTATTATTATTATTATTATTATTATTATTACCACTACTACAGTAGAAGAGCAAAGCCGTGATGCTACCTGTCCGCCGTCCGTCTGCCTGAGTGGTCGGTTCGGGTCGTTTACAACTTCCCCCATCACACACGCGCGCGCGCGAGCCAAGCAGAAGAGGAAGCAGATCATCTTTCCTTTCCCCAGATTATACCACCTACAGCATTAAAGTGAGAGGGAGTTAGCGAGAGCAAACAACGTCAAGTAAAATGCACGGAGGAGGCACGTCTCACACGTGCAGGCATTTATTTCCACGCAAAAGCAAAAATCAACAACGGGTACCTGATATTATATCACATGGCACCAAACTCTTGTAACAAGAAAAAAAAGAGCCTGGGGGTTTCCAGGCTGCCAAACCAGGGGGGGGGGATACGCGGGGGTTGCGGCTCATAAGACTAGCTGGTTTCTAGGGCCTTGACATGCCCAGGGGAGCATTTGCTAGGGGAAAGGCAGAAGGTAAAAATAAGAGCCTAAACCCAAAATAAGAAATCGGCGTTTTATTTACCCGATCCTCTCCTTGATGCTGCTGGTGCTGATGACGATGATAATCGAGCCTGGGCAGGCAGGCGGGCAGGCTGGCGCGGGAGACAGAGAAAGAGAGATCCTACTGTACGCCGTAGGCACCACCAAATGGCCAAGGGCCCTGGCGTCACACACGGAACAGAAAAAGAGAAGGAAAAGAGAACATTCCGTCGTGCCATCGCTGTGCCTTGGTCATGCCTCTGCCATTTTCTGTGCCGCGCTGCCCACGCGTTTTGGGGGGTGTGTGCGTGTGAAATGCGAAAGAAAAAGAAACCGAACAACAAGAACCATCAATAAGGCAAGCAGGCATGGCGGCGTGGGGTTGCGGCGAAGGCCGAGGGAATGTTCCAAAGAGAAAGAAGGGTCTCGTCTCTGGTCTGTCCCTCGTCCCGTCTGGTCTTGGTCTTGTTAGGGTTACGTTCGTTCCTCGCCTCGCCTGCTCGCCTCGCTCGCGGCACCTCCTTTATTGCGGAGCCCCCCTGTCAACTAAACTTGTTTCCTCTTTTCTCATCCTTGATGGAACCTCACGGCGTGTATGAGACATTGGCAAAAAAAGAAGGGATAGAGACAAATGGAAAGACAGAGTTAAAAGACGGGCGGGGGACAGTGGAAATCCCGTCGACGGCTCGAGCTGTGAGGGAGTGTTGAAAAATGGAAGAATTTAAGTCTGAAAGTATGTCTCTCCATTTTCCGACCTACTATGTAATGTCCAGTGTGCATGTAAGACATGGAACCATTAGAAAAGGATAGGGCACTAGACAAGTAGCTGAGCGAAAAATGTCTAACTGGTTGCAGTTGTTGCAGCTTCAAACTTTACCAGGTCGTATCAGAAGGCGAGCCGCTAAACTACCTTTGAAATTTGCCCAGTAAGCCCTTGGACGAGATGCCGAGCTAATGACCTGAGAATGTGGAGGCGTGTGTGGTGTGGTGAGATGGCTCGGCAGGCCGCAGACATGAGACCAGTGAGGCGCAACAGCACAAACACGCGCACCGCACGTGGAATTGACCTTACCTCCTGCGGCTGAGACGTGAGCGCCGCGGCATGGCATATTTCAACCTTGGCTGGCTGTTTCTTGTGTAGCAGTCGGTAGGTGAATTATCGACTCGGAGAACGCACGGAAAGGGTGCAAGGGACCAAGGCCCCCTCCCCTCTTTCCATAAAGTGTCCGGCATGAGGTAATTGAGCTGGCGATTGGTGGCTATTCAGTCTTATTCCCTTCCTTTCCCAGCCTCGGTCGCCCTTCCTCGCCCAAGCATTTGTCGGTTGGTCCACCAATCAGCCTGCTGAGAGAGACGCCAACGAATTGAATGGGACGACACAACACCCCATTTCTCCACGCCGCATCCTGACCCCGAACGTCCGGAGTCACGGTAAAGAGAGCCGTCCACTCCGTTGGCCGGCGCGGCGCAGCGCAGAGGCACTTGCATGCAGCAGCAAAGAAAACATGGAGACAACTGGAAAGAGTCACAATAAAGGAACCCGTGTGTTTGCTTGCGCCCGGGGTTCCTGTCGCCCTTGTTTTTCTCTCTTCCTGCACACCGAATAGATTGCCATCCACCAGCCCAAACACACAACCCCACAACCGTCAAGCCTAGCAGCATGAAACGGGTTCAACCGCCGCACGCCGCACGGCGCGCGGCGCGCAAGCCAAGGCGAATCTGCCGAGACGCTGGTACGATCGTCCGTACACGGCTCACGCACGGCATGGCAATGAGCTTAGGGGCTGCCACTGCTGCTGTTTGCTGCTTGCTGCAGCAAGATAGTTGTTACGGAGCACTCCGTATACGCATGTACTTTGATTTGCCATGTTGATTGGCGTTGGTGGTCGAATATCCGTGCTTGGTAGTGTTGCGTTGCGAGCTCATTGGTGGGCCACTGGGCCTTTTTGCCCATTCTCCATCTCTCCATTGCCCCCTCTCTTTGATTCGTAGGCATGTGGGCAAAAAAGAAAACAAATGGGAAGGAGGACAAAATGACTTCCTAGTTGGGCAGCGCGCTGAGGCCTTTCCGCCAGCGCGCTTTTGGTCGACTTTGCATCCTCACGACTCCCTCGCCAAGCAGTCCAAGTGGAGAT